TACATTTAGTCTCTTAGAAAGATAAATTTGTATTTGTAAATCGAGTTTCATCTTATAAGCTATAGGATATAAGCTTCGATATGATACTTTTAGAATCCAGTATACCTAGATTTGTGATTCTAATATAGATTTGCTAATCATAGGATATAGAAGAGAGAATTGAAGTTCATAAAATGATATAAATTAGATTATATTTATATCAATTATTATGTTATTCTTGCTAAACAATAGATTTTCTCTTAGAATTGTCTTCAACTATTTATTTGACCTGACTCTTTTTTCTCATTTAATCTCGTTTAACAAACTCATCTACTTTCCGAAATTATACCCACGCTTTGCCTTCCATCAGATTGTCCAACTAATAATTTCTAAGAATGGGTGTACCTCTTCAAAAATCTCTTTATCAGAATATCCACTCTTTTTGACTATTTCCCAGAAGGCCATCCATTCATCTTCAGTGATCTAACCACTTTTATCAAAATCGACAGCATTAAATAATGCTTGAGTATTCACCTTAGCAAAATTGGCTTTCCAAAACTTTTGAGTTTCATCCTTATCGATAGAACCAGAATTATTGACATCAATTTTCTTGAAAATCTCTAATGCTTTTTATCTTAATTAAGGCGATAATCCTTAAGATTGTTTTTGAGCTCCACAACCCATTATAATAATTAATTAAGTAATGTTATACCTAGCAATTCTAATCTTGCTATTATTACTAGTAGGTGCATCCCTGTACTTATTAGTGTGTGTAGACCCCAACTCTCCAGGATTCTTAGGGGATATGAATAGATTTGTATTCTTCACTCTTCCTGAGACAATCAAGTAAATTCAAGCATAATGCCTAGAAAGATATGTGGAGATAAAATATTCGGAGTCTTCAAAATAGGAATAAAATACTTTTTCTTTACTAATCATCCAATAGTGTAAATATTCTATGTAATTGTGGCAATGGGAGGATATTTGATTTATTTCTTTTTTGGATGTTTCACATTGTTTGGTAATAATCCTTTTGTGTCCCATGTAGACACAGTAATTGGATCAATTATGGCAATCTTGTCTTTCTATTCCTTTTTTTAAGCTTGTAAATATCGACCAGGAATAATAACTAAGGAGAATAATTAAGAGTACGTTAAGGAATTTAAGGAGTACTACGATAATGTAGTTTATTTGAAAGATAATCAATGCAGCACATGTAATATTATCAAGCCAGCAAGAAGTAAGCATTGTAGAGTATGCAATGTATGCGTAAGTAAATTTGATCATCATTGTGTTTGGATCAAATAATGTGTTGGATAAAAGAATTATAAGTACTTTGTGAAATTCATCATCCTTCATGCCATGCTCTGTGATTATGGAGCTTACTTAGGCTTTCGTTGTATATGGGGGATCATTGTGAAAGAAAATCTATTTGAAGCTAAAATCAAGTAAATAAATTTGTTCAATTTAGAGATCCTTATACAGGATAGACATTAAAAGCTAGTTGGTCTATTATAATAATGCATCTGTTAAGTAAAAACTCAATATTCATTTTTCTTATCATTATGTGTATTATAATGGGTATTTCTTTGACATGTTTTTCAATTTATCATTTGTATATGATTGGAAAGGACACTACAAGTAATGAAAGGATGAAGAGAAGTGAGTTTTTGAAGTTCTTCCAAGAAGAGACTTCGCGCATAGAAAAGTCACTCAAAGATGCAAAAACTCAAGAGGAGATTAAGGAGTTAAGTGATAAATTGGAGAAAATTAAGTCATGTAAAAATAGGACAATTTCAGCTAAATCCATAGGGATTTGGAAGGGATTGAAGTAAGTGTATAATCAACCAGATGAATTGGATCAGAAAATTAAAATAAACAATAAAAAAAAATAATGAATTAATAATATATGTGTTCTAGGCATCAAAATTAAGCATTGTCTCATGTTCTCATTAATCATAAGCAGTAAGGGTTATGTTGTCAATAATGCATATATTAAGACAGTTTACCGTAGCAATTGGTTGTCCCTTTGCAATAGTTCCTCACTTTAGTTAGGTCTGAGATTAATAATAAAATTAACGATATTCATGAAGAGAAGAAGATTAGCACTCAATATGAGAAATTACACATGGATGTACTCAAGAATATTCAGCAAGCATTCAAATAAATTCAAAACTTCATCTTTCAGCAATCCTATCAATAAATGAAATAAAATGAAGATGTTTACCAAGCCCAAACCTTAATCGAACAAATTGAATAAAGATAGATAACAAATCGATAGGCTCAAGATAATGTGATCTTATTATTGGAAAAGTCAATCGATTACAATGGCAAGAAATTTGAATTGAAAAATTATAGTGGCAAACAATTCAAAGATCAATTGAATTAAGTAATGCTGTGCTATAATCAATTATAAGTGATGCAGTCCATTTTGTAATTGCAAAATAATGTAGAATAGATTTTTAAGAGACACTCTCAATAAAAGGAATTCTCCAATTATAATTAAAATAATAATAATAATCCACAAATCACTCAATAAACTACATCTACCTAGAAATTCAAGTATGAATACACAAATGCTTAGTAAAATTAACAGTATGCTCCATAATAATTGAGTTAAACAATGCAATTAACTAATACAAATTAAACACCTTAGAATAAATAAAATGAATTTTCAAGACAAAATACCCAATCTAAAAATCCAACTCAAAGTTCACGAAGCCATTCAATAGAGAATAAATAAGTTTAATATTTGGATCAAAGTTAGAATTATTAAACTGACAGATCCTTAACACCATAATCTATGAAAACTGATTAATCAAATAAACCATATCAATTTTAATCTGGATTGCTATTTGGAGAATAACTCAAACGAACCATAAGTGACAAACAATAGGAATAAATTAGACAGCAACAAAACACAAGTTCTTCTTTAATAAGTAGATCAAATTTGTTTCCAAAAACAGAAAAATAATATTCAATTAAAGTTCATGAAAAAAGAATATCATAATTGCAAGTAGGATAGCTATGCATTTTTACTAGTTCTTATGATAAATTAATTCGAGCCTGGGATAAGGCAAATGGGAAGATGATAGCAACTTTAGAAGGGCATACAAGAGAGATTGTCAATATCAAATTTAAATTTGATACTTTAGCATCTTGTGGTTAAGATAAAGTCATCAGAATCTGGAAACATCACCCAAGATGGCAATTAATCGGTAATTTAAAAGGACATTAAGGAACAATCACATGTTTAGATTTCTTAAATCCAAAGTAGTTAATATCAGGAAGTGAGGATTAAAGTATCAAAATTTGGGATTTAGATAAAATGTTAGAAATCCACTATCTGAAATTTGATTTTGGAATCTACTCTTTGGCGATCTATAATGAGAAATTCTTCGTTGGGGGAGATGGCATCTTGATTGTTCATTAATGCCCTTAGTTGCAATAAACTAACTTCATTTAATTACATGAATCACCTATCCTAATCATTTTATAAACCAAATTATATATAATAACTATTGATAAAGAAGGAATAATTAAGTTATTGAATCAATAATCGTATCAGGTTATCAAAGAACTTAGAGATGATTATGAAATTAGTAGTGCTCTCTATATTTAGCAATTCAACTTCCTTGTTATCGGATTGAGCACAAAGAATGGAGAAGGAAAGATCTGTTTTTGGTCTTTGGATACTTTTCGTAAGATAAAAGAAATTTATGATAATGGTTCAGGAGTAGGAGGGTTGGCATGGGAATCTCCGTATCTGTGGTCAGGTCATGATAATAAAAGATTGGAAAGTATCAAATTTTTATAGTAATAATGAGATGATGTAATTCACAACTTTATGTTATTTATTATATTTCAGCTATAATGGTTAATAAATTGTCATTTAATTTCATGAATTCTTCTATTTTATATTAATTAATTTATGGGTTGTTCAATAACATTAGTTTAAAACCCTCCGACTGACCCCTTGTCATCCATTTCATCAGATGATCTCTAAGAAAGCGAAGTATCTTTACTTTGGATTCACGACGATGTTGCTTAATTAAAAATTAATGTAGAAAAGCAAAAAGAACATTATCCTGAAGACAATACACCTGCGGTGTAACACTGGATTAACTGCCAAAGCATTTCCTTGAGATCAAGCAAATAATCTGACACTTATTCAAAAAAATCTTGTTTGAAGTCACAAAGCGTAACTCCACCACATTCGTAACATACAAATACAAAGAAAGTGCATTTCGTTCAACCCAAAAAAAAAAATAAGCAATCACAGAATGGTACAAAGAAGAAAAATAAAAAGAAACTCTCAAGGTGGTCTGAATAGCCTTAATAGCGAATCAATTTGGATGATATATTTTGATTATGTGTCTTCTTTACTCTTAAGGCCCATTTATATATTTTTTAATATTAATATTCAGTGAATTTATCAATTTAAACCATTTTTAATGAATGATGAACAATACTGATTATTTACAGTCGAAAATCTTTCTCAAATTTACAACATATCACATTTTTTTAACAAATTTTGATAAATAAATATAAGATACTTCTTGTTTTGTTTTTTTTCTAAATCAGCTATGGTTTATCATCATGCTCTTGCTTTGGTGACTTTCAAAATTATGATTGGTATTAAATTGTAGAGTTAAAAGGAGTCTTCTATGCTATTTGATCATTATCATTTATTGGCTAATTTATTTAAACTTTCTTAAACTAATTTTTCGAATAATTTAATTCAGTAAATAATTAATAAATATTTTTTAGTTGAGCTAGATTTTATAATACACTAATTTGAGGGTGTAAAACCTTTTATTTTCTATTGAAGTTCAAGATTTATACATTATTAAGCACCCTGAACTTAATTAACCACTATCAATATCTAAGATTAAATTATTGACTTTCTATTAAGCATCTATAGTGGATTTGTTATACATTTTATATATAATAATGTATTGGTTGTCATCATTGAATAAAGTTCAGTAATTCTCGATAACAATTTGTAAATTAAAATCCAAAACAGCATATTTGAATTTCATATGGGAATCTCTTCCTCGCTTAGTACAAATTGTTCAAATTCAAGCTTGTTCATCCTTGTCTCACATAAATGTATATTGATGATAATTTTGTATTATCATCAAATTTATGGGCAGTCTAAATTTAAATTTTAAACTAGCATAAATGAACATAGTTTCTAGATTGGCATCAATTTTATAGATGTTGGATTATTAAATGGGGGAAATTAATAAAAACCTTTAAAGGTTAGCCACAATTTTGTTATGATTTCCTGTTTTTTGAAAATTAAGGTTTTAAAAATTTTTGTCTTAAAACTAAATTATAGATTATTTTTTTGCCTCTATTCAATAAATTAATACTGTTAATAACGATTTGAAGTAATTGATCGTCCCTTCTCTTAATTTCAAATTGAAATAAGAAATCTTCTGAGGTGGATTTTATAATTCAGTGAATTCTATGTTTTTGTGATTATTTCTGAGTAGAAACTATATTTTACATAATATCTTACGGTATTCCGAAGTTACTAATAGAGATATTTATAGCTGCGAATTTATTATAATATAAATTTTAATATATTCATTTGTGGTAACAATGAACTAATCTAATTTGAGTAAATGTGATATGAATTTAGAGTAGCTTATTTATTTCAGAAGAAAAATAATATTTTATATTGATGTTTATTGCTTAATACGATTTACTTAATAATTTGAAATTTTATTCTTCATATAATAATATTAAAAATAAAATTCAGTTTGAAATTTCCTGAATAATAATTAAAATTAATTTTCTTATGGGAGTCTATATCAACACATAATCGAAGTAAAAGAAACTATCCTAATGGATTATATTCTAATTCATATTTAATTGATATAATTTTCAAAATGTCTGCATCAATGGAACTACTTTAAGGAGAGTAACTTAAGCACTTTTTTGATAATCATTTGATATTACACAAGAACCATGATTTTGAATAACAAATATTTTGGAAATTTGAGTAAAGCGAAAACTATTAAATTCTAATAATGTATGTTGAAGGTCTTATATATAAGATTCATTTCAGACAATAATAGCTGCATGAAGAGGATGGAAAGTTGAAAGAGATTTCGAAGTAGTAAGAAATGAAATAAGAAGATAGCTAGCCATATTCACCAATTGAATGAATAGAGAGTAAGATAGTGAGAAATGTAATTATGAGAGAATATCAATAGCAAAATTGGATGAATAAAGAAGACAAAAATGATTTTAAGTTTGTACAAAAAGTATGATGCTATTAAAAGGAGAAGAAAGTCTTGAGTTTCAGGAAGTATCTGATGTTAAGTGAAAAAATGAGAAAAAAGAAATTAAATCCATTTTGCACTAACATTTCTATTTATAAGATGAATTATTTATTCATCTATAAAAATTTTAATTCCATTATCAGAAATGCATTAAAAGAGAGGATAAAATTGATTTTATAGTAATTAAGTATTATAACGTCTTAGTTAGTTTCACCTTTGATTAATCAGAAATTTGATAATTCTTAATCATCAATTAAGTATCAAAAAAATATTTATAGCAATTAACCAATCAAATAGTTTAGTGACATTTCATAATTGGATCAGAAAAGGACCATGAAAATTTTTAATAATATATCATCCATTGCAAAAATTAATCTTAATCTAAATTTCATACTTCTCTCTTGATTAGAGTATAACAATTTGATAAGTTCCTTTTGTTTCTAATCACGAAATTTACAGCAACTCATGGCAGAAATACTGATTTAAGATTCAGAAGCTAAATCGAATAATTTCACAAATTAATACCAATAAATTCATTTCTATTTTTCTTAATAATTATTCCACATATGCATATTTGCAGCTTTCAATCTCCAAAATATCTTTCAGTCAATTCAACTTTAATTTCTACACCAAATTTCGTTAGGTGCTTAAATTCAATTCTTTGATTCAATCATTTGATTCTAATTAGATTATAACCAAGTAAGTATATTTAATAATAGTTCAAGAATATATATTAAACTCACAAGGAAATCTGGGTGGTTGTTTAATGTACTATTTTTGAACTTACTTACTCACCAGCAATTTAGGTGATTATTCGGTAAACTATAACCTTTGTTGTGGTGGTTCTGTAAAAGCATCTTTTTGCTAAATAGGCGCTTTATTTATTTCTGATCATGTTGTTTCGATAGTAGAAGAATATGGATTTTGCCACTGAATACTTGATGTTTAATTGCTAAGCAGCCTAAAAATAGAATGAACACAAACTTGCTTTATTTTCTTGCCCTTTAGGCATATTAAATGAATGAGGGTTTGTCTGAGTTCAGAAGATAGCTTGTAATATTATGTTTTGTGTCTTTTGGAATCTTATTTCATTTATTATATAATTTTTGAATAAATCTTCTGTGATTATATAAAAGAAATATAATTAATCCGAATAATTCAACTCACACAATTACAATGAAATAATCTTTGTACAATTTTATTGAAACTTCTTGATTCATTAACAGAAAATTATAACGAATTTGTATGAATTTTCTAAGTTGCTAATTTATATGTTATAGGTGTGTGGTTATGGAAATATCCTAATAATTTGAAATTACGGTAATTTCCTAATGCTTGCTATTATAGATTTTAGTCTGCAGAGTAAATCTTAAATTTGTCTAACTCAAGTTCGTTGGTAAAGAATAGGAAAGTAAAGAGAAAAGGTTCTTGAACTTTATTGTAACAAATTTATTAAAATTATCTTTTTGCTCCATCTAAGTTAACGCAGGAGAGATTTATTTTTCGATCCCTAGTTAGATGAGAGATTTATTAAAATGCTTAATGCTCCTAAATAACTCCCCCAGAGTTAATGAAAAATTGATTACGATTCATCTCCGTAAGCAGGGGAGTATGGAGATTGATCTATAAAACATATTATGAATAATAAAAATAATATTATGTTGTTTGTAAAATGAATTATAAATTTATGATACATTATAATTATTAACAATGACTGATTATTATTTAAATTATTACATTAATGACAACTGATCGATATTAATTACTAATTTTTGATGAGGAACTCATGCAGTTTAAAATTTTTATTATATCTATAGGAACCCTATTCACGACGAGTCCTCTCTTGAACATCTCATGACTATGTGTATTCAACAATCCACTCATAATCAAAACAAAAACCCATCTTATTCGAAGTAGACATTCACCAAAGATGAAGACAGAGAGATCCTCAAACATGTATTTCAACATGGACCAAATTTTAATAAGATTGTCAAATATTTCCCAGGTAAAACGATGAATATGATAAAAAATCGTTATTATAAGAAACTTCGTTATTTAAAATAGGAATTGGATGTGGATAATCCTTGGGTGTCCATTTGCAACAATTCTAAGATTACAAAAAATCATTGAATTTTTTACTTTTTATATTAATAATTAAAGTATATTCATATTTATATTTAATTTGTTGTAAATTTTAACTATGCCTAGAAACACAATTAAAAAGACTGTCAAAAAGATTAAAAAGCCCAAAACCATGAACTCTAAGTAGAACAACAAATAAAAAATCGATGACGATGAATCAATCGATTCAGAATACTTGGATGAATTGGAAAATCAAAAACCATAAAATATTTCAGATAAAAGTGATAGTGAAATTGATGAAACAGAAGATAATAGAAGGTTGAGATTGGCTAAATAAATTTTATAACAAACCAAATAAGAACTGTAATCCAAAAAAAATGATGACTTTTTTCAAGATCATCATGACATTCACATGAATGATGAAGACAAGAGATTAAATGTAGCCTTACTCGAGAAAGTATCTTATTCGCCCTATCATAGTTCGCTGAAAAACACACCATCTATCAATCATAAATCCAAAAATTTGATCGACAATTCAATCGAGAAACCTATAAAGGTCATCTGAGAGCAATCACTTGCACTTAGGTGGATGAATTCGCCAAGCATATGTACTCTTGTTCCAAAGATTCGAGCATAATCAAATGTAAATACAATTATTTGAGTTTTCAGGGGACTTGGAAACCAAGAAGAAGGAGTTCATTTAGAGAGAAGTTGGCAAACATGGAGATGGCCACTATGATGAAGTTCTCACTATCTCCTTGAACTTTGATGGCAAGATATTAGCTAGTGCTGGCAAAGATCATTCTATTAAATTATGGGACACAACGTCTAACAAATTGATCGAAACTCTTAAACATCACAAAGCCCCAATTTATGGTGTTAAATTTGGATATAACTCTAATAACCTATGTAGCATCTCTTGCGATAGAACTTTCATCTAATGGGATGCGGCATAAAGAGCTTATATTGATACATTGTAATATTTACAAGTAATTTATAAGTTTTGGACATAGTACAGAAGCAAATGACATCGATTGCTTTAATGCTGACGATTTCTTGAGTTGTGGTTATGATAGATAAATGATTCAATGGAAAACTAAATCAGGAGGACAACTTCTTTACAGTGGACATCAATAATCCATTGATTGCATCAGAGCTATAACTCTAGACACCTTTGCTACTGGTTCTGTTGATTCTAATATCAACCTATGGAATGTGAAAAAACGAAAACCCTTATTTGAATTAAATAAACCTCATGGAGATAGATGGATAACTTCTTTGGTATTATTTTATACTTAAAAATATAGGGAACTATATACAACAGTGACCTTTTGATTTCAGGATCCTATGACGACAATCTAAACATATACAAAGTCACAAATAAGGATATTATTAAAGTGAGATCGCTTTAAAGTGTATGATACTCAATGTAATATATTTAGTTTGGAATAATCAATCATATTAATGTATTTGGAGATAAAATTCTAACGGTTGAGAGTCAAGAACATCGTTTGGGTAGGTGGATTACTTCAACAAAAAGCAAAAATATAATTGTCTTGTATTTATGATTTGTTTTCTTATATATAAGTTTTAAAAAGATTTAATACACTATAGAAGAGTCATCATTTTACATTTTATTTTATTTCATAATAATTAGCAATTATTACTAGATTTTTTGAAATATATCGGTCAAATCGATTGCATAAGCGACAGCTTTTGGGAAAAACCTCATCTTAATAAAATGCTTTCAATTCTGAATGTTTGTATCTATAATTGAAATTTCATATTACACTGATGTGATAATTTCTTTCCAAAAAATAAACGATATTTATTATTTTCACAAATGGAATCCTGTTCAATAATTTGAATTAAATCAAGCCTTATTAATAGGATTTCAAAAAACAGTCTTTTGAACCACCTAATTTAGAAATATATGAATGAATCTATAATGTGAGGAAATATATTTCTTATTTTAAGTTCCACTTCTTAATTAAATCCACTTTATGATTGGAAATGTAATTCATCTTCTTAATTGTGTTAAACTTATTAGGTAATATATAATATTCTCAAAATTTCGGATATATATATAGTTTAGTATTCATACTTAATAATTGATTAAATTCCAAAACTTCAGCACCATTCAATTTGAAATTTTTAAATTATCAGCGTAATAATCGATCAACAATAACTAGAAAAATTCAATTATTTATTACATTCTCAATGATTTAATTCTAAGAATATTCATTTATTATTAAAAAATTAAAGAATTTTATTTTTCTTCCATTACCTGTCAAATTAATTCCAAACTATAGATTAATTGACTATTGCCATTTGAAAAATTGAGTAGTCTTCTCAAAGAAGGAAGATTGGGGAGGTCACTTTTTTTTATTTTCAAAAAGTCAATAAATTTAGTTTGATTCAGAGGACATCAAATTTACTTTCATCAAGTCATACTTGCTTGTAAAGACGATGCCATCCTGAATAACATTATTTCCTATTTTTAGAATTTACTCCTTGATTGAATAAGTAGTTTAAGATTTAAGTTAATAATTAAGCAAAGGAGAATGTCAAGGTAGACATTCCTAAAAGTAATCTGTATAATTTTAGCATATTTTCATCAAATTTTTAGTGGGGGACATACCTGAGAGTAAATGTTAGAATTTAGATAGGAGGAAACACACATTAATAAAAACCCTAATAAAGAATTAGAAGAGTCATATTATAATTTTTATTAATTAAAATAAAATATCTTTAATATTTAAAAGCCTTATACAAATTTTTTTACTTGTAATATATTTATAGCCAGATCTAATCTTTTTGATTTTATTAATTAAATAACAACAAAAAATAATGAAAGTAGAACCATCCAATGATAAGGTCCGTTCCTATTGCAGAGTGCCAAGGTTGTAATAACAATAACTCGTAAATCTTGTTTATAAAGAGGAATGGAAAATCAATTAGGTTGTTATTATGAATTAAGTCTTTTTTAGGCTGCTAAATTATTGAACATTAAGTATGCCACGGCTAAAAATATTGTGCAGAGATTCAAGAAAACTCACATTTTTGGAAAAAAAGCCAAACTCCCTGAATCCAAGAGGTGCCAATACAAACTGATCGACAGACCTGAAGTCTAATCATATGCAGTAAATACCAAAAGTGGATTAGTATTCGATAGTCTTGTCGAATATTCCCAAAAGGCTTGATTGTTATTTTTTTTTATAAATTTCAATCTCCATATATCAAGAGAAACTTTATTGTTCTATATTTGAATTACTTAACAAATTAAGGTGGAATGTATTGAAAATGAACAAATGGATAAGATTATTAGAATAAAAAAGAAAAACAAAATTAAACCTTATTACTGTTTATTTTCAAATTATTCGACTTTTAGTTGGATCTCAATTATAACTAACCATAATTCTCTCTAATCTAATGTGGTTATGAGAGAAGAAATTAAAATTAGTATCCCAAAAAGGAATTCCATAACTAATGTAAATTTCATTCTTATTTTTTCATTAATTCTGTACCTATTCAATCAACCGTTTACACAGCCTTCCTAAATATGAAAATTTAATTAATCCCCTAGATGTATATTACATGACACACCTAATACACGCAACTATCACTTAGTATTGGCGAAAAAGATGGTTAAACTAATCATATTTTATATAATATATATAATCATGAAAATGGCATTTGATAGTTTGCGTTATAAGGTGTATTTGGATTATTAGGAGGTACTTGTTACTATTATTAAAAAGGCATTTGACTAAAGGGACCTTATGACTATGGTTATCCAAATGGACCGGAATTTAAGGGATTTTATTACTGCCCAAAAGGTACTTACGATTAACCAAAAGGTCCTTATGATTATTATTATGGCTAACCAAAGGGTTATTATTATTATTATGATTAACCAAAAGGTCCCTATTATGGTTAACCAAAGGGTCCCGATGATCCAAATGGTCCTGCTTATGTATTAGTTTTTGATTAATTGCCAGGCTACTATTAGTTGAATACGGATTAGGGTAAAAAAGGGATTTAGGAGGACTAAGCCAACTAGGGTTAAAAGAGACCTTATGCTTAAATGGATTGTTGAAAGCGACCGAGAGTTTGTTTTGCTTAAATATTAAATACAATATCATCTTATTCTCTATGTTTGATTTTAATTTCATCCTGTAACTTTTTGGCTTCAATAAAATTGAGATCTCCCTCTCTTTCCCAAACGTAGATGAGGATAGGATGTTCATCTCCAAAGCCAGCCACGGCAATCATGTGATATCCTATATTCCAAGCAACATCAGCAACAGGGCCAATGACATTAAATTAGAATAAATCAGTGGGTAAGGTTTGGGTTAGATTACTCCAGAGATGAGGTTTGCCATCTTCACTGCCTGATAACACATAATCTCCCTTTGGACTAGGAACACTTCTACAAGCAATTTTGACAGATTGAGATCCAAAGAATCGATTATTGACTGATCCATGTATAATTTCATGATCGTGGAACTTACCATCTCCAGACTTAAAATCGACAATTCTAAGACAGTTATCTCTAGTGTGAATCAAGAGATCTTGTTATTCTGGAGGCATTAATTGAATTTAGTTGATTGCATTTCCACTGATTTCTTAAATCACTATCAAACCTAATCTCCTGGCAATATAACTACCTCCAGAGAGATTGATATCAAAAAAGTGGACATTTCCCAATGAATCTCCAACATACAAACATTTGACACCATCATATACTATGCAATTGGGATGTCTGTGATTACCAAGATTATCAAATTGATCAAAGGAGATGCCATCATAGGAGATGATTTCCTATTGAATTGGTTCATCACTTATCTGTAATGATTGATTAGACTCAAATTGCCATATGCGCATTCTGCTATCGAAACAACAAGTGGCCACAACTGGCAATTTGCTATCCATCAGAAAGAGACCTGCATAAACAAAAGATGGATGTTGGAGTTGACAGATTAACATTAAATCTGAATCTTCTTCACTCACAATGTCCCCTGAATGTTGAGGTACACTCCAAACTTTGGCTGTGTAATCACTTGATACTGTAATTAAATATTGAGAATTCTGAGAGAATTGTAAATCATGGATGATATTTCTATGTCCTTTATAAGTTGTGAAATGTTGACCAGTTTCGACATCAAATAATTTTATTATGGTTTTTGAATTTTTGTAAGTACATGCACATGCCAGATAATTACCATATTTATTAAAGGCTAATCTATAACATCCCATGGGAGCACTGGCGAATTTGTAGGCTATCTTATCTGGAATGTGATCTTCCTTGTCTCCGAGATAACGACGTCTCCTTAGATTAATTTTCTCCTAGTCTGTGATTTCTTCCACTCTCTATTCGATCACTTTGTCTATGACAACAGAATGTTTCACTTTCTCTCTTGCTTCCTCATCTCCTTTTTCTATCTCGAACACATTGGTACTACGGTTCTTGCCGTAAATCTCAAGGAATTGTGGCTTGGCTTCTGTTCCCAAATACACATTCAAAACTGCATCATATTCAACTTTGTCAAGCCAGAGAAAATCGAAATACACCAAAGGAATTGATTCTCTCCTGCTTACTGATTTCAATTTACTCGTGTCAAACAAATACTTGTATAATTGTATCTTGCTTAATCCCAAATGCAATCTACATAACCCATTCGGTCTTGTATAACCCCAAGCTATCCTATAGAAGTTATCCGAATCCAAAAACTCACTATTATGTTATTATAAATAAATAGGATGAAAATCGAGGAGTTCAAACAAAATTATTGTATCTGATTTATAGAATTCATCTGCTGGTATATTAATCAATATTTCCTCATTCCAATCTGCCCTGCTATTGGTCGCCATACGCATATCACAGAAATTTGTCGAAAAAGCAGTAAGTAACTCCAATTCACAAGTAACTCTCTCCCTCTCCCCATCCACTATATTAGTAATGCAATTGCTCTCATAATTGTACACTGCATTTGTGAACTCTCTTGCTTAATTGTCCTCATTTTTTGGCTTATACAAATAGCACCCATTCTTAATGTTGATCACATGCATCCGAATAAAAGGATGCTGAATATTCGTATCCATCTACAATTGCGATGTCCCAATTATTCTCACTACCACAGTCTACAATCTCATTCGAATACAATACTCTGTCCGGTGTAATTTGAGCTTTGTCCTTCTCACTCAATGAGAATGGGTTCACAATTTAATCGTACTCCAACTTATTCAACCGATCCACAAACGTGAGTCTTGGCGGATCACAATGAATCAATCGACTTAATCGGGCTCCTATTCGATCTCCCAAAGAGTAACAATTATAAATTATATCATCGTTCATGAAGTTGGTATATGTCATACCACTATCATGATTCGGCGCAGGTTACAATCTCTTAGATCCTCAATACTCACACAATTACTTCATCCTCGTTCTCCTATTGATCCTCGTTCTGCTCAAAATTTGAATTCGCAAAATCCACCTTCTTCTCTGCCGGCTATGATAATTGCTACTATCCTCCAAATGGCATTTCCCCTTCCCCTCCTCTCTTTTGTTACAAAGCTGAAACATAATAATTACTAATATCTACGTGGCAATTATCTTGGAATACTTGAACGCGACATATTTGTAAATAATAATTTTATTTTATTTATTACTCTCAAAAACAAGATGTCACTCCAACTATCTCCATTAAACTGAATTTGCTTTGGTTAATGAAGTATATCTATATAATTGGTTTAAAGACACTATTAGTGTTGAATAATAACATTTTATTTATGCAAAAACTATATTGTAAATTAAAGATATAAGAATTAAATCAATATTCTAATTAATTACAGTGGTTTTTTTAATTTTAGAACCAACTTCCTTTGTCATTTTTGAGTTATTCTATTATGAATTAATTCAATATTTTGAAATACCTTCAACATTTTTGTATTAAACTTGTTTAAGTGCTCTAATTAAAGCACAAATGATGGAAAGGTCCTCTATTGAATTCTAACAGAGTAATAAGATCAATTAAACCATTTATATAATTAATTAATATATTTTTGGAGATAGTCAAATCTATATCAAAATACTTATTTTTATATTAAAAGAGTATTCTACCAATCAGTTAAATTAACAATTTTGTTTATTCTAAAATAAATGAACATAATTAACCTATTGTGATGGAACTCTCTATCCCATTAATTATTTATACATTTATAGTGAGAAAGTATAATTTAGATGATTTATAAAAATTTATTAAAATTAGAATTAATAAGAATATATAAATATAAAAATAAGAAGTATAAGGTATTCACATAGATAACTGTCTATATTGTGTTTAGAATTCCTTTTTAATTGATTAAAATATTTATTCTGATTATTTTTGATAAAATGGGAAATCAAATGGCAAGAAATTAAGACAATGTTCCTTTGGCTCCATATAATGTGTCTGAAAATTACTAACCTTAGATGGGAGCTTATGGTAATAACTAATATTCAATCAATTCTAATTACTCAGCTGCAAATGACATGGCAAATCCTCAATATGTATAACATTAAAATGTTTAACTTCATAATCAATAACAATCTACACCTAATTAACCTAATATGTCTCCTATTCCACCAATACCAACACAACCCATTTAATTAGGAATTCCAGTTATCTAGTCACTTGAAATTGGTTAAATACCCTAATAAGCAATAACAAATGATCTTAAAGATTAACCATTCCATATCAAAAAAAAAGAAATCATTAAAGCACTTACAATATATCTCATAATGCAATTAATTTAAAATGGATTATCGTTGTTTATATGTATATACTTAGCGCAAATCAGGATGGATGGAAGATTTTCTTCAATAATTTGCCTCATTAGTTCTCTGTGCAGCCTTGTAGTTGTTATCTCAGGAAAATATTAGAAATTTCAAGAAGTATTTTGAGTATTTTATAGATAGAATCCAAGGGCCATAATTAACAGCATCCTAATTATACTGTTCTATAGTTCAACAATCATTTCCTATTTCTACTTCGAAAGTAAATAAGCTACTAGCGATTCCTACTTGATGGGGATAGTATACGTGGTTTTAGTTCTGTAGTCTGCAACAAATTGTATAGTAATTACAATAACTATTTTATATTTTGTTATAGAATAGAAACAGGTTAGATTTGAAAGTAAACTTTGGTTAAATATTTTAGTTTATTTCTTAATGCTTTGCTTCGGAGGATTCATAGCGATTATGATAGAAATTTGGCTATTATTTTTTGTTTGTACTGCTTTCATATTTGGTACCTTACTAATGGTAGTACTTCAATAATTGATGAGTGGAAGAGTAAATATTAATATTAATTTACATAGTTCCAATTAAAAAAGAATTAATCCTTTGGATTGTGCAATGCAATTTATTTAGGAATTTTGGTTCCATGTAATATTTTTTGATAGTTATTAAATAATTATAATATTATAAATAAATAAAAATGATTCTGTTTCAGGTAAACTAAACTAACTATAGAGAATCAGAGTTGTCTAGATCTACTAACATCCGATCATCTGTTTTAATGTCCTTAAGTAAATTATCATTCTTTATCTCCTTCTTAATATAATTATTTTCCTCCTTCTTAATATCATTATTTATCTCCTTCTTAATATCTTTATTTACCTCCACCTTAATATCGTTCTTTATCTCCACCTTAATATCATTACTATTTAGGCCTTTGTTAATCACATTTGTATTTTATGCACTTAATTAACTTTCCTATTAGCTGGTTGTTTGATACAGATTCTAAGTGGGTTTTTCTTCATTAGTTTTGAATTGTTTTTGGGAATACCTTTCTTCAAACAGTTATTTGGTTGCTTAAAATTTATCCATTTATTAGTAAATTACCACTTTTTGTTTTTCTTTTTCCCAACTCAAGTAAAACTAAGCGTCAAAAGTGATGGTTCCAATTTCTCCATTCTTCTCATCTTCTTTATAAAAGATACCATTGCCTCTTTTTCTAAAAAACACTATTTTTGAGTTATGTTTCACAATCAATAGACCCGGACTTTCTAGATAAATTATGGGGAAATTATGTGATAAATCAGTATTGAGATCATAAAATTCATATTTTTAGTTAGCTTATTATTAATTTGATACTTCTTTGTAAAATGTCAAATGCCTACTCGAATTCTCTTAAACTACAATAGTGTCATCTCCAACGAAACTACATCTATATACTGAATTCTGCACTCTTATTTTGTTGAGTACATTCCAATCACCTAATTTTTTTTCCCAAATAAAAATTTGTTTATCATAACTACAAGAAATAAATTTCTACTTTTCTTTAATTTAATAATCCAATTAATACACTGTGTTATTATGAGAAAAATTTAGCAAATATTTACTTTTTTATTCGAGTATTTAAATTCTCTTATGTTCTTAAGATTCTATATTAATTATAGTTTTCATATCTGCATTATTGATGCAAAATAGATCATTACCTGAAGCTGATATTAAATCTTCGTTATTTGAAGTAAAGATGATACTGTAGATGGGATTTTCGTATATAATCTCTGCTTTTAGTTGGTACTCTTTTTTTTTTGTCTCACATTCTACATAAATATTCATTCGCTTGTCATATGTGCCTCCTGCTACTAAATATTTATTATCTTCGCTAAAAACAACACTAGCGATATTATGAGTAAAATGTTTAAAACACTATCTTTCAATTACTTTCTTCTTTTCCATTACTAGTTCATAGATTCTCAGTTAATTTTCTAATGCCATAGCAATCATTTAAGTATCATCACATTAACCCAAACTCATAGCTGTACAAACCCTGCCTTGCACATTAAAATTATATGTAGGCTCATAATTAGTCATATCGTTTTAAAGTTGCTTAAAACAAGTTTTTAACTTATCGGAATAGAATTCTTGCACGTTAATGAGTTACTTAATTGGATAAATTAGTTGTTTATATTAAGATTTCAGATCAAACTGGTCAAAGACATTTGAACAAACTTTGTGACAAACACTCTCAAATTGACTCAGAGATTGAGATTCTAAAGGATTATTAAAGATGGAGAAATATTCATGGATTTAATGCTTCACTTTTTGAACCTCATTAATGATTAATTGGACAGTAGAATTAAACTGATCCTTATAATTGTTTAACATTAATTCCAAAGGGTTAGAAAATTTCTCAAATTCTTCTAAATTATCTTTTTCCTTTCCTTCTACTACTCCTATTTTTTCATTAAGCACGTTTAAGAAATCATCAATGTGAATGAGATCTCCACCACTTTTTGTACATTTTTCACATCGCACTCTTGCACCCATTTTTATATTTTAACTGCGATCTATATGTATGATCTTGTATTAATGTTCTGAACATTTAAGCTCCTTAATTTCTTAGAGAAATTACATGTAATAATTATTTAAAAAAATCACAACATTTATAATTAAAACTTCAATTAAAATCCTTAAGAATTTTAATAAATATAGTATTTTCATTCCTCATTCCTTTTAAATAAACCTTGAATTTCCATACACATCGTTACTCTTCAAAATCTCACATCATAAATTGTTTTTAAAGTACATATTAGTAGATTAAAATACTCACTACAATTGAGTGACAGATAGTGTTTTTGGAATGATTGACCAAATATAAATGGAAGAATGATGTCTAATCTTATATATAATATATAAACTCTTACTTTTTTAAGTAATCTAAAGTATAACGTTTATAATTGCAAATCTAATTTTATTACTCCTATAATTATAATAAGTTAAAAGTATACATGCTAAGAAAACATCACTTAAATATAGAAAAAGGGAGGAATCAAAAACAATATACAACTGATAAATTTTCAGATTTTATCCCATTTGTAATCATGGGTACTCAAATAATATCAATAGATTCAAGTCTTCATAAGGCAGAATTTTTAACTAATAGTAATTTCTAAACAAAAAATTCAATAATTAATAATTGTATAAAGTGGAATAACAAAATTAATATAGTTTATTATTTCATGTAGAAGGCTCTGTCTAAAGTATACTATGCCTTATTCTTGGCCAAAAATCACTCGGGCTACCTTGTGGTTGTATTTCTCAAGAGATTATATTTTTTATATAATGTATTCTTTTTGGAAGATTTCTAGAAAGTCTTATAAAATTTAATTTTGTTCCTCCCAATTTCTATTGATTGATTTTATTTTTGGCTATCGTTATAAGATTTTTCAAGTAAAGAACAAAAGGTTTGGAATTCAAAATTTGAAAAGAGGTATTATGGACAACTCATTAATTAGAAACCAATAATATATTATGTGGATGCAAAAAACTATATTAAAGTGAATCAATCACATATTTTCCCACTCAATAGTTTGATTAGGGGGTGAGTTTGCTAGCAGTTTGATTCAACTTACTTTTGAAGGTCTATTTCAGAAATAACCACAATAAATATATATATATAGGGATTAAAGATAAATGAGGTATGTTGATACGAGTAGATTACAACTATGGAAAGAATCTCAAAGTATTTCACATAGGTAATGATGTAATAATATATGATGAATCATTTCTGATTTCATATTGAAAATTTATTTTAGAAGTGATTTGGCTTCCTCCAATACTTGATATTATTGTTAGTGAGCTCTTGCACATAATCAAGGGAGCGCTACGGCATTAATTGGAGGAATTGATGTTTGATTTCTTTTAGATGACATTTGTTCTATGATAAACAATGATCGATTTGGCTGCTGGGTAGTTTATATTGAGACTTTTGGCTGCCTTTTGTCAAATAAGAACAAATATCTTACATGTTTAATTTTAAATCCCTTAATAAATACCAATTGCAGAAGAGTCCTTCTCTAAAAGGATGATACTTTTTAATATGGTCTGGAAGCAATAAAAAGTTATTTCATTAATTATTAAATCCCAATTAAGATATTATCAAAAATTATTTATAGAATTTATGGATGAGAAGACACAGTAATTATAGCTTTATTAAAAATAATTTTAATATCCTTTCATGTTAATTTTGAATTTTTTTAATTATCCCTTCAAGCAAAACTTAGTTTATTAAATATATCATATTTAATTATTTTCAGTGATTTTTAATATATTTATTTTTAATTTATATATAAATAATTATGTAAACTTTGCCAATCAGAATTTTGAATCAACAAAAATCAATTTAGAGTGGATACTTATAATTGTGTTGATTATCTTAAAAGTCATTAGAGAAGTTTGTAATATATCAGAATAAATAGGATTAATGATTGTCTATCCCCTTAACTTCAGATATAATCCATTCATCTTAGTTTTCTAGTTGTCTATATTCCTTGAAATGATTTCATTAATTTCTAATTTAGCTATTTTAAATATTTTTGTCTACACATAAATAAATTACATTTTAGATCAATCGCATCAAAATGTGATTCTAGTTTCTTTTATAAATAAAAATCATAGGATTAGGTTTTAGTAAAGAAAAATAAGGATTTAGAATAATTATTGATTATTTATAATTAATTTACATAAATAATTAAAAAGTTTGATATTTCAGCAAGACAATAAAATTTCAATTGCAATTTACACATTACGAATTCATTCTTAATTGGAATTGGGAGATCAAAATGATGAAAGTGAAATTTCAAAAAAAATATAAGATCACTAATTATAAACTTTTTATTGTAACATATTAAACCTGATTAATTAAAATTCATATTTCTTTTTATAAATTAATGAGAATGTTTAATAATTTCCTCATTCACTAATTCCACTTAAACAAATCCATTTTCTGATGATTTCCACTCAAATCTTACAGTAATGTTGCTTAAAGTTTAGACAATGTTAATAAAAATAATAGAAAATATTACTGATTATAATGATTATTTACTCTTCTTTAGTATAATTGCAGCCTTAAGAGACCCACTTTGGGCTTTTAGGAAGATTCTTAGCAAGGCCAGGTGATAAATAATAAAATCGAATACTATTCTAGGCATAGTAATATTCTGGAAAGATCTAAATATACAGTAATTTAAGATGTTTCTATTTTGTAAAACTTCAAAATCGAATAAACAAGTGATGAACAAGTATTGCTACAACCAAAAGTCACATATAAGAAAATAGTCAATTCAATAGTTAAAATTATATATATATTGACATAGAAATAGAATCATCCTTATTTGATCATAGGGTATTCAAATTAATGTTATTTAACCACTTCTCCACCTATTTTCGATATAATAGTCAATTTGCACTTTTTTAATGAAAGTGGTGCAATCTAACATTCCTATTCCGAATTGTTTGAATGTTTAGACATCATAACATTTTTTCTATGGAAAATCATATATGTTTTGGCTGCGGCATACTTAATATTCAATTATTTAGCTGCCTATTTGTAATTTACGATATAATGTACGTCCTTTATTTTTAATCCAAAAAAGCAAACTAAATTCAAGAGTTTTTTTTTCTAAGCTTCAGATATCTTCGAGTAAGTTCTGGACTTATTTATATTTTTCCTCATTAAATACTCTCGAAAATTTAAATAAAAATTAATTTTTAGCTACTTTTTAATAAATTATCTGATATATAATATCCATTAAAATCTTAATTCAAAAAGAGAATTAATAAATATTATTCCCCAAGTTTCAATTAAATGTCTTTAATTTAAATTATCAATTCTATTTAGTAAGGTAATTCAAACTTTAATAAGATCATTTCTGGAAATTATGAAATTATTGTTTAGACATCCTCATAAAAGAGGGATTAAACACAGATTTAGAGAGATTTAAAATCAAGTGAGAAATGGATTTTTGTAAGTATTTCATTAACCCAAAGAGAATTGAAAAAATATATTGGATTTGAATATGATAAATATATATTTTGATAATTCATAATTTGTTTTTGTAGATTGCTAATCCTCTGGATCTGAGTTCTTATTCCCATTCTCGTGCTTCTTATTCGTAAAGATCTTTGAGCATGCAATTTCTTCTTTTCTTCAATTCTTAATAGGCATTTTCGACTTCTTTAGAATAGCTAGACAAATTAATAGATTGCACGTTACACTTTATTCATGAATTTCAATTCATTGACTTTGTCATATTTAGATTTTGATTCATGCCACCATGTGTTTCTGCTGATTGATTTCAAGTTCTGATCGTACCTTTCTGCCTCTGTATATTATTAATTTAATTTAATATTCCTTTTTATCTATTGCATTGTTAATTGTTATATAAATTAATAATTTAAAAGTCATATTTTTTCCAACTAAATCCACAACATTTCATCTCCAATAGACCATTGCAATCCCTTTTTTCTGTATTGTTGATTCTGGACTTCAAAGAACTCTCCCAATTTCTTGGTGCATTCCTATTCAAGGTCAATCAATTTGGGGGATTTGGTGATGCTAATGATAACTACAATGATGGAAATGAGTGTAGGTAACACAATGAAGATGGTGCCCAGTAAGGTCAAGGTTGATTTCAAATCCTCATAGGAGAAGCCCAATACAAATAGGATGACTCCGACGATGAATAGGACCCAGGAGGAGGTGACTGGGATAATGGATATTGAGACATACCATAAAACTTCTCAGTTTCGAGAGGGTCACTCTCTTCGATTCTACTTTTTTCACATCTGATTTTTTAACAAATGCGATTGGCTTAGAACACTGTTTCAGCAATGGAATCTTCTGAGACTGGCAGATAAGGGAGTTTGGCAGGCAAGGAGAAACCCAATTTGTCAGCGTAGACAGGGACTATGAGGATGTCTTGGGATGAGTTGGGAATACGTGAACGATCAATTTTTTATTTCATTATTTTTATATATTAACTTAATCATGGATTTCTAATTTCTGCAATGTTTGTATTAATCCTTGCTCTTTAATTGTCTTCCTATCCAAATGGGTTTGTGATTTCAGAATGCAATCTATTTCAGCATCATAGTTGCACTTGACTATCTATCCGAAATACACAAACAATTAACTTATTTAATCATTAATATAAATCATTTCTATTTCAAGAGAATAGCGTTTAAAGTTTAAATGTTAAGATTATTATTGAATTAAGGTAGTGAGTTATGAGATTGAAACATTCTTCGGTAATTGAAGTACAATATTACAACTAATAGAAAAGGCTTTCTTCAAAATATCAGATAAACAAGGAGTCATGTCTTTTTCAAGATCGTAAACCTCTTTCTTAAAATAATTCAATCCACCCCTACAAATTATAATACTCATATATACCAAGGTGGACATAGAGTTAGAATGATGTTCTCATCGAATTCATGTTCAATCATTAAAAAATTATTTAATTGAGTCTCTATTGTCCTTTGGTAAATCGCAGCATTCGCTTGTAAATTTTGTAATTTCACAGGATCGAGATCGATGCAAAGTAGATTGTCAAATTTTGAAGCTAATTAAATGGCTAATCCCCCAGAACCACAGAACCCATCAATAACTTATTTTATGGGGATTTTTTGATCAATAATTCTTTTGTGTAATCGTTCAGCAACATAAGAGGCAACTTCTTCAGGTACAACAGAATACCAAGATTCTTCATCTAAAACAATCCCTTCATCAAATTTCTTGAACAAGAAATGTCTCTTATGATAAAATTTTCTTATTTTCTTTTTCAACTAGATTGTGGGAGTAGTCTTTTCGTGATGTGCATTGAATTGCTTCTTGGTGATCATCACAGGCATAGGGAATGAACCATTAATAAGCATCAAAGTATTAAGAGGGAAATATTCAATCAATTGTTAACCCATTAATTATAATTCAACAACTTTGTTTCAGCTTAGGTTAAGATAATCGACCGATGAGACTCCTCTGAGACTGTTGAGTTCTCTTGAACCTTTCTCGTGCAAGTGGTGGCAATTCATACCTGTATTTGGGACTGGAGAAGAATTGATCCGTGCTTCGAAGCATCCTCTTGTAATTTTGCATAGGAGAGTACTTCTCCTACACATTTAATCTACATACAGGAAATCATTCATACAACACATAGGTGTCCCTCCCAGTTCCATCACATTAATAGAATATGCGTTAGGGTACTTCTGAGGCTCTGGATGCAGGACTTGGCATCATGTTCATGCCTGTTCTGTTTTGTTGAGTCGTGAGAAATCTGAATTCAGTGCCGAAATTGCCACCATTGTTGTATGAAATATAAGTGTCTCTTCCGAACCCGTCGTTATTGTAAGAAGTTGGATTTTTTTCAGGTTTTGATCCTTTGTTTAAGATTGGTTGTTTCATAAATTTAATTAATAAGTAATATATCATTATATCATTTTCAGTTTTATGCAATAATTTCCACTACCTTCACTGTTTGCTCGTCAATCTGCACTATCTGAAGTATGGCCTTGATCAGCTAATTCATATAAAGGACTATCAATTACACTCCTGCAAATGGGACACTCCTTGTTCTATTCGAACCACTGCATGGCACAATCACAACACATGCCTCCATGACCACATGGCATATAGACTACACAACTCTATCTTTGGATGCAATTGAAGCACTGTTTCATCGTGGGTTCTTGAACAGCCACTTCAGTGATAGTAGCTTATTTGCTTGTGATAATATTGACCTCAGTCTGATGTCTTCGCATAACCAATTCGTCTGGCAGATAATAAGTGCTTGAAATCTTCACCATCTAGGTTGGATACTCTAGTTGGTTGTTCTTGTGTGTATTCTCTTTTAAGGAGTACACAAACTTTTTCTGACTTCTGGAACTCGGAAAACTCAGGATCTGTCTATCTTGATTCCGATCCTCGTTTATGCGAGCAAAGTAATGCAAATTCAAAATGAATAATGTCAACAATTCTTTGTGATAAATAGTGTACACCATATAAACGACCGTGTAAAACGCACTTACAATTATTGCCAGTAAATAGTTTTTTCTTCCGTCTTCATTTTACAAATACAAACACAAATTTATCATAGTGTAAGTTGGTATCCCAGCAAAACTAAAGAAAAACATCGAGATCCAAACTAACCCCACTATTTTGGTTCCCATCTGCACCTTCACTTCCACGTTGCTGCTGTTAAAATATTTACTCAGTTAAGCAGACAAATTAAATAGAGATATCAATTCCAAAAATATAGCTATCAATAGGAACATCCAGATTATTACAAAGGCATATAGCCAATGAATGGACAACCAATCAATTAGTTTGAGATTGATAAAAGTTATCTATGTTATAAAACACAACTTGGCGAAAACACCCAACTACATTAATTCTAATTTAGGTACCAAATTATATTAGTGTTTCTCCGATTTCCGCTTATGCAATTGCACTCCACTATAAAACATCCAAATTGCATTGTAAAAACATAACAGCATTCCTAAGTATTGTATTTAAAAGCTCTGGTATTCAACAAAGTAAATCAGACAACTCTACATTTATGACCATCGATTACGTAATATGAGATTAGACCAATATTCCATGTCAATTCGAAACAGCAATCAAAATCAGTTTAAGCTCTTCATATTTTACTTAGTATTGTTACATTTTGTGATGAACTATGCATGTTTTTATGAGGTATATCAAGTGCACCACGCTCAAGAACAACAGAGGAACTCTGAAACTCAATCCGAATGTCAATGACGATAAAAACAGAGTAAGAAAGGAATTAAACACTATCACTATCATTAAAGCCTAATTAAGCCAGTATATACAGAAGTTAACCAATTGTAAGCCACTTACATATTGATCAGTGCATCCGATTCGCCCACTTGGCCATCCTATTACAACTCCCAATTGTTTTCTCTTGAAACTTACGATTATTATTAAATCATTATTTATATTATTAATAGAATTGATAATTCAAAACGCCAAACACTATTCAGTACAACCTTACCAATTTCAATTCATTAATACTTGCTCTCATATATTAAATAATAAATTCTTAATTCATATATATATATCGTTATTAAATTTTGAATTTAAATAATAATTAATATTTACATGAATAATTCTCCCTACATTGTCAAAAGGAAGCAGCGAATTGGAGATTGGGTGTGTGGCAATTGCAAAAATCTTAACTTCTCATTCAGAAACGCATGTTTAACTCAAGCTTTATTCATTTTTAGGTAATAGATGCAATAAACCCCCCACTAAAACACCCTCCAAACATTAATACAGAGGATTCCAAACTCTAGTTCTGATCCATTATGAGGAACCAACTGAAAGCATGGATGATCTGCTTGAAAACTAAATCGATCCAAATGTCACATCAAGTCTATTAGTCTTAGGCTTAGATCAATTTTGAATTTGTAATTTTTTCCAAATTTTTCTTTCATAAATTTTCGATATCAATACAATTCTATTTTAAATTGTAAATTAACTCGCTTTATATGTTGCATTCTTGTTTAGAATTCCCACTGATTTAATGAGTTACTCAATGTCGCAAAATAATCTACCTTATACTTCTGTACATGAATGATTACTTCTAGAAAGACAATTATAAATTTAATCTAAAATCACAGCAAATTTACAGATAAATTTAGATTAATCTTGTAAAAATAATAAATATTTCATATTAATTTATACTTCTTTAAATTGATGCTAATTATTTTATATAGAATATTTGATATAAAATTTTGGTTTCTGTTGCTTAAAGATTAACTTGGATCTTTATCTTCGAGATTTTATAATGGATATAAGAAATGGAATTGATTGATTCATTTAATTTGAGCTTACACTATGTGATTTTACTATTATAGCAAATGAATACTAATAGCAAATGTTCACATGTATGAATTCTAAAAAATAAAACTTATTTATAAAACACTGTTAAATTCTTTCACTATTTTTTATGCGCAGCTTTTTTCTTTGTCTTATTCTTTTTCTCCTTTATTAATTAGTCAATTTTATTCAGATGATTGTTGTTATCAGAATTCTTCTCCTCAAGCTTGCCCTCTATTTTATAAGAATAAGGATCGATGTTGATTAAATGTCTTTTTCTATCATTCAATATTTGGGTTCTATCTTTTTTCAACACAACCTAAGTGCCAATAATATGTTCATCAATCACATCAATCTTATTATTGTATTCATCTATGAGGACCCCATCTTGTGATGTATTGACATTGAAAAAATCAAAGTTATTATTGATATAGATGAGGCCTTGTTAAATGGAAGATTTGAATTTTTCTAAAGCTTTTTCATAATTCTTGAGTTTTTTATTGTTGTTGCCAAAGCTAAATGCAATATATTCTTCATCACACTCAATCTCATTGAAATCTTATAAGTTAATTATTTATCCATTATCCATCCCTGATGCTGCTAATTTTTTATTTGTAATTTCGATATATAAATAAAATCATTTATCAAGAGATAATTTATATTCATACCAACATTCATAAGGAAGAGATGAAACAAAATAAAGAGGATACAGTATAATTTAGAATGTGTCTTTTTTGTTAATCCTTTAGAGATATTACAAAAATAATTAATATATTTTACCATTACTTCTTAAGAATCTCAATTTAGAACAGTCCCTTTAGTCTATGCAAAAGTCTCTAATAAGGTTCCTCTCAAATTTTCAATAGTTCTCTGATTTGTTGTTCAAATTTTAACTTTTACTTTTTTAACTTTATAATCCCATTCTGATGCTATAAGAAATTCCCAAGAAAATGCAAATTTAAGATGTGTCTCCTTTTACTAGAAAGAGGCATATTATTATTTTATATTATTCTCTTAAATAAAACAGCCTTTTCTAAAGAAATACTGTAGTTATACAAAAAAGTATAAATTGAGCAAATTGCAAAGCAGAATTTCAACTGACTTAGTTCAAATAAGGAATTCATAAAATTATTATATATATTATACAGAATTTATTATTTGTGCAATGCAGTTAAAATTTTCAGAAACAGATGGATTTGTATATGATTTGTTGCATTTCTTATGGTTAAAGGACCCAATTTCAAAAGTAAAGTCTACGTAATTAATAGAAAGCACCATTGATAAACATACCGTATACTCTGTAAATAAAGGCAGGATATGTGAAGTTTTGGTATTTCAGCAAGCAAGGAGTGATTTATAGAAAGAGCAAGGAGAAATTGGATCCAGATTACTTGAAAGAGGTATTCCATTCGGAGAGTACAAATAAAATTGAAGCAGTGTGGATTTTCAAAGAAAATGAGAAACTTAAATTTCATTACATGAATAAGATGGAAGTCGGTCATTTTATTGAGAAACTGGATTACTAGGCTGATGGTGTCTTATAAGGGTTTGTATGCCCTAAAAGGGAATGTAATAGCACAATTAAATGTATTTGGTAAAAGAGTAGTTGCATTTTCGAGTAAATTTATAATATCAACAAAATGACAAACACTTCATTACATCCAAATCAAAGAATTACAACTTTTGAGACAGATGGTGGTCCAACAATAAGCACTACGTATAATGTATATGCAATATCATAGATTGAACTCAAATGTGTTGGCTAAAACCTTAGAATTGACTTGCCAAGAAATTCAACAGCATATTTGTAATGTGACTTTTGAGAAGATTAATATCTCTTTAATGGAATTGTACTTTAGATAAGGGGTAGATGGGCAAATCTATTTATTGTTCTGTTCGAAAGTGATAACCAAAAGTTAAAGTAGAAGTAATAGTAATGTGAAGTTGTCTCTGAAAGTGCCATTACCTAAAGGGCCTAATAGAATTGAATTTACAAATCAAAGATGCGTTGGTTGTAAAGTAATTCAAAATGTTAATTTGTTCGAAGAGGTAAATGTTGAAAGTGAGTATTCCTTAGATTTCCATACGGGAGATCATTGAGAGTTGGGATAGACATCATGAAATCAAATATAAACAGGATCCTCCAATAATAGAGATGGATAAGGATTGTTTGGTTCCAAAAATACTCAGATTCATCTATCCCAATTTGGATTTCAATCACTATCAAGGTTTGAAATAGAATGTGCCATTCATATGTTAAAAGATTAAGTTATGTTTGAAGTGCTACAAGAATGTGAATGATAATAAGTCTAGATTTTCTACAGCCACATACTCAATACAGAAAAGAATTATGATGAGATAGAAGTCTTCTCAGAGTACCTTTTAGTATGATACACAATCGATAAAGAAGAGTTAGCACAGTCAAGAATCATTTATATAAAATACCTAAAGTCAAACTAAAACTAATAGTACTCATAAAAGGAGCACATAAAATACATCGTATATGTTAAAATATAGATGTAATACTTAACTTAACTTCAATTAATCTATAAGTTAGATATTTAGAAATGAATAAAGTTAATGAAATCTAAACACAATATATCATTAATATTATATTATTACAATTTTCATATTATTTTTGAAACTTTTTAAGTTAGAATTCTCAATTTCAATTTCAATTCAAAATTTATGCTCACTTCTAATTGGTTCCTTAATCAAACTCCTTCAATTGAACATTCAATCAATATGGGTTAGATCTCTCTTGAATCCTTCATCTTCAATAATAATTATTATTCACAATATTATGAATTAAAATTCATTTGGTTTTGATATTTATAAAAATTGTATAATTTTCGATGTAAGTGATAAATAATTGAAATAATATAAATTATGTATAAATTAAATACAATCCAAGGGCATTAATTTTTCGATTTTCAGGCTCCCTTGAATTACTTTTCAAAAAGGAAACTCTTTCAACTGGCCAATGAAATTAAACCAAGAAAAAGGGATTCTCGAGGAAAAATAGTTATTTCTTCATCTGTTCCAAAAGGTTTTTGGTTCAGAGATTACGATGCGGTGAGAACAGTCAGTAAAAGGTTGAAAGAAAGTCGTCCCAATAACCACAGAATACAGAATCCCATATATTTCAAGAGAGTAGACATATAAGCATATTTACAAAACTACACCATAAGAGCGTGCACTCCCAATCCATCTAGAAAATGGAGAAAATATCGTAATTTATTATTGGAGAACAATTATCATATTAGAGAGTAAATAAAATAAAAATTTTAAGAGAGTCTTAACTTATTGCTTCCTAATAGCTAGCTTTCACCTCCCAAGAGCAAGCGTAGCTCATTCATGAACTCACATCAACAACAATGCTTGCTTGAAATTCGCACAAGTCAGCATCTAAAATTGAAAAATATAAGTAGACAGCCCTCCAAAAGGAAGGATGACAGCATGAGATCTTTGGATAGGCATTTCCAAGATATCAATTGTGCACAAAGCAATTTCAATCATTCCTTTGTTTAAGATAAATTCATATCATCCAATCAAATCACTCCCAGAAACAGGTTCTTCAAAGACTCCTTCAGGTTATATGGAATAGATGCTTAAGTATAGGCACCAAAAAACAAATTGATTTTTACTGACTCTGTTCAGTTGGTGGAATCTTAGGAGACTAGATGTGATAAAATTGATGGAATTTAAAGTGATCGCGATAGATCAACCTAAAAGTAGAACACTTTATTAAATTTAATTAAAAAACAAAGAAAAAAGAATCCACAAACTAAAGTAGTCTCTCCGAAGTATCCTAAATTAAACACTTCAAATCCAAAAGATGACAGGATTGTCAATATCTATTTTCCATCTCTCAAAAAAATCAATGTAAGAGATCATTCTTGATTGTATATACATACTTTAATATTATTAAAATATATTTCTTAAATTAATCAACTAGCTACAGTTAATGAAATAATCACAATACTAACACCAAACTCAAAAACTAACCTAAAACCAAATGGGATACTCGCCTACTACCTAAAAGAGTACGATTATCCAATTAATATCTTAGCATTGCCGAATTTTAATCAGTTCAATGATGAAATTTAACATAGGATAAAACTCAAATATCAAGAATTAGGATTTAAGTAGCCTTTGTATCCACAATAAACCTAAGTGTTATCATCAGAGAAAGGGATCTACAATTTTAGAAAAGTGTTTGATCCAGTAAGAGACGGTCGGCCTGAATTCTAACTGGATCCAAGTAACAATATCATTCTTATTCTTGAGAGTACTTGGATCAACTCTAAGATTACAAGAAAAAGTATTTAGCTCCAAGTAGAAATTATGATTTGTAATACAGAAATCCTGCTTTGAAAATTAAGAATCATGACTTCTATTTTTAAGATTTCTACTTGAATCTTTATGAATAGGATAAGGAGGAGATCTATTTTAATAAATATGGAAAGAAGTTTGTTTATCAAGAATGATTTATATAAAATAATAATAATAATAGAATTCAACTTTTAAAGATATCTAATTACAATAGCTAAATGATAGGTCATTATAAAATACTTCTTTTGCTGTTGCTCTTTGATAGGGATCAATCACAAAAATACGTGAAAATAGTTTTTGTATATCACGATCTTGATTTGTTATATTGGATTCATTGTTTCTTATTTTCTTAAACAATTCTCTTTCGTTTTCTCCTTTGAAAGGGAAACTCCCTTATAAGAGAGTAACAAGCAGAACTCCAGTAGCCCATATGTCTGCTGCTCTCCCATCATATTTCAACTTAGAGACAACTTCAGGTGCCATATAACTAGGCGTACCACAATGGCAAGATATAGATTGATTAGTAAATGTACTGAAACCGAAATCAATGAGTTTGATTCGTTTATTTTGTATTAGGATATTTTCTAGTTTGATATCTCTGTGACATACATTCCTATCGTGGACATAATGTAAGATTTTGAGTAACTAATGTATGATGTTAAGTGCAAGTTCTTTGGGTAGGGTTCTTGTGGGAGTTGATTTGAGGAGTTGATACAGAGACTCAGTGCCGCAATATTCCATCACTAGATTGATGTAAGTAGTGTAATGATAGACATCATATAATTTGGTGATTTGATCGTGAGATAGAATTCTGAGAGTGTTGATTTCTTTGATTAGGTTATTGAACCTTTCCCCTTTGAGCAATGCCTTGTCATACATTTTGATGGCGACTTTATTGCCTTGGCGATCAGTTCCCATTTTGACGATGGCATAACTGCCCTTTCCAATTATGGGTCCAATAGAATAAATCTTTTCATCACAAGTGGAGGGTATCTATTTATACAGGGAGTCTTGGTGATTGGTGGAGTCCTTGGCACTCAGATTGCCTTGGATTCTCTTCCTCTGTATTTTGGAAGATAGTCTTAATTGTTGTAGATTGTTGTTATTGGTTGCGGCATTGCATTGTTGGCTTTCCTTGGTACTGAGATAGCGTTGTTCATTTTTGGTGTTGAAGGTGTCTTCAAACTTGGTTAATTCTCGGCCTCGACTGGGAGTTCTGATTTTGAAGTAGGTGGTGAGATTGTTGAGTCTGAAGTTGGTTAATCTGAATGGAGGGGGTTTGGAGGAGTTGTCGGGGAGGTTTTCTTTGTTTTCGATAGATCGAAGACCCTCTCTGGGGGGTTTGCGAATATTCATGAATCGGTTAATATTTAAATATAAATTGGGAGTACATTATAAAAATAATAGTTATGGGCAAATGAATTATGTATGAATATCACATTTGCGGTCGGAAAATAAATAACATTATATAGAGAGCATATGATGATAATTATATTAATAATGCGTCAGTGATTAAATAATAAGAAGAAGTGTTTATAGGGGAGAGAGAGTCATTAAATATGATAAGAATTCAATAACTGGGATAGCAATTGAATGCAACCAAGTCAACATTGACAATTCAGGATTCGAGATCAGGAAAGAAATACGAAATCCCCATTTCTAATAATTTCATTAAGGCAAGCGATCTCGAGAAGATAAAAGACGACAAAGGTTCAATCATTCGTTCTTATGATCCTGGTTATATGAACACAGTTAATTGCGTACATTTTGCATTCATACAAGACCTCCAAAATTAGTTTCATAGACGGAGACAATGGAATCCTCGAATATCGAGGCTATCCCATTGAGTAATTGGCTGAAAAAAGCAATTATTTGGAAGTGGCTTTTCTACTCATCTATGGTGAATTGCCAACTCAATTGCAATATGATAAATGGTGTAAAAAGTATGCAATTCTTTATTATTTAATTTCAGAATCCAAACTCACACATTTGTCCACCAAGATCTGTATGGCCTCTTGTCCCAATTCAGATACGATGCTCACCCAATGGGAATGGTTATCAGTTCATTATCAGCTGTGAGTACTCTGCATCCAGAAGCTAATCCAGCACTCTCAGGACAGAATATCTACGCAGTATATTATATAATCGAATTTAAGGATTAAAAATCTAGGAACAAACAAATTCACAGAATGATTGGATCCATCACAACCATCACAGCCCTTGCATACAGAAACAGAATCGGAAGACAACCAAATCAACCTCATTAACAATTAGGATATGTCGAAAATTTCTTATATATGATGGATAGACTCAATGAATCCAGTTACAAACCACATCCAACTATTGCAAAAGTCTTAGACATTCTATTCATCTTGCATGCTGAACACGAATTGAATTGCTCCACCTCTGCAGTTAGACATCTCACTTCAAGCGGAGTCGATATCTACACAGCTATTGCTGGAGCTGCAGCTGCACTCTATGGTCCTAAACACGGTGGTGCCAATGAGGCAGTCTTGAGAATGCTTGAAAAAATTGGATCCAAGCAAAACATTCCATAATTCATTGAAAATGTGAAGAACAAGAAAGCTCTACTCTTTGGATTTGGTCATAGAGTTTATAAATCATATGATCCAAGAGCTAAGATTGTTAAGTAATTAGCATACTAAGTTTTTGATTTGGTTGGCAAGGATCCATTGATTGAAATTGCATTGGAATTAGAAAACATAGCTTTAAATGATAAGTACTTTAAAGATAGATCACTCTATCCAAATGTTGATTTCTATACTGGAATCATTTATAAGGTAATTTATGTAAGCAATTCTATTTTAGGCTCTTGGATTTCCTACTGATATGTTTCCTTTGTTATTTGCTATTCCAAGAATATCTGGATGGCTTGCTCATTGGTGTGAGTTCCTTGATGACCCTGAGAATAAAATTGTTAGACCAAGATAAAATTATCAAGGATACTAACCAAGAGAATATGTCCCCATCGACTAAAGAAAAGAGACAGATGCCTATATTCATGCACCCTCAACCTCCTTTTCAACAAGAAGAAATGTTTCTGTTTAAAAATGAATATGAGTATGAATATGATTACGAAATTAAATTATTTATATCTTTTGTTTTTTTTTGTTATATTATCTTCATTTTATAGTTATCCAAAGCACTTAATTAAAATTTATATAAATTATGAAGTGCAAAATTTAATCTTTACATAGTAGGAATTTCCTTTCTATTTTTATGGTTGTATCAAATTTTTATCTATCAAAGGAGCGGAGTTAGACAATGATTAAAATATATAACTCTTTTTTAGTTTATAAATTGAAACAACTTAATTAATTAATCATGACGAGAACCTCAACATAGCAGTCCTTATATAATAATGGGTTTGAAATAGATAGTTTTAATTTAATCGATTTTGGGTGAGGGTTTAGTTTAAATAGATAATTATTCAAATTGATGATTCATAGAATCAGATTTGTAGGGTCGGAATGCTGATTTGTTGGGCACTTGGAATATAGAAATTGATATTTACATAAATTGGCATAGAAGGCAGTAGGTTGTTCTTCTTTTTCTGAGTCATCGTAAATTTGAGTCATTTTGCGTGATTGTTTTTGTAGTTGTTTTTTGAGTTTGATGTGCTTAAATGAATCTGCGTTGGAGTTGGAGTGAGTTTGTGATTAAATTAAGTTCGACTAATTGTTAAATTTAAATTTGTACATTTAGAAGCACTTCTTTTTTGATTGCATAAATTAGTTTCTTGAGTTGTTTGAGTACTGGATTTGTGGGAGCAAAGGGGTAATTCCTGAGAATGGAAGGTTTTCTCATGATTAGAAATTGGTAGGTGGTGTAAATGATCTTGGCTCCATTCTGTTCTTACATAACTTGTTAGGGTGTGATACGTTTGAGCAGAGATTTCAACTAAGAGTATAATTGGTGTGTTTACCTCTTCAATCAGTTGGTCTTCATTCTTTTGCATAATTAATTGCGAGAGTATTCGTTAGAATTCAATGTTATAAGAGACTTGAGGTGTTTTTGCTGCCGATTTGATTGTCTTGATTGCCTTGATTTGTTGCTCATTGAGGTAGAGTCTTGAAATTAATGAAAGTGATTACTTCTCGTTATTTGATGTTTGAACTACATATTGAATAGGCGTTCTATTTGTAAATATGGTGGTGATCTAAGATATAGATTTGATGCATTTACGACTCCATTATCCCAAGAGGATGAGGTGTGACATGATTGGAATTGGATGGACTGATTTATTTCGAACTGTGGTTCCATTGGATTTTGAATTTGAATAGTAAAATAATTAATATTTTAATAACGATTTTTATAAAATATTTTAGTTTGCATGAAATTAGCAAGTCCAACTTTTCATTTGAGTCAAGAGAACAATGCCGAATTGGCTGAAATCGGCCAATGTCTGAAATACACCCCCTACATGATTGATTCCAATGTATTAGATAGAAATGGAATATTAATAGATGATTCTAACATCTCCCTTGCATTAAACCCTAAGTAGTTCAACTATCACTTTGGATCAAGTACTGCCTGCAAGATTGGAGAAGTAAACCCTACCATTCTTACACTAGCTACATGATGACAACCATCGAACAAGATTAAAATCTCCCGGATTACATTTCAAATTTGTCACTCTATGAGATCCTCAATCAAATTCGCTATGATCAAATACTTCAATTTGCCAAGCCTCTGGGTATTGATATGCAAATAGTTTAAGCTTAGTGATCGAACAACAGGAGTAGAAATAATTCCAAATAATCAACACGCAATCTAATAAGCAAATTGGGTTCCAACAAGTAACAATCTTCTTCATTAGTATAGAAAAAGACAGATGGACTACTTTCCAATTAGATTTTCAATAGCAAAATCAACAACACCAGATCAATTAGTCCATAACCAATGAGTACAATCATCAACAAGACTCAATCCAAAACACTATCACAAAATCCCTTCATCCAAGCAGAATCTCAATTCATGAATGATTAATTTATGAACATCAACCCCAATCTGTCCAACATGAGCAGCAATAGCATATTGAATGATACACCTTAAAGCAATTAACATCATCAATTGAATAAATGGACTGACAAATCTAAAGAAAAGATTCTATTCTAAGATAATTACATGATAGAAGAAGAAACCACAAAACAAGTTAAACAAAATACAATAATAATTAAGAAAAGTGAGGATCCTTAATTTTTTTAGCAATTGAAAAACGCTAGAGTTGCATCTCCAGCCATAAGATAAGTTAAAGGATCAGGTTTATCACCAGAACCTTATAATTAGAGTAAGTCCAAATCTCCAGAAGTAATATAGGTGAATATGACCAACCACTATAAAAAAACGGAAGGAGGTCAAAATATGAAGTAGTAACCTTAATAATAACAATAACAATAATAATAACAATAACAACAAGCAATAAAAAAACTGCCTGAGTAATTTAAGAAGTTACTGACTGAAAGTACTAAAAGATAAAATGTAACTAAAGCATTTGACTAAAATAATACCAAATTTGCTCTTATTTCATCTGGTACAACTACGCAATAGAAATATCCGAAACAAACAAAATAATTCGCATTCCAAGATTCTCTCAATGATAATCAAATGAAGGTTGTTCAAAGTGAAAAGTAATTCACTCCACGAGTAAATGAATAAGAACAAATCAATTAGGACTTTTAGATGATGCTTAGTGAGTAATAGTAATCACTCCCAAGAAGCAAGAGTTAAAATAAAAAATAGGATGAGAAATAGAATGACAATATTCACTAATAGCATCAAAATTTTAAAGATCAATTCTCCTTTAAAGCCTAATAGTATAGGTAGGAATAGCCTCAACAAATCATCTAATAACAAGTTGTGGAATCAAGATCGATTAGAGGAATTTCACCCCAAAATAGGTCCATTCAATAGCAATTTAAGCAACAATCTACACTCATCCAATAACCTCCAGTACCACCTAATCAACAGAAGGAACCAATACAGATAAAATTGGACATCAAGTAATTCATGAGCTCGAACAGACCGAAGGATCAATAGCGATCCATAAGTCCAATTTATAGTTAGAGATAACAAATAGGTATTGATTTAAATGTAAATTTAGGAGTGACTAATGAAAACGGGAGATCGTATTTTGTCAATTTGAATTTTTAGAAGTGAATGATTAATTAATTATAAATGAATTCAAATAATGTCACTTACTTCTTTTTGAAAGATAGGAAATAGTAGTTTTTTGGTGGGGACATCAATTATTGAAATTTCGTGCATATAAAATTGCACAATTAATTATTTATATAAAAAGATGTTTTCTAAATAAATTCAATATACCCAGTCTTAAAAGACTAGTGATTCCGGCTTATCTACTCAGTAGTTTAACCAGAGGGCTTTTCGATATGAAAATTAATCATCAGTTAAAGCGCCGTGGTAGAAACTTAAGTCAAATGAAACTGACAATGATCAAATATCAAGACGTGATAGAGCTGTTAAATCAGTAGTAATGAATGGTTATTATCTATTAGACTGTCTTATAAGAAATATTTAATTGCAACAATCAAACGAAACTGATAAAATTGGTTAGTTCATTTCTACAGTCAGAACAGCAATTAACTTAAATTAGTGAACAATTGGACAAGCAGCAAATAGTTTCACTCTTCTTGAAAATTCATCAGATGCAAAGTCCATAACTTGTGTAGTTTTTACATTTACTATATGATTCTCTTTTTTCCTTAGACTCATCAATTAGTTCTAAGATTTACACCCATCAAGATGTTCTTAAATACATCCTCCTGTCAAACTACGAATCAATCCAAGGACAAGCAGGTCAGCTGACCAGAATACTTGAAATTTTATCCGAGATGTAGATCCTCAATCCAGATTTCCTTGCATTCGAGGAGGAATTTCAAGTTGATCTGGAAGATGTAAAAAAGCAATACATAACTATATAGATTTCTAATTCATTCAACCAAGTGTAACTGCGAATCCTATTTTTGGTAAGTTCGATTGATATACTAAGAGCTTTGAAAGGTTCAGTAGCCTTGTTTGAACGATTAGAATAGTTTGTGTTTTCATAGATCAAGAACAGTCAGTTGCAAAGCATTGGTGATATGCAGACTCTTGTGATCGCCTACATTCTCCTAAGTGAACAGTTGGATATAGCAAATAAACTGGGCTATTCAAAGTAAGCCATAGAGACCATAGGAAAGTCTTAAGATTATTCGATCTACGAATTAAAAAGAAGATTTATTAATAATGCAATGAAGTTATCATAAAAATATCTGGGTCCCGAAGTCTACGATCAAATTTCTAGTATGAACAGATCATTTAGTCCTGGATTCAATAGATAATCAATGCCTCATTTCAATCAATAAGAAAACATATCCTATTAGTTTCTACTTAATAATTTGAAAATGAATTATGTTCTAAACAACGATGAAAACTTTTAGATTGATTCTAAATGCAATAATTTATTGACTAGTCCCCTTATCTATTAATTGTTGGACAAGTAATTTAATTATCAATATTTAAAGACTAGTGCCATAACTAGCCAAGAAAGAGAAAGTGAATTCAATGTTTACTGAGTAAAGTCAAGTGGAAAAGAAGAGTTAGCCAATTATTGTAAAGAAACAATTCTCCATTAAATAATTGAAGCAAGAGAATGTTTCCTAATCTCAAACTCAAAATTAAGTGTCCACTCCTTCTTAGAAATAGGTATATATCTTTAATTAATTCAGATGTCTTAAACCTAAGGATTTCAATCTACTCAAATTAAATAATAACCCAATATCAGTAAACCAGGTTTGGATTCCAATGAATTCGAAATCCTATAAAATAAATTAGGTCGTCAATAACAAGAATTGGAAGAATTAAAATAATTGTATACTACTAATATGGCTTTAAAAAAAAATGAACTCAATTAAACTAATCAATAAAATTAACAAAATGATTCATTAAAGAAAAAAATAGAACTCTTGGAGAACAATTTAGTGTCACTGAAGAATGAGAATACTACTTACAAGAAGGAAAAAGATCAAAAGTAAAGTGAAGTCAATGAATTAAGATCTTTCATCTAAGATTTGCAAGAGAAACAATTGAAACTAGAAAAATTAGTCCAATAATAATAATAACAATATCAATAACAATAACAATAATAATTATTGTAATTACAACTACAATAGCAATAGTAATAGGCTTCCCCATAATAATTACCCAATCCGAATCCTGCCTAATAATATTTGAAAACACAATAGAGCAGTTATTCAACAAAAGCCAATACTCAAACGCAAATGAATATTTAAATTCCCAATAACAACGATGATAAAAACAGACTCTTTGTGAGAGCCTAAAGTTAAATGAGTCATTCTCCTGGAGAGGAATTTAAAAATGAAATGGATGATACTAGTCCTAGAATTATTAAACAGAATTAAGCCTATTTGCTCTAATTATTAGACATGCTAGATTTGAATACATCTTTCACCAAGACTTATACCAAATTTCATTCAAATAATGAAAACAATTCTTGGGAAAGTGATGTATCAATAGTCCACAACTTCAAACTTGAAGGTTTAATAACTGATTCAAATGAAGGGAAAGTGCTGATGCTTAAGGCTTATAATCAATAAAATGTTTTGTGTTCAGAATCAATATCATTTGATCTCTTGAAAAGTCTTCTTGGCTATGTGGATTTCCAGGACACTCTGCCAACTAATCTCCCAAACATTAGTACAACTCATTAGTTCTTCAAATTTCTAATATTGCCTTACACTGCAATTGTTCATGATGAGAATACTTAGCAATATAAGATTTAGTTGTGGCCCAAACCTTACGGATTATTGAATGGCTTAAACTTAAAGATAGATTTCTTAGATCTCAGTTGTTTAGTGTATATTCATCATTTGGAAACTGATTAATTTAGAATTATAATATTCGATCCTGCAAGTTATGATTGTTTCAAATTGGATTTAGAAATGGATTATTCTTCAATTGATACATTCTTTGTGGATGCCAAATCTATTAAGGATGAATTCAATTATTATTGTAAGAGCAATCTATTGAAGTTGACTGAGAAAACTCCTAAATTTGGAGATGATGATGTGGCTGAGGCTTTAGTGGAGAGACATTTTTCAAAGGACAAAGTAAAGGCAGTCTAAGCAGAAATAAAATAAAATTAATCTTATGGTCAAGAAAATCTAGTATTAAAACAACCAGTTGAATTTCTGAAATTCATCAAATCAATTGTTTAAGTCTTTGAACAATAACTTAAATCACAATAAATTACTTTTCCTAATTGTTTACTTGGCATGAAGTATTTCAGATGCAAGACTTGGAATGCTGGCACTAAAAGTTAAATACAAATTGTCAAAGAACAATTAGATCAATAATAAATTTCCATTTATTTGGCTAATTGTTTTGAATCTTTTGGTCCAAAAAAATCTAAAATTAAAGCCAAAGGAAGCACTCACATAAATTTCTCAGCGATTCAAAGGGAGTTTGCTGTCTCTTATGATAAACTACAGATCGAGGAAAGGGCGACCATCTTATAGACTATTTTATATTCATTCAACCTGAATATTTTTGAAAAAGTCTGTGAATAGGATGAATAACAATTTGATAAGAATCCCATCATATAAAGTATTTATGATTGTGGCTCTTATCGAAGGTATTATTATTTCTTATAATATGATAGAGTTATTGCCTTTGATAATGGCAAAATCGCTTAGGTGACGATCTAAGTTATTGGATCAAACAGAAGAATGTGTGGTATCAGATTTTCAGTTTTTAATGTTGATGAAACCATCGAGAATGGAGTGTTCCTACCAGTTTCATAAAGTGAATGGGATACTAGAGCGATGGAAAAATAAAAGATTAAAGCCTCTGTTCAAAATGTTCCATTTGCAGAATATTTGTTAACTTAAATTCTAAAATGTCCAACAACGTAGACTGTATAATATTTAATTTGAATTCTAGATTTTGTTTAAGAAGATTTTGAATGCTGATTTCAAGTCAAATTAAATTAATAGTAATGAAATCAAGAAGAGAAAGACCTTTATTGAAAGGGTAGATAATCTATTAACTTGGCAAGAAGTCATTGCACATTTATGAGTATTAGATTAATTAATATCAATTCTATAATACTAGTTATTTTAACATTTATTCCTTGAAAATATTTGGATTATAAGATTTAATTTCTATCAAATGAGAAATTTAAAAATTTCTTTAATACACAAAGTTAATTATTCACGATTAATCAACCTAATTTTATTATTTTTTAACTATTTTAGAAATCATGCTTCCTTTATTAGCAGATTTAAATTATGAAACAATTGCAGTTTCATTATTATTGTTCTACGAACTCAAAATTTATGAGTTTTAGATATCTAATTTTAATTTATAATTTTCCCTTTAAAAATAATAAAGATAATTACTGTTCAAGTTATTGAATTCTTGATAGTTTTGCTTACAAAGTTTAACTTGAAGTTAATTAATTGGATCTTCTTAAGGATTCCTCTTGTAAATATTTTTTGTTAATTTCTTGTAATTGTGAATGTAGTTTTTGATTCTCTTCATACACTCCAACCTCTTCGTAATTTAATTGATTCTTTAATTTATTAAATTAATCAAGTAGATAATCATATTGTTCCTATAATTCAGTTACTTTCATCACTCTATTCTCAAGATCCTTTTGAAATTTTTTGTTTGATTTCATTAAATCGAGTAATTCATCATTATTCTTCATAAGTTGCAATTGATAATTTTTCACCTGATCTTTTAGATTAGAGATTTCAGATTCCTAATTATTAATTTGTTTTGTAAAAACTAAGATTTAACTTTCATTGACCTTACTCAACTATTTAATTTCATTCTTATCTTCAAATGTCTTTTTCTTAAGTTCATCTATTTCCTTAAGCAAATCTGCTATATTTTAGCTTTGTATTTTTTCAGCATAGTGTTCATGTAATTATAATTGAGCATTTTGTGATTGAGATTTTTGAAATATCGCTAGATGTTTGGATAATTATTGAATCATTTCATCCTTTGATTACAATTATTATTTAAGGTTTTCAATTTAAGAATTTAGATCATGGATTTCAATTTCTTTATTTTATTGAAACTACTCAATTTACTTCTGATAATTTAGATTATATTATTATAATCGATCTGATTCAAGTAAGGAATTTTTGAAATTCGTTTACATTTCTTAATAGTCCAAAGACCTCATATCCAATTCAGTTATGTATTATGAGATCTATTCTTTCAATAATTGATTTTCTTTGCGCAATGGTAGCATTTATTTTTCCAATTTAATAATTTTAACTTTGTTGTCATCCTTCTTTAATTGATCGATAATATAATTTCTTTCTTCTAGGTCCTTCATCAATTTTGTATTTAGGATTTCTAACTCTTTAATGGTGACTTCTTTATTTACTTTTGGTTAGGTCTTAATCATTTTAGCTCTCACTCCAAACCTAAGAGTACTGAGAGTTTCAGGTTCATTACTAATACATGGACTGCATGTAATAATCAGAGAAGTCATAGAGTTTTTGCTAAGTCCATTCCAAAGCAACTTAGTTAGATTAGATTCTCTGAAAGGTACATGTTACTATTTTTCTGATAACCCATTAATTACATTAGACTAGTTGCATATAATTATTAAGATGTACTAGTGTTAGCAGACTCCTATTGATGAATGATCCCTCTTGCAATGCAATTCCAGTGGTTCCTGCTTTAGATGCATTTTCACTGCCTGCTAGATCAGCCATTATCAATTATCCTGTGTATGATGTCCCTTCAATTTCATTATTCATGGTGACTGTCTAATACAATTTTAATTATGCTTTACCATTTAAAATAAAAGATGGGATCTAGATGACATGTCATTAAGGTTAGTATAGCCAACTTATCGGTTGACTAAACTCTTTTGTAATGCATTATAAATTTCCTCTTTATCACTGACCCATAATTATGTCACAAACTAAATGTAGAATCCTTGATTAGCTATTTCTCTTTATTTTTAAATCCCTATTTATTGATGTCCAATAAATCTTTAACTTTTTCTTTGTACACCTCCACCAATTGAGATTTTAATACGAAATTCACATTCTGTTGGAGAACTGTCTATTGCATCAAATAGATCATTGATGGTTCTTTTAATGATTCCTGGTTAGTGTTGATCCCCCAATCATAGTGTAAGTTTTACCAGACGATGTCTAGCCATACATAAGCAGTGTGGCATTGAATCCTTAAAGAACTTAATCAATAATTGGCTTTCCGATTTCATCATATACCTCCTGTTAGGTTGTATTACTATCAAGAATCTTATCAAACGTAAACTTTTACTCACCTATCTGCAAAGTTTGTTCCCTAATAATGTAACTGATTAAAGATGTTTCTTTTTGATTTAATGGTCTAATTCTGCAGAACACTTTAATATTGCTCATTATTATTATATATATATTAGAATAATGTTAGATAACATAAATCATTACCATTTAAAATATTCATGTAAAATCTTCTTAGTGGTTTCATCATTCTCCTAATGATATGGGTACTTGAGTTTAATAAGATTATCTAGCGATTACTATTTATTAAACTGAGTCTTGGATTTTGAGTTTTCACTCTCTAATGTCTTTTGATTAATCGATATCTTTTGATCCGAAGCAATAAAATTCTAAGAAACCTCTTGTATTTTTGATAATTTTGATTGCATATAGTCTGCAGTAGTTGCTTATTCAGTTTCAAATTTGGTTTAAGGTTGTTTTTAATGGAGTTTGATTACAATTCTAAGTTTTAATATGCCTGTTGGTCGAAGTAGTTAATGAATTGCGAAATATTTTAGTTTTGAGTTCAGGTCGAAGATTCTTAAAATCAAGAGATTTAAAGCTATAAATAATGTAGTGATAAATACTTATTGCTATGTTGATAGGGTATTTAATGATCAATACTTTTGGTTTCAATTAAGGCAGACTTATAATACTTGAGTTTTGTATTCTAAGAGTATTCATCAAAATTAGATTAATCATTAATTAATTAGTCAGCTTTGAAAGTTCTTAAGGATCTTGATATATGGAGAGTAGTTCCAATTTAATCCTCTTTCACTGTAGGTATATACTCTGTCCTTTTGTGCTGTTTGATTAAAATGAATGAGTACTTCTTGTTCCTTGTATCGCTTTCTAGAAGGATCCCCTAAGACTTCGAACCCTTCAACAAACACATTGCTTTGATTTTTGTAATTTATTGGATGTTGCTCCCAAGATGATGGATCGAATCTTTTCTTATTGTATATATTAAAAGTATTGCTATCCATCCACTTTGATTTCTCATCTTATCTCCATGTAGGATTTATCAACATCATCAAGTCTTTTTTCTGTATATGAAACATATTACCACATAATCTACTTTCTAGGTTGCATTATCAATCACTCCTTTCACTCTTTCAGTTTCCACCCTTTCTCCCTTACCAAATCTCATGGGATTCCCTTGTTTACTATGATCCTCCACTTTCAGCCATTTATAATGGTTCTTGTGAGGTTCATCCTTATTAAATTCTCCAGTTGCCAAATGTCCTTATCTAAAGTCTAGCATTGTTTGTCTAGCTCTATCCTTTCCTGATAATTAACTCTTATACTATGCGCATTTACCTTTTCAATATTATATTGCCATCTAACTCCTTTTCTTTATAACGATCTCTGAACGAATGCTTTGTGATTGGCAATATTGGGTAGCTGCCCTCTTTTAATGTTTCCCTTAATTTGTTTAGTTTATTTTCTTCAAACATTTCTACCCTATTCGCTTATCTGGCTTTGAATTAAACTGACTTAATTTTTCTGATTTCCTCCAATTTCTTTTCTCTCTATTCCCTATGATTATAATTATCTATTACCTATTTAATTATTATTCCTTTTGTCTTTCAATTTGCTTTTGCTTGAATATGTTATTCAAAGACATTATTATTTTTATTACTAATATTTAATACTTCTTATAATTTTTTATGATAAATTACTATTTCAACTTTATTTCAAACAATATGATTTAATTATTGGGTGTTTGGATGCTCTCCAAATAAAATATATAAATTTATCAATCATATATTGCATCAATTTCTAATGAGAAATTAATTGAGTTCAGAAATAATTATTTAAAAGCATTCTATCTATAAATTCTTAAGGAATTACAAAAGATGTTCAAATTTTAAAAAGTAATGGAAGCCAGCATAATATTAAATAACACTAAGTATATTATGAATGTCCTCAAGAATATTATTAAACTAGATGTAAAAAAAATATATTCCAAAATAAATTTGTAGAAATTACAATTGTTTCAAAGATATAGAAAGGAGAGAAAATGATGTGCATTAAAAATTTTAATTTGCATGATCACTATAGATTGCAAAATGATCAAATTAATTATTTATTATAAGAAACTGAAAGTTTGGTTTTTAAACAATAAAATTTTAATATATTATAATAAATGTTACTTCTCTAATTGGAGCTAGTCTTGTGAGATGCAATTCGAGTGGATTATATAATATAAATATAAGTGGAATGAATTTTATGGTGATTTTTATATTTGATTTTAAATTAAAACATTTATAAATAGATACGTTACAATGATCATCAGGATTCAGTAAATTCTGTTTCTTTTTCTCCTTAAAATAATTCATTAGCTTTACGTTGTGAAAAATTTTATTTTGAAAAGTTCCAAGAAAATGATATGTGGCCATGTAAATTTTAATCAGTATTATGACTACTGAAAATAATGTTGATTTAGTTTTAAATTCTAGAATTTTTGTAAGAATAATTAGATCCCAAAGAAAAATAGCTTATCGCGAATGACTACATTACGTAATTCTTTGGAATAAGCAATCTATGGAGGATACTGTGGATTAATGACTGACTATAAAGCAAAAATATGATGATTTTGATATTATTATTATTATTTATTCTCCAATGAGGACTTCTGCATTCTCCTTTATAGGAGTTCGTAAACATTTTTTGAAGGAAGTGTTCTATAACATATAACTGTACCAAGACTCTATAGAGATGACTGAAATTGTAGGCATCATTTTATATTAAGAAATCTAAATCACCAAAATACATTCTGCCATTGAAGTTATCCACTGTTATATAGATACTGGGTTAGGTAAGCAAAAATAATAGGAATTTCAGCGGATTCCAGTTCAATTACAAAGACTCAACTAAATTAATGAATTGTAGATCATCTGATATTGCTACGTAAGGATACATTTTATTCTTAGTTTTATGGACAAAGTGAGCAATTAAATAACATTTCTAAATATCACTTTGTTTTATTAGGCAATAGAGATTATAGGAAGAGGCAGCTCTTCAAGTGTTTCTGTTTTGATCGATACTTTTTCGTCAGAAAAATTTGCTGTCAAAAGCATCAATAAGGATTACCTTTTAAAGAACGACAAATTGAAGGTAAGAATCAATTATATTGTAGATATTATTTCAAAATGAGGTGTAGATTTTATAAGAATTGACCAATTACAATCAACAAAATTATTTTGTGCATTTATACAGAGTATTTGAAAGCTAATCATCCTACTACTTGATATTGAATCTCATGAAAGGCAAGTCATTAATGGCCTTCTACAATAAAATCAAAGTTAGTAATAAAGACAAATTATTTGAAATTAGAAATAATCAGACTTTAAATACTTTCCTCCAGAAGTTATTAGATAAATCATGAAGAGACTCCTTTCAGGCGTTTCCCTTTTACATTATCATCAAGTATTCACTTCATATAACTCAGATAATGCACAGGGATCTAAAGCCTGAGAATCTCCTGCTTCTGGAACCAAATAAAGTCGAAACCCTAACAATTGCAGACTTTGGATTAGCAACCTACACTAACGTAGAAAAGTAATCAATTCTTAATTGTTCTATAGGTATTCCTATCCCATATGTGGAACTCAAGGCTATATGGCACCTGAAATCACTAATTACAAAGATGGATAAAACAAATATAATGAATAAATTGACATCTATAGCATTGGTGTTATATTCAATTGGCTGTAATTCTGTAATAATCTTAGACTAATCGGTGACATTGATAATAATAACCCAAAATTAAAGAAGTTGGATTCCATCACATTGAATTTACTGAATAATCTCTTAAGAAGAAATCCCAACGAAAGATTGTCTGCATAAGCTGCACTTCATCACCCATATTTTCAGAGCGATGAAACTACGAAGAGGACATTTCAATCGGAGTAAGGATTTGTAACTCCATATTTTATCCTAGGAAAATGTTGATTGCGAGACTATTGTACAACATGAAGGCTTGAAAACCTATTAATTGCCACTCATGAAGAAACCTCAAGGTTAGACATGATTATTCTTTCTCAATGTAACTATACCAATCTCTATATATAATTGCTATTAATTATCAATTACTCATTTAAAAATTGTCCCCAATTATTAAAATATAATATTAATGCTCAAAAAATATCTCTCGTCTTGTTCATCTAGTGAGCAGATTCAGTCGAAGCCGACATTAACTAAAATAAGTATTGACATTTCCATAAAAACTTAGATCTAACTCAAAGAACGATCGATTATGGTACTCCTAAAACTTAACTAAATCTAGGATCAATTGAAAATAGTCCTTCAAATATGTAATACCCCACTTCAGAGCCGAACGTTTCAAGTAAACCTTCCGAACAATATTTACTCAGTAATTTAGTAAATTCAACCTAGAAAAAGATAATTCTCCTGCTATCAGTGGTTCCCCAAAATAAGACTTTGATCTACTTATTACACAGAGAGATTAAACCCTTAAATTTAGGTCGGCTTCTCAAAACTAAAAAAAGCTTTAATTGAAGCGTTAAAGTAGTGAAAAATAATGTTCATCCAACGAAAAGATCAGAGTCTTTGATGTGTTCAATTAAAGTCCAAGGTTAAATAAATAACCCCCCACTTCTAACACCTACATTACCACGAAGGAAAACCTTAAGGTTCAACTTCAATAGCAGAAACATAATCTACAAAATCAGTCAAAAATAGCAACAAATAATGTAAATTATCAACCACAGAATAACGCATAACAAAGACAATCCTGTAAACCTCCAATATCCAGTAGACTCAATGAGTCAAAGGAGATCCTCTAATAAATGAGGAAGAATTCATTAAATAATAAAAAGCACTCTCACTTTAAAGGTGAAGGAGGTACTCAAAAAAACCAACTCTTCTTTCATTCTCCAAAATATAATGAATCTGCTGCTTTCAGTTCTTCAGGGAAAAGTTAGCTCTAAGACGCATAAACTAATCTCAAATATGACAAGGATAATACGAAAAACGAAAATATTCTTGAATTATTGCTACTTTCAACTTAAGAACTTAACAACAAGTTCAAAAATAAACCATTAGAAAGGAATGAATCAGAAGAGAAAATACCGATGAAAATCAGAGTCAGAGCAGGAAGTAGATTCCCAAAAGACTTCTTTGAATGAATCATAACTATGTAAATTATCAATCACAATTCAGCCTTTTTTTCATCACATCCTTTATTTTGTCAACCCATAATTAAGCAGGATGTTCGCATTCCTAACCTTAAGCAATACTCTTACTTTAAAATAATACTTCTTTTTGCTAGGTACATCAATATTAAATTATCCTTTCAATACTTCTATTGTTACAGATTTGTCCAAAATGATCTAACCCTTTCGTATAGCTATAACAGATTCTTTTTACCTTTTTTAATCCAGTATTAGGATCGAAATACTCTAATTTAGGAATTTCAAAATCGTACAAAATCATATTTCTTAATTTATAAATCATCCACCCTTAATTTATAATCATAAACTCCAACCTGTTTTCTTATTAACTAATCCAGTTATTACTACTTCTGGTTTCAAAGTGGCACTTTGCTTTTTTTGAGTATATTCCTAAGTTGTAATCTTTTTCAAATGGATTTAAACATCTTCAGGCCCTTTTTGATTCCATAACTGCTACCAATTGATATCCTTAAAGAATGGATGACTCTTCAGTTCCCGATATGTGTTGTGAGAATCTAAAATCTTAATTAAACATTACTGGGCAATCCTCCGCCTAATCGACTTAAAGGATCTCTAACTAATAATTTACTTATCAAATCCAGTCCATCCTAAGAGATTTTATTACTTTTTTGGTACTGACAAGATCTGACCTTCTAAAATACTAAGTATTCTGTCTAATCACAAAAAGGAGTCGTCCCTGTGAACATTTTATAAATTATGCATCCCAAAGCCCATAAATCTGCTTACGGTCCACAAATATCATCTTCCAAAAGTTCCGGCGATACATACTCTGCAGTTCCTACAAAGGTTGCTTTATGTTTCTATTAATATTAGTCTATTTCATCTAAACATCTTTCATCCTGTTTACTAATCTCTCTTAACTCATTCAATTTATCTCGCACATTATCTGGCAGGTTTTGCTCGTCGAAGAAATTAGCTGTTCCAAAATCTATCATTTTTATATGTAAGTTATTTGCCACCATTATGTTTTCTGGCTTTAAATCACTATAATTCATTACTTTCACATCTCTATGCGCAATCCCATTAGAATGCAATTATTCCAATACTGTCACTATCTCTGCAGTATAAAATACTATAGTCTGATAAGACATGTTTCCTAAAATCACTATTTGCTATTACTATTAATTTTTAGGAAATTTGCAAAATCCCCCCCTTCCATAAATTCTAGCACTAAATATATTTATGCTGAACTTTGGAAACTAGCTATCATATTTATCAAACCCGGATGTTTAACCCTTGATAATACTTCTTTTTCTATAAAAACTTAATATTGTTTTTTTTCCTAATTTATTGTTGCCTATTAAAACCTTTATCAACAATCTCTTCTCCATTGCTTTTATAGCTACTAATTGCCCGTTAGCCTTGCATTTTGCTAACATTACATCTCCGTAAGAACCAGCTCCTAATTTTTCTAAAATTTCATAATCATTTAGACTATTCATTTTTATAAAAAAATTAATTAACACATAATGCTATCTTCATCTAAATCAATAAGGCAGATAATAATTTATTTATTTGAATGTCAAAAATTCATTTAATTCATTTATGGGGTATTATTCTAATATTAATAAATTTGTTTAGTTTAAGCAGGCTAATATTAAACTTCAACAGTTTCAAAAAGTAATAATTTGAGAATATCTTATCAATTATACGTTTCCTTTGAATTTTAAACGACACCTTTTAAGGTTGAAAATATTTCAAATTGATTTCATTACTTTCCAAATGGTTTTATTTAATTTCGCAGTAAAATTTATTTTGTTTCTTCTTATAATTAGCTATAAGTTTATCTGCAAATTGAAAAATAAATATAAGCAATTTATTTCAGAACAGGGAATCGCAATTCATAAATTAGCTCAAAGTTTAGGTATAATTTACTAGAATGAATAGGGTAAACAGTAATTTAAACCATTTGTAAAAAAACAATCTCATTTAGAAAAATGCAAACAAAAGTAGGCAAACGTTAAAAAACTAATATAATGTAATTTTGAATTATTTTATTATAAAAAAAAATTATTGTATTTTCTACTTTATCCTATTATATATTTATAAATTTAATATAATAATTATTTATTAGAGTGAGGTTTTTTCATATACATCCATTGTTTAATATAAGGTGTCATTTAGATTATCCTATTAATCTATCAAGTGGTTTTATTTAAGAATTTCTTTTTTATATTTCATCTTAAAATAACGAAAAAATACATCTTCTATGAAACTTCAGAGTTCTTTCAAGAAAAAATACCCCTTTTTCAAAACTGAGTTTTGTAGATAATTTTTGGTTCCTTTCATTATTTATTTCTAACTGTAACTAAAATTATTTCGTTATTTTTAGAGATAACCATCAACAAATCTGTTTCTTTTTCAAAATTAGATTTCAATTTTCTTCCTATTATCATATCAAATTCTAAAATTATATTAAAAATTTAATAAGTTATTTTGATTCTATTAAAAAAATTTAATAGGAATAGGAATATCAAATAATAAATCCAATAGGAATTCTGTATCAAACCTAATGGAATATTGAATATTCAGATGATCCTTCTAAATTTTAAATAAACCGATTTTTTCATTGTTTCATCTTTAAAACAATCTAAGAGGAGCCCTTTTATATCATATATAATTGATCTTCTAAATTAAATCTAAAAACCGTTTCTTATGAGGAACTAATAAAAACTATTTCTGAATGGTAGCTTAAATAGAGAATTAGAATAGATATGGTATTTATTCAAGGTAAAGTAATTATAAAAATGAATGCCATAATAGATGATCTTCAAATATCCTAAATATATACACTTATAAATATTTTCTAAATTGATTAATAATCTTAATATTTATGTAATCAAACTAACTTGATGGAACTAAATTTAGGCTATCGCAACCTGAATCTTTAAATAACAAGGTATATTTGAATGAAAATAAAAAGAACTTGAAGCTTCAAGGGTGGTTAAAAAAGAAAAGCCCAGCAATTTTAAAAGGATGGCAGAAAAGGTAAAAATAATTACAAAATTAGATTTTTTATGTTGATAGAAAACGAAGGATATAAGTTAGTGTATTTCGATGACGATGTAAGAGATCATTTTTATAAATTATTAGAAAACTAATTCGAAGCCAAAAGGTGCTTTTGAAATATCAAATAAAATTGATATAGAATAAGCAGGAGAGGAAGAGTTTACAATTATATTTCCAGGTAGAAATTTAGAATTGAAAGCAAAAAGCGGAGATGAAAGAAAGAAATGGGTAGAAACAATTGAATTTTGTAAAAGCATTGGGAAGAACTCATAGAGAAAGTATTTGAGCGTTGATTTGATTGAAAATGACATTTCAAAATCAAAAGGTGAGCTATTTAGTTTATCACCTTAGGTTCTACTCATAAGAAAGTGGACTTATAAACAACTCAAATAGTTTAAATAGAGAAAGAGAAAATTGAGAATTAAAAGTTCCAAGGTCATAGGGACATCCAAAAAAAGTCAATAATTCTACCCTCTTAGTTTGAGGATAGTCAGATTTTGGAAGTTCTTGGACTACAGTAATTAAATTAGAATTCGATGTTGAAATCTAGAACGATATTTGGGACTCTGAGTAAGAGAAGTAAAACAAAAATGAAGAACTACAAGCTAAAATGGTTTATCCTTATCTCAGCTAAACCACTTGTAAGATATATTATTAAATATGTTTAAGTTTCCAGAGATTTAAGATGATGAGGAGATTTTATAATAATAAGATATCACTCTCGAATTAGATACACTTGTTTACATTAATTAAAAAATGAATGACAAATTGATCAAAAGAAATGTTTACATTAAGCTTCAGAATTGTAAGGAAATAATTATTAAAAATATGCAAAAGTCTTCTGATCATGGATTTATATTTAAATTGAATATGGGAGATAAAATTTATAGTTTAATGGCAAATACTGAAAATGATAGAATGAAATGGTAGCAAGCATTAAATTAATCAATGAATACTTGTAAGGAAATAAATAACAAATTGAATCTTAATATTTTAAAGAATATCAATCCAGTCATAAGGATATACGATATGGAATCAAGCTTACCAATTAGGAGACAAAAAATTAAAGAGAAACTTTAGAATGATATATAAAGAATAGAGTTAGAGCAGAGTATAAATGATTAGAACAGGTACTTAAATCTTTAAGATTTGCTTTGCTGTTTGATGATAATAAGTTAAGATATGATAAAGTCAATTGAGGCATGTTTAGTAAAGGATCCGCAAAGATAAGATATAATTCAAGAATACATCGAGATACATCATGAGAAAATATGTTTAAATATCAGTGAATATTGGAATATCAATAACAAATATCTCAGTCTTAATGAGATAAAGGAATTAGCTTCTTGGCTCTCCGATTACTAATAAATCATCATCAATTATATTAAGGATGATCGTATTAAATAAGGAATCAATACATTGTTATAGATATACATAAACAGATGGAAAATTTAGTCAGAAAAGAAAATCATTGCATAATTCGAATAGAGTTAAACAATTTAGGCAAAAAACACAACAAAAACTGCTTGTGTTTTGGAATTATTTGATATAGTTTAGGAAATAGAGATGCTAATCACCCAAAAGTTAAAACCATATCTTAAGAATAAAGAGTTACTTAAGGTTATTAAGAGTATTTTGTGGCATTATTTGGAGTAATTATATGATTCAGTTGAGGAACAACCTGAAAATTTGGAGTTTTTGATTGGAGTTTGTAATGATGTTGAGATTGTTAGGGAAATAGCTAATAGAATAGAGTCGATTGCTGAAATGCTGTAAGAGAATAAGAAATAAGAAAAGACTAAATAAAAAATAATGCAGAAATATAATGAAGTCTTAGAAATTGTGGAGTAATAGATTTATAATATATCATCAAATGAGTTGACTTAATAATTCTAAGTATCTCTTCTTGATTTAGAAATCAGGTCAGGAGTTCTCGAAGTATTTGAAGAGAATGTATAATTGATTAAATTAACTGAATAAACTTAGTAATCTCTATTAGATAAATTGATTTCAACATTTAATTATCACTATTTCAATATATTTTTGAATGAATTGGATAAGATAAATAGCTACAAGCGAAAGTAAATAGAGTCAAAAATTAAGTAAGACAAGTAAGTTGTAAGTGAATTTCTTAAATAATATCATTGTTCTAATATAAAAATGGATAACTTTGATTTAATGATCCAACTCTTAAATTGTGAGAAGGATTCAGAATATGTTCAAGCCTTTAGAGGGTTGAAATACTAATTTGGGAGATGTTTCACTGTAAATACTGTGAAGGTGATTATTGGTCATTTGAGAGTAAGGAAATCAGAAGTGAACTAGAGTAGTCTAGAACAATTCGACTAGTTAATTAGGAGCATTGATGATGAATAAGACAATGGTGAGTCAACTCAAGATCTGAAAAGTCAATTAATGGAGTTTGGATAAAATCAATTGGAGCCTCTAGTTTTACAGAAGTAGGATTCCAACTCAAGTCGCACTTCAAGAACTAGTATGAGTAAGAGCAAAGTGAACATCGAGGAATTAATTTCTAAATCATAGGCTTAATCAGTTTAATTTGATAATACTAGCATTACAGAAGGGTATGTGTATAAGAAGAAGGCCAAACAATAGAAATTAGTAACAAAGTGGGATCACAGATATGTTAGAATCAGGAAAGGATATATATATTGGTATGTGGATGAGAAATCCTGGAAATGCTAGAATAAGCTGAATGTGTAGGACATATTAGAGGTTGAGGGGAAATAGAATAAGTAGAATAAGTTTATATTGAAGATGAGAGGTGGCAAGATCTATGAATTCAAGGTGGATACAGTGGAGGAAAGGAATATGTGGATGAATGGAATAACTAATGAGAAGAGATAATAGGAAGATGTTGTAAACAGCAAGATTGAGGCTTAGTAAGTGTAGACAAGCTAATTAAATATTCTGATTAAAAATTATGATGAAGAAATAATTACTAACAAAACTACTAATAATAATATTAATAATAATAACAAATTTAACAATTAATAAAGAAAAACAACATTAATAATCCAATAAAAAGAATACCCTTTAGAATTAGGATAAACAACTTTAAAGATTAAGAGAACAACTAGTTGCTGGACGTCGTTTATGGTTTGTTTAGGATTAAGCAAGGGTTGATTATATAATAACAAATTGTAAATTATAATTGAATTATAATATAAATTAATATAAATGGACAATATATATAAGTTTAAGGCTAGCAGTTCAGTGGGGCATTTAAAGAGTCTGAATAATGATAAACAATTTTATTCAGAAGAGGAGAGCAGTAAGAAAGAGGAGGAGGAGAAACAATTGAAGAAACAAAGCAAGCCTCCTAGTAAAATGTCTCAATTCAGTCAGAATGCAACCGGGTATTAAACGGATGACTCTGACAAAGAGACTCCCAAGAAAAATAAGGTCGGACCTTCAAGTAATGATTATGGGCATTATTTTAGGTTAGAAAGTGTCAAAATTTCGAAATTTGGTTAATTCTAAAAAGATTGAAGGGGACAACGATGATCCAAATTTCGATGATGATGATGACAAGCCAACAACAATTTAACAATAGGTTCAACATGCTTAGTAGTAAAGTGAAGATTAATATGATGTGGAACAGTAGGCTAATAAAATGCAACAGAAATACGCTAAGGGTGAGGTGGGGAAGTCAACAAAAGTGAAGTAAGAGAGATGATAATGAATAGACACTCTAATACTCAACAGAGTATGGACGTGAATTCAGATGTAGAGCAGATGAAGAATAAGCAGAATCAGGAGGGGAAATTAAGGAATCATCCCTTTAGACACCTTATCTATGGTCCAAGTATAGGAGAGAATTCATTCAACAAATTTTTACAATTAACTCAAAGAGGCTTGGTCTATGCCAAAAAGTGCTTAAAAGGACCTTCAGATAAATTTATTAAATCCAAGATGGTTCAATTGCAAGAATGTCCAATCATTAAGCCAAAGACTCTCTTATTGGATTTAGATGAAACTCTAATTCACAGTTGTTCTCTAAGGGAGAATCCTTAAGTAACTGTAACAGTCTTTGGAGATTACGGGGAAGAAGCTAAGGTAATTTGATATAATGAATTATAGATTCATTTCAACATTAGACCATTTTGCACATGGTTCTTACAATAAATGAATTAGTTGTTTACAATTTATGTATTTACAGCTTCGTCATCTGCCTATGCAAATGCAATTGTGAATTATTTGGATCCAAAAAAGTAATGGATCATGGGGATTCTTTCAAGAGGAAATTGTATGGAAACAAAGAATGGCTTCTTCATTAAAGATCTAAGAATTGTGGGAAATAAACAATTGAAAGATATGGTGATAGTGGATAACCTGGCTCATTCTTTTGGTTTTTAAATTGATAATGGAATCCCAATCTTGGAATGGCATAATGATTAAAATGATCAAGAACTTAAGTACTTAGCTACTTACTTGATGGAAGCAGCTGAACAAGAGGACATTAGACAATTCAATATACAAAGGTTGAAATTAGATCAACTTATAGAATATAATTTAGATTGATTCATTGACACACATAATATATATTAATTTATATTCGGTTCTTGCTATTCAAATTATGAAATATACTAAAATGATGATCCAATGAAATTATTCAAATTACTCTAACACCAATCAATTTTGAGGCAATTGAAAGAGACATCATAATAAGATTTATGGATACTAATTAATATATATATTTAGATTCTTGAATCAATAATATATCTGCATTTATATAATTTATATTTATTTAATTGTTAAAAAATCACTTCAAAAAAGTATTTTAACACAACTCAAAATTTATATCAATTTTTATTCTTAGAAAACTTCATAAATTTTTCATGAATACTTAATGCATTCAAGAAATTAACCCAAACCTCTTTTTAAATTTGTCATCGGATTGGATTATAAATTCAGTATTTAGAGAGGTATTTTCGTGTTTAAGAAAATTTATAAAATGCCTTTAATTTTTGATCAGCCTCCTAATCTATTCATAGGGCTTTTTTAGCTGATTGATTCTGATTATTAACTTCATCCCTTAATATCAATTGCATTATTATTATATACTGTAATAAAAATAAAAACGATCTATAAATGTTTGAAGGTATAGGATGGTGCTTCCTTGAGGCCAATTTAAATGATGGTTTGATAATAAGCAAACCTAAAAATAAAAAAATTGAATATCTCTCTTTTTATAAATATTTTATGATAGATCATACGACTGTAACTTGTTTTACATAATTTCTTCTTTCGCATATTTCATTAGAGAATTTTAGTTTTAGACGAGAATCCTCTCCATCTCCCCATTAATTGTACATACTTATGTGAATTAATGCCATTATAATCGCTAATTTATCCACTTATCTGACACTTTCAAATTGAATTGCATAGCGCGGGTAATCAATAGTTGGACATAATTTGCAACATTGCCCTTGCATTCCAGTTATTCTAGCACACGCTTGACACCCTGTTCTAAAATTAAGGATTTCGCATTTTCCTTATGTAAGTCCTTCCACGTGATACTTCTTACTAGTGTTAAATAAATCACAACAGCCTAGAAATAACATTTCACCATAGATTGATTATGGACAACTATTTTTTGATGGTCTCACTAACAACCTATAATTCGAATCAAATGGGGATGTGACAACCAGTTATGGAAAGGAAGATTTCAACCCTGCGCAGTATTTATCAAAATAGTTTCGATCTGTTTATGTAAAATTAAAAATAACTTCACCCTTTGCTTTTATGAAGCCTACTCCTCTTTGCCAAAATTCCATTCTTAAATATGAATTATCCATAATGTATAAAGCTTCAGGCAAACGATGGACTTGATACATGCAAAGGAGAATTCTGATCAGATAATAAAGGCAATAGGCAAATGGTCTGAAAATCCACCAAAGAATGGTAAAAATCGCATCAAAAAAACAACAGCAAAAACAGTAGTAGCAATTATCTCTAAAGCAAGTAAAGCATAGTAGTGTGCAGCAATGAAATTTCTCAATTGAAAATGACAAATCTCCAAGGCCTTGGATACTGAACTCAGATTTTTATGAATAAGGACCGAATCCACAACAATTTGGTTTGACCAGATGGAAAACATGCTCGAACTCTACTTCATTCGGAATTTTAATATCTGATATCAATTCTTCAAGGTCATGCAATTTTTACGCGATTGTTTCTTGAGAATCTTAAGTATTCTCATTTATTTGTTTATATCTTATTTCTGGGATATATACTATTTTATCCATTATTATAAAGAATAAAAATAAAGGATCCTTAATTTGAATACCGAATTCTATCATTTTTATATATTTTTCTGATAATGACCGACGGAATTATAAAAGAAAATAAATGTTGCAAGTCATAAAGAAAAAAGATATGTTCATTATGCTCCCAGGCATTAATTTGAGATCAGATTCCTTCAAAATTGAAAAAAAGAGTGAATACTTTTTCACAAGGTGATAGGAATCTTTTCTTTGAATAATAAGAATTTGAAGTTTAACTATTCATATAATCACATAATTAATGTTTGATATTAAATAATGAAGCTAAGCAAAAATGGAGAAAATTTCAGCACATCCTTTCCATCATTATTATATTTATTTATTAATATAAATATTTTCTTATTATACTATGATGTCAACTGAAACTTCTAGTAATTTTTATCCTCGATATAGAGTAGCAAATGAAAACTAAAGTACCTGGGGCTTCTCAGAATCCTTAATTAATTAATAATAATATGATAGACACACACGTATTATAATATTAGAGGTCTATCTTATAAAAACGATTGTAATTTATTTCCCATGAAGACTTCAACGAAAGATGTTAATGAAATAGGGAAATATCTTCAGGCCAGTTGTTAATTTCACTATTTTAATTGGAATGACATCCTATTAGTAATTGTGATTCATCATGGTTCAATACTACCTTATTAACAATATTAAATTACATTTGAATTAAATTCATTAAAGCATTCAATTTAATCAACTTTATCAGCTTATTCCCTAATCATAGTATAGGGATTTTATAAAATACATTAATTATCAATTATTAATTTTTCTAATTAATTAATTAATTAATTAATTAGGTGCTGCTGATAGGACTCAAGAATTTTGCCAAACTTCTTTCTCTTCCGTATATCATAATGTTCATTCTGAAAATATTCGTTTTAGTATCCAACATCTATTGGAATTATCAAAGCTCAATTTAGTTATTCTTATACATTTTATAGTTTCAGTACTACTCTAATTGCTATTAATTGATAGGTACTGAACCTAAGAGGCACGTATTCCGAGACCAGTATTTACATAATATAACAACTTTTTCCAAGTTCAATTAAATCATATAAATCATCATCTGCTATTTCGTGCAGTATTTGATGAAATTATTCTCATTATTTTTATACTTATTCATCAATTTCTTAAATTTGATAATTTCAAATATTTTAACCTTTGAATTATTTTTTTGTAATAATTTATTTTTGTATTATAATATTTTAATCCCTTCATATGATCAATATAGAAATCGTTTGAATCTGAAAAATCCTCCTTATCATCGAATTCATCTATAGATAGTATTACCTATAAGTTAAAAGTATTTTCAGAAATTGATTTTTCAAAAATATCCATGGATATATATCATACCCATTCAATATTATGAAAAGGATTGTTGAAAGGGTTGAATCCATAAGAATAAATAGTTGTTTGAAATTTGCTAACTTATTGATCCTTCAATAATTATTTATATTCCTATTTATAAATACAAGGCGTTGTTGCTTTTATTAACTACTGCTGTCGTTGAAAATAAATTGGTAATTATTACATAAAATTAATGCTATTTACCATATGATGATTTTATTTCTATGATAATGATAAATAATAAATCGAGCATAAGAAAAAGGGCTAAATCCTCATTGAATTTTGTTGTTTCAGTGAAGTATCAGAACATAGAAAGATCTCACAACAATTCAATGGATAGTTTGAACACTCGCGTTATGGAAGTCTACGAATAGCAATAGAAGGATGATCAGACACAGATACAAAGGTTGTTGATAAAGAAGCAATTGCTGGAGATTCGAATTCGTCATGAAAATGAGAAATACCAGGAAACCCAGAACAACCATTAGTTATTGTTGCAACGATAAGAATCGATGGAGAATAGCCAAAATAAGTACATCTCACAAATGAACCAATTGACTGAGTGTCTACGAGAGATAGTGTAGTAAAATCAAGAGATGGAGAGTGCCTATGATGACAAGTGCAAAGAATATGAGAGTTTGATATAAATATTTAATAAATGAATTAAGTAATGGATTCAGAAGGTGAGGAGGCCGTGTTAAAAGCTGGAGATATCATCTAAGGAAGATTTCGTATTGGAGATCTTCTTGGAGAAGGATCATTCGGATCTGTCTTTAGGATCTACGATACTCAGAATAGCAATTAAGTCTTGGCAATTAAAGTGGAGTAGGAATTAGAAGAAGAGGAAAGCATGTTGGAAAGAGAAATCAAGATCATGATGGAATTGAAGTAACAAATTATTCACCATATTCTTTTTAGGAAGAAACCTGGGTTCCCACAGATATTGTACTATGGGTAGGAGAATCATTATGTCTATTACATTATGAATATACTTGGACCTAATCTTGAAATTACGAGCAAGAAGTGCGGAGGGTCCTTCTCTCTTGTAACAATGTTGAGATTAGCCATTCAGGTATATGAATAATGTACTTTTTAGCGTAGATGCTTAGCCGAATTGAAACATTGCATTCTATGCGTCTCATTCACAGAGACATTAAGCCAGACAACTTTGTTTTGGGATTAGGATAGCAATAAAACCTTTTACATCTTATTGATTTCGGATTGTCTAAATTTTATGTAAATTCCAAAGGAGAGCACATCAAACAAGTGCGCAAAAAGGGATTGATTGGTACAGCCAGATACGCTAGTATTAATGCACACAATGAACTTGAATAGAGTCGTAGAGATGATCTAGAAAGCATTGCTTATATCTTGGTCTATTTGGCTACTGGAACTCTACCTTGGATGAATCTCCAAATTGAATAAAAGGATCTCAAATATGCTAAAATATTGCATCTCAAAAAATTGACAGCCCCAGAAGTCGTATGTAAAGATCTACCAGCATGCTTTACCAAATTTTTAACGGCTGTACGTAAATTAGATTTTATTACAACTCCTGATTATGTCACTTACAAGAAGCAATTTCAAAACGAGCTAGAAAAACATTAAGGACAAACCTATTATGATTGGGAAGTGGTGGGAGATAATTCAACAAAAAAGAAGAGTAACACAATGCATATTATGCCAGTATTATTTATATTAAGCGAAGGATCAATTAAAATAAAATAATAGTCCTAACAATTTGCACATTATTAGTAATGGAAATGGATCTAATAAAAACACTGTCACATATGGTCAGGATCAAATCATTGAAGGGGATATGGACAAGAAATTGAATCTGTAGATATCAACCAAAGGTGTGGATAATAAATAATTTGAAAGGTTTGAATAGATTTTGCAATAGAATCAGAAGAAATACTATAAGATGAACAGTACAAAGAGGCAAAACTCTGGGAGGGCTAAAACACCTGTGATGGTCAATGTGATAGAGCCAGACGTAATAAATGTCTATAGTATTTAGAACCAAATTTAGCAACAATAGTATGAATAGGTTTACGATGAAGTGCAATACATTGCCAAATCAGCTAAGTTCTTGTAACCTCCTTCGACTCCCAATGGCAGAAATTCCTCATCCATTATAAATCCCTATTATATTCCATCTCTCAACACCTCACAAGTGAACAATTACGATTGGAGCGAAGGAGAAGAAATAAGCAATGAAGGCACTCCTCTGTGGTGTATGTATGTAGAAAAAGAGAGATAAAATGTGATGACAGGAATTTAAACCAAAAAGAAGAACTCAATTAAACATAATAGCTTCAGTGTTCTATCTTATCCTATCTAGAATTAGGTAAGAGGAAGTGATGAAGAAATATTTGATATCGAATGACCATTAGTGTTCTTAATATATATATATATTCACTTATGGTCTATATCAGTATATTCAATTAAGATTTATAGAATGTTTTACTTCTCATTTCATTCTCAGAATTGCATATATATTTTATTATATATCATTGACATGTAATATAATTAGTAAATAATTAAAAATCATAAATTAACTAAATTTAAGAATTATGTTATATTTGTTATTCATATTTCATTATTCTAAGAATTATTTCAATGCATTTTCATTAAATAATTATTCCTCTTCTAATCTAATTGCTTCCTTATTGTCATGGACTAATAATAAAGTTGGAATTGATTTAATCTAAATCCACTCAGAGACTCTAGCAGGGTTATTTGGATCTTTCCATCTAATTAAATGTCTATAATCTTACGTTTCCTTATCACCTGCCCAACACCAATATACTTTATACCCTTTCTACAACAATTGTGGAATTGCATAATTCTTGATTGTAGGTTCAGCTTCTACAGTATCTGAGCACCATGACTAACCAGTTTCAGCTAGAACATCTCCAACAAAGATTAACGCTGCCTTTCCTTCTTTATTGACCTTTTCAGAATAATTGGATGTTGTGATTTCGATAACTTATTCCATTAAATATATGATTAAATAATAATAATCTAATATAGATACACTAATGATAAATTGTTATAGGACAGTCATAATATTTATAAAATACTATATAATTATAGAATTAAATGATATTCTCTCGTAGTACATTTGTAATATTTCATAAAGTCATACGATCTTAAGAAAATGATATATGTTTTAATCTTATAAAAACATCCAGATCAAACAAGGAATTGGGATAATTGAGTGAATTATGTATAATATTATAGTTTTTATTAATATTATTTCAAAATGGTTGACTTAACTATTTAAGTTATCTGGAAATTTGTGAAATGTCTTATTAAGTGAAGATTTTCACCAATTTGTTTGAGGAACAATTTTAGCATCCATCACATTTACAATTGTCTGAACACTCTATACCCAATTAGTAACATTCACAATATTTCTTTTTGCAACCACTCTTTCTGCAATTGCATCCCTAGTATGATATTTATGAGGTACTTTAGAATGTGCCAATTTGTAATCAACTTCTTTGACCTTCTAATTGAATGCTTCTGGATTCCTTTCTACCATTTTCTCAATAAATTGATTTCTCTCTAATAGATTTGAACTGTTATTAAAACAACCACAACAATTGCACTTTGAGGAGCATAATTTACCAGCTGCAAAACAATCGCAATATAATTTCAGGCATTTACTTTTCTTACAATTGCAAGGCTTAGCTTCTTCAATCCTATAATAAAATTTAATTAATAAAATAAATTTTATTAAGTTTATATTTTGAATATGATATTTGAATTTAAAATATAATTCTTTATCGTATTGTGATTATAAGTGATATATGATACATACTCTTATTTTTAATTGCTAGCATTGGTTTTAAACAAATTTTATGCTAAGTTATTAATATTTCCGATTGAATTCTGTGATGAGAACTTTAAAAAGGGTTTTTGTTCTGAATTGCATACAGAAATATTTTTTGTTTATGGAGTTCTACAATGCTAAGTTATGAAAACATACTAAAAGTTGCTTTAGTGAAAAGTTGATGGAAATGTTATCTCATTACTCTAGAATATTTTCTTAATTGGTGGAGTACATAAATTTAGGTTCTTATTTGTTTCTTAGGACTCAGTGAATATAGTATCACAGTTTCGATAGGACATTGACAGACGTGTTTAAATTTTTAAAATTAAAATCAAATATTGGCAGCATTATTTGTATAAATACATCAGTTAATATTGAGATTCATTCCATTTATTTTTATAATTTGAGAATCCTTTCATAAAGTTGATTGTGTTTCATATCAGCCAATTTGGCTTATTCTCTCTACACATTGGAGATGGATTCAATTCTACCAAACTTTGATTCGAATTTGTCTAATTTATCGATAATCTCATGTTTCTTGGGCACTAATTGCGCAAACAGTTTCTCATGATTTATCTAATCAATCAATGTGGACTCTTACATCTTTCGATTTAATCTTAGATAAGGCAGTCTTAAAATCGAATCCCTTATCGTAAACTTGTTTCTTATTTGCTTCCTACTGGATCTTCTATGACAAAGCATCCTGCACTTTCGTACAAAAACAATACAGTTATTTCACATATTCATACTCAATCGCTAGATTACAAAATGACCTTGCCTCATTCAATATAGATTAATAGGGTTGATTAAATTGTTTCTCAAAGAGACATTAGATATATTCGATATCATTCTAATTTTTATTGAGAAATTGCTTTTGAATGAAATGCTGCAAATCACTGCATTCTTTAGAGGATCTCGGCATCAATCGAATGGCTTAATTAGTAAAAGTGTCTATCAATTCAGAGTGATTATTCAGGATATAAAATACTTAATATTAAAATGTTAATGGCCGAAACTTTTGGCATTCCTAATCTTCGAAGATCAGTTTCTCCAAACTTTATGGGATATAAGGTTTCAAAGTTTTGAGTACGTATTTAGTTCCTTTAAACATTTATTCCAATCCCTAAATTAGGAATTAGACTTACTTCGATGTTCAACGGCAAATTGGTAAGATTGTAGGTGAGATTCATGAAACCAACAAATTTCTAATCATTATCTAATAGATTTTCTAGTTTGTTTTTTCCATTCCATATTTGACACGTATCTTCGAATGCCAATAACAACTTGTACATTTGTTGCTTTAATTCGACTGATCTAATATTTATAGGCACTATACTTTTTGTCTCTCAATTCTCTTTAACTCTCTCTGCGAATAGAGGATTGAGTAGGTAGTTTCTACTTTTCAATTGAAATTTCAGTCTGTTGTGATCTTTGATGAGAATGTAATGTCATTTAAGATTTAGCTAACCTAATTTTAATTAATTTATCGATTCTTTCAGGTTTTTGATCCTTTTAGAGTAAAGATTTTAGAAATTGTTATTCATTATCGAAACTGTCAAGATGAGATTACATTTTTTTGTTATTGTTATACATGGTTACGTCTTCTCGATTGATGTTTAAATCTTTTTGAAGGGTACCTTAATTATTTTTATTTTTGTTTGAGAAGATAACAAGGCACCGGATGAGTCTTGATTATTAAGTTCTTTTTAAAGAATCAAAGTTCTTCTTTTCATTATACGTTCTTGGCCTATGGAATTCTAGTTATATTCTGTAATGTTGTTAAAGGCACTTAATTGGGATTTGGAGTTTGGAGAATTGGAAGTTTTGGTTATCTATTTCATCAGCCTTCTATTTTCGCTTTTGGATCTGGCAATGCTTGTAATTTAGGTCTGGAGTTAGTAATCCCTAGACTTTTCAATAATGTCTTCTCCATAATAAAATTTCTAACTATTCATAATAATAAATTTATTTGCAAGAGAATATTTTGACTTGATGAAATATGAATTTAAAATCAACTGATGAGGTCTTCGATTATCAACTCTCCAGAATCATAATACTTCAGTTTCCTATAAATTCATAAAGTAAAGGAATACTTCATAGTTTAGCCGTTATAAGTAGTTTAACAATTAAATTATCCGCATTTCAATCCATTAGAGTACTCTCCCTCTTCAACAGTGGTTTCTACTTATTGTTTTAGATTCTCAACATACTTTTTTGTGGTTGTTTCCACACATTACCCAGATGGTTCATTATTCAAGAAGTTACCTTCAATTCTATAATAATGCAGATGATACTCTAAAATACTTTCGATTATCTGAAAAAAACATAGTGCCTTTGCCACATCTCACTCCTTTCTTAAAAGATCCAACATATTTGGTTTTCTTATCGAGATCTTCTAGAGTACCTTGTCCATCCATTTCATTATCCTTGAAATCTCCAACATATCTAATTGAATTGAATTATCCAATACTTCTAAGTCTTACAATCCAACTCTCCTTTGCCATTCAATTATCCATCCACAAAATTGCCCTTAATCCTTAGATTTCGAAATATATATGTACGTTCCAAATTCTTGGTTAATTAGTTCTCCTTAGCCGAATCGTTTGCCTGCCTTCCAATACCCTTTATACCTAATAGAATAACTTTGAGATCATTACAAATCGCCATTCTAATAATGAAATTAGCCATAACCATCAAATAGACTATCCTTAAAGTCTCCTTCATATCTTGGATTACAAATAACTGTTTACCTTTCACAATTAGAATTAAATAATATCCCATAGTTCTGGATTTGATAATAAAAGAGATCTATAAACTCAAACTCGCCAAGCAAGAGTTCTTTCTTGATTACATTCAATGATATCCCATAACAGAATTATCCATTAATGAATGCACCATAATAGACATACCCTTTGTTACTCAGGTACAACAATCCCTTTCCATTGAATTCATCATTTTCTTATTACCCAATATACGATGTGTTTCCATCTATTTTTTCTTTAAAAACAAATTGAGCATGATGAGATTAATCCAAACAATACTGTTTTGGAATTTATAATTCTTCAATTTACTTCTAAAATTGATAAGGTAAATCAAATTTTTTAATAAGCGATTTCATCTGATCCAAAAATATGGACTCTGATAAGAAACCAACCTATTCATCGATGTCCATTCCTATTGAGAGTATTTTTTGCATGAACTAATTGATTTACATCTATAATTAATCGAATTTCTTAGCCACACTCTAGTCTAATACCAAATGTAGGTATTAGAAATGATCTTGATTGGGAGAATCTAGGGATTTTATGTTGAAATTGTCAACAAATTGAATAATCCCACTCAACTCTGCATATTAGTTGTTTATCTAATTTTCTATTCCAGATAAATAGAATTCCAATAAATCCTTTAATTTTTATACCTGCATATCAAATTCAAATTTCATTTGCTCTATCCTTCCATTCTCTGTCTCTTTGATTATTGTTTCCTTTGCACCCTATATGCATGATTAAAAGTGTTTTATCGATTGGAAATTTAACTTTTGCTTGTTCTCTTTGTAACATTTCTCACAACTCCATAATATTTGTTTCTATTATATACAAAAATATTCCATTGGTTTTTGATCATGACCAAGCTTATTGCATTTCTAATTCATAATAGAAATAGATAATATTTGATAATTAAAATAACTCAAATTATTGATCTATTTAATATCTAGATTATTGATATATAAACAGAAATACAATACTATTAGAATATTTAAATTACTTCTCAGTTGAAAATGGAAAATAATAAATATTATCTAATTTTAATTGATCATTAAGTATTAATAGTTCCATCTTTCACTTTAAGAATCAAATTAAATTATTATTATGGATCAGGAGGAAATGAAGAATATTATTTAATCTATTTACTATTGAGAATCTATTAACATCTTATTTTTGGCAACTAAGTTGAAACCATCTATAATTCACAAGAATCTGAAAGATCTCTTGAGAAAAATCAAATATTATCTTGAGGATAATGTTCCAAATAGATAATCACTTGGGGATTAAGCTATTGCAAAATTAATCTATGAAAATCTATTAAAATACTTTCATATATCCACTTTAGGATTTTATAATGTTTACAATTGTATGAATAAGTTAAGATGCATATATTTTTGAATAAAATATTTATGTAAAGTGATTATTATGAGAGTGATAATATCGAAGTTCTTCCTGAGGAGTATAATGAGAAGATGACACCCAAGGAAAAGGTCACTCTTAAAGAACAAATTGAATTTCTTCAGCAATAAACAGCTCTTCTCAAATAATCTATGGAATTAGAATAAGAATTATAAGTCGATAATCCTATTGCCTATTTGAATGCCATTGAAAATAATTTGGAATCCCTTAAAGTCACGAATTTATAGCAGAGGATACAATGCTTGGCAATATTAGGATCTGGAGCAGAAAAGTGTGTTACATTAAAATGTGTTTTGCCACAATCTGATAATTTGAAACGCTTCCAAATGTTGGAGAAATAAGTTCATTTACTGGAAACCATAGTTGGACAGAAGCCCTATCAAAACAATTCAACTATAATGCAAGACTTAAATGAAGTGTAGTCAATTCTCAACTCAATCTAAGCAGAAAACAAAGATATCAAATTAGGATTCACATAGACTCTACCATAAATAGATAAAATCAATGAAATCTTTAGGTTAGTCTAATTGTTGGTTGGTATTGCTGATTTGCTTCCAAACATCATTACCAGACTGGAATAATTAAAAAATGCTCATGATCAAAGCATCTAATATTAAAATTAACTAAAAGTACACAATATCATTAATATTATAGGAATTATAAATCAAACACACTAAAGTTTTGGATTTGATAACAAGCAACAGAGCAAGAATCAAAGCACTTTGCACTAAACTTGCTTAAAAATGAAATCTATATAAATTTGTTATTAGAAATATAATCATTATGATTGTTAAGTGAAATTATGTATCAAGAAGATTCTTATTATAAATAATTTTGTAAATTTCTAAACAATTATGATAATGATCTATAATAATTATGCATTATTACTAAATTTATAATAATTTATGAGTTTAATTTATTTTAGATTGTTTTGTGTATATTTAATTGTGAATTAGTTCTACTAAGATAAATATTAATGATATCATTAACTAAATGATTTAAATTCAATTAAGTGTATTTATTTTTAAAGAATTCAGATGTGAAATTAATTCAATTTAATTATGAATATTGAAATCCAAACACATTCATAATGAAGTTCATTTGATATAGTCGATGGATCTGCTGAAAGTGAAAAGTACATGGCAATTGACTCATATTTGTGCTGAAATCTAAGTAATTAACACTATATAACGTTATGCTATTAATACTACTATGAATTATGAATTATTGCCTCATAGTGTAGTTTAATATTTAAAAAAAGTAGAGCCTAATATGAAATTGTAAAATAGATTATTATTGTTGATAATACATTATGATTTTTATTTATTATTATAATGGAAATCTGTGCAATGCATCAAGGGGATATAAAATATATAATATTGGATAAAAATTCAGTTAAATTGGCATGCACTGAATGCAAGGATGATGGAATCACAGAAGGCTGTGAACCTGATTAATGCATTCTGATATCGAAAGTATATTCAAATAGTATGATTGCAGGTTCTCAAATTACCTGAGGTTTTATTAAGTAAGATTAATATTGATTCTGAATTGAAATCATTTTTCTCTAACATCCTCAAAGAATCAAAAGAAGAACTAAGTAACTTTAAAAACTACTGGTTAAAGTAATTATAAGAAATAAAGACTGCTTTAGAAAACTTGATATGTGAAACGGATAATTACATTGATACATTAACTAAGATGCTTAGCGGTTATAGAATAGAATTAAAAAGAGTTAATATTTCTATTAAAATTAGATTATCAAATTCGAGATTTTCGAATAATATATTAAGGCCAATGTAAACAATTACAATATCGATAAGATGGGATCTGCAATCATCTACAAAAATCGGAATGAAATAAACTCTTAATTAGAACTTAAAATTTAAGACTATATAAATTAGATAACTCAGGTGAACAAGGATGAAATCTAAAAGAAAATGGAAGATCTAGTTTTGGATTATAAGAATAAAGTAATCAAGTAATTCCTTAATCCTAATATTTAAGTACTAAGGTACCATCATCAATAGAAATATTAAATTCATTTAAGTCTGGATTAGAAGAATTCTAGGTGGCTGTTACTGAGAAGTCACGCCTAGTGAATCCACTCTTGAGTGTAGTGTCCTCCTTATTGTCACCTTCGAATTTCTAGGATATTCTTTATAAGATCCCCTAAAAATAGAGTGCAAAGTGTACACTGATTTACTAAGGATCGAAAGATGGATTTGAGACTATCAAATTTTGGAATAAAATCTAAAACAAATCCAATCTACTCATGATAATGAAATTAAAGAACAATGTGTGTATTTTTGGAGGATATTCACCTTGTCAATGGTTGAAGTCATCTTAACCTTAATTTATTGCAGATAATCAAGGCCATTCATTTTTGTTTATACAAAATAAAAGTGTTCAGATGCAATACTATCCAATCAAAAGTGATTTTAAACATCAAGCAATTTCTGTGAATTAAAACTATGGACCATTGTTTGGTAAGAATGATCTGCAGATATTCTCTGACTTCAAAGAAGGATACATCAATATAGGGTAACATTACTTCAGAGATCCAAAAGATAATTAATAAAGCCTCCTTTTGGGACCTAAATTAACAGAGATTACGGAATGTGAAGTCTATGAATTATGAACCATTTAAAAAATGAGCAATTATGTAAATCTTATTATTATAATTATGATATAACTCCTTCAAACAAGCAAATCATAGAGTTCCTTTGAATCATTCACTAATTTAAATTACAAGTGCATCTTCCTCATATTCTCCATTACTTGTTTGATACTGTCCTTCTTAGCAACTTCAATGGCAACTAAACATGGACCTCTTTCTCTATTAGCCTTCTTTTGGAATTAGATGTGAGTGATATCATCATCAGGACCGAGACAACTATGAAATACTGGGGATCAAATACAAACTAACAAAGTTCTTGAGAATGCCAGATTTAAAGGGCATTTCAATCAAGAAGAAATACTTCAAGCCTTCATGCAATTGCGAATGCTCTTTGAATTCATCAAATCTTGACAAATCCACAGTGCCTCCACTGAGAATGCAAACAACATTTTTGCCTTTGATTTCATGAGCAAATTGATCAAGAACAGATACAGAGAGTGCCTAATGCAATTAATGATTTTATTACACCAGCAGGTTCAACTGCAATTCCTTAATTATACAATTGCAAGATAGTAGTACTGACTCTACCTTCCTCAACCTTCACCAATTAATCAAGCTTCTCCATACAAATGTCTAGACATAATTTAGGTACTGATGGAACAGCAGACCCCTCACAAAATCTAGAGAAGTGTTCTTATTTCACAACTTATTTTGCTTAGAATGCTTGAATCATGGAATCAGCTCCATCTGGTTAGACTCCAATTACTTTGGTATTTGGACTCATGGCTTTGATATATGTAGCAATTCCTGCAGCAAGTGCTCCTTATCCAACAGGCAAAAATATGTAATCTACATCTCCTGGCATCTCATCAAGAATTTCAATTCCCTTATGTTGATTAACTATCTTACAATTGTACCACAACCATGTATGGCTTTGATGTTGTCACTTGGATGGATAAGTACTTTATCATTTTCCTTGATGTATTTTTTTGCTGCCTCTTCACATTCATCGAAGTTTTCTCCAGCTGTTTTGACTTCCACGTATTGCTTGCCATTTTTTTGTATCAAATCTATTTTCCATCCATAACAGACTTCAGGGACAAAAATCGTACCTACACATAATGACGTACTATCATACCTTTAATCTTGAAGTGATTACAGAAGAAGGCAAATGCTTAAGCAAAGTTACCATCACTTACTGTTACTACTCCTTTTTCTTTTTACTCTTTTGTAAGAGATTGTAGTGATGTAAAGGCACTTCTCATCTTGAATACTCTTGTCAATTATTGATCCTCTCTTTTTAAGTAGACAGTTGAGTGATATTGCTCTGACAATTTTAGTGACTTTTAGAGCTTAGTCTAAAAGGAAATGCCACTTTCTCTCATTTATTTATGTGCTTAAGTGATGGAGGGAATCATATAAAATTATTTATTTATAGTACAGATATATTTAAAAATAATATTAATTTAATATGTCCAATATATTATAGAGGATGGTCACTAAAGAGGCCAAGAGGAGACAAGTGGAGAGTCGCTTATTAAATAAATCATAACAAACATTCAGACAACTCATTCCAGATTTGAAATCTCCTAATAAACCACCTCAAGTCTCAACTGCACTTGAGTAGTTTAAGAGTAAATTTACAGAAGGTAAGTACGTTTTTTAAATTGAATAACAACGAAAGAACCAACTAGATGAAGTATTCTAGAGAGTGCAATTACCAATTAAAAGAGACTTCTTGGATGTATTATTGCAATAATTTGAAACTGAATTATGGAGAGTTTGTAATGAATAGAATCTCCAGTACTTAAGTGATCGATATTTGAGTTATCAATTATCAAATAACAAGTTTCTTAAACATCTCGTCTAATATGTGGATGAGTAGAGAGAGAAGGCTGAACTCGCCTTGGGATAGTTGGCAGGCAAAGAAGCAACGATTAATGAGTTGTAAAATAAATATGCACAACTATAGACGATGTTTCAACAATTGTCTCACAACAAAGACGATGGATAGACTAAGCTGAATAAAAATGAAAGTGTCAAAAGATAGAAAGAATTGTATATGGAGAATGTGAGATTGAAGAATGAAATTGAAAGAATTCAAGATAAATTAAAACAAATCGAAAATCAAACTAATATTCAGAAATTACAAGAATAATACTAAGAATTAGCAAGAAAATCAAGTGAGAAAATACATGAACTCTTGAATGAAAATCAAATTAAAGAAAAATAACTATAAAAACTCAATCTACACTATTAGAACATCAAATCTCAATATAGTAAATTAGAAAATGAATCCAAAGCCTATTAAACGGTATTTGAAGCCAATAAGTAACATCTCGATCGATTGATTAAGGAGAATGAAATTCATACAAACTTAATGAATAGATACAGGGAAATTGCTTGTATGCAGAGAGAAGACTTTGAAGTGAGAATCATGTATTACAAGGAAGAATTAAGTGTAGCATCTAAAGCTAAAGATAAGTTGATATAATTGTAATCAAAATTAGATCGATTTCAAATAGAGAAATCTAAAGACATAGAACCATTACCCAATAATAATTTTGAGAAAGAAAAGACAGGCTTGGAGAAATTTAATGATTTATTTAGTAATGATAAGACTTATTAGCGTCTGACTTATCAGGCTCTGCAAGAGGAAAAAGGGAGAATTGTATCTAGAGTGGGACATTCAATAGTAACTATGGAATAGCACTTTAATGCATAGGAAATACAGTTGGAGAAATTCACAATTGGATATTGTCCATTTGTCAATTTGGTTGAGCATCACAAGAAGACACTCGAACAAGAGTTTAGTGGATTGCAATATAAACGACCAAATCTATAATTGTTAGTTACATTAAGAGTTATTCTTGATAGTAAATGGAATGAAATGTAGATGAAACCAGAGAAATTGTGGACTCATTTAGCAGAATTCACATATTCTCATTTAATGAATTTTAAAGTCGACATGTAAACCAAATCTATCAAAAAGATTGATCAAGATGTTCATCGTATAGATGATCAGATTATTAAATTTATAGTGGATTTCAGTAATCCTGTATTTGAGAAGAATTGGGAATGCATAACATTCTAAGAATTCTTAAATGATTTTACTAGTTAAGATGAGATCTATTTCTATTTGTATGCTCGAAACCTCTTATTCCGTGGACCTGAATGTTTTCATGCCACAGCATACTATGAACCGCATCATTACATTCCATTGTTGTAGGCTGAGTTTGTAGCCACTCATATACTCTCACAATATGAAACTGCCACACTCTAATAAGTCAAGAAGGTCTTGAGAGAAAAAGCAGTCAATAAGACCATCACTAAGAATCTTTTCATTGTAGATGCTTCTTTTGTTTTGAGAATATTGCTTGAATTCTACAGAGTAGAACGTAGAAATAGATACAAGATGTTTAAAATAGCATTCGGGAGCAGAGCCACAAATATCAGTTTCAAACTATTCAGAGTTGTATTAATTAGCAATTATCCTTACATTACAGACCTTGAATTAGCAACTCTATATAGAGAGGCTTATTCATTCACTGGTACTGGAGTATCGATTGATTCCTTTTACACTATCGCTTCTGAAACTGGGTTTTTTGTTAAGCATCTCAAATTATAAAATCTTACTACTCAACCTAAGATTGTTAATAAGGAATTCGTATTTGAACCTGATACTCAACCCTTCCTGATCGTCAATGAAGCATACAAGAGAGTATGTTATGTGTATAATTTAGTTTTAAACTTTTTAGAACAAATTTGAATCAATTCTAATTGATTTTGGTTTGGAAGAGTTGTTTGCTTAATTTAGAGAATTGGATAATCTAATCTAATAGAAATTTGCTCCTCTTTAATACAATCAGAAAACATTATCCTAGATCATTGAACATTATATGAGTCTATTTAGAAATATCAATAATATCATTTGCAGCAGACTCTTCCTCTAAGATTAGTAAATACTATCTATATTTAAAGGGTTCAATAAGGGTAAGAGTTTCTAGTCAAACATGAGGAAAAGATGAAATTCAATAAAGACTAGAATAAAGAGGCCTAATTTTATTCAGGTGATAATTTTAATAAACAATATTTAAGAAGAGAAGATTTCATTCCTGATATTGAGATATTGAAAGGACAGATGGATTGTCTGGAACATCTAGGCTCATATTTAGAATCATACGAATTAGTGAAAAAAAGAAGAGATTACAGAATGACAATTTAAGCTAAGAAAATACAGAAGTTTGTTAAGAAGAAAATGAATAAATTTTATAGTTTTGTAAGTTCTTTGTTGAGTGCCAAATTTAAAGCTTCTCTTAAATAAGGCAAATGATTAATAATGAGACTTTATTATTGTATTATAAATTAAATTAAGGATATATACAATAATAATTTATAATCATTCTTATATATATTGTATATATAGTAATTCTTCTAATACTTATTATCTAAAATTTATGAATATATTAATTCATCTATTCAAAAGTTATAATTATATACACAAATCTAATCCCAAATGGAAGGAATAATCTCATTAATTGTTATGAACTCTAGGTTAAGCAGTCTAGATTTTGCAGATGAGTATTATTCTTTATAAAATCAATATTAATTATATATCATTCACTAGGATAATTTAATGAACCTTTTCTCAATTACATCAACTCTTTATTAGATCTTGACCATCTTGGCATTGACTTAATCCAATCTCTTCTTTGAATCTGCTATTCTTTCAAATTATTAGAGGTAGTATTGATCTTTGCCAAAATGAGTGTCTTGAATCAGCATTTACATTTCTAATTCATTATTTAACATTACCATCTTTGATCTATGTTAACAGGGCTTCCAATTAGGCCTATTGAGCTTGTAATTCGTCGCTTGAATTGAATTGTAATAGCTTTTCAAATATTTCCTGAACTTTGTTGTCCATAATTATTAATATAATTTAACGAAAAATAAATGATGAAGAACCCAAAAGTAAAGGAATCTCTAACTTCTCGATTAGAATAGTAGGAATGCTGTAAGTTGCAAGGACACGAGAACAACTTGATTCAATTTATTTGTGCTTGTTATGAATGTCCATATCGTTATTAGAAGGCATGCGCACATTGTGTAATCAAACTGCATGGGAAACATGTGGAGGACATGAAGGAGATTGAGGAATTCGATTAAATTATCAATGAGAACAGTAAGAAAGCAAAGAGTTTGATGAAGGAGAGTGAGGAACTCTTTTTGAAGTTGAAAAACCCGTTTGGGAATTTCTTTGAATAATTGAAACTACAAATAAATGATATGATCGATAGTATTCAATAACGATATCAGTTGTAAAATCAAGAGCGAGCACAGTAGTTAATAAGGAATGAATTGGATTTTATTAATTAATTCAATTAGAATGTGAATTCTAAATAAAATCGCTATTTGAATGATCATACTTTAAAGTAGTATAGTAATTCAATAAAGACAGCGTAGGATAAATTGAGTAATGCACTTTCTCTATTTGAATTGAAATAGTTGTTGGAATCGAATTTGATATTATTACTAGAAGATTTTGGCAAGAACACAGGAGTCAGTTATATTGTGAACACAAGTCGAAATACGAGTTAGAGACATAGTAGTTGTCACAATATAATGACTCCCAGATCTGCATTGAATGTGTTTAATCACAATATTAGTGCAGTCAGATCTAAAAAAATTAGAAATTGATTAATTTATGAGTATATAATCTAAATAATATCTCTCTACATCAGCACCTCATGTGGATACATCTCAATTATCAAATGTGTCACCAAAAAAGGAGTTTTATGATGCCACAAAACAATTGGAAGCTGTGAAAAGAAGAGTCAGTCTTCTTAGATTGGAGAATGAAATAAGGTATAATTAAGACATTTTAAGTAAGAGAGAAGAAATTGCAAATTCAACAATAAAAACAGGAACAAATGAATAAGATTAGGGAGGATCATGAATAATTCAAGGAATACAAATAAGCTCATAAGGAGTAAGTGAACATGCAATTACAGAATCTAGTGCATAAAACGAGGAGTATGAAAATGCAACAGTCTCAAGATAAAAAACTAATTCAATATAACTTTCGATAGATGAAGTAACAAGAAGTTAAGAATATTAAAGAGCAATCTCAAAGAAATGAGTACATTATTCGATAGAACTTGGATTCAATAAAATAATAAAAAGCAGAATAAAAATAACAAGTTCAGAGTTCTGTATAAATTGCTCAATAAACTATTCAAAACTTTCGCAAATAAAAGTACCTTCGTTTCATTCAGGAACATCAAATCTCCAAATCTCAGCATTCTTTGGAAGCAGATTTAAAATTGCAGTAGATCGAAGAACTCAAGAAACAAGAAGCTTATCTTTTGATCAGACTTGATGAAACCAATAATGTATTTTAGAATTATATCGTAGCAAGTTAACAAACTCAATCAAAGCACTCTAATCAAGCAATCTCAAACGACACCTAAGACTCCATCCTATTTTTGAGATATTATTATTATATTTTTACAAAACATCCATATTATACTAATAAATTATAATTAAATAATGAGTGAGGATGATTAAGTAATACTTTTTATTCAATAATACCTTAGCATTTTCTAGAGGATGATAATAGTGAAGATGATAAATTCGAGGAAAATCTTGAAAAACAATATGCTGTAATTCAGTTACATAATTGTAGTTATATCCTAAAGTGAGTAACAAGAGACCTGAATCTAAGCATGGCAGGCCGGAAAGTTCCAAATTTTCGTATAAAAAATAAGAATAGCATACAGTAGAATAATAACCCAAACCTTTGGAAGCCATACCCACTTCTCCTGCTCTCAAGAAGTTTAACTAATTAGTATCGTTTCACAAAATACTAATTGAATAATTCTGGAAGAATCATACAATCATGGCTTCTCAAACTGAATTCATAGGTTTTCTGTTAGAATCAGGTTACATATCATCAATATATAAGGATTTCAATTTGAGCAACATGAAATCAATCAAATTCTTAGTGATCTATCTAATGATCGTGGAGTAATCACTATTGAAAGTCTATGTAAGAAAGTACCTGCATGGCATTAAAACGAGAGTATTTCTACAACCTCATTATTCATTATAGATGCAATGTTAGAATTTATAAGGGAAAAAGCACTCAAATTGGCATAGGAATCTAAGAGAAAGTTTTCAGCCCAAAAGAAACCAAAACCATAGTCAGCCAGCACTAAGCGCAGTGGTTTCAATAAGGGAGATTCCAGACCTGTCAGTGGCATCTCTAAAAAGTATCAATCAGGTTTCAGTGATCTGAAAATGTAAATTTACACTTGACATATAGATCTAACATTAATGATAAACCCTTATAAAATAGATCCAAGCATTATTTACAATTGGCTAAGCAAAAATAATAAGAAGAAGATCGACTACTCTAATTAACAATTAACTAAGGCAAGAATGAATACGAATATGAAATGCTCATTAAAATGGGAGAAGCAAATGAATTATCATAAGAATTAGAAAGCAAGATTACTTATAGAGCCTATAAGACTGCATAAGGACACTTGAAGGTTCATGTTTATGAATTGGAACACTTTTAAAGAGATCTAACCTTGGAGGAGTTTTAAAGAGAGTACAACATACTAAGGAGCAAATACAATGAGAAAAAAAAATTGAAGATTTGGGAAGTACTAAATGAGAAGAAAAAGAATTAAAAAAGTCTATAACACTTTGGATCTTCTCAAAAAGAGGATGTCAAATAAAATGAAGTTGATGCCAAAGCTGTAAATAAAAAAGAAAGATAACAAGAATTAAAGAAGGTGCTTTTGGAAACTATGATGCTTTCAAATGTATTGAAGGAACAATTAGTGGTCTTGAATAGGAAGGGTATCAATGCAATTCATAACCAAAGTGTAAAATTATGATATAATATATATGATTTGATACTCTGTTTTGATTAATCCTCAAGTGTCAAGTGTTAAGTATCAATTGTCTCATTAAAATAATTATAATTTAATCAAAACAGTTTGGATAATAATATTAATGTCTTCTAAAAGAGAAGTTATTGCTAAGCATAGAGTTGAGAGTGCTTCCAGATCCTAGAAAAGAAAATTAGAATAGGCTATGCTTCAAGTCAATAGTCATCAACCTATTACCAAAGCACAACAAGCTTTGCCCTCGGAGGATGTTGAATTATATAACAATGTGAATGTGTAACATGTCATCAATGGAACAGATTTTGCTTGGAATCATCTCGAGAGTATGCCAAAGAAACAAATTGATATAGTCTTTCTCCCATAGACGATTGCTGGAATGCAGAACGTCTATTGTGTTGTTAAAAAAAAATATAATGCAGAAATGGCTAGGAGAGAATAAATGGAGGCTGAAAGGATTTAAAAGAACTAAGAGAAACATCACTAATTCGAATAGAGGAAACTCAAAAATGGATTAATCTATGCCAAATTAGGTTTGAAGAAAACTTATCAATCTGCTCCTGCCACTCAATTCACAGAAGAACCTCTGTTTCAAAGATTGAGCAAGCCTAAGCAATCCTTCATTTAGCAATCTACTTATGATCTACCAGATTTTAGAGGATTGCCAATCAAGAATCTCACTTATGTTGACAAATATAAAAATCCAATTCTGATTAATCATTTCATGAGTTCCAATCTATTACCCAAATCTGTGAATAAGGACAAAATCAGAACCAAATTTGAAACATCTGATTAAAAACTAGAGAAATTTCAAAATACAATTCAAGTAGATGAAATGAATCTGGATAATGATTTTAAAGACAATGCAATGCTAGAAATCGATCAATTTGAAAAGATGCTATCTACAATGCCCTAGACTATGTATTCATAAGTTAAAGATAGAGAGAATCAATTGCTCTAATCAGTTGAAGGCTTTAGATCAATTAGGAAGATTAAAAGAGATCCAAATTATCGGCACATTATTGGAAATCAAATTAGAGATTAAATTTTATAAAAATAATGATTTTAATTAGCAGTATCATATATGAACCTTTTTTGACACAGTATCATCGAATTACCATTCTTCTTATTTGACTATTGTATCAAATTCATCCTCAAATTGCTTCTACACATTCGACACACTAAATTCCTTATGATACTTATTAAATCATTATAAGATAAATCTATCTTACCTTCTCCAAACCTAATATAACCTTAGCTACTTGAGTAGGAGTAAGGATGTTTCTCAACTCATCAATGAAATTTCCAAAAGTATAAGTCTTTTAACACAAATTTTCTTTGAAAGTTTATAATTGTATAATGATACTGTTGTAAAAACTAATTTTACTCTTCTATTTTCTCCTTGTCATAATATATTCCTTAATTAGATTCTTTAAGGATTTCATTTAATAGTCTGATATATCAACTTCTCAATTTAAATCAGTAAACCAGTTCGGTTAATTAGATTTGACCTTGTGGTCCATAGTAAATACTTAACATGAATAGGAAAGATTTCAATTACTTATTATAAAATATAATTTGAATCATTCGTCCTTTCTTTATCTCCTCCCCTTTCAAACTTAAATCTTATTGCATCAAGTAATAGATTAATAACATTATTATCAGAATTGTCTTAAAATAGCTGATTCCAACTTGTCATTCAATTGTTATCTACCTACTTAACAGGTTTATTACTAAGGATGATTTTAAATACATACTGATGAAGTAGATCCAACTAATTACATGTAGTTAATATGATCTTTAATAATCTAATTATACTTTCTAATTCATCCTTCAGTTTATTTATTCTGTTTTTCGAGTGATTCCAAATAAATCTTCTTTCTCTTTTTAAATTTTTTGTACTTACCTCTTAAGTTTAGGAGCTGTGGTTGGTACAGATTCTTAAATAAGGGATGAAATTTTTTTATTTGAGTTTTATTTATTTGTAGATTGTTTCTTCTGATTTTTTTCTTTCTTTATTGCTTCCTTCTATTAGGTATTTTATCAGAGATATTCAACTATAATAGATATTAAGAATTAGTCTTTTATAGAAACCCACCCTGTTTTGGTTTTTCTGTTAACATATCACAAAAATGAACTACTACAATTTGGGTAAATAGCTATCAAAAAAGATACGTTAAAGTCTTTTTGGTCAACTTTTCATTCACTAATTCCTTACATTAATATGACTTGTTGAAAATTAAACTGAATAAAATATTAGTAAATTTGAGAATAATGATTTTATTTTAGGTTTCAATTTAGATGATAAATTTCGTAAAAATATAAAATTAGTAAATTATCTTATAAATAAATTAATGAAAAACAATATAACTCAGATTGTTTAATAGGAAACATAAAAAACTTCTCTATTAAATATCTTTGCTAATAGAGATTATATTCATGGACTGTTCTTAGTTTGACTGTAGAACTTATAAATAAATCTTTAGTGTAAATTTAATCTCAGATAATCTAACATTTCTAAAGCAAAATATTTGAGGAGCTTGCCTGATTTGCTATTATATTATGAATCTCTAAAGAAATTATTTAAAAACAGTTTATGATAACTGGAATTATTATAATTTATATAATAGAACGAACAACAAAGATTCTTACCCTTCAAGCAAATTATGATTTAATACTAAAAGTAACTAATATATTCTTTTGAATAAAGCTGATAAATCAAAGGGTATTTATTAATCTTATACTTATTGAAAGGATTAAAATTTTGTGTAACATTCAAAAGAAGTAGCTGATCTATTTTATTCAGTATTTTGGTGTTAATTTTAGGTTCAACATATGTAGATTATATGAAATTTACATCATTTTAATAATAATGAATTAAACCAATCTATAAAGAATTAGAGTAGTACTATAGTACTAAAGCATAAAAATTCTCATTTATTTTTTCACATTTAATAATTTGTATTAATTACTTATTAGTTTCTATAAAATATAGAATGTAATTGGACTTGTGTTTCTCATTAAGTTAATATAATAGAAATATCAAAAGCGATTTTAATAAAGAATTTTTTTGTTAATAATTAGATATCAAATATATGATGTTGCTTCTTCACCACGATAAATATGTCATTATTAATAAGTGGTTTTCTTATTCTTAATTTAATGAATCTAAAATAAGCTCATAAGCTTCTTATTCGTTCCCTAATTTAATTAGTGAATCAGCTAACAATAGAATAAATTTAGATCATTATACCTTTTAGCCTCAAGCTTTTAGGAGTAATGCTTATGGATAAGGCTTAATCATAGCATATTATGGCATCTTTATATTTATTTAAATTGTGTAGTATCAAGCCTTAATTATACAATAATTTACCTTTATTTTACCATGCAGTATCATGCTTTGAATTAATTGAAATTGCTTTGTCATAGCATTCAATGGCATCTTAATATTGATATAAATTGCTTAATGCAAAGCCTATAAAATACTATTTGATAGTTAATGACCTTTATTATTCCAAGCAGCATCAGAATTTTGATTAATTGAAATAACTTTGTCGTAGCATTCAATGGCTTCTTAATATTTATTTAATTTGGTTAAAGCAAGGCCTAATAATACAATATAAAAGTTAATGACCTTTATTATTCCAAGCAGCCTCATAATTGGAATTTATAGAAATAGCTTTATCGTAGCATTCGATTGCTTCTTAATATTGATTTAATTTGTTTAATGCATGGCCTATATAATAATATCTAATTATTAATGACCTTTATTAATCCAAGCAGCCTCATAATTTGGATTAATGGAAATAGCTTTGTCATAGCATTCAATTGCTTCTTAATATTTATTTAAATTGCTTAATGCAAGGCCTATATAATAATATATAAATAGCTGATTACCATTATGAAACCAAGTGACATCATAATTTGGATTAATTGAAATAGCTTTTTTGTAGCATTCAATTGCATCTTTATATTTATTTAATTTGCTTAGTCCATCACCTATATAAGAATATCTAATAGTTAATGACCTATATTATTCCAAGCGACATCATAATTTGGATTAATGAAAATAGCTTTGTAGTAGCATTCGACAGCTTCTTAATATTTATGTAAATGGTTTAATGCATTTCCTATATAATACTATTTCATAGTTAATAACCTTTATTATTCCAAGCGACATCATAATTTGGATTAATAGAAATAGCTTTATTGTAGCATTCCATAGCTTCTTAATGTTAATTTAAATTGTCTAATGCAATGCCTATATAATATTATCTAAAGCAAATTACCTTTATTATTCCAAACTCCAAAATTATTTGGATTAATCTTAATTGCTTTGTCGTAGCATTCAATTGCTTCTTAATATTTATTTAAACTTTTTAATGCATTTCCTATATAATACTATTTCATAATTAATAACCTTTATTATTCCAAGCGTCATCATAATTTGGATTAATGGAAATAGCTTTGTCGCTGCATTCAATGGCTTCTTAATATCGATTTAATTTGTTTAATGCATGGCCTAATAATGCTATCTAATAATTAATTACCTTTAAGATACCAAGTGAGATCATAATTTGGATTAATGAAAATAGCTTTGTCGTAGCATTCGATCGCTTCGTAATATTTATTTATTTTGCTTAATGAAATGCCTATATAATGCTATTCTAATAGCTAATTACCTTTATTAAACCAAGTGACATCATAATTTGGATTAATGGAAATAGATTTGTCATAGCATTCAATGGCTTTTTAATATTGATTTAATTTGCTTAATGCATGCCCTAATAATACTATCTAATAATTAATTACCTTTAAGGTACCAAGTGACATCATAATTTGGATTAATGGAAATAGCTTTGTTATAGCATTCTATTGCTTCTTAATATTGATTTAATTTGTTTAATGCAAGGCCTATATAATAATATCTAATTATTAATGACCTTTATTAATCCAAGCAGCCTCATAATTTGGATTAATGGAAATAGCTTTGTCATAGCATTCAATTGCTTCTTAATATTTATTTAAACTTTTTAATGCATTGCCTATATAATAATATCTAATAGTTAATTGCCTTTTTAATTCCAAGCGATATCGTAATTTGGATTAATAAAAATAGCTTTGTTGTAGCATTCAATAGCTTCTTAATATTTATTTAATTTGATTAATGCATGGCCTAATAATGCTATTTAATAAATAATTGCCTTTATTATTCCAAGCGACATCATAATTTGGATTAATGGAAATAGCTTTATCGTAGCATTCAATAGCTTCATAATGTTAATTTAAATTGTTTAATACATTGCCTATTTAATGCTATCTAATAATTAACTACCTTTATGATACCAAATGACATCATAATTTGGATTAATGGAAATAGCTTTGTTGTAGCATTCAATTGCATCTTAATATTTATTTAATTTGCTTAATGCATAACCTAAATAAATTTAGCTAGCTGTCAATTACATTTATTATTCCTAGCAAAATCATCTTTTGGATTAACGATAATGACAAAAAGTAAAACAAAGTAAAACAGAATACTCAGAAACACATATGAAAAAATGTCTTTTTTGTTGGATTCAATGGCTTTATTATTTTATATTCATTTTTACCAGGTTGAATTTCTTCTGATTCTTATATTATTTTATAGTTTTATTGAATTAGTTTTTTTGTTTTTTATTCTTTTTTTATATATATAGAAGATACATATGTAATTGTATTTTTCCTTCGAATAAAACTGTTTTAGTATATGAATATATTCATTAAAAGTCGAATAGTCTTAATCTTTAAGTATGTTGTCCATGTTTTCTAATATTATAGCTTCCTGATCTATTGTTTTAAAAAACTATTAAAATGATTTCTCCAGTTTTTCTGAGATTTTTATGAATTTTGTCTGTAATTCATTTAAATTTTGTCTGGGTTTGTTCACAAATTCGATCATTCTATGGAATGGGATGCAATCCTTTTAATGGTCTTGATGGATATCAATTAAACATTTCAAACAAAATTTTGTTGTATTCTAACATTTCTGATTCAAACAAAATCCAATTATTTTATCGTTTTCATGGTTTTCATATGTACATTTAAAGTCATCCATTAAATTATAAAAAATACTTATTTATTATTTTTCATATTCAACCCTCAATAATAATATAAAATAAAAAATTATTACCATAATCAATTTATTTTTGGGAATTTTGAAAAGAGTCTAAAAATTTCAAAAGATTGGAATAAAGTTTCGATATTTGAATTGTTTAAATTTCTATCTTTGATTGTAAAAATATGCTCATAACCTTCAATACTACCTAACTTATTTTAATTATGGAATTATTCTTCGTTCTGCATATAAATGAATTGCAAAATCAAAATCATTTATTAAATGTATTTTGGATTAAAAAATGTAAAATAGAATTTTTCATTATTAAAAAAATAATATTTAGGAAAATGATCAAAAGTTTATATTGCAGACCTTCAAATGAAAAAATAAAAATACAAATAGGTTAATAAACGATACTTTTAACTCTCTCTGTAATTTACAATAATTAAGGGGAGTTAATCAATAAAATTTAAGGTAAAAAATTAAGAAAGCATTGGCATAATTTATAATAAAGAATGAAGGATTAAAATAGCTTAAATACTCAAGTATTGAACAAATCCGAAATTTGAAATGGAATGGAGACTTTAGCGATTCTAAAATATAAATTGGTGAGTGGAAGGCTTTTTGATAGAACACTCCCTTGTTTCAGAGGGTTACGTATAATACGAATGGACGAAAAAAAGGACTTTACCATGAAATAATTAGCAGCTTTAACTAGTTACTATTTTGAATATATAAAGTAGGCAAAATTATCTTGTTGAATCTGGATTATATAAGGATGGTATAAGAGTTGGAAAATGGGTGACTACTAAAATTCTATGGATAGTTTAATCCTATTTCGGCAAACAACTTCTGTAAGAATATAAGCTAAATATATAGGAATGAAGTAACGCATAATTATAAAAGATAAAAGTTGGACAATGGATTGAATTGCATCCGGAGTTTTCTAAGTATTCATAATCTCTATACTAAGAAACTTTTTACTTATTTATGAAGGAAGATATATTAATGATGTTAAGAATGGTATTTTGAGTACAAATTTAAGTATTTCTCTGAAAATTCCTAGTAATTAAATAATCTATTTGTAGAGGTGGATAACATATGTAGAAGGGTTGAAAAATGGGTTTTGGGTGGATACTTGTCAATATTTCAATGAGTATTTATTATAATAGAATTTCTAGTCTAATGATATTTCTTGAAATTGGTAATTATAATCAAGGAGTAAGTACGGGTATTTGGACAACCAAGAACTATGGGACTAACTTATTAAATTTGCGTTTTCAGAATAACATATGACTTTTATATTGTTGTAAGGGTGCTATGTGGATGATGAGAGAGATGAAGAATGGGATGTCCTCCTATTCAGAAATAATTAAATTATAAAAAAGTAAAATCTTTTTTTAACCAAATAGAAGAGGCGGTCGAAATTGGAACATTAATACCTCTAGATCCATCAAAATAGAACTATTTCCAATGAGGTATTTTTAAATAGTCTTTATTTATAGAATAATAGGAACTGTTAATGAGAATGGGAAGGAAGAAGGAAGTTGGATGTATTTAAAAGAAACTGATGAATGCAATAAAAATAATCGTTTGAACTTATAAAGAGTTGAATTTATAAATGGAATAAAAAAGATAAATTACTAAAAGACATTTTGATAATTTTAAACAGTGTATAATACTAGTTTTATAGTGATTAATTATTATTAAATTAATGACACTGGACACTTGATTAGGTGTATCAATATGATATATTATTGCATTAGCTTAGAATTGGAGAATCAAATTATTTTCATTTATTCTTCTGATATCCATATTTTGCAATTTACAATATTATTTATATAAATTATGAAAAATTTAAAAGAATGTTTATCTTCTGAGGGAAGTTATAAAAACATAAAACGATTTAAAGAAAATATATAGGATGAGTATATTGATTAAAAATAATCTTAGGGATACTTTGAACTAAGTAGTTGAGACATTGGAGGACATTTTTCAAAGTCCGAAATCGCAACCGATTTAATTAGTGCTTGCAATGAGAGTAAGTCTGTTGGTATGTTTAGCTGAGCAGTTGACAAAAGAACTCATGGATCTACATTATGATTGTGTTGTGTATTCTGTGACCAACAACATTATTTATATGATCGAGGATATTATCATGGCAGATCTAAAGAAAAACGAGAGAGGCAAATTTTATTTCAGTGATTAACCAGGTACAACTAAATATTATTTAGATTAATCCCTTTTATTGCTTGGAAATACACTAATACGATTAGCACTTGAAAGCATTTTTGTATGGAACCTATGGCACCCAAATAATTTAGCCATTACTCAAGTGTAAATTGATGTGCTCTTATTGTAGTTATTAAAGATTAATTGACTAAGGTGTCTAGTTCCCAAAATTGCACTATTTTAATGCTCAGAAAGTCAAAGAATACTATCTAACTGTCAAAGAGAGCTCAAAGAATGGTACTCTCTATCGAAAACAATCCTTAATGTTGAATGACCAATATTTTGATCAACTCAAATAGAAGATTGAGAAGAATCAGTACAATACCATAAAATTGCATGAAATTAATGAGGAATTAAAATGTAATTACATTCTAAGAAATCTAGAGATTAAACATGTAAACGAAAATTAGAAATAATTCATTGAAAATTTCAATAAGGCTTACAAAGACTATCTAGTAAATAATAAATTAGACGAGTTCAACAATTAAGTATAATCAATGTATGCGTATTATTAAATTAAGTTGTTTAGAATATGATGAATTGTCAAGCCAAAAGAAACAGAGTAAGAAACTAATCAATTATTTTTAGATAGCGCAATCTAATTATGTACATATTCAACAGATAAGCAAAGTAATCAATTTTCAAGAAGTATAAGTGTAATACATATATATTTTAATAATCATAGTCCTAAAATTCTTAACAGAAGAATGGTAGCAATAACAAACAACAATCAATTGAACAACTACTACATGAAAATGAGTTGATTTAGGCATAAATACAAAGCTTTGAAATTCCAAAAGTCAATAGTCATATATAGAATATAGACATGTGATTCTTAGATTGATAACCTATTATATAATTTTACATCTTTTGAGTAATGAATTTTTAAAGATATTATAAATAATATCAAATCATATTCAATTTTTATTATATATAATAAAGAACAATAAGAATTTCTAAATTTTATTCTTATTAACATTTATATAGATATTTATTTAAGAGGAATTATTGATCTATAGATTTCATGTAAATATAGTTTAGATATAAGACTAAGAGACTAGAAATAGTGAATAATTCTTTTGAATCTATATGTATTAATAAAGCTCTTTGGTGTTTTATATTGATCAAGAAGTGGATTTTAGAATTTCGTATGGGATTTTCTAAAATCTTGCTGCTTCTGGATTGAATTCTGGAGTTTCTATGAATTACAGAAACAGATTCTATAGTCTTTGTCTTAAACCCTCTAAAGAAGGTTCTGGTCTACCTCTATTTAACATGTCTGCCTCTCTATCTATTAAATCAACTATTTCCCTTGTCAAATTGCAATCCCATTCTTTTACTGTCCATTTTGTATTAACAAGAATATCAAGTCTTTCATCTAAACTTAATTTTCTTTGCTTTAAACCTAGAAAATTGAAAAAGAGATTGTACCATTGTAGATATCCATCAATTCTCTTGCTCTTGTTGTATAGAGAGTGTGGACTTCAGTGAATCTTCCATCAGATTTCCTTAACCATTTTTTAGGATCTGAGATAGATTTCAAGAATTTATTGATCTTCTCATCTTTATTCTTTTGATTAGCTATAATCTTCAACCTGTCAATAGTTTATAGTAAATCTGTTTCCTTATTTAAGACCTATTTAAGAGCAGCTCTCTTCTCCTCTTCAGACATAGCAGAAGATTTGATTCTGGCAATTTCGGTTGTTCTCCAAAGCTGATTAATATGGATGAATGACAAATACTTCTAATTCCTCATATAAGATTTGGAAATCTTCTTTGGTTCTGGGATTGGTTCTCCTTTCTATTTCTTTTTTATGTCTGACTTCTTCTTGTCTTCTAAAATCCTCTTCTTTTTCCAATTATTCATTTTGTAATTACTGCTTTTTTTGTCTCAAAGCATTAGTTCTTCTCCTGGCAAACCAACCTCTGATTAATCGTTAAATAAATAAAGCCGCCTCTTCTCTTCGTTCTTCCCACATTTCACTTGTAAAATATCTAAGACATTTTAGACAACTGTTACAATTTTGGTTCAAAATTTCTATCATTTCTTAAATCAATGAATAGATCTTCCTTTTCCATTTAAGTACCAAATTCTCTCATCATGATTGTAGATTTTGTGGATTCAAAATGGGTTTGTGTGTCTCTATGATTCTTTTCCTTATGCTCTCTGCGATATTAGTTAGTTTGAGCAAATGCATGATGTAACAAAGCACCAGACTTCTTATTTTTTAATCCTCCCAAGTAAGGCTTTTCATAATCTAAACAAATATGGAAGACAAGTAACTTGCTTTAATTATTTGAATAGTCAATGTATATTTCTTTTGTACTTCTCCTTTTTCATCTTTAATGACAACTACTGATTCAAATTATCTTCCCATAGTCTATTCATATTCATCATTTTCATAAAATTGTTCTTGGTCCTCCAGAAAGTTAACCTGCTAGTTGTTATCCATTTTTTGTTAATTATATTTTATATAATCTAATATATATGTTAATATAAAATTCACCTATTCTTGTTTAACCTACTGATCATTAGATATTAGTAAAGTACCAATTCTAGGGATGAAATGGAAATAATTTAGCTGTCATGAGATCAAAATATTAATGATTATTTTAATTGCTTAGAATTAGAAATATAGAGGTTGTATTGTTAAAACACTTCAAGGAATTACAAAAGAATTCATTGGAAGGTTTTATTAAATAAAATATTTCGGAATAGGTGAGAGGCAATTTTTCATTTTTATAATTATTTGATTTTACATTTATTTTCCCTCAAGTCTATATTGGTTTGGGGTTAAATGTTTTCAAAAATTATAAATGTAAAGCTAATGAGTACAGATAAATAAATTAGAGATTATTAAATTCAAAAATACAATGAATATTTTTAAATTACTCAAAGGATTATGAATTAAAAATCAAAACCTACTTATCTGAACCCAAATATATTAACATTTGTATTAAAATCTACTCTAATTTGTATATGCAAAAATAATCTCTATAATTCATAATTATATCTATTCATTTGCATTCTATTCTCCAATATTACTTTCTTTCAAATTTATGCTATTTTTGATGTATTCCCTCATTTAATACCTTCAACTATCAGATCTCTCTTCTTATTCTAAGCACACATTTTTAGATTAAATCTATTTTAGTATATATTACTAGCAGTCTGCAATTTATAAATAAAATAATTTAAAAATAATGGATGTTTGGCGCTAGATTGGCAATCAAAAAGTATAAGATGTTGAAACTGTTCTGGATGCATTTAATAGCACAAATTGTCCAGATTAGATAGCCTATAACAATTGTTTAGGGTTTATGAAATTATTAAAGTCATCTGATCTCCTTGAATAAATTAAGAATCTGTATAGTGATCGTTATTTTTGTCAACAATTATCGCAATCTTAATTTGATAACTTTCTTCGAATAACAATAAAATCAGTCCCCTTGTATTAAGGGAAAGATGAAGACTTTGTGGATGGAATAAACTTACTTCAAGATTATTTTTTAAATTTTAACACCAATCAATTTTGCTTTGCCTTGTTATCGAATAAGAAACTATTGGAAAAGCATCCCAAAATTATGTTAACCATCTTTTCGAAAGCCATAGTTTAAGAAGATCAAATATTATTGAATAAAATTGTCTAATTGTTAGGTCAAAAGTAACTAAAATCCTTCCATCATCAATTCCTAATTGATTTAATTTAAATTGATCTTTCTCAAAAGTAATCATTCAGAACTTACGCTGAAAAACTATTTGACTCTTTCATTGGACACACCATTTCAGAATAACAATTGAAAATCAGCAATTTGACATTTCAAGACATCATATTGGCATTCAAAAGATTAATAAAATGGGATTGTCTAAATTATAAATTTATTGTTGTCAAATTAGATCACTATATCATGACTCAAGAGAAGAATAACGATGCAAATATATTAAAACTGATATTCTACATTATGACTTCCCAGTCATCCCATCTCTGGATCAATTGCTCATATCTTACTAAGACTATAAAACTGCATTGGAAAACTGCTGACTTTGAGTTCCGCTTTTATAGAGTTCTCAAACTCCTCAGAATCAACAATCATCGTGATGTAGATTCTAGCTATAGAATGGGATTTAATGGACTATCTGGACAGAAGGTCGATTCCTTTAGATTAGCCTAAGATCTAGAACAAAACATTAAAAAGGTATTTCTCACTCCTTATATTTATATAGACTATACAAGAAAGTGATCATCAGATTATTTACCTCTAATTTATTAAGTAAGCATTTAAGAGAGAACCGTATTGTTTTAGCTATTCATTCATTTAATTCCTGCTTTAATATCGATATGAGGATAAGCCAGATTTATACTAGCCATTCTGGTCTTTAGTTTCTAAGATCTACTCCTTTTTCTTTATTCAATTATATGAGCAGGATATAACAAATGTGTTTGACTTTTAGGGTATGTTTGTGGATGAGAATGGGAATACTAAGTTGACTACCAAAATTGGAATTCAAAAGAAAAATGCTCGAAATCTAGTCCCTTATTTTTAATAATTGTATGTATTTGATCTAATATTTTAATAGAATTATTAATAGTTAGAATTTAATTATCACCGTTTATAAAAAATTCTATAAATTATTTTTATCAGAAAAACAAATATTTAATTTCTTCACCAATTTAATTTACGAACCTTTATATTAACAGATCGAATTTCAATTTCCTGATAAATCAAATTTGAAACTAAATTAGAACACTCAACTCTATTATATGTTCTCTGATATTTTGGATTCCTTCTAGAATACAAAAAATGTATTATAAGATTACTTGACTGAAATCTTCAAACAACTCAGCTAAAACACTAAAGAGAATACATTCCGAATACTCTCCTATTATTAAAAGATACACAAGAAGTATTAGTAGTCCTCACTCTCTGAATATTGTTTGGATTTAATCAATAAATCTCATGCCTTTATGTTATCTGAGATTTTTTAAGGGAAAAATGAATTGTCCCAACAAATCAACGTTACTTAAAGTTAAAATCTTAAGAATAATTTACAACAACTATTGCAACTCTATCAACCATTATCTGATCTCAGATGCAAAGAGTTAAAATAAATTCAAGATATCATTTTGACTAATTTCTCAGTAAATTCTATTATCTAAAAAGGTCAATTATAATATTAGTATCGATTCTTCAACTTCGAGAAGTTTTTTGCTTTGCTTATTGAAAGCCAATAACAAGTTGTCCTAATAATATTATGAGAAACAATTGAATAACCTTCTCCAACAATTCGACCATCTTTTTGTGACTAACGGTTATGCAAATTAAGAGAAGCTAGAGTAATAATGTTAGAAGTTTTCAGATTTTGAAGAAAAGGAGTAATATCTTAATATTTATAATAGTCAATACGGTTAATACTTTTAATCTATTGTTGAATAAAAATCAATTGCAGTCGAGTAATACATTAGAACCAGTCCTCAACTTAAATAATAATTTTAAGTTTTACTCTATTTGCAATTGTTGAATCTTCTAATTTCAAAGATTAATAGGTACGATTTTGAAGTTGAGGCATTGATTACAAGTTTGAGGAAATTGCTCACTCATCCTTATGTGCCTGATGAATTCATTATTGATATTTGGAATGAAATCTATTTTATTATTGAGTAATTGAATGAATAAAGTTCTGAGAAGTGGTTAGAATTGACTCAATAGAAATTGATGAGTAATGTGTTGATTCATTTGGATTAATCAATCTCGATCACTACCACACTCATATTGGCAGTAATTGTAAATCAGAAATCACTTCAAAAAAAATAGATTCGATTGTAGAAATTGTTTTTACTTGTAAGCGAATTGAAAAGCAATAACCAAAAGAATTCCTTATATCGAATTATTTTTAGCAATTTAGATAAATTGGATTCTAGTCTTTGTTAGAAGATATTTTTTGAAATTAAGGATCAATTAATGATTCAAAGTGGGACATATAAACTATTGAAGTTGATATTGCAAGAACCAGATAATATTGATCATTTTAATCTCATAATCAAGGTGTTTTTAGGGTAGGAAGTTCATCAAATACAAATTCCAATCCTTCAATTTATAGCTGAAAATATATTTAAAATAGGTATGAGGTATTAAATTCTCATCTAATTGGGAGCTTGTGGAAGATCAGTTAAAACCAAAAAGTTTGCTAAACATTTAATCAAGTAATTTTAATAAGCCGTAATATAATGTAAATAATCAAATTATGTTAAGATTAGGATCTGATCTAGTTTATCATGATGATAAATTCTGTCGTCTACTTGGCATCAATATCTATCAAGGATCTCAATTACTAAACTACCTATTGGTTATTCAGAAAAACACTCAAACATTTTTTCTAACCTAGAATCAAATCCAATAATAAGAAATGCAGTTAAATAATAAACTTGATTTCTTATTTCATTGAATAAAGTGTTTGTTTAACACCTGTCAAATCTGAATTTGAATTCCAATTATCTGAAAAATTAGAAATCAACCTAAAAAAGTTGCCTGAATCAATTCAGTAATCCAATAAATCTATTATTGATTTTACAGACATGATGGGAGTATTGCAACAGTATTTGAATGATGTAATGTCACTTGGAAAGAAGAATTTTGAATTCCTTAAGAAGGATCAACAACCTCAGGGTAATTTAGATATATTTGATGCAGTATTATTTTCAGTATCTTTTATATATATATTTTAGATGAACCGAAATCAATCTAAATAAATAGTGAAATCTAAATAATAATAAATTACTAATCCATTTTAGAATTTTGCAGATTTTAAGTAATCATCCAAAATGGAGAAAGTGACCAAGGCTCTTGATGTAGAGAAAGAAATTAAATGACTGATTTTTGTACTTTTTAGTTGCTGTAATATATAAATTAAACTAATTTCATTATTTGTTTATTCAGTTGAAGTCAAATATTTCACTTTCTTAGTGTTGATGCTTAAGTGATTCTTGAAGGAAATATGAATTTGGCAAAGGCTATTAAAATTTTGCATGAAAATCCTGATATTACTATCCATTCTACTATTTATTACTCATAATTTTTGTATTCTACCTGAGTTATATCTTTCTCATTATACCGTATTTTAATACCTTTAAGTTACAATAAAATTAATCAGCATTTAATTACTCATATTGTAATTAATCATTTTGATATATCTAATTATAGATCAAAGAGATCAAATACTATAAATTTAGTATAGGCTTAAATAGTGTTCCAAGCATTGCCTATGGATTTAATTCATAAAAGGACTTTTAAAAATGCTTATATTTCCTTGGCTTTATTCTTATGATTGAATGAATGATTAGATAGTTCAATAATTTAGCCAGGTTTATTCTTCTCAAACCTTTTGCTAGATGAGATAATGAAATTGGATATATATGCTTTATTATTGATATATATTAATAATATGAAACTTTATATAGTATTTTTGGTAATCTGCGTGGTTACCTCATAAAAAGAAAATACAGAATTGTCCCAAGAAGACTAAACTCTATTGGATAGTATGTTTAAAGACAAATTCGGATTGAATGTGTTAAATGATATACAAAGTGAATACAGAAAAGATTCCGGTAATAGTATAATGCGTATTTTGAGAAAGGAAGGAATAATTGGTGAGAATCGAGAGTTTATTGAACACAATTGAAAGACAGATAGCTTAAGACGAGTAGGATGATTTAGAATAATTAACCAAGGATTAAGAACTCTGTATTAAAAAAAACGAATTTTATATTAGATAATTAATAATTAGAGAGTTTGAAAGAAAAAATAGCTGAAGCATAATATGATTATAGTAGCATAGGTGCAAACATCAGATTGTTGGAAGATGAATCAAACAGATATGATACTTAAATAAATGAGAAAGAGAATATTGTGAATGAATATGAATCAACTCTAGTTTAATTGGAGGAGATCAGATAACATGAAGTAAATAAGATAGAGTATATAAATAGAATGCATATTTTGAAATTACTAGAGATGATTCTTTTGCTATTTGCAGTTTAATCAAGAGAGCCAGATACTTGATTAGGGAATTATTACCTAGAAGTCCAAGGAATGTTGCATTTGTTCAATAATACACTTATGAAGACAATTCTCATCAATTCTCTAGTTCAGATGTCTTATAATAAATGAGAGATCTTTAAGTTGAGGCTTAAGAGACTCTTTAAAATAATGAACCATTTCTCAAGATCATAAGTTTTAAATATCAATTAATTAAAAGATGAATTTGTCACTGTTTCTACTCAAACTGAAGCTGTCATAGACACTACTAGAGCAAATGCCATCATTAATTTATTCTAATAATTATATGATTAAGTTGATAGTACTAGCAGAGTGTAACTAACTGCGGAAGATGATAGATAAAACCTTCATTAACGAGTGAAGGATTAAATAAATGGAGAATTGGACTATTTACACTTATAGGTATTGAAATGTGCACCATTTTGTAGCTCTCCATACTCTATGATGAACAAGATGGTGTTGAAGCCCACATTATAGCAGCACAAATGGATTAGAAGGATGGTGATTAAAGATTGGCCAATCTTAAATAGTCTTTCTAAGATTTACAAAAATGCAAGGAAGATTCAAAAGTATTATGTAGAATCCTATGTTAGGTGAATTATGGAGTTAGATCAAAGGAGAGAAAGGAACAATTGAAATTGCTAAGGAAGGCAAGGGAAGTTCTATTGAATGAGTTTGATGCTGTTAGATGTTACATTGAGGATATTCTTAGTAGAAGTGTAAGTCAGAATTGATAAATTTTATGAATAATCTAAATAGTATATAAGAGCTAATACTCAGTATATTTATACAAAAATACAAAATTCATGAAATTGGCAGCGAAGTACTTTCTCTACTCAACTTGATTCTACATTTTTTAGACACGTCCAATATTAATTGTATTACAACACAAAAAATGACAATTAGCATGATTGAGAGTATAGTTGCAATTATAATACGTTTGGATTGATTATCTTTGCTTTGTAAACCTATGGTTATTGGGTAATATTACCTAATAAACTATTAATAGTGGTTCCTTCCAAATAATTTGCAATTTCTAATAAAAACACTTGTTAATTGTTTTGAACTTTTTTTAATTGCTGCTCCTGGAGTTGATCACTAGAACCCAGTTCTAATACTTCTATATTCTCGGATTCTTTGATTGGTAATTGGATGGAATAAGTTAAGACTATTATACATATTAAAATAAACATGTTAAATTATTTATAAACGTTTTTAAGAAATTATTTGGAACTCATATAATGATTATTGACAATAAATGTATATTATAAACAAGTATTGTTTTAATTCAAGATTTTAATTTGCATCTTTGAATCATCCTAACTTTATAGTTATTCATCATCTTGACTGTATAGTTATTCGTATTAATATATATGAATAACAGTTAATATTATTGTAAATTCTTATAAACAGTAAGTATCAATCATTGAATATCTTTTGTCTACTTTGGATATAGGATCTACAAATTGGACAGAAATATCTACGACTGTAGCATTCCTGACAGCCGACCAAATGTTAACAAGGTAATACAATTATATTTGAATTTCGATTCTTACAAATTTTGCATTTTAATTATCTATGCTAGTTGGATATGAGAATCTAATTCACTTATCCATTCTCAAATATAAGCATCCTTTTTGCAAACTTGTACATCATACATAAACATAATGCTATAATTCCAATTTTTAATAGTAATTTAAGTACATGTTTTGTATAAAACCGTTTAAATATTTAATTTAGATCTATATTTTTCATCTCCTATAAAGCTTTAATTTTGTTACATCTTAAGATTTAGGTTTATGAATTATAAATGAAATCGCCAACAAGGAAAAACTCTTCATTACTGAGAATAATCCTTCGAGGATAAGATACAATTTCATATCCTTCCTTGATATAAATATTATTAGGCACACTAATTTGTACTTCTAAGTTATCAATAATCTTTGATTTAAAATCTATCATCTATCACTATTGAATTGATATCTTACATCAAACTTTGATTTCAAAGTTTAAATTCGTTTAATTGGGTATCCAGTTATTGTCATATTATCAAAATACTTAAGTCCCCTCTAATTGACATCTAAATTTTTAATCATTCTAAATATATTATTCACAGGTTAGTTGCGTCTGAATTATTTCAAATACATCAACTATACTATTTACACTCAGACTTACTTGCTTAATAAAAGATTTTACACTTAAATACAAAACAAAAGCCGCACCAAAAAATAATCGGATATTCATGAGTTTGTAATATGTAAATTACAATATAATTATTCTTATAATAAAAATTATAATGTCTAATAGTTAAGAAAGAGATCAAGAAATAAAGTCAATTCGTTAAGAAATGTTGAGGGATGCAGAACAGAATGCTAAGAAATAAAGATTTGGACTGTTCTCCTCACCTGTTCCATTAGGATTGGGAGATGACAGTATGGAAATGAGGAAAAGACGTAATGAAAGAACATAATATGATTAGCATAAAGAGGGGAGAATGGGAAACCGATAACAGAACCGTCTAATATGAAGGTTTGTGCTACTCGTACAGGAAGAATTAGATCTTCCTATTTTGGACCTTTGAGTTTTACAACTGTCGGAGATCCATACATAGATCCTGAAAAAGTGTTAACAATTTATGAGAAGGAGCAAAAGAAGTTATGTAACAAAGAGGCTGCATTCAAGCCTCCTTCTGGATACAAAGAATTGATGGGCAGTGCTTATTCGCATATGAAGGAATATGATTACAAAAAGGTGGAGAGTAGGAAACAAACGGATGGGAGAGTGTATTCTGCACCCAGAAATGTTACAACCAATCCAAGATGTAAAGTACTGGACAAGTCGATTCCTTATTTGACAGACGATTACAATCGATATAGTGATTTCGAAAGAGTATTCAAATTATTAAGCTAAAGAAAGCAAGAATGGAAAGCAAGAGCAAAGAGAAGGAACAGCCCTTTCGAAGCACTGTGAATGGAGGCTACACTTTTGAAAAAGACAAAAACATATTTGGAGTAACTAAGATGCCACCTTAGAGTCAGAGGAAGTCTCCTGACCTTAAGTCAGCAAAGCACGAATCAGCTTTTCGTCCAGCCAATGGGTTAAAGAAAGGGTTTGATGGATTGTTCGGTCATTTTTAGTACAAGTCCGACCCTATGAGGGAAATCAAAAGATAGTTTAGTTCCAAAAAGGAAAGAGAGAGTTTTAAGTAAGGATAAATATTCAATGATAGACCTGCAGATTTGGGGAACAAGACTCGGCCAAATCCAACGATATCGTGTTTCAAAATGAACATAAGGAGAGAAATGGCTGGACATATTTGATTACAGTATATATTGTTATATAATAAAATATTATTATATAATAAATTATTATATATTTAAGATTTAGTTTGAAACAACGATGGAATGACGCAGTATGTACTAATTTTTTTTATAATGATTTACATCATATTTATTCGCTTTCGCACTATTCGATTTCATAATTTGAGGATAGATTAGGCAAACTCATAGGAGGGAAAAGTTAAATAAATTAACATGAATATTCTTAATGAAATAAAGAAGCAGGTGGATATAGAGATGAAAAAGATCAAGAAGGTACCAGTGTCTAAGAAGACGATACCTTCCTAATAAAAGAAAGAATTGGTTGATATGGTGAATTAGGGAGTGCTTTTGAAAGATGCAGCAAAAAAATTAAATCTAAATTATCATGAAGCAAAAGTAGCATACAACGAATAAAAGAGGAAATCCATGAGTACTTAAAGTGAAACTGAATCAGCAGTTTATAGTGTTCGGACTGCTGGAGTTACTGCTCTGAAATGGTTCCCAAGACACTTTTTATTGTAATAGAGTGTCAACAATAACTTGGTATCTGTTAGACGGCTATATAATGTATTGGTTTTGAACCCAAAACAATAATGATTTTTAATTTAATTATTAATACTACGTCATAAATTTATTAATGAACAATATCAAAACAGTTCTAGGGTGCCTTACTCCTTTTCCTTTTTAAGAGTTTCAAAATAGCCATAAATAATAGTTACTGATAAAAGTATTCCAGTTCCTAAATTGTTAAATCATAGAATACCTGAACCAATTGCCCCCAAGAAATCAGCCAAAATAGTCAAAGCACCAATACACATTCCACCAAAAGAAGCAGCTATAGGAATATATCTCTTGAGAACATCCTTCATGGAAGAATCTCTGTATCCAACTATTTACATGTCTTACTCTTTGAGTTATTTGGCAACCTTTAAAATTAGATAGATTTAATACATCTTTTGGTGATGATCCAGAAACATCAATCCAAGTCTTTGAGAAGACTGCACAAGTTCCTAAAATGAATGCTGTATACAAAATAGTGTGAATTGGATCAAAGATGGCTTCAGAAATTGATCTGGGAGGTGAGACATAATAGACTAATCCACCAATGGGAACAGTTTATCCATTGTCTAATTCTTACCAATGACCAAGTAATCTGATTAGGAAATTGCCTCTGAAATTTCTGTATAAGATTTGGGAAAGGAAATAAAAGATTTGAAACCAAAGCAGTTTGGAGAATGATTGGAATGTTTGAGGTATAGAACAATTTGATTGGATATGATGTTAATCCTCCTCTGACTTTATTGTTTTTGATTGGAATATCTACCTTAAATCCTTAGAAGTAGATAACAATCATGAAAACTAACACGGTTGCCAATAAATTAGTGAGATTAGGTAATGAATCTCTCAGGATGGCTGATTAGATGGCAGCGACCTTATCATCTCTGATAAATAATCCATGGAAGAGTGCAATGATGGCTCCTTCATATTCCAATCCAAGTTCAGTTCTGTGAGTGATTGGGGAGAATGCTTTCCACATAATGTTTTCACAAATGTTGATTGCTATGAATAGGGATGTTCCTGAGTTTCCAATTCCATATCCTTTAGATAATAATTCATCGATCATGATCATAACAATAGCTGAGAAGACTAATTGAATGATGATCAATATAGCATTGCCTGCTCCCAATTTATCCAAATCACCGTACATTCCAGACCAAACATATGCGAATGCTTCACCAAAGGCAATTAATATTCCTAATAATTTCTAAGCTCCTGAGTACAATTGCTTATCTTCCTTTACATTCTAATCCACATCGATTAATTTTGCACCAGCCAATAATTACATAATCATTGAAGCTGTCACCATAGGTGAAATACCCAATTCCATCAAAGTTCCTCTATTTGATGCCAATATGACTCTAAGCCAATAGAAAGGGTCTCCAGCAGAAGCTTTGTAAATACCATAGAGTGGGATTTATGAGCAAATCAAATACAAGAGTGTGGCTATTGCTGTCCATAAAGCTCTATATTTGAACAAAATCTAATTGTAAATATGAACAGTATACTCTTCTTTCAGGTTCAGCCACATCTGGAATAATGGCCATTGCTGGTCTCATGTAATTGAGGATCTTGGTTTTGCTAGGCATTAAATTTATTATTGAAATGAGGCCATTTTTCTTTTTATTTCACATCATTCACACGTGTGAATTATATTATTATGGACAATATTTAATAAAGAGAAACTTTAGGCTTATTCATAAGATTCACCAGCGTCTGCTAAATTCGTTGTGGAGTCTTAAGCTCCAAAGACGATGTGCTTACTAAGGACAACCATTAATGTTTGGGTATGTAATTAGTTGTAATGTGAATAGAGAAATGCACAAATCACATGATAGATTCTTTTAGAAGAATACAAGATGCATACAAATGATCGAAATACATTAAACAAAACAAAATATCATTATTTAATAACTTCATCGAATTTTTAAGATAATTCCTGAAGGATTGTGTTTGAATATTGCATAGTATACTTCCCACCTTTCTCAATTATAATCTTATGATCCATCAATTCCTTAAGATTATCTTTCAATTGAATTTTGCTTGATACGATCATCTCATCCGATAGAACATCATACAGATCTTAAAAATTCAATCCCTAAAATTTTATAAATATTATATATACATCTCTGCTTTCTAATACTTTTCCTGCAAAATAATAGACTATGTTTTTCTGTTTCTGAGTCATACTTGATAACACATACCACAACCCCTCCTCTTGTTTCTATTTTCCCACCTAATCTTCAAAGATCTATAATATCTCCTGAACATACGGTCTATTTGTATGCACACACGAGAAGAATGCTCTTTGAATTTTGCATATCATTGCATAGCGATAATTATCGAAACTGCATGCCATACGAACATTCGGACAATTGCTCAATTATCCAAGTAATTTCTATGCTTACTCATTTAATAAATGACGACCATCTATGCTATGAGCAATGATAATGATTGAATGAGGAGTGTTCTCAATGCATTTAATGATTTATTCTGAATTTCTGACATGTGAGTCTATTTTCAACACTTCACCCATCTTTTACAAAAACATCTTCATATTCACTAAAGGTTTGAATCCCTTCAAAACAAAAAAGTACGATTATGGATTACTCCTACAACACATCAAAAATGTATATACTCCATCAATTCTTTCATAGCCTTCTCAAGTAATTCAATTTTACTCCCAATCCCATACACTAGAACATTGAAATCATGATTGACCTATTAAACAATGTCTGTTGAACCAATAATATTTTCTTCAAATTTCTCCTTCTCTGCTTAATCAGCCAATCTTGCTTATAACTTTGTTAAATCAAAGTCAGAACTATCAAATTTTGTGATTTCGGATGTGTCCTTTATCTTCAAAGATGATATATAATCTTTCAATTTTCCATATCTCCTTTAATACTCCTCTCTTCCTTTCTCATAAGTTTCTATTTACATTAAATGTATAATTAAATACTAATAAATTTTGTAAATAAACAAACATCAATATTATAATACATTAAGACTTCCATTCTGACTAGTCAAAATGAGTGTCTTATTTCTAAGAATCATCTTAGTGAATTACTAATCTTAATTTCCAATCAAATCAGCCTATCCTGAGAAATCAGTAAACAAATATCCAAGTTTACTTTCTAATACCATTGAAAATACAGCCACATATCCTTTTTTTGTGCCTACATAACAAATATAATTTACATGCTATCAAATATTTATCATGATCAATAATGATGTCAGTTATTAACCCATTATTTTTGTCTATTTTAAAATCCAATAATTAACTCCCATTGCTAAACATCTTGATTTAAGCATCTCCAACAACCAATAAACTTGCTCTGAAGAAGAGTGATTTGACTATCTTTTCTCCATTAATTTCATAATGTTATTGTTGTGTCCAATTATTTGTATTGATAGTAATGACTCTGCCATCAATATCACCAACTGCAATCATGGACTCATCCTCAGTAGCTGCTATGTGTGTAATTTAGGCTTCCCAATCATCAATAATTTCTTCACTGTCTTATTTTATTTGATTTTCAGAACACTCGAATCTCTTTAAAGAACAATCCCATGAACCTGTTACTAAGATTTTCTTCTTCATTAAATACACTAAAGAACTAACTGAATTATTGAATCTCTACACCATTTATACTTTGCTTCCATAATTTATATTGAAAACATGTATCTAAGAACCCCAACTACCTATAGCGAATATTTCATCCTGCTTTAAAGTCACAATACAACTCAAACAAAATTCATCGACTTTGAATGATTTCAATACAATCAACTCCTTTAAATCAATCACCTTTAGAAATCCATCCTAACCAATTGTAACCAATAGATTCTTTTTCTCCAATACTATCAAATCTGTAATGTTTCTTTATATTAATAAATCTAATACGTCTTATGAACTTTCTATAGCATTTTGTGTCTGAATTGATTCTTCTTATCTAAGTTTTCCCACATCAGACCATCAACATTTATAGGAACTTCCTCCTACTTCTATTTTGGAATCTGCTCAACGAATTTGTACATAATTTAGCCAGCTCTTAATGCACATTTAGGAGGGTGTTAGATTTTGAACAACTACTTTGGACACTACCCAAATTCATTTATTTAGCATATGCTTGCCTGTCTCTCAATAGGATCTTGCATTTGACTCAATTGAACTGTGCCTTCATAGGTTAAATAATGGAAAACTAAAGAAAAATCAATCATATTTTACAATACCATTATTGGCTTCGACTGAATGAGGTCCCTTTTGTTTGTATCCAAATATCAAATCTATCCAGTGATGCAATTCATTACTAACGTAATCACTTTCTAATGCCAATCTATTTAATCTAAGATATTCCTTGGCACTCTTAGCCCATTTTGGTAACTTAACATCTCCAACTTTCTTCTAGTTTTATCTTACTCCAAGATCTAAATTCAATGTGTTAACTAAAAATGAGTCATCTTCTATAAAGAACTCAGGTATCAACTCTTTCAATGATGTAGTATTATTCATCACATTCTTAAAGTCACCTTTGATGCTTTTGAATAGTCGATCAGGTTTATCAAATTTGCCTGATTATAATTTTAACATGTATTATGGTTTCTGTCTCACCAAATAACCTATTACATAACCTGGAGTTGAATAATGTGTGCCATACAGGAACTTTGGTGGTGGCATTTCTTCATATCTCTTCTTGAACTCTTACAATCTCTTCTCATTCAAAGCCCCTATTGGTTTCTTGAGGTCCCTAAAAGTTGCTGAATCATTTAAATTTAATTCAGATGACTCATAATCGACAATAATTAAGGGAAAAACAGGATATTGAGTTAAATCACTAGAACTTCGATTGCCAGCTTAATTCAAACGCATTAAATACTCAAAATTTGATATTTATCCACTTTACCATAGATATTGGATCTTCTCCAAACTTGTCTCTGCCTCTATAGTCACCTTTCCTGAACAAATCAATATGAATGAATACCAATAAGCACTTTGTACACCTCTTCCATCCTTTCTTGATTTTCAAATGCATAATATATAGTCTTCCCACTCTTCAGAATGATTTCCAAACCTATGTCCAGCAATTCAAATCTTCGCTTGTACATTACCTTGATTTACTCAATTACAATCTTCTTGCATGGTTTTAAGGTGATTTTGAAAAAGGGTTGAAAGTAAATAATCTTATTGGTTATGTACATTATTCCTTATATACAATATTTGTAATACCTTTGGTTTAAATTAATGGCATAATTCTCCTTACAAGCATCTCCTTCTAGATCAAGGGTTTCTCGCTGACAGATTCCACAAAACTCATATTAAATCTAGCCTTTTGCAATTTCTCAGAATCCAACTTCTCAACTTCACTTTCAACATCCTTTTTCTATTGATTGATCTATTATATTTTCTCAATCAGATCATGAACCACCTTGACATTATCAAATAATGGTTCTATTTGGATTTCAAAATCTACATCATCCTAATAGATGTAAGGTGAAGGAGGGCCTTAGGTGAATATCTCAATAATCCTCTTAATCCTAAAACTAATGAAATTGGTTTGCTTGATCGGTGTTGTGATCATTCGATAGAACAATTTCTAAATGGGTAACTCTTATTTCTCTGGCTCAAAAATCAGAGTCCTTGAGCATATATGAACCTTTCCTCTTTCCAATCTAAAACTTAGCAATCTTTAAATACCTTTCCTCTCCTTTCAGCATATTGATTTATCGAACCTTCGCTGATAGATCCTGCAAGTACTTTTCACTCTCTTCCAAATAATATAATGAGAATCGACTTTTCGAAGAAGTAAATGTTATCATATTTGTATTAATAATTTTATACAGATTTCATTACTTACTTACACATATTAAGAATGGCAAGTCATACAATCAGGTATGTAATGCAGTAATACTTAAACGCAAAGACTTGGAGACTGACAAATACTTCTTAATTGATATAGTACTAACAGGCAAAGCATGTTTAGTGAAAGAGTAGCTAAGGCATAAGGGAGAAATTGCCATTCATAAAACTAGGATAATCCTATATGCCATACAGTACCAAAGTGTTATAAACAAAGTCGAATTTATATACTCCTCAAGCAGACAAGTTTGAAGGTTATGCAACATTACTCGCACATTACAAGAACCCTACAACAACACTCACAAAAGACCCAAGACCACCGTTGAGGCCACTAAGTACTTGTTTGAGGAGAAGGAAAAATAAAAAGTACTAAATAGACAAATTTTATAACATATAACTGGCACAAGTCATGATTACTTCAAGGCCAAGAAGGAAGGTAAAATAGCCATCTTGAAAATGAGGACTGAAACCTAATTGTAGGATTTAGTATCAGGAGGATCTGTTAAAATCATTAATGGTCATGAATTAACTCAACCGTAATTTTTGCATAGTCTTCTTGAAAATAGAGCCAAGTCAGCCTTTGGAATCAAGTGTACTACTATTCCAAATATTTCTGAGACCAGAGCATAGATTAGTCAATATTCTAGATTGATAGTGCCATTAGAAAAGTAGAAATTGAAATCTATGCAATCATATGGGATACTCAATCATGAGTTATAAATGCAGAATCAAAGGCATTGTTTAAGAGTAGAACGTACATTTAACCATCTCAATCGAAACGAAGTCAGAATATGATAAACTAAAGTTTAGTTACAATATAACTCATTTTAAGAAAGATTGGATATCTTTTAAAATGAGATACAGAAATTCACTTAACCTCAACAAAAAGTGATCAAGTAGATCACTTCTAAAAGGTAGATTTAATTGTCTTTTGGCTGATAACAAAGAACATTATTTTTAGGATAGCTCGATAATCAAATTGTATAAGTGTTATTTTTCCATAAAGTTCAACTTGAATAATTTAAGTCGAATGAAAGTTCAAAGCAGGAAATGGAAAAATAAAGAAGAATTTTGGCTAAAATGAAGGATGCTGACATGTTGACTAAAAATTTAAAATTGAAGTTATGAATTACTATTCTAGAAATATTATTTAGAAACACGACATGTGTTTTTAATCAATAAAATAATTATGTCATTTATTGGAAAAGTCTTCCTTCTTGCAGCCCTTCTTGGATACAGCTACCTCCTATTAACAGATCCTGCCTTAGGCAAAAAGTTTGAAACCAAATATGCTAGTTTCTAAGAATAAGCTCTTGTCAAGCAAGTATTCAAATTTATTAATATTCAAGTACATCCCAGCTGATGTATTCAAACACGTACCAGCATTATTAGCTAAACAAGTTGTTTCAGGTCTTTTAGCAAGTAGTCCTCTACTTTTTATTTGTGGAGGGTATTAAACACAATTTAATTTTTAAGCTTCGCCGTATTCCCAGTTCTTGGTTTGTTGCTTCAAATCACTATATAAAGCAATCCCTTGTTTAGCGCTGATCAATACACAAAGATCGATTGTTTGAAGCTCGTAGCTTTGATTGGAGGAGTAATTGTTTGGGCTTCATCCAGATGTTGTTCTAAACAGACACCTAAACCAAAAACAGAGTGATATAAATATATATATGATATTTCATTAAAAGTCATCTAATTTTGGATGTACATATTTATCCCAGTCTCTAGGTCTCTCTATTCTACTTTCTCCTTCTAACCATCTTTTTCTTTACCCATTTTCCCAAACTCCCACTTGGCTCTGCCCATCGTTTAATATATATCTTCCAATTCCGTGTTACTTTCCCTAGAGCCAATACCCCTCATAACAGCGACCGTCATTCCATTTATACACTCCAAATCCATGCTTCTTATCATTAAAATACTCTCCGTCGTAATACCTCCCGTCTGGCCAATAGTATATCCCTCTACCATTCATCTGGTTATGTTACCAAAATCCTTCATAGCGCTTTGTATGAAACAATCATCTTACCCTCCCATCAGGCCAATTATAGACTCCAAAACCATTCAATTTGTTATCACTCCACATTCCTTTATAAGTAGAACCATCTGTCCATTAGTACCATCCGAGTCCTTACTTTTTTCCGTACCTATATTATCCTTCATATTTAGAATTATCTGCCCAAAATTCCTTTCCTTATCCATGTTATAAGTCTTCCAACCATTCCCCATCATATTATGCCCCATCTGTATGAATATACTTTCCTACTCCATTCGCTCTATCGTTTTTCCACTCGCCTTCATAATAGTCTCCATCTACATGCCAAAACTTTCCTCTGCCATTTGCTTAATTTGCCTTCCATTCACCTTCATATTTTGCACCATCAGACCATATTTAAGTACCATAGCCATCTCGCATATTTCCAACCCATTCGCCTTCATAAATTGCTCCGCTCTTAAATACATATTTTGGTCTCTTCTCTCTGGGACCCTGTCTATTAGTCTCATCTAAATTTAAATCCTCTTAATTTCTTTTATTCATTCCATCTTTCTTAATCATACTGGGATCATTCTAAGACTCCTAAGTCATTTGAGGTTATTGTATTTGAATATTAAAAGAAACTAATTATGTAGTTGCTAAACCCGGAGTGGCTATAGGTGTTGGGGTTGGTGCTTCTGATTAATATTTTTATTCCAAATTTTCATTCTTCAACAAATCTACTCCTTTACTCACTAACTATTCTCATTCTTTACATGAACTTTCATCATTTTCCTCATCAAGTGGTTGTTGAGAATATTGATTCATATTTTGGGAACTCTGTTGTCTGATCTCAGATACAACAACGACCTACTCGTCTCTTTTTTAACAAGTCTAACACTATGAGCATTAACTACCCATTTTAAATAATAATAACAAAATTATATATTCATCTAAAAATCTTATTGACTAGATTATTTATAAATCTGTAAGCATATATTTCTGGAGTTTGAGCAGAAACATTTAAATTAGGGTTCATTGCTAATAATTATTTGGAAGCCTTCTCTGCCATTTTGGACAAATTCCATTCTTAAAGATAATCTATTATGGCAATGTGGTAGTAAATGTTTGGTTCATCTTTGGAAGGATATGCATTTTAAGGTAGATCCACCAATCTGTCTACATTACCTTAATACTCTCCCCAATCAACCTTCATTATCAAGAGAGAATAATCAAGTAAATAAGTATTTTTGAAAAATTCAGCATCTTTAATAAGTTAAAATTTCACGAAATCACTTTGAGATTATTCTATCTTAATCCATTTCTCAAGATTATCAAAATCCACATCCTTCAAAGTGATTTTTTAGAGATCTATATCTTTAGGTTTACCCTTCAATGCTTCTCTTGCAACTTCACTACCCTTCATATCAAAGGTTCTTTTAACAAAAGGACGAGGCACTTGAGATATGTTCCTCATCAAGACCATATGATAAACAATGCCACAACTAGATGAAATGTAATTCATATCATAGGAGAAGATCCCATAAATCTTATTTATCAGGGATTTCCTATATTCACTCATATGATGAAAGTATTCTTCCATCCTTTGTCTGAAACTATTCAATTCCCTTTCAGTTATAGTTTTTAGAATCCATTTATTGTCATAACTAAAGAAAAAGAATTCGCCTGATTTACCCCCGTCTACATTAATCATATTTTCAATTAATTCTGCATTCTTCTCTAATGAGAATGAATCATGAGCATCAATATCTAAGTTGTCAAATTTAAATAGCTAAGAATTATTCAGATAATTTACATAATAAAAATACTTTGGAGCCAACGCAAACATCTTTGGATTCTTTCCTTTTGTGTATTAGGTTTCTTTAACATAAAAATTAAATTCCTTGTTTAGTGCTTAATTATTTAATTTATATTTCTCTAGAGTCTTCGCTATGGCTAATTATTCATCACTCAAAGATTCTCTAATTAGATGAGCATTTAATGTGATATCATTATTGTAAGTATTCCTGTTTTAAATTAATAATTGAGAAGTTCTATCAACATCAGTTTCAGATTTGTCCACATTTTCTTCTAATTGCGCATTATCTAAATACTCCTCAATGTTATTGAAATACTAGATAATCCCTGCTAAAACACTTCTAATCTAAAACATTCTGATAAATTTCTGCACTTCAATGAATTGCGTATCCACATCAACAATCTCTACCTCCTTTTTTGGTTGAGGATAGAATGCTTTATGAACCATATTAACTATCTTACGCAAAAGAGCAGGGTTCTTCACCCTCTAATAACATAGAATTCCAGAACCTAAAGTGTATAAGCAACATGTTGATATCATCATCACTGTGTCCAAACTTGCTGGCTATGATGACGGATGTTCACTTGTTTAAATAAAAGTACTAAGCAGTGTGAACAATGCCAGAAATATTGTGGAAATGATATACATGACGTATCTGATGAGCGAAGATTTTTTATTATTTCTAAATGTCACATCGTTTGGTAGGTTCTAGTAGAAGTACCATATTGTATATAGTGCTGAGATGATGTACACAAACTCAAATACATAAAGAGCTAATGGCAAATAGTTCCTCTCTAAAATAATTGTGTTGATGCATCTATTCATTATTGTTGGACCTGCCATTTACTATATTTAGGGTTGAAACGCAAACAAAATCAATGATATACATAGAGTAAACACCAAACAAAAGGAATGAAGCAATAACTTAAACTTTGCATTCGTTTTCAAAACATTTGTGATCTCCTACCTAAAATAGTCTTGACGATTACCTCATCGTAAAACAATATGCAAAATTGTATATAAACTAGCCCAAAAACCCTAAGTTCTAGGTGAAATCAACCCATTTGCAAAAGGATGTGTCATTTAAGTTATTATCAGGATTGCTGGGCGTATTGACATCTGGACTTGACATCATCCAATAGATTGAAGTACTCAATTGGCATAGTCCCAAAGCAAATACAATATCTCCTGGTGATTTTCGACCTGCTTTCCATGCCAAATAAGTAAAAACAATGAAAGAACTGCAAACCACATTCACACATGCAAAAGCAATAAGGGTGTAGAATTTCTAAGACATATCAATAATATAATTTAAAATTATAATCGATATTTGATACTTCTGTCAATTTTCTGAATGTTTCTGATACCTTCGTTTTCATTATGTCTGGGAGAGTATGCTAATCTCTTTAAGAAGTACTCTTTCGCTGTTCATCCTGCTTGAAAATCTATTCTGGATTCAACTATTTCTATTCCGTTCAATCAACTATAAAGTGAATCCACTATTGATCTCCTTATGATTACCCAAATAAAGCATACAATACCATCTTTAACTCTTACATATCAGATAATAATTTCTTATTCTAATAGTATTTCAAAATCCGAAAACACTCCTCGTTGGTTGCACTCTCCAATTACTATTGCAATTACACTAATTTTTGATTGTAATCCTTTATCACATTATTCCATTCGGAAGCAAATGAAGAGGGATTCAATGAATCAATACCTTGGACAAATATCGGCTTTATTCAACATTATTTTTACTTAGTTCTTTAATTAAGATACAATCATTTATTAGCGTTATGATGTTAGTTTGCTTTGCTAAATTAGAATGCAATAAAGTCTATTGTGAATTATATTTCTAAGATAAGATTCTCGTTTCTTCAACATCTAATTCTAATTGCGCAGCCAAAAGTAGATATTATTTAGACGTTTCATCTAAATATTTTAGAAAATATTCCAATTTAGCACTCTCATTTATTTTTCACATATTCTTTATTTTACTTACAAGTCCTTCAGGAACTAATTAATTATTAGACTCCTGAAATTGCTTTATAAAAATATCTTTTAAAGTATTTTACACTGTCGCTTTTTCTATCTCATATCATCTAATTCCTTCTAGATTTATTACTATTTTTGACTATTCTATTGCATTTATTTCCTCAGTTATTGTATTTCTTTTAATCTCTATCTTATCTCCTGATCTCTTTGTTATCTGATTTTCTCAATAGTATCCATCAAAGTTCTCTTTTTCGTAGAAGTTCCTTCCACTTATGTTATTGTTGATCAGGGATCCAACCTTATCTTACCTTTTCTTCCTTTACAAAAAATTTGAGTCTAATGTCTGATACTTCTTCTTCCTAATGATTTTATTCTTGCGCTGATTAATTCTTATCTATTCTCATTTAAAATTAGATATTTTTATGTTGCTTAATCTATGTTTGGAATAATTAATAGTTCTCCATTATTTGTTTTGCTGATGAGGAATTTTATTGTTGTCAAGGAATTTGAGTCTTAGGGAAGAAAGTTGGTGGCTTATTTGAATAGTGTTTAGCTTTAGTCAGTACAAAGTCATAGTCAATATATTATGCTTACTAAAATATTCTGTAATCCCTCTAAAATTATTTAAAGTCTTTTATTAAGATCATGAGATTAATCGCTAAATACTTGAGTCGGTTCTTCATCCATATTTTGAATGTTCCAATTAGTCTTGTGTTTTCTATTGATTTATAACTTATCAAGCTTTTTAGTGACTTTTAGTAATAGCAAACTATTTAGAATTTGTTTATTCATTTCCATTCTTACTTAATCTAAAGTTTTAAGCACATTATTGCCTGGTCCTTTGCTTGGTCTGAGCATTTGGAATTTAAAGTGAACATCTTCATTTGTTTCTTAGTTCTTCTAAAATTATTTCTCAATTGGCTTCATGATTTAGTTTATGATATTCCAATTGATTTGTGGACCATTTTCAATATTGAATTCATATTCAATCGCTTTGTGGTTTTCATTTTATTTTATCTATTTAAATGGATATGTCTTCTTTTTTTTGGAGACTATGTTTTCATACCACTGGTCCAGTAGTTCAAGCAGAGGATTGATTTCATAAACTAATAAATTTTTATATATGATATATACTATTCATTTTTTGATTTCTTTTTAATCATCTTATACATCTCCCAAATCAAGGATGTTCCTCATTCGAATGATTTCCCTGTCTTCATACTGATATCATTTTTACCTCAATAGGCTGGATAAGTTTCCTCAAAATAATTTCCCGCCAAAAACTATCTCAATTACAACAAAGGAAATGTCTCAAATAAATTAAATCAATATCATTAGATATAAAAGTGTATTAGAAATAGTAGATCAACTTTGTCACTATTTAAAAAACAACTTTATTTTAGAGAGGACTAGATGATGCTTTATCCTTTCACCCTAAATCTAAAATATCTAACTATTCAACTCATATTTCTTTCCCTATCCATAATTAAACTCAATTCGATAATGAGATTCAGCATATTATAGTTTTATAGTAAATAAAATTGAATTTAATTATGCAGTAGTAAATACTGAAGTTATGGTTATTTGACTTCTACCTCACAATCTTTAATACACATTTAGTTTTAAAAATAAATTTGAAGGCTGGTTTGCAATAGTATTAATTAACTATTGGAGGAATGCTTAAATTATGAATTTACTATTACTGAACGCGCCTCATATGTTAATAAATATCTTTATGATTATAATATTTTTCTCTAATTATTCCAAGGTTAGATATTGCAACCACGTGATTATAATGATATTATTGTACAATGTGTAAATTTTTTAATTTTTATTAAGAGTTTTAGACGAATTACTTAATGTCTATGAAATAATTTTAAAATTTGTTTTAAACATCATCAAAAAAAATATCTACATATGAAGACAAATATTTTGACAAGTATTAAAATTAATTAAATTATGTAATATTAATATCACATTATATATATAAATTTATTAAATATATATACAACATTTCAATCACTTTCTTCTATTTCAATTTCTTCTTCTTTTAAATTTATTTCATTTAAAATTTTTTCAAATTTTTTTTCACTTTTTCTTATTTTTTATTTAAATTTAGTTTATGAAGCATCAATTTACTATCCTTAATACAACATATTTCCCTAAGCTAAACCCTCTTCAATAGAAATTAATTCTAAAGCAAATCTTGGGCCAATTTCTCTCAAATTTTTTTATTCAAAAAATTTCAAATTATCTAAACCAAATTCTATTTTGTGCTTCACCCTCAGTAGTAAAAGTAAAGATTCTATCAATATAATTATCAGTAAATCTAGCTTAAGAAACATTGAACAGTAGAGTTATTATTTCTTTGAGTAATTTGTATTTAGTGATATTATTAAATCTTTGATCAAATTAAAGGAGAACTCTGCCCTTTTTTGAAAAATTGCCGGCCAATTATAGATCTTTGATAGTTGTAACTATAAGCTATATTATTAAAACATACTATTAAGAACAGAGAATTTAACTGTAGGTCCTGATGGATATGAACCGAAAACTAAGATAAGCTAATTTTATATTGTGTGGAAAACTATAAATGAATTACATTTATGATTTTCACAAAGGGAAGGAATAACTTATCTCAGCTATTCATATTTGATTTTATTTGTCTATATTATTAACAATGGGTACTTTTTTAGAATGTGGAAGAATGTTCATGATATCCAACATAAAATGCCTGTGTTGCAAATCTAGATTTCTGGTTGGTACAACCAATATGTGGTTTCGATAAAAGACTTTATGTTATTTTTCAGCCATAGGTATAATTGTGGATATATATTTATTTATTTTATTAATGAGTGATTAATTTTATCAATTAGGTGCAAAATGGACAGTTTCTGAGAAATACAATTCTAGTTAGAATGTTGATTATAATAAACAATTTTTGATGTTTGTTCATTTTATACAATTGAAGAATTTGCATTTTTAATAAAAAAACTATATATTTCAAAAATATCAGATGTTTTGAATGAGCCTTCTAAATACAAAATTTAATGGGATGTTATAAATAAAGCTTTAAATAATTTAATCTAGAAGCTGCAGATGTTTAAATTGATGCATTATAAATTTTCAAGAATGATATAAAACCATGGTAGGTGGTGAGATCTAATTTGATATATAAACATAATTTTATAATATAAATGGTAATTTATACTAAGACATTTTATATGAAGTGTTTGGATAATAAAATGAAGATTTGAGGCATGAATTTAAAAATGTTATGTAGGTAAATGGCTTAAGAGTAGTTGATAAAATAAATGCTAAGCAAGACAATAGAATAAGAATTGAATTATGTTTGGATATTGATCCAAAGGATTAGCATGACTCCATTCAAAAATTTGATGGCTGGTTTGTATCATTAATTACAAAATATCATATTGAGTAAACTAAGCTCATTTAAGTATTACATAAAAAATGAACCTTTTTGACATAAAATTAATAATAATTACTTGGGTTCCGTATTTGCTCGAAAAATAAAAAACCTCCTCTTGTTTCAATTATTTAGAAACAGCCAATTTGCCTACAATGAGTGGACCTCAATTAAATGTCAAAGACAACAAAGATGAATATTTGACAATGAAGAATTGTTAAAATATGAGAATTCCAAATATAAACTGAGAGAAGTCAAAAACAAGCCAATTAAGTATAATGATAAATTAATATGTTTAGGTGGCAATAATTGAATCATTATTTGTGATAAGGATTATTTGGTTCTGTGTAAGTCTAACATCTGTTAAAATTTAATCTAACCTTATTTTTACCCTTCCAATAGATTTTTAGTGGATTAAAAAATATCTAATGATAAAAAGGAGTGTCATAAATTATATTTAATAATTTATTAAATTTATGTATGAACAACTACACATCCAATCCTTTTTAGTTTAGATTGTTGCTTGATTTAAATTTGTCATGCATAATGAAGAATGAAATATAATTATTCTTCTTTATTTCTCTTGAATCTCAAATTTTATTATTGGTATCGCTATGTAATTCTGTTAAGTAATGTTATTTGTACTAAAATCTACGCATCTAAATGTTGATAACAGTTATCTTAATGTGACTGAATAATATAATAGTTAATTAATATTCATATATTAATCATAAAAATGTTATTGAGGGGAAGAATTTTAGCTTATTTTGCAAAAGTGAAAGTAACAGAAACTCCAAAAATAAGAATAGGAGAGGCAGTAAAATTAATAAAAGATAGATCAAAAGCAAAATTTGATGAGACAATTGATTTTTAATTAAGGTTGAATGTTGATCCAAAACATGGTGATTAAAATGTAAGAGGGACATGCATGTTACCAGGAGGATTAGGAAAGAATGTGTCTATAGCAGTCTTAACAAGCAATGAATTTAATGATGCTGCATTAAGAGTATTCATATAATTAATCCTAGGCAGGAGCAGATTTTGTTGGTCAAGAGGAAATTTTGAAATCTATCAAAGATGGAACATATAAATTTGAAAAATTAATAACAACACAAGATATGCTTGTTCTTTTGAAACCTTTTGCAAGATTATTAGGTACAAAGGGATTGATGCCCAATCCAAAGGCTGGAACATTAGTCTTACCTTAGGAGCTTACCTAAGCAATAAAAGGAGCAAAGGCAGGCTCAATTGAATTCAGAGTGGATTCAGGTTCAAATCTAATGGTACCGGTTGGAAAAAAATCATTTGATGATAAAGTGATATTAATGAATATCAAAGCCTTTTCAATAGCTTTGAATTAGAAGAGACCGACATCTTTGAAAGGATAATTAATAGGAGAAGCAAGAATAAAGACAACTATGGGATAACCAGTTGAGGTAGATGTATCTTCCTTTGATTAAAGAAACAAAGAAAATGATTTGAAAGATTTGGTTTATTGAAAAGTATAAAATTATATAAGATAAATATATAAAAGTGTGTATAATCAGAAATTTTCAATGATATAATTTATCAAAAGTACAGGACTAATTAAAATAGCACAAATGATTGTTATAGGCGATAGCATTATTCCAATTTAGAGAAAAAGTAAAAATAATCCAAATTAAGTGAATTTTCGATGTTTACTCATTCTGAAATTTGATTTTCGTTTTACTATTCGGTAAGGTGCTGATATAACCAGGTATAAAAGATAAAATGGCAGCAAGATGAAAAGTCCACTAATTAACAACAAAGTTAATAAGAGTTTAGGAATAATCATCATAATTTTAATAAGCATAGGGTTTGTTAAAGGTTAGATTGTTGATAATTATCCTCCTGGAACTAAAGGTTAAATTACTAAAAATACAAGCGCATCCAAAAATATTGAATACTCCATAATGGATTGACGAATATTTGCCTCTACATATCCAACAAAACTCATATTTACATTTATAACATTTCATGTGGTTGCAGCCTCCTTTTTTCTCAATAGGAGCTTAACAATTTGGACAATCATAAACTTGGAGTTCTTTCCTTACTTAAAGGTACTAGGCATCCATAGCTTATTCACATGACATATCTTGATGGTATTGATTACCACATTTGAAACAAATTTGCTGGCCACAAGTACAAGTCAGTAAATTCATCCCTTTTCCTATTACATAGTTTTCGCAATCCTTGAGATTATTTTTAATATTATTACAATTCTAGGACACCATCTAACATTTTTATTTTTACTAATTAATTGCCTAGCATAAAATCTCTAATATTTTTCATATAAGGTATGAGAAACAAGCTCTTTTATTTAAAGATCCGCGAATTATTCAGTACAAGCTGAATGAGGACACAAAATTACCAAAACATTGCCTCTAACTATGTTTTCTTTTAAAAGTTCAGAGATACAAGATCTACAAAATTCATGTTGGCAGGGCAAGAACTAATGTACTAGTCTAAATGATAAACAGATTTAGCATTCTTTATAGCCTTTAGATGTTAAAGAATGATCATCACTTTTTTCGAGGGAATCCACATCTTCTGAAGATTCTTTGCTACGTATTCTTCTCATTCCAAAACCATAAATACGACGAAATTTCTTCGATGATTGGGAGAATGTTTTTTGTTTTGGTTATATTTATTGTTCTTCTTATATGTTTGGTTGAAATTTGATTTCCTGTTCTTGATTACCTTAGATATCTAAATAGATTGGAGTCTCTTGGGTATTTTATTATTCACCGTAGTTTTATTTACATTTGAGAGTATCACTTTAATTTAATTTTGGTCCGTGAATTTAAAGGATTTTAGACTTATATAGTTCTAAATACAAATGCTGATATTTTGGTTTTTATTGTTCGAATTGACAAAGTTGCTCATGATAATTACTATTCATTTAAATATAAATTATTTTTTAAATTTCTCGTGTTATTATTAGATATAAAAATAAATTAAATTAGGATGTTCTTGTATTGTAGATCCTATATTCCCAAATATAGTGCTAGTCAGGTCATTAAGAATGCCATTTAGAGAAGAAAAGGTAAGACTTTGTTAAGAAATAGAACGTAAAAATGTGATGTAAGAGCATTTGGAGAGATTGGCTGATAAATTGGAATATAAAGTGTATCCATATCACATCACTCATTATGATCCAGCTCATCCTGATTACATCCCAGCATAAAGACAGGATTACAAACAAAGATTGACTGTTGACACTCATAATATGCTTGTGGATGGAGTCAAAAGAGATGTGGCCATGTAGAGACAAGTGGATCAAGCTATTAAGAATTTGGATAGACCATACTTGAAAGGCAAACATGGAGTCAACAAAAATGTTACTGGTGGTCTCAAAGATTATTTCCCCATTGAAATGCCATATTCATAAGCAGGAAATCTACAAAATGAAGAATTGGAATATGAAAATGTGTTCAGAAATGAAAAAAGATGGATTGCTTAAACTATTTATCCAGCTGAAAAAACTGAAAGCCAAAAGAGACATGAAAAAGAATTGGAATCTAGACCTGTGACCAGCAAATTCCATCCAGATAAAGGATCTAAATATGATGTCGAAACACCATATCATTTAAGATTCCCATATTTAGCTGATAGATTGGGACACCCTGAATTCTTGGCCAATCCCTTCTAAAGATTGTTTAGATTAGAAAGTGATATGTATCATCCAAGTTATAATGATTAACCATTTGTTTAACATCCATCAGCTGATCCAGATCCAACTTTGAATTTCGAAGAAGGAGAAGTCATCTATGAAAACACAAGATTATAAGAATGGTTAAAATTTGTATGGTGGACTGGAACATTCAGTTTTGCTTGGATTTGTTGGGTATTACCGTATAACATTGTATATAAAACAAATCTCATGTTTGATCACTAAATAGATGCTTCATTCTATCCTTATCATTTATAATCCATCTATAATATGGATTACATGAGAATAAATGTGTTGGCTGCGACTGCTGCTTCAGCCTATTTATGGTATTTCCACCATATGTCAATGAACGACATTGGAAGAAACTATGTTACTAAAGTTTAATACAATAAAGATAAGGAGTTAATCTTTGTCACCAGAATGGGATCTTTTGGTGTTGTTAGAGAAGATGTCTTTGAAACTCATCATCTTGAAGTATTGCCATACTATACTAAATCGGGCGTGTAGAATATGAGATAAAATGTATATACTCTTTATTATCATTATCTAGGATTTAGGAATGTATGAATTGTCATGCTTAAATAAATAAGAGTTGATGTACTTGTACAAGGAAGATGCTTTCTGGAATCCTAAACTAAAAACTCAATTCCTTACAAATCATACTTAATTGATTTCCAAATAATACTTCGGATTGAAGAGGTAATTTTTTATTAGCCAACAATATTTTTAGAAACGAATAATAAGAATATCAAAAGACCTAAACCGTAGGAGAATTGCCCCTAAAAGATTTACCTGCACCTTGAATTATCAATCATAAATACAATATTAAAATAATAATATATAAGTATAATTAATGAATGATGATATCTAAAGAGGTAGAGAAAGGCCTGTTAGAAAAAACGGCTTAGTTAATAGTCTTAATCCTTATCAAACTATAAGCTGGATTTATACTCTTACTGATATTATTATTGCTTACATATTTTCAATTTTAATTTAGGAACCTGGAATTCATGTATAGTTATTTCTTATTCAGGAACTTTTACTTATCCTATTAACTATCATTGTTACTACCATTTTTTATAGTTTTTTAAAAGCTACTTTGATGGATCCAACGGATCCTATTGTGAAACAAGATATAAAATGCAAATAACAAGGGTAATCATATAGATTAAACTATAGTAAAGAATTGAAAACCGATTTTAAATCATATTGTCTAGTTTGTTAAGCTCATGCCTAGGATAAAACTAAACATTATTGGAGTTGTAACAAGTAATTTGAAATTACTATTAGATGTGTATCTCTCTTTGATCATCATTGTATATGGCTTAATAATTGCGTTGGGGATTAAAACTATTCATATTTTTTCGTTTTAGTTATATCCTTGGTGACATTTAAAATTTTCAAACTTGCCTTAGATGCTAGTTTATTATACTATGAGGTTGATCTACAAATACTAGTTTACATTTTTATAGTAATTGATCCACCAATTCTAATAATCCTAATAAATTTATTGTCTATGCACTTATACTTTAAGTTTGGGATATATTTTGATATTTTAGGTATAAGCACATAACAACATATGAATACATTAAATCAAAGTAGGACAAGAAATAATAAACTAATTAACAATAGCATCCCTAACAGAAACAGAATTAAAATGATGGCAGAACAGGATATGGTTCATTATTATCAACTTCAAAAAGAGTCGATTTAAAATCTTAATTGTCTCTAAAAACTGCAGATTCTAAAACAAGTAAGTAGAATTATTTTTCGAACAATAAGATGAGGATAAAAAGAACCCTTAATAATCTCCATCTTAACCGTAATTAACATAGCTTCCAAGTTTATTTACTTCAAAGCCAGCAACTCCAGGAAATGATTAGGTTAGGAAGTCTCGTATACAATAATAGGTTCCTTTATCTTATGCTAAAGATCTGGATGAAATAAAGGATAGGTAGATTTACAATTAAGTGATGCTGAAGATTCAGAACTTAAAATGAATAAAAGTTCAGATGAGGATTAAGATGATAATCTTAGCAATAATGAGCATCATTGTCCAAAAAATAGCAATGTTTCTTAAATCGATTAATTAGCAAATCAATCAATATCTTTTGAGATCGAATAAAAGATAGTAGAAAAGAAGAATTAAGAAGTGAATAAGGAAATAGAGAATAAATCTTTTAATCAGGATATAGTTAGTGTTTCAAATTAATAATCATTGCATGCATAATAACCTCCATCTTCTCAAAATTGCTATACATTCTAAATAGATTTAAATTCTGATTAATAGAAGGTTATTACATCTCCATCTAGTAAGAGAAATAGTTAACATTTAATTGCTGATAATTGTACTGAATGAATTTATATGTTTATCATTTATAGTTAATAAAGTCATAGAGAATTGCAATGAATTAAGATTATTTATATATATATATATATATATATATTAAATATAAGTTCTGGCTATTATAAATGAAAAATTTAGTATAGAATGTGCAAATATAGAAAGTTATCAAAACAATAAATGACTTAAGAGAGACAATGGATAAGAGAATATCAATATCATTAGGATTAGGTATTACTATTGCAGTGATTGGATTCAAATTATTAAGAAATAAAGGAGATAATTAACAATCGCCATAATAGACATCAGAAGTTGTCGAGAAATAATCATAAAATTCGAATAATTCTGAAGAGAATGATATTATTGAAATTGAAGAAAACAAACAATTAGAAAAATAACAATAATAATAAAAGCAAAGTGAACCAAGATAAAAGAAAAAACAAATTATATAAAAAATTAACCAAAAAACAAAAAAATAATTTTAAACAGATAATGAGATGCCTGCCCCTAAAATAATATTGGAAAAACAAAATTCTATAAAGTAGGAGAGAAATGCAGATGATAAATTATTTTTCTAAATTTACTAAAAAATGAACTAAGAAGTATCAAATGAGGATTCATGAAGTTTTTCTGATGTTAATTAATTATATTATTATTAATGAAAATAACTATTATTAAGTCAAATATTGAGAAAGTTTTGAGTTAGATTGAGAACAAAGAGCAAATTATAAACATCACTGCAATTAAATGCAATTTAGATAAAATACCCATTTTAGATTTTCCAAATCTAAAGGTTTTAGATCTATCTTATAACAATATATCCACTTTTGAGAATTTGCCAAACACAATAGAATACTTAAATTTACAGAACAATCAATTTGAATACTTTGAGGAATTAGAATTTCCTCCTTCATTAGTTTATTTAAACTTTAATGGCAATAAAGTTTCCACAAAAATATAGTATCGAAGTAAATTAATTAAGAAGATAAAGCAAACATGTCCTGAATTTAAGTATTTGGACAATGTTTCAATTAAACTCCGATATGCAGAGATGCCTATCAACATCAGTAAATTTGATCACATTATGGATTTTACATATGAGATGTTTGGGGATGAGATTTGATTGTTTATATAAAGAATTAACTATAAATTTAGTTCTAATTTATTAATTAAAATGAATAAATAAGAAAGAGAAAATGTTAAGTAACGTATCGAAGAAAGAATATTTTAGATCAAATTAAAAAACACATAACATGTACTGTCTTTTAGATGATTAATAAATAGGAAGTAGTTATTGGAAAGAATGCCAATTTTACAAAAATAATCGAGTAAGAATATGCAACCAAATATTTGGAGAGTTTAGGAATTGAAGCTAATTAAAAAAATATTTAGATGATTTTAAAGAATTATCCATTAAATAGATGTGAAATAACGGGAGGATGGAATAGTAACATTATTATATAATATAATAGCATCTGGATTATATGCTGATACTATTAATATTGTAGTCAGGTAGAAGAAAAAGAACATAGATTTGGCCTTAGGGTAAAAGGATAAGGATGTGTTGGATGAAGTCTAGAAGGAGTAGGATCTCAAGAAAATTACAATTAAGAAAGGCGAATAAGAATAAGATCCATAACTCACTTAATAATAAATAGCATTATAATAGAAGAATGAAGTGGAATAATAAAAGGAACTATTAGAAAAGGAAGAAGAGAAGAAAATTAAATTTAAATTGGATTTCTCTTTAGAGGAGATCAAACATAAATACCTGTTTCCTTTTAATTAGACATTTTAAAGGAAACAGAATTAAAATATGGTAAATTAGGATAGACTAGAGTTTCAATAAAATGATGAAACACATTCAGAACACGATAAATTCTTGGTTTTTGAAAGCAAAATCTTCTAATTGCCTTTTATTCATATAGAGATTCCAGCCCCATTATTAAAGGATGTATAGAGACCTCCAAACATTAAACCAGAAGATATTGAAAAAGTGTTAAAATAAATAGATAAATTGTTCCCTAAAAGTATCTTTCCAATAAAGGCCAGTGCTAAGAGTTAAGAGAAATAATAATAATAATAACAATAATTAAATAAAGAAAAAGTAAATGATGATGTGGAAACAAGATACATTGTATTTGAGAAACATTAGGTTGATAATGTATTTTAATTGATTCAGAAAGGTGAGATGGTAAAATTAATTGGATTGTTCATTCATTTATCATATTGGTTAGTATTTGGTGTAACATTGCCAATCTAAATATAAACATTAACTAAGAAGTAAATGTATATATAGATGATGGAAATAATTGAATCATTTTAATCATTTTATGCTCCTAAATTGTGGATGCATTTAGTAATGCCTATGATATTAGTTTCGTTGAAAATGGCGACTGAATATTTATACAAAAATCATTACATTATATTTTTTGAGAAACCTAGAACAGAAATAAATACACCAGGTAATATTGCTATGGATAAAATATTTCATTTTGCTGATAGATTATTTGATTAAAACAATTTATTTTGCCGATTTATTTTTTTAGAGAGTAGCAAATAAAAAAAGATAGGTAATGATGCTAAATTTATGCATAAAAGAATATTTGGTGTTTCACCATATTTAGATATCATGATTTAGAATCCATAAAACAGTAGAACCAGAGCCATCATAGCTAAACAAAGGGATATAGATAGTATTTCTATTTTATTAACTTTTTAGTAAGAGATAAAATATTAACAATAGGTGAGAAGAAATTAGCTTAAACAATGCCACCTATTTTGAGATAGTAGAGTACAAAGGAAGAGAAGGATAAAATAGAAATGGCTCAGAAGGCTAAAATGTTTAGTGTTGTGTTAAGTAGAATGCAGTAGGACTTTGAGAAGGTGTTGAAGGAAAAGGAAGTCTTAAAACTAAAATAGATTCAATGTTGAAGCAATTGAAAATTCTATAATAATTTTTCACATTTTATAAATTGGAATAGTAAATTCAATATAAGAGTACATAATTATTTCATTATTACAACTACCTTTCTTTTCTAATTCTTTTTTTAATTTGATTCTGTCTTTTGATCTCATTGATTAAATCTTCATCTTTCCCATTGTCACAATGTTAACAATTGCACTCTACAGAACATTTCTTGCCTCTTATGAAACATTCACAATAATTCTTCACACATCTAGTCTTAGAACAATTGCATCCCCAAATTTCTGTTGTCTCAAATATTTTTCCTTCTGGAACCTTCTTATTTCTTTATGCTTTCTTCTTTGCATAATTTACAGCCTTTTCTCTTTTAATTATGTTGTCTTCTGCATTCTCGCATTCTTGGCATTTACATGATTTCCCACAAACTCTTCCGTTGTGAAAACAAGAACAATACATCTGTAGACAGTGACTCTTTGAGCAACTGCAAGAAAATTATTCTACTTGTTAAATTTCTTGTCCTTCATCTTTTACCTTTATTTCGGGTTTTTCAGGCTCTTCCTCATGGATATTATTCGTCTCTCCTAAAGCAGGATATATTTCAGGGACTGATTCAGGTTCTGGTTCTGCAATTGATTCCCTAAAATTTTTAATTAATACATTACATTTTTATTAAGTAAGGTTGATGCTCACTAAAATTTGAACATATGCTTATCAGGCTTTTTAAATAGGGTAACTTTTGATCCTCCAAATAGTCTTAAATGTCCTAAATTTACATTAATAGAAAATTTATTATAGAAAAAAAATTATTATTACTTTATTTCGATGATTAATATAAAATAGAAAAAATACGTCGGCATTCATTATATTGGTAGATTTAATAAAATTCTTATTTATTAGAAATTGGATTGAAATGGTTTACTTTATTAAACAATAAATGCTACAATTGTTGTTTTAACAATCACTACAAATTATAATTATTATATTCTTCATTTATTACTATCAAAATGAATTAAGATATGCTTTCAGACCCATCCTCTAGTTCAAAATTCTCAGATTTACTTCATTTCATACTTAATTCAAACAAAAAGTCAAATAAATTCTAAAGAATTCTCCCTCAATTATCAATCACAGAGACTCTAAATAATTCCATTAAAAATGGTCGCTCAAGAATTCATTCTCTAAAACATGAACCTACTGGTTTCATTACTTAAAGGATTGAGTTTATACAAAACACTGGAGATTATTGTTACAAAGCTTTGAATCAACAAACCTTATCATTAAAACATTAGAGAGGGAGAATTGACGATTCAATGGAAAAATCTGTAGGAGCTAGTCCATCAGTTCATTCATATTAAACAACAAAGGTAATTGAGACATGATAGGAAGTTTAAATACCCATCTATGTTAGAGTCAATAAGATTAAGGAGAAATTATAACCTCTAAAAGTACCTAGATGACAATCTATCAGGATTTTGTGACATAATAAAAAGAAAGGACATCGAAAAATTGATCAGCTTTTTACACTATCCTTTTCAATATTCTTAAGAATAAAATGTAACCTTAAAAGACTAATTAATAGCTCCTAAGTACTTTCTGTGAGTTACTTTATTTCATTGCCTATTTCGGCAATACCATTGTACAATTAAATAAGGCTACATTTTTATTCAAAGATTGTTTGAAACTATCAGAATTGTGTAGAAATCATCAACTGAAAATCAAGATCTTGATTTAATTATTCTCAATTGCAAAACAGTAAAATTGTTACAATAAATTATAGATTGAAATAATATGATAAGGCATATAAATTCATATTGAAAGCTCTCTCTTATGCTTGGGCTGAAAATCTGGATGATTATGAAATAGATTGTTACGATAAATTGGGAATTTGTTATTTCTATTAGGGAGATATTCTCAAAGCCGATTATTTCCATAATAAGTGGGTGAAATGTGAAATCGAGCCAAGAGATTCTTATTATAGAATTACATCCAAAGAATTCATCTAATTATTCGAAAGATCTTAACCTATTTGTAGAGAATTTGATGATAAAATATCAAGGTATATTCATATTCCTTTTATAAATGTGAAAACAGGGTAACCATTTGATTTCAATTCCACCTTGAAATATAATAACTGTGAGGCAATCCCATTATTAAATGAAATCCTTCATGGATATGAATATACTGAATATTTTTTAGAATACCATTATATAGATTAAGCACAAAGACAACATTTAAAGAAATCCTCATTACCTAGAAGAGCTCTTGAAATTATGTCCAAGTATGACAAAAATAAAGATAAATATGGATTTGATCATAAGATCCATGAAAATCCCATTTACAAGTTGTCCCTGTAGGAAAAAGTTAATTATCGGAAAACTAAATTCTATTCACTTGATTCAGTAGAATAAAACATCTAAAAATATATTTCATAGTAGAGGGAACCTTTTAAAAAGAGTGAAAAGATTTATGTTAAGGAATCCCAAAGAAAGGACTTATCGCCTGAAAATGGCAATTAATTATCCTTGCATTTTAAAAAACTTCTGGTTAGCATAATTGATTAAAATTGAAATATTCAATTCTATAATTTGTTCGCCTTAGTATTTAATATTTAATTAATTAAAAATGTAAGAATAAGAATTTCTTAAAAATGAGAACAACCCTTTCCTTTTCAAATAACAAAAATAAATTTCTCGTACTGTCCTTCAGTCCCTAGTCCATGAGTATCATATTCTCATTAAAGGACTCACTAACCAGTAAAAACATAGCTATTTTCTAGAGAATATTAAGATTATTGCAATGTTAAGGGAGCCTGCGGTTAGACTATTCCTCTAATCTTAATCCTTCCTATTGGTTTGACTATAGGTACCTTTTAGTTAGTTTTGCTGTTTTTTAAAAATATTCAAGAAGGTATAATATGATATTATATAATTTAAAAGGTCCGGTAATACCAGCAGTGATTTAATTCATTTTATTGCAAACTGCACAAACCTTAATAATGTACATGATTCTTAAAGCTTGCGAAGTTATTCCAAAAAAAATCGAGAATCCTTTATTATTTGGAAAGATAACATCTTATATATTCATGTGCTTAAGCATTGCAGAGGGAACATTAATAATTGTATTTATATATATAATATATTTCATTAAGGAAAGAATTTCAAACTTCAACTAATTTTCATAATCTTAGTTTTGGTCAATTTTTGGATTAATAATTTGGCAAAAGGTAATTATGGATTATTAAAAAGGTAATACAATTATTTATTTACGATTGCAAACTGAGAATTGGAATAGTGATATTTTTGTACATCTATTATGTATTTAGATTAGATTGTGATCTATTCAACAAAGTAATTTATAGATTATATTTTAGGATATAGTCAAAGTCATCGCATATATATGTTTGGAAATAATCTTCATTATAGATGCTGAATTAAAAAACTACTCTCAATATTAATTCGAAAATAACATGTAATTTAGAAACAACAAAGAGGATATTCAGTTTATGATTCCGCAAGTGTAGATGTAGACTCAATAATAGATTCTAGAAATCATTACTAATTAATTTCCTGTTATTATATTTGATCAGACTAAAGAGTTACTACATATTTCAGGAGTTGGATTAAAATAACTTTAAATGGAAGATGATTCCAATAAAATTGACTTGATCTCAGCAGAAATTAAATTAAGAAAAATGGAAGTTATACAATTAATCTCAAACAATGAAAAATTAAAACACAATTTAGTTTAATTAAAGAGGATGGCTAAATTTGGATCTACTTGTGGAACTAATGAAAAAGGAGAGTTATTACATTCTCTTATAAATGGACCAGCACTCCAGATAATTACGTATTCTAAGGGTAACCTCAAGAGAATCACAGAATTATTCATTATAATCCAGATGGTGTTTTAGAGTAATTACTTAATAATTTAATAAATGATTAATAGTCAGAATACAAAGGGAATATCTAAATTTCAATCTACCTAAAAATCCAATTCCAGATACTTTTAATTTACTTTAATTTAAAAGTACCCAAAGGGAGACACTTTTTAAATAATTCTTGATTTTAGAAGAACATTACTTAAATCTATTTAAGATTTTAATTTTGAATTTAGAAGAACGGAAGAAGAAGATCTACCAATTATGTGTTAAGAATTTAGACAAATGTTGTTTTGTTAATAAACTGTTTAGGTTCCTTTAAAATTGCTCAATGTTGAAATAAAAAATACTCTCAAGTATTCTAAATAGTAATACTTATAAGAGGAGTTACTTAATGTAAACAATTTAGTTAACTAATTACAAAATAAGTATCAAAATCAAACAAATCCTAATATTAAATTACAATTTTAAATTAATTTAAAATAAAATACAGGAGAATTCAAAACTGATTAATTGAGGTTGATGTAAATAATGTAGATACTATTGGAAAATAGTATAAATAACACAAAGGAAGGATTCATTAAGATTGTAATCGAGGATGATAAGAGATAGAATTGTATCTAAATATCTGTTGAAGATACCGGTAAAGGAATAAATTAGGAAATTATTTAAGAAGGATTTAACATGAATTAAATTAGATCTTTACATATTGTTAACTATTTAACTAAAATTTTGGGTCCTTAATTTTATTGCAAAAAAATTACTGGTCAAGTTGCAAATAAAGGCATTAGAATTAAGTCATTATAGGATTGTGGTACATCAATATCTTTTTCAATCAGAAATTTAGGTTTAGATGAATTCTCTACTTAATTTATTATAGATGACGAAGTGTCTCAGGATGAAATGGATGTTGATGTAGATGAAGATGAAATTATGGAGAGATACATTAGAGATGACGATCAAATCTAATACCTATAAAGATTTAATAAAGGATTACGATCATTCATAATAAACAGACAATAAATTCAAAAGATTGCAAAACCACTAGATATTAATACTAACAAAAAATAAACAAAATTGGTTGGCATGATGAAACTTTAAGAATTAGGAAGATTCAAAAATGTTTAGTAATAGAATGGGTATTGTTAATGCAATAACAAGTTAATTATTAATTCAAATTAAGATTTCGAAAGAGTCATCAAACAGCATGTATTGGAGAATGTTTATTTTATAAATGAATAAGATTCATTCAAACACATTAACTTGAAAATAAGAGAGAAATAATGTTAGAACCATTCTTGCTAAGTTTATAAATAAATTATTGTCAATTGTCACAAATTCGATTTCAACTATAGAGAGTAAAATATTACAATATTTTTAGATTAATCAATAGAATTATAGGAATCACTAATAACTTTAAAATTATTGTTTTAATATATAATTCAAATGGGGAAATAGACACGCTAGGAACTTACATCATAATGCCAATTCAATTAGATATGCTACTATAATACTTATAAGGTTGAGATATTTAAAATTTAAATATATTTATAATTCTTTTAAAATTTGAATTAATTTTCTTTTAATATTAAAATTTTATATACCTTAATATGTATTAATTAATTATTCATATAATATTTAATAATGTGTCTGAAAATTTGTTAAATTTACATCTAATTTTCTGGCGATTTCTGTTTGAAATTTTACTATCCAATGGATTTATAAAACACTTAACTAGATAATTCATTTTAATAATTAAAATAATGAATTTAACTAATCATAATGATAACCATTGGTAGGAGATATATCAATTAGGCTAAATCAATGAAAGTCAGAGCTTTGATAATCATAATTTAGAGTTCTCCCCTTAGCTTTTGGGTAGCAGGTAACGTACACTGACCTACCCTTCATCTCCTTTATATACGATGGTTGAGAGGGACCAAAATTCTGATTCGGAAGTGCAATATTATGATGACTAACTAAATGAATTGTAATAATGCTGCCTTAGAACAGAAACTGAAAAATCCGAATCTTGTTGTTGCAAGGACGAGAACCACCATTAGTAGAAACATCTTATTCAAAAGAGCATAAGGAAGAACAAGTCTAATGGGAAGCCAAATTGGGACTCCTCTATCAGGAAGAATTTCCCAAAACTTTTAGGAAACCATTTCTTAGCCCATTTAGAGTAGATTTCAGATTAGATACTTCCTCCTCCTATTACACAATTCCTATTGGAATTTCATTAAATAAAGGAATCCAAAAAACAACTCTCATTTGCTATTTCAGACTTTAGCAAGTTATGTCTTGCCTCAGAAGAGAGTAAGAAATTTTTTATAGATTTCCTTCAAAATAAATTGCCAGTCCGCCTAATTCATAGTAATAAGTTTACAAAGATCAAACATGTTTTAGATTTAGTCCGTAATGCTTATGTCGGAGCATGTAATCCTGAGAGGTGGAAAGGAAATATGCAGATAGCCAAACCGGAATGAAGCAATAAATTATAAGAATTATTTAATATTATTTTCTATCTGTAATTGTATTTTGTAATATATCGAGAGTTAGACACAAATCCAAATCTTCGTCTAATAATTCTTACTTGAAAAACCTGCCAAAAGAGTTAGTTGGATCCAGAGATCGCATTCAGAGTAGATTGTATAGCAACTTTAATTACGATGCTTAAATTGACGTATAATGAAGTAGAATTCCTAAAATAATTGTCAATAAATCATGTCTAGATCTGACATTAGAGAGATGTAGATAAGTTGAAATAAAAGTTCATTCTGAAAGGGATAGAAATATGATATTATAATTTGTTATATACTTAGTCCATTAGAGCAGCAGCCTTTGGAAGGAAAGAAATTAAATTTGAATGTTACAATTTAAGAGACAAGGAAGAACGCAGATACAAATTTGAGAATGATGATGATGGTTACGGTTTGCCTTGGTTTGATACTCAGGATGGCTGATATGAGGGACAAGTAAAGGAGGCAAAATAGGGAGACAACATTCTTCAAGAATATTAGAAATAATATTTGGAATATCGTCCAGAAAAAACGAATGTATGTATAATAGAAATCAATGTTTGATTTATGATATATTTTTGTAGGAATTCAAAAATTATAGGATAGTAAATTGTTTAAGGAAATTAAAATATATAATAAATAACATTTATTTTTATATTTATGCATAAAAAAACAGCTCATTTGTTTTTCTTTCCTCCCTTTTGCTTCTTGTTTGGTGAATCTACCTTAACCCAACCATCATCACTAATCATATAGTTATTAATAATTACTCTGCGTCTTCTTCATCATGTTTTTGTTATTTAGCATTAGTATTTTTACCTTTAGATCTATAAGATGATTATAAAATAAAATACCCTTTTTATTGTTTAGCAGCTTAAGCGGCTTCTTCAGCAACTTTTATAGCAAGTTCTGCAGCAATCTTTGCATCTTCAGCGGCTTTTTAAGCAGCAGCAGCTTTAGCTTCAGCTTATTTTTAAGCTTCAGCCTATTGTTATTATTTCAGAAGATTGGCTTTCTTATTTTATCTTGGATCATAGACTTCTTCCCATCCTTCATCATCATCTTCGACATGTTATGGTTATGGCTTTTACTTTTCTTATGTTTATTTTCCTTTTTCTTTTGTTTATTATTTTGTATTCTATTGTTATTGTTATTGTTATTATTATTATTTATTTGATTTTTTATTTTATTATTAATTTACATTAGATTATTATTATTATTATTATTTTTAATTAGTCTTGGTTTCTTACACTTTCTTCTTTTCTCCTTCACTTTCTGATGGAGAAGATGCTCTTTCTGGTGACTTTTTCTCTGGAGATTCAGAAGATGGGGATCTTTATTATTTCTTCAACTCTTAAGCTTCAAGTTATTTTTATCGTTTCTTTTCTTCCTTTAATAGTCTTCTTCTTTCATATAATTCATCCTTTGTTAATTCCTCACCATCAGTTGAATTAGTTTGGTTAAATGGTAACTTGTCCCAACCTAATAAGATACTTGCATAGAGAAATCAAATACACAATAGATCCTAAAGAGAGAACATATCCTATGCATGTTTCAAATGGTCGTTAAGCAACTTTGAGTGTACCCAAACCAACTCTAAATATAGATGAATAAGCTCTTACGCGAAAGCTGCAACAAGTCCGTATTGAATTTGCTTGGATAATTAAGGCATGTATAATTAATAATTAATAAAATGACAAGTGTATTAATTAATTTAAATGGTGTATTAATTATATATAAATATATATATATCAATCTGTTAACTCATTTGAATCATTTAATATAAGTCCATTTTCATGAAAATCTCTTTCTTACATGGCTTTGGAATCGTGATATGTTCTTTATAGAATAGTATGTGACAATACTCCAATTCTGAGATCCATCTATTTAATTTCTAACTAAAAAGAATGAAAATTGAATAGTACTCTAATTTTGGTTAAAGCAGCCTTGATTCTGATCACAGGAGATTAATCGGTAGATATACTACCATGTTCATTTAATTTGGTTTGCACAGCTTCATACTTATCTGAAATTTATTTGTATTGATCTCCCATTTCTTTGATTGCATTTGTATAATTCTTGCATTACAATTCAATCTTTTTAACATCTTCATTCTTCTTTTTGTATTCACTTCCCTAAGATCTTTAATTTCGATTTATACCATATCTTGCATATTTTCATTAATATTATATTCTCTCTTATTGATCCTATCTAAGATCTCTGATAATTCATCTGTCAATCTTTCCAATTTAATCCTAGCTTCTGGTAAAATAGTTCTGATTTGTGAAGAATATTATTTAGTGGCATCAAAATGTTGTCTCCATTCTCCAGCATTAGGCTTGATTACTATCTTAATCTTTTATGCAGCTCTCTCAACTTCCTTTGCCCATTCCTATGGATTCACATTAGATTCTATCACCATCCTCTCTTCACTTCGTATTAATAGCTTATTTACTCCTTTTGAAATCCCTATTCATTAAACACATCTTCTGGCTCTTCATCTGATGCTACTTCTGGATCAGAGTCTGATGACACACTCCCAGTTTCCTAAACAGGTTCTTCATCTTATCTCCTTTAGAGAATGATTAAACACTTACGTCTAAGATTGCTATTCAATTTTGACTTTTTTAAATTGAAACTTCTTTTTTTATAAAGCTTTGCTTGCTAATTGCTATAACACATAAACCACATATTCCCCAAAACCTTATTTTAACTTAAGTGGGGGAAAGTCGACGTCGATTCCAATATTTTTGACCTCATTCACTATTGTTATTTAAAGGATATATACATATATTCTGTGATAATGTAACAGGGTCATCTAATTTATTAAAATCAGTCGTTTGAACATCATTCTGAGTAAACAACCATTTTGCCAATCTAAATCAAATTAAGATGCTATACGTTTTGAATTGACTGAATTGCTCACTTGAATTAGTTTAATTGACAAAGTATGCTCGATTTAATGGCTTCCCGCCTCTAGTTATTCGAAATTGTAAACTTACTTCTGTTTTACGTAACTTTATTCATAATTCAATAAAACTAGTTTTTCATACAAGTCTTCCATCATTGCTGTTACATCCAATTATTCCTATTGAATTTATATATATTCATACTTAACCTACTTGCTATTCAGACATAATTTAATTTTATTTAATATTCAAATATACAAATACATATAGATATATATTTAATCCTTTTTCACACTTACCAATTATGCAACATAATCTTTTATAATGATAATAAAGCATTTTCTCTGATCTATTAGTCATCATTTCTAGCCTATCTCATAATCTCTTGTTTTGCATTCAATTGCTCTAACACTCTATACTTACATAATTTATTTACACTTTTCCAAAAGGATGGAATCTACAAAACTCCCCCAAATCATAACAAGCAACTGCAACATTTTAATTGCTATTTGATTTTAATATTTCTGCCAATTTTCTAACTCAAAATTGAAATAATACCTAATCAATAAGAAATCATTTTCTTCGAATTTTTTCACATTTTCCTTCCAAAACTTTTCAGTGTGAACTGGACTCCATGTTAAATTTTAAGCATTCAATTCTTTAACATATTTCTCAAAGGAACTATATGTGAATAAAATCAATTACGTTAATATTTTCATATTACTTCTCTAAAATTTCTCCAACATACTTGATATCATCTAACAAATCTTAATCTTTTAAGGAATTTCCACTTCAACAGTAACATCAACTACTTGATGACTGTCAAAATCCATAATCTGTCGACCATCAATTCAATACATTAAGGTGATGCATCAACTAAATTCCTAAAACATGCAAAAGAAACTCTTAAGATCTTCTCTCTTGATATCTTTTGTACTGATTCTATTATCAATTTAATCAAGCCAATAGTGGGATCATTAAAAAGTGAAATAGATTCAGTTGTAAAGCTGAGCAACCATAATGCTAAAATTGTATAATATGCAATTTGTAAATCTGTAGAATATTTTGAAAGTAAATTTGTAATTCTAGATGAACAAACATAAATACATTCTTATTCCACCACTCTTAATAAATTAAACTGCAAGAGTTTCATGTTTTAAGAAATGAACACAAACTGGCATGATCATAAAATCTGCAATTTTTAATTTATTGCCTATAAAGGTTGTATTAATCATATTTACCTATTCCTCCTAAAAAGAGTATCACCCATTCCTTTGCATCATTCCCTCCCTCCTCAGCTATTATCATAGTAGCAATCTTGGCAGCAGCCTCATATGCCATTGGATCATATCCTTCTAAGAATAAAAATTGCTTTAACTTAGGCAATACTTAAGGAGTCAATGCTCTCATAAATTATTTAAATAATCTCTAATTGTCTATTAAGTTTAATGTGATGCATACCTGATATGATTGCCTCAATTGTTGTCAGAATATAAGTCATCAAAGGCTTATCATGGATAAGGTTCTCATAAGATATCTAAAACCATTGAAAACACTCCAACTGAGTCAGTTTCCAAGAGTTTCTTCTGCTCTTACAACTAAATAATATGATTCATATATTCTACCTTTCCTTAAGTGAATTTAATGAACATATCTTTAGTCTCTCTCTTAATTGATTTGCCATGTTGATCCAATTACTTAAAGCAATCTTCACAATCCTTCATCACTTTGTTTAGATACTATTCTCTTTAATAAAAAGTTATGGATTGACAAAAATATCTCCTTTATTTAAACATATTAATTTATTTTATATATATTCAATACGATCCATTTGGTAAATATATCGATTATGTTTAATTGAATTGTCCAGGTCTCTGATATGGTTAAGTGTACACAGAATTATAAGCATTAAATTGATGGTTCTATTTCATCTAATATTTTGAGTAGAAGTCAATATGGTTGTTGATATCATTCTCAAAATTAGATAGCACTTCTTTTAAATCTGTGAATCTTGGTCTGGATTCTGCTTCAGAGATCATCTAATATATTAAATTTGTGAAAAGAGTTGAGTAGCCTTTCTATATCAATTGATCATTAGCTTTGATGATTCTATCAATATGAACTTCTTTGCTTATCCAATCATAATACTATTCACATGAGCTAAGACTTGCTAATTCCAAAAGAGTTAATCCTAGAGCAAACACATCACTCTTGACCAAATCTACATTTGGTTAAGGGTTCTTTGCTCTTAATTCCTTCAATAATTCAGGAGATAGATATTAAAAATCATTCACTAGCAAAGCCTTCTGATATCCTGTCATACTTCCATAAATAAAATTGTACTCCTGTAATATATTATTGAATGAATACTGTTAATTTTACACTTTGATCAGGATGCAAATAGATATTTTTAGATTTTATTTCTCCGTGATATCTTCCATTTTTTTCTAAAAATGCACAAGCATTGACAATCTAAAGTGTTATTTACCATAATCTTAATTCTGGGAATTGTTAAACAATATTTCTGATATTTTCATTTAAATAACAAAGCTTCATTTCATTTTAAATATTATTGTAAAAGAATTCCCCTATTACTGTTAATTATGTTTGATCTTAACATAAGATTTGGCTATTTTATTCAGAGATGAAAAATATTTATGTAAGATGGTCATTATTGTAACATTTCCTATTTTTATAATGTGCTAACATGAGTTTGGCTTCTTCTGATGTTGTGACTGTCTTATGAAATTCAAAAATAGAATAATTCTATACAATCGTAGATCAATTACATTATCGTCTTTTAGATCATAGACTCTGACTATACCTAGCTAATTATGATGAATAGACCCTTTCATTTTGAATTTCTTCATCACATTTTCATACTTCTCTTCTTACATCCTTTAATTTGAATTCCCCATTTAATTTATAATAATTAATTTATACTAAAACTTTGATAAGAATAACATCCTCAGAATATAAACTTTTGATTTGCAACTCTATCTAGAATTATTCTAATCAAATCATTACAATATATGGAGAGATTAAAACAATTACTATTCTCAATCAATTAATTGGACAAAGGTTTATTTTTTTACTTTGAATATTTCTTAAGAGTTATCGTTCATTATAAAATTAAAATTGAAGGATCATCTAATACATGTAATCTATATTATTTTTATTTTTTTATAATTCTCTATAAATTATTTAAATCGATAGGAAATTGAAAAATAGTTAAAAAACATGAATTCTATTAGATTATTTTAAATTGATTTACATTCATTATAGATTATTCATAAATTATTTCATGATTGAAGTATCTCATAAGTCCTTATAATTTCAAGAAGGTCAATTAAACCAATTAAAGTTTAAGATAACAAATGTTAGTGATGTTCCAATTACTTTTAGAATTAGATGCAATAACAATACTAATTATAAATTAGACCATTATATGGGACTTATTCACAGCCATTAAGATTTCGAAAACAACATTCAAAATTTTGAAGCAGCAGTAATTGCAATTTAAATCAAATTAGGATTTGAAATTGCCAGGTGATTAATTGGAAATTTAATATGCAGAGTTTTTGGATCCATTATAAGATTTGAAAGACTTTTGGAAATCCACATAAAGCTAAGATCATGTTATGATACCCATAGAAGTCCTTGATATCTAATAATAGCAGAAGGAGGCTATTTTGGCAGAATTAAAGGTTAAATAATAAACATTACAACAAGAATTATAATCTATTAAATAAGAATATGTTTAATCATAGAAACCTGCTGTTGAGATCAATCACTTTAATAAATTATATAATGGATTTACTATTGGCAAATTGATTATTGTTATTGCGATATCATTGCTTCTTGGTAGTATTTGTAGATGAATTTAAATATCTATTTATAAAGTGTTATTAATTTTATAATTCTTTAGAATAAAATTAGTTATGAGTTCTCTATTTATTATTTTTTTAGGCCAATTGTTATGATTGTTGTTCAATTCAAACTCAATTGAATATGATTTCACTGATTCTTCTTTTGAGTTTTTTTCTAGAGTTATTTAACGAAATTCCATAATGAAATTCCTAAAATATTACATATTTTAGTTCTAGTTCTTGTTTCAAAGAGAGAAATAATGGTCAGAATTATGTTCACTCTTTCTATTCAGGAGATGCTTTTGACATCATCCTCGTATTTAAGAATTTTAAGAAGGAATAGATGAAATATATATGACAAAAATAGGGGTATCAATATAATCAAAATGAATTTAGACAAATTGGAATTAATTTCCAATATAAATACAAGTTTTTGTACAATATTGTAGATCGGTTTAATTTCTATATAAATTAATTTAATTAACCTGTTTGTACACTTCTGGCAACTTTCCCTATATTAGCATTATATTCAATTAATAAACTTCAGGTATTGATTATTTACATTTTTGTTAATGAAGTTATATGTATTATTATTGAAATGTTAAATTTTTAAGTGTTTCTAATTAGAAGTAAATAAATGAAAATACAATATTTTATTACCTCAAACAGTTTGGTTTAAAAAATCTTTAATTGTTTTGGACTTAATAATAACATTTTAAATATTTGTTAAACCATATTTTATTCTTTTGTTAACAGATTCATCGAATTCAATCATTTGAGATTTTCATTTATAGTTTATGTATTATAAGAATATTATTAAATATGGTATAATAGGTGATTGATAATTTAAAGGTAATTTTATATCTAACGTATTTATGTTTTTAATCTTAGACTCATGCCATATTAATACTATTCTTAAAATTGTTATACCATCTGAATGTTTCCATTTCTTAAAATACCTATAATTAATGTTGTAATTGGAAATTTTGTATTGATATTTTTAATCAATCAAAGTTTGCAATTATTTTTAGTAATCAAAATCTGTTTATATTTACTAATTTGTAAGGAAAATAGAGTTTCTCATGACATTGTATAAATATTTGAAAATGTATTTTAAATTTTTAACTTATAATAAAATAAACATTTGTTTTTAATATAAAGAATCACCAACTTCTTTCATCCTCATTTAATTATTCCATAGTAAAATATCTATCTGATATTTGTGATATCTCATTGAATTATGGTATGTATGCAAGAGTATCATATTTTTTCTATGACAAATCTTCCCAAGAAACATCATGAAACCAAGGATGACTTTATACTTCTTTAAAATCCATGAGAAATCCCAATCTTTATGTACTATCATGTTTTATCAACCTTTAAATGATATCCTTACATTATGATGAGCACACTATATTTTTTGGGAAATGAATTTCACCTTTGAGAATGAGTTTCAAGGCTATTTCAAAATTATTATGATAGAAAGGAGTTATGCCTACCAATAATTCATAAATAAGAATGCCTAAACTATACCAATCAGACATTCGAGTAAGTTCCCCATTCTTTATATATTCTGGAGATGAATATTCAATAGTGAAATTGATGGCTTAAGTTTTCTTGAATTCCTAGTACATTCTCAATTTGCCATATCCGAAGTCAGTTAAACATACATACCCTCTTTCGTCAATCAAAATATTCTCAGGTTTCAAATCTCCAAATATTATTCCCCTCTCATGTAGATCCGATAAAGCTATTGCTACTTATGCAACTATTTATTTTACTTATTATTCTGGAAAATTGTTAATCTCCTTTAAATGTTAATAGAGGTCACCTCCTTTCACGAATTTGAATATTAAATTAACATTACCATTGTAGAGCATACACAATTCAAGTTCCTCTATGAATGGCAATCTCTCGTAATTCTTGAGAAACAATTCCAACAAATCTATGTCGACTGTATTAATGGGAACACATTTAAGAACTGAGAATTGTTATTATTTTTCATATTTATTATGCAATAAGTAGATTTTGCTTAAAGATCCTGAGGCTAACACTACTGATTTTTAATACTCATCTAATTTAACTCGTAATCTTAATGGGTCATTAGCAAAAAGTACCAACAATTCATTCGATGCAGCTTTACTTTTATTCATGGTATTGATATAATTTAATTGGAAATTCTCAGGATATAGCATACTAATTTAGGATTTGGGATGCAAACTAGTTTATTTTAATTTATCAAGTGTTTGATGATGCATACAATAGGGTTGTAGAACTTCATCTTCTACAAAATATATTTTGATGCCATCTATATTGTGCATTTTCATCGCAATTGCTAAGTAAAATATTATTACATCTCTATTCTCTTATGATTTATACAATAAGTCAGATTCGGTAGGTACATGAATTATAAATTCTTGACTCTTCTTTGATATGGTGACTCCGAATATTTTGTTAATTGCTATCTTTCTTTTAATTGATTTCTTATCAATGTTATACACAAACTCATTAGAAATTGCTATCATTCTCAACTATTCGTTATTCCTTTTGTTGATTTTCGTAATCATTCGAGATATAAGCATTATTTCTAAGGATGTGCATTATTTCTTAAAATACTTTTCTGCATCTATATGATAAATGTCATTTGTATCAACTTTAATTTATTTTAGAAAATTCATTTTCCTATGTTCTTGATGCATTCGATATAATATTAAAAGAAATTATTTTTATACAAATAATAACACAAATTCAAATACATTATTATACATACCTTATTTGAAAAATGACAAAGTTGCTCATAGTTATACTCGTTCTCTCTTTACATGTTTCTTTAAATGAGTCACTCTCTATTCCTTCTTTCAACCATTAAGTTCAAATGAATGAGAAGCCAAAAAAAAAGCCCGCCATAGAATGGAGAAGCACTTCTGAATTTGAAAATAATTCAAATTACGTAAGAGTTGTGGAATTTACTAAATAAAACTATTAAAAGGAATGCTCAATGAACAAGACAATCACATTTACTAAAGTCCTTTAGGTTGCTAAACAAATGCAACAAGGATTTCTTTGGTCTGTAATACATTTAATATTATATCTAAGTTATAAGTGGAGTTTTCAGACAAAACAATTAAAATAATTTAGATCTACGAAGACTTAGATGGAGTTTTAGAGTTTGATTCATGCAAAGATAACAATTGAAAATTTACAAAATTTTCATATATATTGAAAATCATATTAATTTTAACCCTTATAATTTTCATTCTCTACAACATCAGAACAAGTTTTATTTGAAGTTTTAGGTTATATTAAATTATAAGATTTAATCCTGAAAACGGTATGCTGGGATTAATAAATTTATAATATGAATTAGGATTTATTTATTAAATTAATAAAAAACGAAATGAACAAAACCATAATAACATTGATAGCAATAATTATGATTACTTAAGCAAAGAGACACTTCATAGAGAATAAGATTCAAAAAAACTAAGAATTGCTTGGAGGTGTAAGATGGTAGTCTCCAAACAACTATAAAAATGACGAGAATTATTTCCAAGCCCTTGAAAAAGCAAAGCAAGATTTCCATAAGGTCTGTCATTTGCCTAATGGCGTAACTTGGGTTAAGGTGGAAAAGGTTGGCTTATAGATTGTATAAGGAAGAATGTGGTGGGTATGATATTTAATTCAACTTATTAGTTCGAAGTTAAATTGAGTGATAAAAAAACATACCAGATGGAAGTATATTAGGACTTGTAAGATACATTTGAATTAGATGAATGCAATAAATGAATAATTTTTCACACAATTTAATAAGTTAAATCATAAATAAATTAATCGTTAAAATAAAAAATGCAAAGATCCTGGTTAGAGTAACCCCAAAGAACTTTGGACATCAATTTTGATATAAAATCTATTCGAAATTAAGTTAAAGATAGATGTGTACCAGTCCTATAATATTAAACTGACTCTGCTCAAAAATCATTCTACTCTTATAGGTAATAGCATCAACTATCTTAGAAAAGAAAGTTTGCCCACAGTACCATCATTCGAAAACTTATAAGCCAAAATAAGGGATTTCTCATACACTAAACTCAATCAGGCTTCATCCTTTTAATAAAAGAATCAGATTGCTGATAAATCAATCACTTACTCACCTCAAAAGGCTGCAGGTCTATAAAAGAAGTAATGTTAAAATCTAGAATTTAAGAATAAATAGTTCCTTGGGGAGTAGGAACAATTCTAATTATCAAAGTTCTCGACAATAATCACCAGCTTATTAAAGCAGACCTATTGAACTAAGTTATAGGTCATAATAGAGAAGAAATTTGAGTGATAACTTGCAATTGAACGAAATTGTTTCTATGAGGAATAAGATTGAATCATCCTAGGCCAGCAGAAGTCTATTGGGATCTAAGTAATTTCTAATTATTCTATAATAGTTATGTGAGTGAATTGGTCAAATTAGCTTAGGCCATAACTAATGCACTGAAATGAGATAATTTTAGTTTAAAATTATGATATAACTACAAATTTATATAAATTAATTTTATGAAAAACAATAAATACTAGATTAGAGTAACTTTAGACAGTACTCCTTCAACTTTTTAAACTAATGAAACATTGTCTTTATGGGAAAGTCTATAAAGATCCAAAGATTCTCCTAGAAAATCAAAAATAAGAATTGCAAGAGACCCACTAGAAAATGAATGTCCATTGTAATAACCGAACCCATTTTTATTTAATGAATAATTAAAGCATAGTTTTAGGGACTATTTGGAAGGTTAAAAGACGGTATTAAATTTAGTAAATGAATGTAATCATATCATAAGTTCATCACATAAGATGGATAAACTAAAATTATTTTCAAATGTACATAAATTTCGAAGTTAATTAAAATAAAGATCCTCAGTTAGATTGTCTATGATCTAAAATAATTCTTAAGCTGAAGATCTTCTTCAAAGAAAAATTAAGATCTAAGAAAGGTTTAATAAAATTCAAGCCTTAATTCAATAAAGAATGCATGCTAAAAATAAAAAAGAATCACTTCGAGATGTTCAATTATTCAAACATTTATTTGAAACTTGTGAGAAGAATGTTAATAAAATTAAATCGAAAAATCTACTCTCAGAAAAAGCAGATGGAATAAGAGAATATGATAAAATTAAATATTCTAAGAATCCACAAGGATCATTAAGAGTACGTCTAGATAATGAAAGCAATCTTAATTAATCTAATAATTTAAGGAGTAGGACTTTACCAGATTAACAAACAACTCATTTAACAAGAAAGAAGGAACGAGAAAAAATGAATGCTAAACTTACTGAGTTTCTAGAACATGATCAAAATCAAGAAAAGAATCTACTTCTTAAGGCTAAGAGAAATCTTATAAGAGAATTAAAGAATGGTAATAAAAAATTCCATTAATTTGATACTAATCGATACAATATTACAGATCCCTTGAGTAAAGATGTGAAGTTTTATGCTTATATGTTTATGAAGCCTAAAAATGATGATGTTTTACAGAAGAAGGACTAAAAGTATAAGTTCTTATGTAAAACCGCGAGAGTTCAAAAAAACACTCAAAGACATTACTTAGCCAATTTTAATCAACAATAATCTAATTCCAGGGAGGAGAGCCTAGAGGAAGATTCTTCATTCAATTCTATGCTTGAAATCAATATTGACAATCTGTATAAACGAAGCACTGATTTGTAAAATATGATTCTGAATACAAAGTCTGAAAAGTTTGTTAGAAGAATTAGACAATTCCAAAAAGTGCAAACCCTAACTACTTAAATAATTAAAGTGAATGAATAAAAACTATCTAATACTAAATTATTATGACAGTAATAACAATGTATCTACATAACATTCTCCTATATACATCAATAAAAGTCAAAGTCTAAATTATCCTGGTTTTCCCATGGACTAAAATCTATAGTAGGTTCACTTTTCTTAATCTTCATTCTCTAAGATAATCTTCTACGTTTAATTTAGTATATTTTTTAAAATTATTGTTATTTGGCTAAATTATACGGCATTTCAATTATATTTTCTTTATTGCTAACTATTGTTCGATGCAGAATTGGAGGCTTAACAGGATATTAAACTTAGGGCAGATGTTCCTCCTCCATTTCTGTTTTGGTTTCGAATGATTATCTTCTAAGTCTCTGTCTCTCTAATTTCATATGAATCACCTTCAATGCATTTTCACTAGTTTTGCCAAGTTGCAATCCCTTATAATAATTTTATTTGATTTCACTAGTTTCAGTGATCTGTCTCAATCTCTCTACTTTCATAGACGTAGATCTCTGATCTTTATTATATCCAAATACGAAATTGTAAAAATTTTATCGTTGATTTTATTGACAGTTTTTCATTTTAATTTTATAAATTGCATTAACATTAATCCCTCTTCCATTAGAATTGAGATGTAATCATACACAATATAATTGATAATATTAACAAATATCAAATGTCATCCTCTTAGATGATGTGATCACCTTCTAATTTAGGAATAGCTATCCTACTCTTAGGAACTAAGCTTGATCCAAATTGAATCTTATTCAATAATGTCCATCCTCCAGAACCAGCAATTATCAGAATAATCAAGGCAAAAATGAATAAAAACACTTACTCCAATGGATTTGCATTTGTACTCGTATTCGCATTCGCATTCGCATTCTCAACCTATTTAACAGGTGTTTCGGCATGATCACAAAACGATATTGACACATTGGTATACTTTTAGCACAACTTTTAAAGGAATTCATTATATGTTAAATCAGTTTAGTCTGAAGAATCCAAATACAAGGAAAATGATGTTTAATTATATTCCATTTTTTTGTACTATTCTAATATGCGATTTGTCTTAATTTCTTAATTTACTACTTCACTTTTATCAAAACTATCCTCAATACATTTATTTATTGCTTCAGTTGATATGTTATGATTAGTAAAATAATTCTTAGAACAGGCAACCATTGATGATTTCTTACATTGTTATCCAAAGTAGATTGTATAATTAAGATAATGTTGTGGTAATACTTCCAACACACACTGTTAAAGTAAAAATTCTTTCAAAATGGTCTACCCAGATACATAGTCAGAATACTCTATGATATATTTATAAAGCAATACAGCAATATCGACCTCCTCCTAAACAATGTTTTTCTTGCTCCTTGAATTGATGACGCGTGTAACAACTGTAGCAAGGTAAAAGATGTTGGGCAATATTCAATTTTACTATGATCACAATAAATAACGAATATACATCCATTCTATTACAATTCATCATAGTGTTTTGAAAAATTGCCAAAGAATTCCATATAGGAATTGTCTGAAAAATCTAACCCTATTGTTAAATTAATATCCATCTTTGCATTCTTTGATAATGCAATTGCTATAAAAATAAAGTAAAGCATTTATTTTAATAAAAATCTGGGTTTAATAAAATGTTGATACCAATTATTTTATAATTAATGTGTTTTTTGTAGATGATGATTTAATGTTATAATAATATGCAATTTTGAATCATTTTAAACTCATTAGGATCTTAGTATTCTACAGATAATTTAGGATTAAAATTTTTAATGTCATATGTATTAATATAGAATTATAAATGAACTTCTTATATTATTTCATTTTATTATGATGCCTACATATTATATGATATCATTAGGTTAAGCAATAACATTTATTAGTTCATTTTGAATTCAAATTTAGTGAGGGATTCAAGAATATATTATATATAAATTATTCAGTAGAGATTTCTTAATTATTTGTTACCTTATAAACATTTAAAAATACATAAATTAATTTAATTTAAAGAAAGTTAATATTATTAAGCAATATAAACATCAAAGTTATTGTTTTAAAAAGTGAACAATATTTAAATGTCTCCATCTTTATGCAACTTCTAAGGGAGTTTCTTCTATTCCGTTTATAGATACAGTTGTTTGAGGATTAGCTCCTTTCTCTACCAGTATTCTACATATATCAAGATGTCCTAATTTAGCTGCTACATATAAAGGTGTTAATCCTTTTTAATTTTTTTTGTTAACTAAACAAAATTGACTCGTATTATCATAGAAATACCTTCATTAATGATATGAATATACTTTTTTGGATCTTTATTTAGTATTTCTTCGATTATATTTGAAGAATGTCCTTTTTCAATAGATGTGAAAAGTGCTTATTGCATTTAAATATATTTTAACGCTTCACTGAAGTTACGACTGCTCTCTGATCTCTATTTTAATGAATCTTGAGGTTTGTAACCACTTATGACTAGTTCATCCTTGGATTAATATAAAATTAGATTACTGGAGAGTTCAACCGCCTCGTTTTTGGGTTTTAGAGTAATCTAATTGTGGTGATAGCATGACGGAAGCTTTTCCAATATTTCAAGCCATCTCCATCAGAAAAGGGTACTCTATTATTAAGATAAAGAGATACGTATCAGGCTAAATGTTCCTAAGCGGAATATTTTATTTCTTATTCATATTATTAAAATGATTAATAGTTATTCATTTAACAAGTATACAGTTATTCAAAACAAAATCAAGAACCAAAGAGGGATTCTTAAATCTAAGATCATTTAATTTAACAAAACAATTCTCAGAAATGCAGAGCATAACTTATTTTTTGTTGCTGATCTTCGCTTGTTCCCAATTTTTGATGTCTTTAATTAGAGTGCAATCGATTCTATTAGCTTGTTTGAATTCTCCATCAATCTTGTCATACATTAATATAGTATTGGATGACAATTTAATAGTGGATTTAGAAGATGGCAATGATTGTTCATGTGTTTTGATATTGGATTATATCATTTTAGTAGTTTATTTAGATTGACAATTGCATTGATACTTGGTGGACTTGGAATCATCAATGTCATCGTCGTCATCGAATTCCACATCAGGGAGATCCAATTCAGTTCCCTTGTAGAACAATCTCTTTTGTTATGAGGGATAGAGTTTGTCTGCGATTTGCTTACTGAAAATGAGGTTGAATTTTTCTATTTATTCAGAGGGCAAATTGGCAGCTTGTCTATAGATAAGATTGCCAGTTTTAGTTTCGACGATATAAGTAGGATGAGATCGTTGGGTTTCTAATTTAGAAAAGACTACGCCAACTATCTTTTAGGGATCAGCCATACGAGATTAAAATGAATAACAATTAAATTAGAAAGTGATATTTATATCTCAAAAATATTAACTAAAATTTGACTAAGTGATAATTATAAATTAATTGATGGTCTAAATGAGTCTACAATATGAAGATTACTCTTGTTGTTAATACATTATAATATATTAAATAAATAATTCAGATTGGGATTAATGTTTCAAAATAAGTACATAAGTGTATTAATTCCAATAGAACAGATTATGACAGAGGAGTGAATACATTCTCACCAGAAGGTCGTCTATTCTAGGTGGAATATGCATTACAAGCAATCAAATTGGGAGCAAGTGCTTTGGCCATAAAAGTGAATGATGGAGTGGTGTTGGCTGGAGAAAGAAAATTGAATTCAACTCTTTTAGAGCCTAGGAGTATTGAGAAGATCTATGAAATTGACACTCATATTGCTTGCACTGCCTCTGGTTTCATTCCTGATGCCAGAACATTAGTTGAACATGCCAGAGTTGAATCCCAGAATCATAAATTCAATTATGGTGAACCCATCAATGTTAGAGCACTCACCTAGATTGTTTGCGATTAGGCTCTTGATTTTGGAGAGAGTGATTCCAAAAGCAAAACAAAAATGTCAAGACCTTATGGAGTGGCGCTATTGATTGCTGGTGTTTCTGATCATGGTCCTCAAATTTCTCTAAACTGGTACTAAATTGAATGATTATAGACCCCACTGGAACTATGATTGAATATTAAGCTAAAGGAATTGGTGCAGCCGATGAAGGTATCCAAAGCATACTCAAAGAATAATACAAATAAGTAAGATCATAAATTAAGTCAGGATCTAACCTTGGAGTAAGCTGAGAGATTGGCCATCTTATGTCTCAAGAATGTGATGGAAGAGAAAGTAATTATAAGTGATCATATCTTAGATCAATAATTCCAATGTAGAATTGGCTGTAATTACAACTGCAGAGAAAAGATATACCTAAAGAACACCAGAACAAATATAAAGTCTAATTGACAAAGTTTGAAATATTATATATCTATAATAAGTATAATATGATTCAAATACGTGAAGTATTAGATTTTAAGAAGAGTATTGGACTTCTTATATTTTAAAAAAATTATTGAAACTCTAAAAATGATGATCGTCCTCTATATTATATGGCAATGAATAATCGTGGTCATCTTCAAACACAATCTGTTTCTTGGGGAAATACTTCTTAAATAGTTGTTTATTAGTCGAGGCATATTCAACAGCGACTTTTATTACATCCTCATTTCTTATGCATTATTTCTGTCCTGGAAAACCTCTTTCATTTCTATTAATCATACCCAAATCTTGCTTTGTACAATTATAAAAATTATCCAACAGAAGGCTTCGATTCTTCTATTGTCATTTTTTACACCCTCAGATCCTAATTATTGTCCCAAATTTCGTATTCCTCGTCAGCACTCATGTTGCTCTCTGATGTAATCACTGATAATAACGAAGGTCTTTGTTGACAATTGATACTGGTTTGACGTTGGAATGCATTTCGAGGTTAAACCAAAGGTTTCACATCTTATTTGGCTTGTGTTTTCAAAGGATAATTAGTTAACTATTTTATTGATCGGTGTTGTGGAGTGTAAGATTTACACTTGATACTGTACTATAAAGAAGCTAAAAGTTCCCCTGCTTTCTTTATTTTAGATGAGCCATCTCTCACTCTAAAACCATTCCCTTAAGTTTTTTTCATTATTATATTAAATAGCTATAATTATTTAATCTAAAATGATAACTGGGTTAATTGATGAGTACATTTAATCAATATTATATTAATGATTATAATTTAATTTGCAATTAAATTCCTATGGTTATATAGATATATATATATGATGAAATTAAAATATTCAATATTGTAGTTATCCCTTTTGATTGATATCATTAATGGATTTGACCTAAAAAGAATTAGGAATTTTCACTTATGGTTAGTTGGGAGAAACAACTTCCATACATGATTCTGTTGATCTGTTCAATTCATTTTCCTTTTGCTGCAACCATGACTCATAGTATTGATTTCTCTTCTTTTAAGGATGACGAGGACTTTTGGTTTTGATTCTATTAAAGATGGCTTGTTAGTGGAATCGATTATTTTATATACCTAAATTATTCATTTAGTTTAATAATAATTCAGTTTAAAAAATTTTAGATGATATTCATTTCATAGAAATTCTTAGTTGCATTATCAAGACAATGAAATAATTTTTTCATATTATAATATGAGAATGTATTTTAATATTCTTCGAAGAGTTACATCAAATGCTTTTCTAATCTAACTTAAATTTATGGTTAATAATTAAAATCAAACAGCGTATCATTTTATTATTTCTCCAAATTCAAAAAAAGCGTGAAATGTTCATCTTCAATTCCATTCTCTAATTTCATCTGATAAGCCATCCACACCTTAAGTACCTATAAACTATCTGAGTATTCTAAACTGAGACTATGATTGACTCTTCTCTCCTTAGAATTGAAATTGGGGCTATACATGGGTTATTGTAAGAATTCATAAAATACACTACTGCAAAGAGGAATTCTCATAAACAATTGAAAATTATCCAATATTATAGATGGAATTAATGGCAATCTGATTAATGTACTCTATTGTATGGGTATATAAACAATATAGTAAAATTCAACCATGCTTCTGAGGATTTAAGAAAAGATCATAACGATTAAAGGGAATGGCAATTCAATAGGTCCATTTTGTATTTTACAATCCATCTCATTGATAAAGTAACTGATAAAAGTATTAATGTATAACCAAATCGCATAAATCAATAATGGTTTATTGACAAACTTTTGAAGAGTATCAAATTGGGGTATAAAAATCTTTTGATTCCAATATATGATAAGCATGCACAATACAATTTCTAAAGTATTATTAATAGCCTCCACTATATTTATATTCTCGTATTGAATGAGATCACTTATGTGATCTTAATCTGAGTAGTTTTTTTTTTCATTATAAAGAATGACAATGTAATAGATCCCTGACCAAAATGCCGAAGTCATCAATAAAGCGACAATTAAAATACGAAATTAATATCTAAAAAGCTTGGTACAAAGAAATTTTAACAGGTTAGAAGACTTGATATTGAGGTGAAATGCCAAGGTGACTCTAAGTGATTTAAAAACTGTGATATATACAAAAAGTCCCCGAAAAAAATTCTAAAATATCATTATGATTTTAGTTGTATGAAAATTATTCTAACCATCATATACAATTACAAGTAGAGTGAGGACAATGAATAAGTAAAGTGATAATCCTTGAAATATTGTTAAAAGTGGTGATAATTCCTAAATAGGGTTCCAATTCCGTAATTTATAAGTTTAGAATAAAAGGCCAACAGATATGAGGCTAAGAAGTGCAATAATTACAATAGAAGGGATTAGTGTTTGTTCCGATATTTGTAAACATAATTATTACATTTAATTTATGTGATTCTAATTAAATTCAATATTACATAAATATCAATATCAAAGTAATATCATCAATCACTATATTACTTCTCAGTTGACAACTACATCAGCTATATCTAGTCAATATATCTGCACTTATTTTCAACATCCCTTCTATCAATATGAGAAGTAACATAACATAGATTTTCGGATCAATAAAGAAATTCAACAACATCATTTAAGATCCAAATGATAGAATTCATCAAGAACTAAATTGAATATCACTGGGTTTTCAAAGACTCCTACACTTTAGCATTTTAAAGGCAAATAGACTTTGTCATTTACAACACTAGCCAAATTCATTATGAATAAACAAACACAGAAGAACAAAATATTACTTAATTAATTTAAGTCTCATTTAAGGATTTAATTAATGATTAAATATTATGTATATAATAAAGGATTAAGGTAAGGGATAGAGATGATATTGAATTTTACTTAGGTGATATAGAATTCAAATTACTATTTGAAGATATTTCGAATAAGATGAAAATGAATACAATTACCATCTTAGTAAATATAGAAATACATAGATGATGATTTGCTGTTTATATTTGGAAAAGCTATAAAGGAATATAATTCTATTTATTTGGATTCCAAGTTTGCATCTTTTCTAACTTAAATTTAAGGATGATTCAAAATTATAGTCTAATTCAATTTATCAATTGAAGTATGTTCTCTAAATTAATAGAGGAGAACGATTCACACTTTTTCCAGGACCCAATTGATGTTTTTTTCACTTAAATATTTTCTTTAAGCCCAGATTGAAAATGAACTTTAATATGAATTCGGATTCTTTAGTGGAGTAATATGGTTTATGAATATTAAGATTTATAGATGTTGGTGATAATATATTATTTAATTATTTCATAATTTATAATTCAGACATCAAATCCAAAGTATCCCAATATGTATTGGTTCTTTTCTCCCACATTGACTCTGCCATCTACTCCGTATTGGGTGCCAAAAGAGTTCAATGATTTCCATGTAATTTTGCCATCAGTTTCAGTGTGCCAACCCACAACCATTAAAAATCTGATGCCAAAGTCTTGATCATTTTTCTTAGTGGTATAAAGTCCACTTGAGTATTCATTCAAGCTTGAGCCATCTTTAATAATAGTATACATTCATGATTACATTTCAATGCCAGGACAACAGGACCTTTATTTATGATGTGATCTTGTATGTCTTGTGTTGATGTAAGTTCTATAAGATCTTTGGCTCTCAACTCTGATTTCTTGAAACTCAAATCGTCACATCTGATTGGACATTTGTTCTTGAGGTTGAAATTGACTGTTTGCTTATACGAAAGACACTTATTGGTACTCAGACCATTCTCTAACAAGAAACTGAATTGTTTAGTGAAATGAGACGATACTTCTTGATGCTATTAACAATCTTCAATGATTTGGGTGTAGCAGAACATTTGTCCTCATCCCACTTGGTACATTGTAGCAATTCTTCAGCCGAAAGACGAGGTTACTTCGATGACGATCTAAGACAATTGGTCAGGTACAGAGACTAAGTGAAGATATGAGCCCAATTTCCACCTTGGCAAAGACCCTGGGTTAGGATGGAATAAATACTTCAAGGAACACTGTTTAATCACAATTGTCAATCTGGGTTATAAGACTAGAGTGCTTCAAATCTATACGTCACATCATATTCCTTTGGGCGATAAGTGAGGAAACTAGGAGTCTGCTCAAGACTAACAAGGGTTACTAGGAGGAGAACACAACTAGTTACGACTATTGTGAATGTGGTATATCTATTCATTATATAATAATAATGAGACTGTTAATTATTTTAAATTCCAATGAAGCATAGACCAGCTGCAAATAGTCTAAATTAGAAGGAGAATGAAAAATGCATAGGCAATCAATATTCATACAAATCAAGACCTCCTTTGTAATAAGATTTACTGATGAACCTAAAGAATTAACAACTCAGGAATCTTGATGCCATCAGTTAGATACTATAATCCAAAATTTGTAAAGTCGAAAAAAGAGATAATGTTGAATACTTCAAATTCGATTTCAAATAACAGAATATCTGTGACAGAGTGAAGTTTCTTAGTAATTAACCAGATGATGATAACAATAAAACTGAGAATTTTAAAGCTTAATATAAGGTTGGTAGTCGTATTGGCCAAGGAGCCTATGCTTCGGTGAGAGTGGCTATTCAAATTGAATCAGGTACTAAAGTGGCTATCAAAATCTATGAGAAATCTAAAATACGCGATTTATAGCGTCGCAAAGGAGTCCGCAGAGAAATAGAAATTCTTGAAAAGATAGATCATCCAAATATCGTCAAGATTATCGACACTTTGGAATCAAATAATCACGTCAATATTATATTAGAATATGTGAGTGGAAGTTCACTTCACCATTTTATTCGCAAATAATAAGTATCTATTATATGATAATATATAAGGAACGAAGACTCGATGAAGAAACTGCTAAAACTATATTTAAACAAATCCTTGATGCAGTTTAATATTGTCATTCCAAAAATATAGCTCATAGAGATTTGAAACTAGAAAACATTCTATTAGAGGGCTAAACTCCTAAACTAATTGATTTTGGTTTTTCCACCTTCTTTCCCATTGAGAAAAAGGTCAAAATGTTCTGTGGCACCCCTAGTTATATGGCTCCAGAAATAGTCACCAGGTAAGAGTATCGAGGAGATAAATCAGATGTTTGGGCCTTAGGAGTTGTCCTCTTTACGATGCTTCAAGGTGTCTTTCCCTTCAAAGGAGATACTGATGCAGAACTCTATTCTAAAATTCAATCAGGAGAATTCACAATTACTCATGATATCTCCAAGGAGGCCATTTCATTGCTTTATGGAATGCTCACGGCTGATCCAGATGAACGACCTACTGTAATTGAATTACTCAATTATCCATGGCTTAAGAGATAAAACCTATATACTGAAAACGAGGAAATCAAAAAAAAACATAAATTACCTGAAGATTTAATTGAAGATCTTAATACTATTACTAAAAATATGTCTTTCATTACTCCCACTAGTTAAATCAAATAACAATTCTACTTTGATTTCTCTCATCTTAAAAATACTTCCAAACCCAATACTAATAAGGTATTATCATATTCCAATTTTAGGCCATTATTCCCAAACCCTCTTACTTCACTACCACCAATGCCCAGACCAAATCTAGAGAACCTTAATTTTTCAAAGTGGACAAGATATTAACCAAAAATGATAGACATACTACAACTCATTCAAAAGAACGACATCCTACATTATCGAAAGAAAGACAATCCTCATATAGTTTTGAATCCAGTAGAGGTTTGTCTCAGAAAAAGAATCCTCATTAATTAACTGTCCATCCTAGTTTCATACCAAGTGAAAAGAGCTTTCACTCTTTCAAAAGTCCTCAGATTGCTATGAATGATAAGCGTTCTTTCAATTTTTTTTATAATTGACTTTTTAATTGTATATTAAAGAACAAGAATTCGCAAGAATAAATGAAAATAAACATGTTTATAAATATTATATTCAATCTGGAGTCACTCAATATTTATCTGACAACATTCCATATGTATTTTAATTATATTGAATTCTAAACAACAAACTCTATAAATAATTCTAATAAATTACATTTGAGAACATTGTATCCCAATAAGGATTAGAAATAAGCATTGGTTAATAACTATACACATTTTCTATTGGACACTTGAACTCAGGCATGGGTGTCTATTCCATTAGTGGTGGAGGAATATTAAACAGATATTTTTCAATTTTGATATTTTTAGTTGTAAATATAGGCTTCTTCTCTTAAATCTTTTTGATTATATTTTATTAATCTAATCCTAGTTATACTTTAAATGTTTTCTTGTATTTCAATTTCTTTATTTAGACCTTCTATGCCTGCTTGTTAACCTTTTTCTCTAAATATTTATCACTACGTATAAATATATTTTACTTTTACTCAACAAGGTATTTCATTATATTTTTAACCTAATCTATTGTTTAGTCATCAACTTTATCTCCAACTTTGATTTTTTTATTGTTTCGAATTAACTATTTAAAAAGAACCTTCATCTTATCATCAATCTTTAATATTTTATCATTATCTTCATCATCATGACAATAAATGCTGGAAATCAAAAGGGGCTGGATTTTCGCAATGATTACAGAACCTAATTGATGAGAATAAATACTTTCAGTTGTTTGATAAGCAACTTTTATCAATCGACGAATAATTTTCTTGACGTGAGCATAAAACTTATTCTTTATGTCCTAATCTGTTCTATTGTTCAGCTATTCAGCAATAAAAGTCTAAATGAGATTCATATAAAAACCCATTTATTCCCATAGAGTTCAATCAACTCAAAAAGCTAGTCAATTTCCTTGTCTGTTAAATTGGCTTTATTATATCGTCTATCGAGATGATTCGAAAACCTTTCTCGACAAGCTTTCGTGTCCCTATAAAACCCATGTGATTTTAAGGCTGAAGAAATTTTCTTCCATGCCAACCTTTCCTTTTCATACTTTTTCACAAATTTTTTTAAAAGCTTGTCTTCCTGTAATTATATACAATACAGTTACTTGGGGTGTCCAAGGCTTTCTTTTCTTTTTATCTTCTGAAGGGCAATGTTTAACCATATTAAATAATTTAAAAATATAACTATTCTTAGAATATATGTATGAGTGCTTAAACTTAAGGTTTTGAAGTCTACAATAAATACATACAATACATAAGCAATAAAGTTAAATTGTTATGTAATAAGGTGAATTTTTAACAATAAACTTTCTTAATTTCGTCGCAAATTGTCTTGAAAAATTTTCTTATTTGTAAAAAATGGAAGTTTCAAATATTAATTATCTTTTATTAGATTTATATATGTGAAAATTTAATTCTCATTTCTTTTTTCGTGCCTCAAAACACAAATGAAGTAACTATACTCTAATTTGATAAATTTACATAACTTTGAGTACTGTATTAAATTGGAAAATATCTGCAATGAAATAAATTAAATTATTATGGAAATTTATAAATAAGAAAGTCATTTTAAAAAGATTAATTGGTTGTGGTTATTGAATTAATATTTTAATAAAGAATATTTATAAAACTCATTCATGGCAAATCGATGTTAATTTGAAAACTCCAATGATATTGGTGTCTTTTCTAAACTTACAAATGCATACTGTCTTGTTGCACTTGGAGGAAGTGAAAATTTCTATTCTGTGTTTGAATCTGAACTTGGATTAAGTATGCCAGTCATCCATTGTTCAATTGGAGGCACAAGAATTATTGGAAGATTGACTGCAGGTATATTATATTGTATAAACATAATCAGGAAATAAAAATGGATTATTAGTACCAAATACATGCACTGATTAAGAACTCAAGTAAATCAGAAATTCATTGCCAGATGAAGTTAAAGTAAATATGTAAATTAATATCATAGGTTAAAAGAGTTGAAGAGAAATTATCAGCTTTAGGTAATTGTGTGGCTTGTAATGATTATGTTGCTTTGATACATTCTGATTTGGATAAAGAGACAGAGGAAATAATTGCCGATACTTTGGGAGTTGAAGTTTTCAGAACAACTGTGGCTTAATAGGTTTTGGTTGGAACTTATTGTTGCTTTAATAATCAAGGAGGATTGGTGCATCCATTGACAACAGTAGAAGAATTAGATGAATTAGCTAATTTACTATAAATACCATTGTGTGCTGGTACTGTAAACAGAGGTAGTGATATCATAGCATCTGGTCTTGTTGTTAATGATATTGCTGCTTTTTGTGGTACAAATTGAATATAAACTTTATAGGTTTGGATACGACATCTACAGAAATCACAGTGATTGAAAAAATCTTCAAATTGTAAGATAAAAATAAGTAAAATATGGAAGTGTAAATTCGTTAAGATATGATGCAAGAGTTGGAATGATCTAATAATTATGTTGATTAATATTATGTATATCATTTAATTTCAATATTATCAGCTGAATCCTATTCATTATTGATCATACTATGATATTTATTGAATTCAGATCTGATGAACTCTACCTTTTGATTTAATTCACTGTAGTTTTCAGTCTCATCCTTTTTCATCTCTGCTTGAAAATGCTGAGCCATATTACATAAAGCCAAAATATCCTTCAGATATTGTACTTGAGTTTTTCTCTTCTAAAACCCAGATTTTTTATATGCCTGAGGAGAACATTAAACTTGTGGAAAAGAAAATAAAACTTTAATTTTATGTTTGAGGGGAGTTAATTTTGTATAACTTATCCTAGGAATAAGAATTTTTGTGAAGCTTTTTAAACTTGTTATTTTGGGGTTTTGGCTACTCATCTTAAGGAAGTCCAATTTTTTTATAGTACTTTTTGAATCTAACATAAAAGGGATCCAATTTCATTCCCAAAGGTTTTGGAGATGGGATTTTCAATTCCACAGGGGATTGTAATGGAGATTTAATATCATCTATCCTTAAATCTATGGATTATCTTCGAGTCAAAAATTTATTATTATTTTTGATTTATTTTTGAGGACTAGGTATGAGTTCAATAGAAGATCGTCTTAAATATTGAGATTCATTTGGTTTCCCTAAACTAATTCTTGATTTTTCTAAAATGTTCCTGCAGTTTTTTGATAAAATGCTCCATTTTTCTTCCTTTACCTCATCTAATTATACTGCAGGCTCTAAATCCATCTTTGAGAAAGTCTTTAAATAAGTGAGTTATGGTTTAGAGTAAGTATGATGATATTCTACATTATGCAGGGGAGTTTGTAATTTTTGATTATTCTTAGTCTTCATCATGTATTTCACAACTCCAGGAGCCAAATCTGCTTTAATTGTTTTTATTTTGATATCCAATTTTTCCCTTCTTAACTAATCAATTGATTATTAATACTTATTCAGGACTCTTATGTATCTAAGAGTTATCAAGGATTAATTGCATTATTTAATAATATATGTGTTAAATAATAATGTTTAATTGTCAACTGATCACAGTGCAATTTAAACTTATTAAAGAATAAATACAGATTTTAGCATTCAAATCGATATATGAATCCAATTGCGATAAATTAGCTTATTGATTTGGCATCATTTTTTAAATTAATCCTAATTGTAAGTTCAAATTCTTTTAATACACTTTTTGGATACATTTTTGACTGTTTTTAATGGGTTTAGAGGGTTTTACAGTAAATTTTGGATTAGACTTAAAAGGATTGGTTAATAAAAGACGAGAGTTGATTATTTGAAAACTTTAATGAGAAAAAGGCCAAATCAAATATTATAATAATTAAAATTCCTATTGATTTCCGATAGCAATGCAGAATCTATATTTATCTTTAAATCGAAAAGAAATTATTATTTTTATATTAATTTGAGATATTTAAACAAAAATTATAATTCGATGCATTTTAAAAAATATACCCATCATAAAACGTAGAATAATGAGGGGGTAAATTTAGATTAACATTTTATACGATGTTATCATAGATATTGATATAAGATTTCCAAATTTGAACTGCACAGATACATTTTGGAAATAACCTATACAATGCACAATATTCCATTATCAATAAAATAAATTAGGAATTAAGCAGATTATAATAAATAAATTCATACGTAGTTAGTATAGAGAATTTAAAAAATAATATACAGGTAAATGAATATTTCTGAGGCTAGAACAGTTGGTATATCACCACCTCAAAAATTCTCGAAGTTAAACCAATCTTAATAGTTAATTCCTGAAGAATGTCTTCCACCAACATTTTAAAGTCTCAATCCTTCTCCAAGAAGAGATGTTTACAAAAAAGGAATCAAGAAAACTTATAAAATGAAAGTATATTTAATTGCTAACTCACAAATTAGGATAATGAGAGAAAGAAGATGGTATGGTGTAATATATATATGAATGAAATGGACCCAATCTAATTGGCTAGGTCAAAAAAAGGAAGTAAGAAAATTAAAATACTTGTTTTAGAGTAATGTCGTATTTGCTCATAGGAAGAAGAAACTTCAAGATTCATCTATCCATGCATTTGTAGTGGCACAGCCAAATATGTGCATGAAGAATGCTTTAAAAATTGGATTCTTTTAAAGAATGGTATTGAAAAGGTTTATAAGAATGATGTAACAATCCATTATTATAATGTATCAGATTAAATGTGAAGTTTGCTAACAAAAGATATCAATGAAAATTCACTTTTAAGAAGAAGTACATGCAGAAATAATTTAAGAAGTGCCTAGGCATTAAAAAGCATGCTGGCTTATATTAATCTTTATAATTTTATTATAGATAGCAGGAGCTGTCATATTGGGGGTCCTAGTAGGCTTTTCCAATGTTGGTTTAGCAGCAGCTATTACTTTATTGGGAGTCATTTCAATAGTGTTGATAATTTATCTTGTTGCTAAAGTTACTCACAGTTTAACAGTTGAAACTATTGATTAATGGGTATTTCAAAATTACCATAAAGAATAAAGTCCTGAAAAAATTGGAAATATTATAAATATACCTCCATAACCTGCTTAAAACTAAAGCCCAAAGAGTCCGAGGTAGAGAAGAAAATCTTGTGTTCCTTAATTCTCTGGAATATAAATGATCTAATTAGACCAATATCCTTTAGATGTTTGAACATTCGACTATTTAAACTATATAAATATGTACTCGTCATTTTATAATAATATCAAAAGATATTCTATATTGTCTAACTTCATTTTTGCATTAAAATTTTCTCTGTATTACATTATATTTTAGTATGAATATTCTTATATACAATTTTTAATAAGTCATTATAATCTATTATCGTCTGAGGACATCATCTTCTTTGTTTACATCTTCTAAATTTCAATCAATTTTGTTGTAGTCCCTTTTCTTCTCTGTCAATTTATTTTATAAATTCTAATCTTATTTAAGAAGTAACAATTTAAATTCCCATTGAGTGATTGTTTTAACTCTTCCACTATATTTGTGCCTTCCATGCATGTATTATTTGAAAATAATTGATTTTTCAATTAAGAGTATTATTGAGTAATTCCTTATTCTGCTTGTCTTCATGGATGAAGTTCTATAAAATGAACATGATAATATTAATGAAATTGGGATTAAGAAATTGAGAAAGTATAAATAACCTCAAATGGATTAAGAGTTGTAAATTAATAAAATTAAAGAATGTAATTCATCTTAAATTTATTTTAATTGTATTAATAATTAACTTCTGATTATACTACAACTCTATCTATTGTACACTTATTCAAGATCACAAAATTAAAAAATATACACTTAAAAATCTAATGATTTCAATAATCAATAGAGATATTGTGTTTAAGTCAATAAATAATCAATTTTATTACTGATATGATTTAGTATAAATTCCTCAAACCATTGAATAATTAGTGGTGACAATTTATGAAAAAATTAAATTTGAATATTAAAGAATTAAATTTGAATAATTTGTGAAAAAAAAATCATATAAAAATTTAAAAATGTCTCAAAATCCTACATCGAAAAAAGGATTAAAGCTGAGTGCTCCTTTTGAGCCAACAGCCAATCCTTCCTTTGCACAACCTTATTACCCTCCACCAAAATATTATAACGAACCACCCTACTACGCTTAGACTTATGTCCCTACCTCATCAAACCAACAAGGAATGCATGAATAGGGAAATACTATAAACTCATTGTCTCTGAATGGAGGTAACAATGCAAATCTAAGTCAATCAACATCCGCCAATGCAACCAACGGATAATAGCCACAATAAAATGCTTAAAAGCCTAAGAAGAGATTGGTGTTAAATAGTAACACTCAATAAAAATTTGTACTTGATCAAACTGTGGAAAAGAAAGTATTACTTTAAATTAAATAATAGGCTGATGAAGAGTAGAGGAAATTGGAAGAGTAAAAGAAGTTAGAAGAAGAGAAGTTAAAAAAAGAATAAGAATAACAAAGATTGCTAGAGCTAAGAAAACCTAAACCCTACTCGAAGGAAGAACTTAAGAAATTGGTCGAGGCAATTAATGTAATTTTAAAAATAATCATTTAGGATTTCAACGAGTATTTTGATAAACAAGAGTGGTAACTTTTAAAGGAAAGAAAGCACTTTAACATAAAAGAGTTATAAACTAAAACTCAGCCTCCTAGAAAGGAAGGCAAGGTAAACACCTATACAAAGACACCAAATCAGAGACCCCCTAATAAACCAGCTGCACCTACAGTTTAACCATTTGACAGAGCACAAATCTAACCAGCAACTGAAACTCAACCAAAGATCATCATTGTTAGAGTTGTTGAAGACATTCAAACCAAATAGTTAAAAGATAGAATGAAAACCTAAGCAGAAGATTTCTTCTAGACTTTGAATCAAACTCCTGAATAGAGAGAGATCATTTTCAAAGAACTGAGATACAGATTGAATTAATTGGCACCAGACAATTTTGAAATGGCTTCTCAAAATATTATAAAAGTCGTAATAGATAAGTAATAGAAATTAATTATTATTATAGTAAAAGTGAAAATGATTCAACCTATTTGGAGTATTTGGCATAAAAAATCATTGAGAAATCCTAAACTGAACCAAAATATAGAAAACTATACACCAAATTATGTTAACTCTTAATCAAAGAGCCATAACTCACCATTGTCAAAGAGAAATAGGATGGCAAGGCTAAGAGTGTGTCTCTCTTTAAGAATCAACTTCTTAATTAAGTCCAATAAGTCTTTGATGAGAGAAAGAACAAGAAGGAAGATCTGTCTCACATGAAACCAGAGGAAAGAGAATAATATCACTTAATTAGAAAATAAAAAATTATGGGAAGTATGTACATTTATAATTACTCAAGATGTCCGCTTTATTGGAGACTTATTTTTATCCAAAGTGCTTCCAATCTTAGCTGTCGAATATGCAATCAGAGAATTAATTTCCGATTATGTTGCCTAATATTTACCAAATCAAGAGAATAGTGAAGAATCTATTGAGGGTTTGATTGAATTATTAGACTAAAGTAAATATATATACAAGCATATTTAGTTGGTGGATCATACAAGACTTAGAGCATTACTGATTTTGATGTTTTGAAGAAGGATCTCGAATAATTCTTTGACGGTACAACCAAAAATTTGGAAGAAGCTAAAGCATTCTTATAAAAAAAGCTTGAAAAAAACCTATCCATTGATATCATTATGGAAATGTAACTAATTAATTTAATACATTAGATTCAATTTACTTATATCTAAGTATAAGGTCTCATAAAGAATTTCTATGTTGATAGAAAATGTGTAAGAGAGAAGAAACTAAGGATGGAAGGATCATTATAGCAGATAAGATTAAGCTTAGAGTGTAAAGACTATTCATCAAGAACAAGAGAAGGAAATTATTGAATAGAATTATAATCAAAGTAAGAATAAGAACAAGAAATATTAAACATAATAAGTGCTCTATGTTGAAAAAAATTCAAGTTAATAATCATCTTCAGCATCTTCTCAATAAAAGTAGTAATTGTTTGATTTAAATGAATTGGCAATCTTTGTTTAAGGAACCTTCAACATGGAACCCTAACAATAGGAAGCTAAACTTTTGGAAGAATTGAAAAGAGTCGGACCTTCAGATGAAGCAATTCAAAAGTTCTTCGAAATTTTCTTTGAATAACTTCTTTCATGTAATAGATTCAATAGATTATTTAGATAAATTAATTAAACAGAATATTGAAAGAGCTCAAATGGTCTTTGAATTATTGAGCAAAGCAGAAGCCAAGGAAGAGATTGTCAAGAAGGCTACTCAGAAGGTAATTTGATAATTCTAGTTTGTAGGCTTTGAATGAAGACAAAGTGTACGATCTAGCTGATTCACCAACAGCAATTGATTTATTGGTTGATATCATTGGGTATTTCTTAAATGATTCAGATATCAACTCATTAAAGAAATTGTATTTCAAACCTGAAGTTGACATCGAAGACTTTAATGATTTCATGAGCAAGATAGCCACTCAATTACTCATTAAATATTCTGATAAAGAGAATATAATTAAAGAATACTATGGCATCCTAGGTTATTAAATTTGATTATATATATTTGTTGGATATGTAGTTGTTGTATAAGTATTGATATTTCCAATCAAATTAAATTAGAGTTAATTAAAGATACACCATTTATATATATCATTGTTGTTGTGGTTGTTGTTTTTTGATGTTCTTGCTCTTGGGGCCCATGGGAGTGAAATGATTGGTTGAACCTCTTCTATCAAGGAAATTCTTAATCATCTCAGAACTAACTCTAGAAGACATTGAACTGCCAACTCTATAAGGTGTAATGGAACTCAATCTCCTCTTCAACCACCTAACATTAATTTATAATGGTACTCTTCTTATTATTTTTATTCATTCCTTTTCTTAATATTCAATTGTTATGTTAGATTGGATCCTACTTTGTCTCTTTAAGAACTCGGGGGAATCATGTAGGATCTATCCAACTACACTGGAGTCTCACCCAATTCTCCCCAAGTCATCAAAGGAGTTTTCATGTTTTGAGGAGCAGGAGAAAAGAGACCAAGCATGTCATCATCCTCAAACCTCTAGGCTCCGACCAAATTGGGGGTGCTTCCATAAAAAACTTAAACACCCTATGCATTTAAGCATTCCTGAAGTTTTCTCTTTTGCAATTTCTAATCTATTTAATTGATTGCAAAATCTAAGGGCTTATGGTGATCAGAAAATCTGGTGTTTTGGATTTCCACTTTTTACAAATTCAATGAATTGTCTGTTTCTTTGAGTTCTTAGATTTCTGGTTGTAGTCTAAATAGTACAGATTCTTACCTTTCATTTCTAGGGTCCATTCTAAAATACAATGGATTCAAAGCCTTGTATTCATTTAATTGGAGGTTGTTTTCTCTGTTGCCTTCAATCATATGCTATAATTTATCAGATTGAAGTGCTGCTTATTTAAGTCTATGTTATTCTTCCACTTAAAACATCCATGCATGTTTCTAATACCATTAATCATCACCCTTCTTAATTATTTGATTTAAGGTAACATTTTCGTCTGAAGTATAAGTACTCAGAAATTTACTTAACGACATATTTTCATCGGGATTTCTATTTTCTGATTATTTAAAAATGATACCCATCTTCATTTCTCATTTTGTCTAGTTTGTATAATTCAGGATAATAGTCTCTTTTGATAATAATTTCTAATCTTCTCAAGTATTCCTCCTCAGGTAACACATTCCCTTCAACTCTTTATTTAGGTTTTGGCACAGGAAATTCATCACTCATTTTAATTTATATAGTAATTTAATTATTGTTCATTTAAAATAACTACGAAAATTTAATTCATCAGACACTTCCAAACTTGAATTTCGTTTTAGCATTGGTTCGTAATTCTCTTTGCCAACCTTACTCATACTGCTCTTTTCATGAGAACAGATATGTTTCAAAGGTTCCTTAAATTATTGACCACCACCTCCCTGTAATTCTATATATGAGGGACTGCTCATATTGATTTAAGATTAAAAGTAACTTTAAAATGACTCTATTTCATTTTTACTCTATTCTTCAATTTTCTTGTTATCTGTGACATCCCAAAATTATACATTAATGGCAGATGTATCAAATAAATACTTTGGATATTTAATAGGTTTAGATGTAACTAATTTTAGTGTTTCAGTATTCTCTCCTTTTAATTTAATTTCCTTTTTTAATTTAACTTTATAAATATTCTACATCATGACTTAGAGATTTTCAGTCATTTAATCTAAAGTGTCATTATTCAACAACATCATCTCATCCATATCTATCATATTATGATAGCAAAGTGCTATTTTCTATAATTTATTTTTCTCATCCTGTAAATCTTTGCTTAATTATTTATACTTTCTTGTTTTCGCCTTTTGATTCGCATATCTCTTTTTTGTTTGCACTACCGTTTCTTATTACTTCTACTTTAAATCCATGACTTGATTTTCCAAAGTCTATTTTTCTGATTTTTAAATTATGAATTCTTCCTATAATTCTTGATATTTTTTAATAGTTCCAAAAGAATCAATTACATCTTATTTAACTTCCATTTCTTTGATTCCTTTTTCAGGCACCCATAGAACACCAACTCCGTGATAATGCAAATGAGTCCATTAATAATTGAGTTCTTTATTAATCATAGCTTGAATGTGGTCAGAAGTTGTAAACTATTATCTAAATATTTTCCTTTATTCTTCCAGTTTTTCAATGATCTTCAACATCATCTCTTGTTATTACTTATCATCCACTCTGGCTTTTTATAGTTCATTAATCTTATCCTCATAATCCTTAATTACTCTATTGAGACTCTCATCATTATCAAATCCAACTATATTTTTAGAAACATTATTTTCTATCTTCTTTGCATTAGTACCGAATCTCAAAGTAGATAATGTTTATTCAAATTAACTATAACATGGATTAACACATAGAATTATTGCAGTCCTGGAATTACCACCCAAAGAGGATCGCAATATTTTAGTCAATGGAGAATTCCTGTATGGTATATGTTAATCGCTAAAATGATATCAATCTAAATGATTACTTTTTATCTTAGGCTCTCAATGAAATGACTTAAGTTAAAAAGAACAGACTCTTATTAATATGTTTTGATTCATTTTATCTATCCTTGTATTGAGATCCTCCATTTCCACCAGCTGATGTGCCTCTCTTCTTAAGCATTGAATCATGAATGTTGATCTTCTCTGATCCTGCCAAATCCACAAAATTCAGTATCGACTCTGTAATTACTGAATTAGGTCCGATGTAATTGGGAACACATCTCACATACAATCTAAAGATAGTGTGAGATCGACTGCTGCAATGGTTCATGACTGTTGAGGCATAATGTCGATTGCTTTCTCCAAATTGAAGAATATCCATGATTTCGTTAATATTAGTTACTACCTCTTCAACTGCTCCTTTAATAACAAATTCCTTATTGAAATCCTCATTTATTAATAGAGTGTCACTCAATCTTTCTTGAGTAGCCAATAAATCGTATACTTAGTCAGTATATATTTCAACATAACTGCATCTTAAGAAATATTGTCTATCCGATTGCTTTGCTATTTCTCCGAATAAATCTTTCAATCCTTATTTAAGAATTCCCTCTTCTTAATCATAGCCCATCATAGTATATGTCTTACCACTCCCTGTCTGACCGTACATGAAGACTGTTCCATTTATGCCTTGCAAGGAAGATAATGTGATCCTCTAAATTTATTATGAGTATATAAATTTGGTGGTGTGTTTGGAATCGAAACATTAGTCTATTAATAATTCATTCTAAAGTGCATACTAAAAGTAAATTCAACTCTCTGGCCTGGGACGAACTTCCTCATCCTTACTAAATCATTGAATCTATCATTTGAAATGGTTATGGTGTCTTGATTTTGAACTGACCAGATTTCCAAATCATTGTTGTCTCTTTCAGCCCCATTCGAAGGTCTGATTCGAACCACAACTTGGATGTTCTCCATTTATTTTAATTTAAATTATTAACAGAATAATTTTATGCCGAAATGAATTATTATATATTGATATTAATATTTCTGATAATTCATTATATCAAAAGACCTCTTCTCTGATTTAAAGGAATTCGGAAGCAGCACTCACCTTCTAAGTAAGAACTTCTTATAATCTTTCAACGACTTCCAATTATTATTCTCTTTCAAAAGTTTAGGCTTCGTATTAAGCTTCTTATTCGGCAGCCCATCTCTCTTAAATAGCCAATGAATCTTCAGCATCTTCAAGGAATAACTAAGAGGGGATTAATCTTAATTATTACAGTTTAGTCTTCCAAGTCTTCAACAGCCTCTTAGATGGTGACTTTGAATTGAACAATTGAGTTTTCTAAGAAAGCCTTTCTCTCAACTAATCTCTTGTGTTCCTCTGTCAAATGACCACTTTAGACTTCCCAGTTGGCAGCTTATTTCTCTTCTGTTGCAAGGAGTGAAGCTCTGCTGGCAACTAATTGTTATCTGATTTGGGCCAAGAGTTCCAAAATCTTGATGATGCTCTTGTTGTCGACCTTGGAGGCTAATTATGTCAAGGCGTTGATGAGTGGCTATTGATATAATTATTTAATACTTTGAAGAGAGCGTGTTTGCTTTCCATTAATTTAGCTTAGACTTTCTCGAATCTGCTCTTGAGTTGAGCAAATGCAACACCTGCTTACAAATGTTAAACGATCTTTGAGGCTTCGTCAATGGCATCGATTTAATCAACATGTTCAGCATCCTTTCTAACCCATGTTTCGTGTTGTGAATTTCTAGTAGCTTATTCATCAGCAAAGCTCTTCTCGTTATTGGCAATATCAGATGTGACAACTCTGACTTCAACTTCAGCTTCTCCCAAAGCCTCAGTGGTGGAGTCTCTCAAATTTGAAAGAGCAACAATCTATGTTTAGTGATAAGCGATCTCTTATTCTAAGTCAGCGATGATCTATTCAAAATTTATACTATTTCTATACCTTCTCAAAGGCAACTGTGTCACTTTCGTGAACCTTGTCGGCTTTCTTTTGATCTCCATTGAGTTATGAAGCAATATTGTTTAAGAGGATTTAGATTTCTCCGACTGGTCCTCCTGTTGCCAATTAAAGTTGGAGGACTGACAATATTGAGTTTCCAGAATGAATCCTTGTTGATTTAAGCCAACACTTCCTTTGGACTCTCACTTCTTGTTACTCTAGCAGTAGCCACTGCCAATATAAGTGTCAATACAGGGATGATTCTTGCCATATTAAAATTAATAATGAAATATAATCACATCCAACAGAGAAGAGACATTAAAAAACCCGTTTTTCGATTATTTGTTAAAAATATATATATTCTTATTTTTATTATTAACTTTTTGTTTCAAGCCAATCTAATGCTTCTATATATTTTTTATAACATAAAACCATGTTGACTCTTAGAGGTCTTTTCACAAAATAGTGAATATTCTGCTAATACAAAATTATATCTTATTAATTTATAAAATATCATATATAAACAATTTTAGTTTAAATTAAAATTAAGTTATTGATATTTTCAATAAAAGAATATCTAAATTGTGAATTCTGTCTTATAATCCTACTTTTTCAAAATTTACATACCATCTTACAGGAATTAAAGGCTTTAGACATACCTTTTGAAAGATTAGTTTACAATTTGCTTTAATTCTTTCTATTAATGGTTATTTTTGCTTATGAAAAAATGGGTGCATAGAGACTACTGCTAGAAATTCTTTATTACTTAGTGGTATTTATTGATTTGTTGTTGGTTAATAGTAGGCTTGACAGTAATTTTGGTTATTAAAATTTAGTTTTGTGTTTAAATAGAAAATGGGTTGTTAAAAAATAATTTATTTATCTTTTTATTACTAATCCATATTATGAATAATTCTGGAGATGATATTTAGTTACTAAAAAAAACTATTAATGAGAAAGACTAACAGATAAGTGAGCTTGAAAAAAAATTGAGATTAGAGTAATTTAGAATGAAAAAGCAATAGAGTGAACTAAACTCGAAAATAGAGAATGAGAAATCTACTGCGCAAAATAATGCTGATTAAATCAACCGATTTGAATTGCAGATAAATAATCTTAAATCTAAGGTAGTTATGAAATTCATATTTTAGTTGAGTGAAACTGAAAAAAAGAATTTATAGTTAATAGAAGAGATAAGTACCTTAAAAAAAAGAAGAACATCAGGTTCCACAGACGAGGACTTTCAACCAAAGAAAGAACTTCAAGGAGATTTTCCTTCTCTCCAATAGATTCTAGGAATAATACAAATAAATCAAGGCAATTATCAACCTGAACTTTCTAAACTATATGAATGCTACACATAAGCATGTCAAAGTAAAGACGAGCAAATTAATTCATTATAGGAAGAAATCAAAGATCTTACACAATAGATAGACATTAAAGTATACCTGTTAGCAAATGATGTTTTAGTAATCTGAGTCATCAAAGTAACTGGAATCATAAGAAGAACGAATTAAATAATTAAAATAGAGTCTGGATTAGAGAGAGAATGAGTTGAAGAATGTTGTGCAACAAACAAGTGATAATAGTGATCAAAAGATTTAAGAATTAGAAAAACAATATCAAACTTAATTAAGCGAAAAAGATAAACAATTACAAGAAGCAACTAAAAAAGCAAAGTTTGATGTTTTTAAGTTAAATAAACAACTTAATGAATAAAAGACATAAATAGAAAGTGAATAAGCCAAGACTAACTTATTGTAATAATAAATTGAAAGGCATGAAAGTTCATTGAGAGAATTGGAAATCAAAGTAAGATTTAATTCAAATCATTTTAGATTTCTGAATTAGAATAAAAGAATTTACACTTAATTGAAGAAGTAAAGCAAAAGCAATTAGAAATAGAAAGGCTTAATGAGGAAAGTCTGTCTAGAGTGTAAGGTGAGGAGATCTCTGTAGATAAGCCTTCATATTAAGAGTTAGTCGATTTAATCTAGAAATTTTAAGCAAATGAGATCACTTATCAATAAGAAATGAAAAATTTAGAGGAGGAACTAAACTTGAAGAATAACCATTCCTTTGAATTATAAGAGGAACTTAATCAATAAATTGAAAAATTCTAGTTGCATGATAGAAAAGTAATCTGATTTGCAATAAACTTAGTATTAAGATAGTCTAAAATCAATTAAGGCTTTGGAAGAATAATAAGCTAGTGAAAGACATGTTTCCTAAGATTTACAGCATTATGTTGAATAATTAAAATAAGAGAAAGAACATTAATAAGCAGAATTTATACACAAAATTAAAGAGTTGAGTGAACACAATACCAACATTGATGATGCTGTTTATGATGTGGAATAAAAGTATTAAAAAATGATAATGATTTAAGAAGAACAATATTAACGGAGGGAGTAGGAATTAATTCATTAAATAGAATAAACAGAGGAAAAATAAAGTTAACAAGAATAATTATTGAAAAAGTAAGAACAAAAGTATAAAAATGAAATTAAAGAAAAAGAGGAGAATAACAATTAATTGTTTTAATAAAAACAACTTTAAATTACTTAGTTGTAAAAATAACTATAAGATGAAACTCATAAGACAAGAGAGGAAAGCAATAAATAAATAAATGAAATTAAATAAGAGAATTATAAAAAGGAGAAACAACTGGAGTAAAGGGTTTAAGAGGTAACAAAGCAATACGAGGGAGAACTTAATAAGATAAAAAAGATGGAGATCATTTTAAAGAAGAAAGAAAGAGAAATAGCAGAAGAAAAAGAAGGAAAAAGATTTGCTGAAGAATAATTACAAATTCTAACAGATAAATGCAATAAGTTGATTGAATAATATGATAATAAAATCAGAGAGATTTAGATTGCAAATTAAGTAACCAAGTAAGATTAACACAGACATTCCATATTTGATTAGAGAATGTCAATTTCAAGTTCAGACATCAATAAAACATTCGAAATTGAAGTTTTGAAAGCTCAAATTGAATAATTGTAATAAAAGGGAGATATAGAATTGTAAGCTGAAATTAATAGATTAAATGAAAGAGAAAGAGCATTAAAGAAGGAATTGATTGATTTATAAAATGAAATAGGCAATGAACGACTCAACCTCACGGTAGTTTAAAGATAGTTAGAACAAGAAGTTGAAAGCTTGAATTAAGAAATTAGCAATTTGAAAATGGATCAATAGAGTGAATTAGATCAAATTAATGATTAAAATAATAGAAATTTATCATCTTAAAAAAATGAATTCTAAACCAAAATAAATAAATTAGAATAAAAATTAGAACAACAAGCAAATCAATTTCAACAGAAGTAAAGTGAAATTGAAGAAGAAAAAGACAACATTATTTAATAGTTAAAGGGTATACTATATTTTATATATATTTTTAGTTAAGATTAAATAATGTGAAGAATAAATTATTGAGTTAAAAGAAAAGAAAAACCTCAAGAATCCAACATAATAGACAATAATCTAAGATGATAATTTACAACTTTAATAGGAAATAAATTCTTTGAATGAAAAAGAGAGAGTATTGAGGAAGGAGATATTGGATTTGTAGAATGAATTAGGGAATTCGAAATTGAGTCAAACTATAAAAATCAGAGAACTAGAAACATTGGCTGAACAGTATAGATAAGAATCGATTCATGCTCAGTAAGAGTAAGATTATGCTGAATAATTGACTGCAAAGATTAGTATATAGTATGCTGATTTGGCCATGGAATATGAAAAGACTGTACTTCAAAATAGATCTTATCGTAAATCAATTTCTAAAATAAAGTAATGAACCACATTTTTATCATTATTATGAATTATATACTATTGAGTTATGTCTTTGGATTTCATATCAGAATGTGTAATAGTGAATGTAAATTCATAACTTTAAATCATTCTTGACAATAGTTGTTTATTATTTTTAATTTTATAATAATATGAATTCCAAAAATAAAAACAACGATAGTTCAAGTGAAGATGATGCTAAAGTTTATGAGACACTAACAAAATTGCCTCCCGCAAATGAACTAATGCCACGCAAATTGACCATCGATATTGATGTGAAATCTCTATTTCCCTTAAAGTGAGAATTTTATTTTTCGAAAAGTCAAGACCTTTGCCTTAATTTAATCAGATTTATTCCACATTCATTGAAGAAATTTAGACTATACAACATCCTATCGAAGCATAGTAGCAGGAAGAGAGAACTTTGCTTGAATATTTCGAGGAGAATAAATAAAACTTGATTTACAAACGATTTGATCAACTTGATCTATCCAAGCGGAATCCTAACGATAGAACTTATTTTTCTACTCTATTTGCTAATTTCAAGAAGTTCATTTTGCATATCATTAAATAGATAATATCCACGAGTATATTTTCGAGGGGATCCACTCTTTGATTAGAAGCTAATACCATGTCAAACAGATTAATTGAAGTTCGATTCAAATTTTGAATCAGGAAATTTATTCTGTGCATTCAAAAGAGCTGATAATGTCTATGATCTAATACTCCAAAATGATATTAATACTCGAGGCAATACACAATGGTTTTTTTTTAGTGTAACTGGAGCTTAAGCAGGTCAAACTGTTTAATTTAATTTGCTTAATCATGTAAAATAAAAACATAATACTAGCTCAAAAGCAGCAGTTTATTTAATGAAGGATTGCAACCAGCCATCTATTCAATCAAAGAGAACGAAATCAATAAAAAAGAATGGACTCGAGGTGGATTCAACATAAGTTATTTCAAGAGTCCCTTTATTAAAGAATACCCTCAAACTATGAAAGCTAAATATTACTAATTGAGGTTCAGTTACACTTTTCAACACAATAATGACAAGGTCTATTTTGCTCATTCCTATCCCTATACCTACACTAATCTATTAGAATTTTTGAATTCCATTCTAATTAATCCAGAAAAGAATTAACACATGTCTAGGAAATCATTATGTACAACATTGGGTGGGAATACATGCGAAGTATTAACAATAACATCCAACTCTATGTAACGCAGAGCCTACAGAAAAGGAGTAGTCTTTTTGGCCAGATAACATCCAGGAGAACCTTAGGGATCATATGTGATGCAGGGAATTATTGAGTATCTAACATCGAATAATCCCCAAGCAGAATATTTGAGATAGAATTGCATCTTTAAAATATTTCCTATGATGAATACTGATGGAGTTGTCAATGGGAATTACAGATGTGGTTTAGAAGGAAGTGATTTCAATAGGAGATGGAAAAAGCCAAATAAGTATCTTCATCCCACTGTCTATTATGCTAAGAAATACATTAAAGGATTTAGCAAGGAAAGGCAAATCATTTTGGTTATTGATCTACATGGACATTCGAGAAAGCAATCATCTTTTGTATATGGATGCGCTTACTCTTCTTAAGTTAAGACTATAGAGAGAGTCTTCGCTTTGCTTATGGCTAAAATGAATCCTTTTATGGATTACTCATCATGTACATTTAGAGTTGAAAGCTCGAAGGATAAGACTGCAAGAATTCAAATTTGGAGAGAATTAAAAATCAATTGGGTTTACACTTATGAATGCAGTTTCTATGGGTAATAGAAGAAGCACTTCTAAATCAAAGACTATATCAATTGTGGGGTAAGCATCTGTAATTCATTATCTTAAATTGTAAAAGATACTTCTAAAGAATTCACAAATCAAGCCAACATCCCAGATATCTAATAATAAATGCTTGAGGAACTAGGCAAGATGCCTTAAACTGATGATCAAGATTAAGGCTCTGACACTAGTTAATCTGATGCAGAATTATCTGATGATGAAATCATACAATTATTTCAACCTAAAACTTATTCCTTGAAACAGAAAAACTTCCTAAAATAATTAGACACCAAGAAGAAACAAATTACTACCAAATAAACTTTAGTCACTCAAAAAAATAGCATTTTATAAGAATCACCTTCAAAAAATTAGCAATAATAGGATAAACTTCCCTAAAGTAGTTAAAAACCAAAGAATATTGCCTATAGAATTCCACCTCATGTGAAATTAAGATAAATTGAACCCATTAGAGAATAGTAATAGCCGATTATGGTTGATAAAAGCTGTTAGACTGATGATTGGATGTATAGATAATGGTTGATTTAAATTGGAAAACAGAAGAAATAGGAGGAATACCAAAGTCAAACTCCTACGAAAAATATTTATAAATCCTCATCCCAATCAGCTACAAGATTTATTGTCAAAAACTCATCAAAGCCCGATAGAGGAAGAATTGATTCTATTTCCTTAGTTAATTCTGGAATATAAAAAAGTATTAAACTATTTAAATATTATTTAGCTGCATTTAGTTAATAAAGATAGATTATGAGATATTCAGGAAGCAACTTTATGTATTGATTTATGTTTATTTTTGTTTCTAACATAATTCCATTCTTTATAATTAATTATTTCTATAGAAATTATATATATTGATTTAGATATCTAAAAATCAAAAGAGATTGAATATTGTTTTATATATTAACTCCATTTAATGTTAATGATACGATTATAGGGTAAATATGTATTTATCTGATTATCTTTAATATGACATATATTTAAAAGGTATTTTAATTTGTAAAATTTTAAGAATAAAACTCCTCAAATATATTTAAATATTAGAATAGTAATATAAACTAATGTTATTGATTGAAGTCTTATTTTAATATCTATTTTTGACCCTATTAAGTCAAAATTTTTAAATAATAATTAAAAACCTAACTAAAATGATAACATCAACAAAATCAGTATTGATATTTGATATAATTTAGTAATATAATATTAGGACATTTATACAATATCATAATAATCTTCATTTTTGATTATTATGCTACCTTTAAAATAAATATCCACTTGATTTCTTCTAATTAGTCATAAACTGCTTATCTTATATCTCAAATTAATTGAGATACAAAACAAAATTTCGGTTTGCTCACTAGTTGTTTATCATTTAAAGTCTTAAAGTTTCAAATTCATTTATGTTAGTAAATCAAAATTCTCCAATTAAATTGTATTATTTGTAAATAAATTTTTGATTTGGCCATTAATATTAATTTTCTATAACTATTTAATATTCAACATTTAGAGGTTATTTAGTATAAAATTGAAACTTTTGTATAAGTACGCGTTATACAATTTTATAAAATATCACATTATACACATTTAAAGCATGAAATTAAAATTCTCGATTTTCAATTAGGAATCCATTTTTGAATATTTTATATTTAAGATTGTATAACATAGATGTTAGAATTTCTTTCTGATACTAAACCTTAATTATTCAAAACTTTATCTACTTAAGTAAAGGAAATATGAAAAAATTATAATAAGTATTTAATGTGTTTTCCTATAAAAAAGGTCAATCAATTTATTTCTGAACCTCTCTTGGATTGGTTTCTTACTGAGTGTATAAATTTTGGTTAATAATCACCAGGAAGTTTAATTTTTGGAGACATTGGCGAATCCAAACCATCATTCTTATCCCAAATTTCATAAAATGTTGATTTATTGGATTCATCGAGATTATTTTGACTTAGTTGAATTGATCTTGATGATTTTCTCTCCATAGCTTATTGCATAAATTTGTTGTTTAGAATATTGAAAGAACTCATACACTTTAAAACAATTATTAAAAAAATTATGGTTATTTTGATATAAAATCTGAAGAAAAATTAATTAATCAAATATCATACTATTGATATATTTTCAAACCCTTATTTAATATTATATTATACAATTTATAATACAATCATAAAAAAAAAATTTTATTTTGAATCTTTTAATAAAGAAATGATATTATTAAAATGTCTATTTATAAATTTCTGCTGAACGTCTATTGATAATTTGAAGTTCAACTATGAAAAGAAATTTAGAGCAAATCACTTAATAATGTTCATAGAATTCGCATAAGTTTATATATTTATTGTCAATACTTTAAAACAAAAAAGAGTTTTGCAAAATTTTAGACATCACGTTTAAGAATTTTTCAAAATTTCAATATTTTATTATTCTTATGTATAATATCAAATAGATATAGTTTAAAAAGTCATCTACAACAATTTCTTTAATATTCCTCATTTAATCTTGTGATTAGATCCATATGAAATGCCGTAAGAATTTTCGCAATCGCTCCTTAAATCTGATTAGGAATAAGTAAGATTTTCTTAATATCTTCTAATTTATTATAAATCAAGAGAGTCAAACTATATTATTTTGAGTACAAGAATTAAGTTGGTCCCTTTATTTTTAGGTTTTAGAGCTTTTTGATAAAACCTATGATTGTATAGCTCAAAAGCATTCATGATGTATAAAATTATTGCTAAGATTAATTATAGTTAGTAATTATAAAAAATTAGTTAAATAAAGATGATATCATAATTTTGATTAAATGTAAAATAGGTAAAAATAATTATAACCATTCACTTTAAGAAGCCAAAATCTTCAAATGAATGAATTGAGACTAAAATTAGATTTTGGTAATTTTGAAATTTATGTAATATCAATTTTATTTACTAAATTTTTAGATCAGTATTAAAATTAAAATTGAGCTAAATAATATCAATGAACAATAAAAGAGAAACATAAATATTTTGATTATTGACAAGAGAGATCTATCTTTAATAAAATTAAATTTAAACTAATATATATATAAACAAATTGAAGTAAACACAAAATCAACATTAGCATAGTTAAAATAGACTTTTCTTTTTTATGGATACAAATGAATTTTATAAGACAGGGTTTGCTTTACGATTTTCTTATTATTTCTTTTCTTCTAATTCCTACTTTTTAAGCCACAATTTAGCTACAAAATTAATGGCATTTTCTATGTTTCTGTTCTCCAAAGCAGATGATTCAAAGAACTCAAGTCCTTATGATTAAGCTAATTCTTTTCCTTCATCAAAATCAACTTCTCTTTTATAGTTTAAATCACTTTTGTTTCCGATTAATACTTTAATTGTATCAGGTGGGGAGTTCTGCTCAACTTCATTCATCCAATATTCTATTCTCTTAAATGACTATCTATCAGTGATATCATAAACAAAAAATATAGCATGAGCTCCTCTATAATAATTTCTGCTTATTGTTCTAAATCTCTCTTATCCTGCAGTGTCCCAAAATTATAATTTAACGCTTTTTCCTGATTGTTCAATTATTTTAGTCTTAAAGTCGATTCCAATTGTCGGAAGTAAATTTTATTAAAATTCTTAATCTGTATATCTCATAAGGAGTGAACTTTTTCCAATCCCAGTATCACCCACTAGTATAATTCTTAATAAATAGTCAAACTCGAAATATGTTTCTGACATCTTTTCACTTTTAGGTATTTTATTATTAAATTTACAATTTTTCTTGAATCCAAGTTTTGAGAGTATTTCTCCCAGAAATAAACAGTATATATATTATTTTAAATAATAATTAATTTAATATTATTTTTAAACATAATCCATATATAATAGTATATAAAAATTGATTGAAATATTTAGTACTGATATATATACATGATTAAATCTGTATTAAATTCCACAAAATTTTTCAATATAATTAATTTGAAGGAAAGTAAGCACTTAAGTTCCTCTATTTTAAATATTAACTATTTTATCTTTTAGTTTGATTACTATCGAGATGTTTTCTATGTTATAATCGTGATTTACTATTATTTAAGTCTATTGTGATCAACAAATACTCCTGGAACAATTCCAACATTTAATGCCTCATTATTGTAATAGTTTTAATTAATTTTCATTTCTACAGTACTCATTGACTAATCTCTTTTTTTCTTTGTTTATTATTCCTCAATCTGCATTATTAAATCTTACCTATACTATTTTTACTTCTCTATTTTTCTTTACAGATCATCCTAATCTTTTCTTTTAAAATGCTTATTCACAACTCCAAAATGTTCCAATTCTTATGATTTCTATTGCTATTCTCGCTCTTTCCATTATCGTTTTTATTCAATTTATTCCATAATAGAATTATAGGCTTCTTTGTTCTTCTTCTATCTGATAGCTCTCTCTATAATTTATCGTTGCTCATCCTATTATCTCTTTTATTCAGCAGCTTCCTTTATTAGTTTGTTTTCTATGTCGATTTTTTCTCTTTCTTTTTACTAGTAAATTTAATTGTATTTCTCCAATAATCCTTCATTTTGATGGTAATTGTGCTTTAACTTATTCATGAACTAGTATAAATGTGGCAAATACATTTCTTCTTTACTCCTCATCTTATTGAAGTTTATTGACTTCTTCCTACATACTCTGTTTTTCAAATAACCGTATTTTAATTTATTCCATTCTTTTCTTATCTTCCATGTCTTTATATGATTAATTTAACTCATAACTAATTCTGTTCTTTTAATTTAGTTTCTCCAAAAGCTCTTCTTTAAAAATTTATTAATTTCTTAACATTTATTCACTGATCTATTGTTTTTCATTTAAATTCTATTGTCTCTATAGTATTTTCTTCATTTCCTACTATTCCAAACTGTATTTAGCAAACTCAGCTTCTTTTTATTTCAATAAATGCAATTTCTGAATTTATTCAATATCTTGTCTCTGCATACCTTTTTGTATTTAATCAGCAAATAAATAATTATCAAAGCTTTCTGAGTCCTTTTTATTTCTTTCTAACATAGCTGCTTGTAGTTCCTATCTTTACATAATTTCTCAATTAGGTTACCTGTATTGCAATTTACGTTAATAGTCCTCCTATTTTAGTATCTGTTGCTGCTGGTCTGATTGAGAATTTTACTACTAAATTAACCTGCTCCATTCTCCAGTTGGATCTAAGGAATAATATACTATATTCTTACTATTACTATTAAATTTATTCATTAATAAAATTATATTGTAATTATTTAACTAAAGAATTAGAGGTTCATGTTGAGAATGAATATGAATTTATTTGTTAATAAGATATAAAAAAATGAATTATAATCTCATTCAGAGGTCTTAAAATATTCACTAAAACTTGAATGTTTTCTTATAGACATGGTGAGTTCGTAAGTTTAGATTTTAGATTCTAAAATCCTGTATTCCTCACAAACCTTTTAATGAGAATCAAAAAGCAAGTTGTATTGTTCCCCAAATTCAAGAATTTTCATTTATTGTTCTTAAACCAACTATTTAAGTTGTTCATTTTCATATGCCAATTTCTAATTCATAAGGGCTTCACTCTTTAATTCGCAATTTTCATTTAGCAACATTAACATTCTTTTCTCGAGTTATAAAATCTCAGGATAATTATTGTTTAAACTCCTACATTAACTTTGCTCTAATTTATTGATTTCTATTTAGCTAATATAACATATCTACTTTGTTCTAATTCACTTATGTAATCGTATAGGTTTGTACTATCTTTTTTCTTTGCTATTGTGTTGGATTGGTAATTTTTGAATTAATTTTCATTTTTTTAAAATGGACTAGATTTAACTCCCGAGTTTGTTTACACTTTGACCAGTCGTTCTGGAGTAGCAAAATTGCATTGTGAAGTTCTTACAGTATGGAAAGACTAACAAGGCGATCTGTAAGCTTTCATAACTATTTATTAAAATTATTCAAATTCCAATTAAGCAACCGATTATTATAAAATAAAACTTAGATAATTATATTGATATTTGCTTTAAGAATTTGAATAAAAATGAGAAGAAATTATTTGATTCTCATTTTAATTGAATGTTTAGGAAGCTGTAAGACTTTTATCAGCATTAAAAAAAAAAATAAAAATTAATACAATTACATAACATACTTCACAGGAAAATGAAGATGTAACGCCAAATGGAGACAAGTTTAAGAAACATTTTATAAAAATATGTTAGAAGTAAAGATATTTTAACAAATTAACATGAGATGTTGAATCATCACTTCAATTATGTTATAAGAGATTTGCTATTTAAGACTTTAGCAACTAGAGTCCAAGCATTTTGGAGAAACTCTTCGGTTTTGGCTATTTCTTCTCCTAACTTTCTTAATTCTTCCCTCTTCTTTTGCTCTTCGTAATTCTTCTTTCGGAACATCTATTTCCAAGAGCAAGGTTTCTTTGTGATTGACTTAGATGCAGATGCTAGGCTCTTCTCTTCACTCATATATATTAATTTTTTAACTAATTTAGACTCTATGTTAGTTAGCCTTTTAAAACGGATATAGCAAAAACGATCTCTTAAATATAAATAGTTCTCTTATGATTTAGAGAGATATTATAGATATTAGATCGGAAGAGTACAAAGAATTCTGGAATAAACTTAGATCCAGAATCCTCTTGTTGAGTGGAGATGTAATTAGATTTGGAAGATGAGTACTACTAATTAATTTGTTCAATGAATTTTATTATTTATGCATTTGTGTATATATATATTTATAAAATTAAATTATTGCTTCAGGAAATATGAAAAAGTACAGAGAATTAAAAAAGACTGGGGACGGAACATTTGGAGTTGTGATCAAGGCTGAAGACATGCAGAGTCACGATTTGGTAGCCATCAAAAAGATGAAACACAAATATCACAATTTTGAAGAATGCACTAACTTAAGAGAAGTTAAGGCTTTGATGAAACTTTAAAATCATCCAAACATTGTCAAGCTTAAAGAACGTAAGAATTGAATCAAATTAGTGTTTTTGGACAATGACACTCTCTGTTTAGTCTTTGAGTTTGTAGACAAAAGCATCTATCAAATGTACATCCAGCAAAAAGAGATGGTAACCAAATATAAGATGGAGCTTAGGGTAAAACCATTCCAGAAGACCAAATCAAATCCCTCATTTACCAAGTAGCCAATGGACTCAGTTACATGCATAAACATGGCTACTTTCATCGAGATCTCAAGCCAGAAAATCTCTTGGTCTCCAACGATGGCATTGTTAAGGTTATAGATCTTGGATGCGCAAGAGAAATCAGATCAAGACCCCCATATACTGATTATATTGCTACCAGATGGTACAGGGTATATTCTCTGACTTAATTCAATTTAAGGCTCCAGAGATCCTATTGAAATAAGCCAATTACAATAGTCCAGTTGATATATTTGCTCTTGGTTGTATCATGGCTGAATTATTTTTAAATAGACCTCTATTTCAAGGTAATTCTGAATTAGAATAATTCAATAAGATCCTTTCCACTCTTGGGTAATTTGATAACCTATCTTCTGTATTTTAGTACTTTCACTTAATTCGAATGGTCTGAAGGATGCAGACTAGTTTCTCAAATGGGATTGGCATTGGCCTAATTTCAACCTCTTCAATTGCAACAGTTGATACCTAATGCAAGCACTGAGGCCTTAAACTTGTTGACTTAAATGATTAGATGGGATCCCAACAAGAGAATCACTGCCACTCAAATGTTAACCCATCCATTTTTCTACAACATCGAGAAAGATTGCCCCTCCTATCATCTTCGAAGAGCAAGGCAAATCTAAAGATGAATTGAAATTGCCAGAAATGGGCAAAAAACCTAAGTCTTACAGTCAAAAGGAAGAACCCTAAAACCAATTCAAATAAAAATAATATGTACAATAACAACAGGTAGAAGATAATGATAGTAATGATCTGGATGACATATTGGATTTTATAACCACTGAAAACAAACCTCTGCCTTCCAAATAATCTAGTTAGTCTTCCAAAAACTTAGAATATGGAGAATATGTTCCCTCAATTCCCTAAAATAGACAACCCAGGAATCTCTAATCAAGTCAAATACAAGAATAACAAAAGAAAGACAATAATTCAATCTATGATTTTAGCCATTTACAAAGTTTCAAACCTGCAAAAATGCCTAATACAAATTCTAAATATTGATCAGTGATTCTAGATTTTTTTGCTTAAGTTATATAATGTTTCAATAAATAAAAATATTTATCTTTTCATTTGAAATTCTGAATTTTCTTTGTATTCACAATCTCTCCTTCTTTCGAAAACAATATTAATAAAAATTATTTGTTAACCTCTAAAGATAATCTTATTTTTCTGTACAATTAAAACCATTAGCAATCCACACAATAATCGACCAAATACAAAGAGTGTTTATGTTCCAAATCCTTTTTATCATAAAATACCAGAGGAACTCCAAATATTCTACCTGACTCAATTATATATTGATTCGAATATTTTGAATAAATTTTTAATTCTAATTAATCAACATACTTATTTGCAATCAAAAGTTTGGTCAACTATCCTAAAGTTATTTCCTTATTGTATATTGCAAAATTTATCAATCTTAAATATTCCTATGAGTAATTTCGTTATTGTTTATTTAACTCTACAAATTATAGCTATTATTCCATTAAACTCTTATCTATTTCTACAATCTAAGGTTTATCAACTACCTCCGCACTAACATTCATTAATTCATCATAAAAATCTGGCTCTAATAAAATGATTTAGTGTTCTGGGAATTCATTGATGAATTTATTAAAAGTCCAAACCTCATCTTAGTTAAAAAAGAAAGAAAAATTAGCATAAAATTTCATTATATATATTTAAATTTCTGAATAATTTGAAATAAAGGATTATAAGCAATGGAATATTTAGTAAGTAAATTTATAATAATCAATTACTTAAGAAGAATTATTTTAAGTATCTAGAAACATTATGTTTTAAAATTGATACTTAAAAATCCTTATCTTACAATCTTTATTTTAGACTCATTTAGAAAATAGTTTCATTTGTTAAGTAGTTTAATTTGTCAATAATCTATGGATTTAGTTAGGATTTTTAATTAACATTTTCAATAAATTGCTTAATTTTGCTATAATTCTATCCCAAATCAAATACAGAATTGGTTTTGGGAATTTCAGATTTAGATTCTTATTATTACTAACAAACGGAATTCTAATTACTTTTTCCTTCTTCAACTTTTATCAAATCTTCTAACTTAGTTAATTGTTAAGCTTTTTTTAGTTCTTTTAACTTTCTTTTCTCTTACTTACCTAGACTAACTCCATCTAATTTCAACTTCTATTAAATTAATTATAAGCTCATATTGATTCCTCTAGCGATGTTTTCAGGAGCTTTTTCATCAGGATGATTCTCTGAAGAGATTGTCTATTAAACATTATAACACCCAGTTTAGAGTTCTTCCAATTATGATAAGATCTCCTGTTACAATCTTCTTTTGAGTTGTTTTTCTTCCTTTCTACTCAGATCTTTTTCTTCGGTATACATCTAAAATATTTTAATAAGTTTGTAAACATACTTTAGAATGTTTAATATTAATGAATTCCTGGTTCGGTCTGCCCAAAGGGTCTATAACAATTATTTTAATGTGTGAGTCGATTTCAACTCTTTCTCTTCTGCTCGTCTTCTTCTCTCTTCTGCCTTCTTGCTCGTAAGTCTGTAAAATTGCCTTACATGTACAGGCCTTCGTTTTAAACATCTCAGCTACCTTCAAATATTTAAAAATTCATTTACATTACATAATGACAGTTTTTCAACTGTCAAAGCATGAAGAATTAGAGATCGAGTCTCTTGGGATATTTTTTGATAAGGTCTTTTTGGTTTGTTGGCTTCAAACGTCGATTAAATAGACTAATTCGGGAATTGTTCAGCGTGTTGTTCCATGGGAAATGAGAAATATAATATACTAATTATTTATTCGGAATCTTTTTTCCAAACCATATAAATTTTTTTCTAATTTAGATTTGATGATTGCTAATAAATTATAATGTTTTATGAATTTATTTTAGAATTTAAATTTATTTATTATTTTCTTCTGAAATTATTATATTATTTTCTCAGAAGAGAACACATCTACAATCCGAAACCCTAAAGATGATAAAATATTTAAATATTTTATAATCTACTATTTCAAATATTAACTTTTTCTATTAAAACAACTTTTTATTCGCTTTTCAAGACTAAACTTTTTTCATTTAAAGAAGAAATAAATTAATTTTAATTAGGAAATACATTTGAATAAGTGCTAACCCTCGAAAAATAAAGGAGAGAATAATAGTTGTTAGATAAAATAAATATTTAAATAAGAGCTTAAAATTAAAATTTATACTCAGTTGATTCTTCCCTTCATGTAATTAGAAGCACCTTCTAATTTTGTAGCAAGAATTGATTCCACTTAATCTAATGATGCTAATTTCAGTAGTTCTTTGTTCGGTATCTCTTGCATATAAAGATCTCCAATTATCACATTGAGCTTCTTTCTACTTCTTTCCATTAGTAGCAGATTCCAATTCTCTTCCTGCATCATACTTTCTCTTTTTAGCAGCAGCCAACATATTTTCAACCTATCCAATCTTATTTTCAGCCTCAGCCTTTGCAGATTGAATGGCTTCTCTCTATTCTTAGATTGAGTAGATTTGAGCTTCATAATTGAGTTAGGATTGAATCTCCTCTTCTCTGTCATCAATCAAGGCTTATTCCAAGGAAGCTCTCAATTCACCAATTTTAGCTTGAACACTTTGTAATTTCTCTGCAGAAAATGTTGAAGCCAACTAAACCAGAGCGAGGATAGGATTCTCTCCGCCTACTCTTTCTAATTCGGCAAGTACAACTTCAGCATCAGCTTCAGGTTGAATAGCACTTAATTTGGCAGCAATAACATCAAGAGCCTCAACTACTTTAGGTGTTTAAATTTCTCTTTCTTGATAAGCAGCATGATCTTCAGCTCTTTGTTCTCTCAATTATTCTTCTTATTGATTAAGGATATTTAATTAAACTACTTGATTTTCAATTTCTTATTATAAAAGTTCAAGATCAGCTGTGTATTTATTGATATCCATAGTTGCTTCAGTGATTTCATTTGAAGCGAATTCAATTCTTCTATTGTATCCATAAATTTCAGCTTCACAATCAGCCTCTTAAGCAACATGCACTAATTCAGCATTTTATTATTAAAGAACTAAATTCTCTCTTAAATCTTGGAGCATTTTAGCGATGTCAGATAATGGTGATTGATTTCTCATTTAGATAGCAATTGTATCAAGTATCTTTTTTCCTAAAGGATGATCTTCAAGGTTTTCAAGTTAGGCAAATACTGCGGCATGTGGATCTGAAGCGTGTTTAATCAAAACTGATTGTGTGAGTGCTATCAATGCTAAACAGATTGCAAACTTCATTTTTTAATAGTGATAATCAAGCGATGTCGTTTTTTCTTCAAAGCAATCTGTTAGTTTACTCTAAAGTTTTATTAATTTATTATATGGAATAGTTCTTTCGATAAGAATAATTCTATAACTTTTCCAAAAGCTAAATGAATTTACTTGACCTTTATTTTGCTCAAATTATTTAATAAAATAATCAATTAAAAATTCTAGAAAAAATTTATACACTTAATAATAATTAATTAATATAATATAAAACAACCCATATTCAATATTCACAATCAAAAAAGAGTACGATTTTTCTTATTTTTATATTGTCTCCAATCTTTAAGCCCTTTAATGGAAGAATCAGATCTATTCAACTTCTGTCTATCAAGGTTTGTTATTGGCTTTAAAATATCATAAATGTGTCTTTATTTGAATTTGTTCTGTTTTTACCCATAATAAAATATATATAAATATAATAATTGGGGAATATTGTATGTTTTTATTATACAATTAATATTATTAAGCTCATCATTCTGCTTAGGCAGCTCCCTTTTGAACTGAGAAATATTTAACTTTGATGTCTTGTTCCTCTTAGACGGCAGCCTTAGTAGCATCGCTTAAGGAAGCAGCAACTTTGTTGAAAGCAGCTTTTGAGGCCTTCTTAAGTGCCTTATTCTAAGGGAAATATAACGATTAATGAATACCTTCTTGATCTTCTTGGTTCCTTTGGTGTTGGCTTTGATGGCAGCAACGGCAGCAGCTCTTTGTTTTTTAGCATATGGGTTCAATCTGTCCATAGCCTTGGTGTTCTTCAATGGGTTCTTCTTTTAGACATCATGGAGGACTTTGGTTGTCTTGGCTGGTTGAACCTTCTCTTACACTTAGTTGGAGTTGATGATTCTAGCCAAATCTGGGTTGGTGAGGAGTGGTCTCAACAATTGATATCCGTCCTTGAGAACTGAAGCATATCTGTATGTTCCGAACAATTTATCGAGGTGAGCGAAGGCACTTTATGTCCAAATGACGAATCTTCCCAATTGACCTCCTGGAGCAAGTTAGAGGAGATTTAATCTGGTGACATTGACGACTTCAACTCCTGGGACATCTAATGGATTTATCGATGAATATAATTACTTCTGAAGGCTTTCAACAATTTGGCATTCTCGTTGAAGTAGACAACCAATGGTCCCTTTCTGACTCTGTATTTCTTTCCTCTTTATTTGCTGATTCCAGCTCTGACAACTTTGGTGGAAACAACCTTTTAGACATCTTCAAAAGCACCGAATCTCTTCAAGAAATTGAGAGCATCAGTAGTCTTTTCATATGATTCAATCTTGTCTTCAACAACGAGTGGGATTTATGGGACTTAACTGATTCTGTGACCTCTAGCCAATACCAATGGGACAATTCCTGTGGCTGCAACAGCTGTAGCAGCAGCATGTCTCTTTTATTTGATATTGACTCTTCTGTGCCATCTTCTCCATACTTTGATTGGTAAACTCATTCTTCCCTTTCTGCATTGGTTACCAAAGGCGGCTTGGCCAGATCTGTGTGTTCCTGATCCAGAAACTCTTGGAATACGAGCTACGGCTCTACCAGTACCCCAGGATTCAGCACTGTGTTACATACCGGCTTATGGGTTGACAGCGTGAGCTATAATGGAAGTTTATCATAAGTCACATACCTTGTCTTCTGTTCTTGGCAATGTTAGTATGAACGAATGAGACGATATCTGGTCTAATTGGTGTTTGGAACACAGCTGGGAGTGGGATGTGTTTGGCTGTGACCTTGGTTGAGTCGTCGGCTGAAAAAACTGATACTAAAGGAACGGATGTCATTTCTTAAGATATTTTTTTAAATAAAAAATTTTGGTTTTTAAATTCTTATCATTGATTAATATATGCTAACAGTTTATATACATATTCATATAATCATTTACTTGAACCTCACTCAATCACTCAGAAATTATTAAATCTTTTGAATCCTCACATTCCTAATGTGGGGTATAAAGTCATTTATGAGAATTTAAATATTTTCAAACGAATTTCTTTATATTATATAATATCTGTTATTTTAACTAATTAATGATTATGATTATATCCTAAAAACAATTAGAATCAAATTCATCCAATATTAAAATTTATTTAAAATGAACATCATAATTAATCATTATTCATAGCATTGTAGGAAGTTTAAAACACTCTTTCTCCATCCTCTTCGAAATGGTGCATTCTCAAATCCTTTTGTAATTGAGGGTCCAACTTATTAGGTGAACCCTGTTTGGTTCCATATTACGAATTATGAGTATCATAGGTGCCTAACTAACTGCCATAAACGAAATGCTATCTTCTTAAATCTTTGAGTTGTTCTTCACTCAAAGTATTAGGATTTGGAGTAATTTGACTTATTTTTTGAGGGTATTCTATAGGGTCAGTTCCCAATTGGAAATGGTGCTTCCTTAAATCCCTAATTTGATTTTTATCCAATTTAAATTAATCCACTTTTTCTGGCATTTAGTAACTAAAATATTGATAGAAATTACTTTCTATTGTTTTCAGTATTGTATTCTACTTGTTCATCTCCAAATTTGATAGCTGAGATTCTAGGATCTTTGGCAAGCTCAGGTTTTTGAGTATTTGGATTGACGTAATTGGTTCCATAACTAGTTTGATAATATCGATCATTCAAGAATCCATGTGTACCTATAGTCAATGAACTGGTTGGTAAGTTTGGTTAAGATACAGCAATGGCTGTTTTTTAGAACATCGATTATTTCGTTGTTTGGGGCATATCTGATTTTTGATAAGCAAAATCAAAATGCGCTGTTCTTAAATCTAATAAGACTTCTTTATTGACTCTGATGACTTCCTTATTCTATTATCCTTAGAAGGCATCTTTATTCTGTGAACTCTTGACTGTAGGATCTTCACCCAAGACAAGATGAGATTCTTTGAGAAATTTCTCCAGATTTCCTTTAACATTGATTTTCGGATTCTATTATCCATCATGATATCGAATGTAATTGGTAGTGTAATCTATTGGATTCTAAGATGACCGATAATTGATACATTCCCAATAGTGATGTTAGTCTTACGGATATCAGGAGCATGATATTCTTCTTTTTCAACTTTATATTCTTTGTTTGTATCTTGATATGTAGTAGTAAAGTAAGTTTTCAGATCTCCAAAATCATGATGATGTTTACGAATATTTACTTATTGTTTTTTTTGAATATCCAACGGTTAATTCTTATATTATTAGTATTCAGTCTCACTAGGCACACTATGGAATCCCAATTTAAAATGATGACTGCGTAGATCCTTCTAGGTTTCTTCAGACAGTTGTGCTTTTTATGATTCTTTTGGATTAAATGATAATTTTGCAATAGATTAATAATTGACATTGTCTTCTCCCAATTCAAAATGTGCTTTTCGAGGATTTGCAATGTATGCTTCAAAATGTTTAGCTTCTTCAGTTGCTGGTAATACCTTATCTGGTTTTTTGGCAATGTAGTCATCCAAGTAGTTCGTGCTACCAGAAGCTAACAAGTAATGCAATTGATCATACATTTATCAAAACCAACTGCGAAGTGAGCCATCCTAAAATCATTCATTTGTTTCTTGATATTGTTACTCATTATATTAAAGTTAGAGAATAATTATTATATATTAAATTTATATTTGTTGTTTTAATAATGTCTCATTAAGTTTGTCCAACTAGTGCTTCAGCAGCCTAAGGCACATCATCGACAGAGGCTTGTGATTCTGAACTTTATGTTTCTGTTTATTGAATTTCAGGAGTTTCAGATTATTATTCTTATGATTATTATTATTCTTATTATTAAGCATCAACTTCTACTTATTATTATTATTCTTAAACTTATTCTTATACTTACTCAGTTGATTATACTTATTATTCTTATTAGACTTAGTCAACATTCACTTATTATTCTTTTTAGACTTATGGTACTTCAATTTATTCTTAAACTTCTTCGGCCATTTATGGTTATGTGGCAGTTGTCTCATCACCTTATCAATAGAATTGAGAATAATACTTGATGCATTATCGGATCCAGCCAATGATTATGATGGTTTTGCAATGAATACATCTTTTTATGTGTCAGCCATAACAAGTGGTTCTGTTAAACACTTTTCACTTGTCAAGAAAGCTACTTATTCATCTCTAGTAGAGTCTAAGGTAGTGAATTGTTATCTAAAATGAATAAGATGATGTTACCCAATTGGAACATAAATGGAGAAGACTGGGATTTGGAAGTTCATGGCATCCTCAGCCTTGCATACTTTTCCTGATGTGCCTTTGAAATCGCATGCAGAGTAAAGTACAACACAATCTCCAGTGGCAGGTAAATCTTTTTCATATTAAGCAGCCAAAAAGACTTAGGATTGATCAGCACTAGTTAAGGATGATTAGTTTTCATCTTCATAATTGAATCCAGATTCATATTGTTTGGCAGGTTCTGAATTTTTAGCTAGTTCCTCCTCTGTAAACAATGAAGATTATTGGGCGAAGACTGTGATTTACATGTAGGGCTTTTCCTCATCCTCCAACAATACAGCTGGTTCGTCTAAAAACTTGACTGCCTTGATAGCAACAATCAGCAATAAAATGTGAGATGCACGCATATTTATATATAATATTAAAAACGAATTAAACAATTTATAATAATTCAATTTGAACCTCCTACTTTCTAATCATATTGGATATATATATACATATAAATAATTTTAAATATCATCATACACTAAAGACGTCCTCTATTTTCAACTCTCTCTACTCCTTAATCCTAGTAAGATTTCTGCATTTATTAAATGGAATTCTTGATTATGCATTTTTATTTCGATCTTTTAATCTTAACTTAATTTAAATCCAATAACTAGTATTTCATCAGTATTTTGATATTGTCTCTATTATGAACGTTAGAAAAATCACCCTCATTATATTTAACAAGGTCATTTGAATAAATATCTAGATATAATCTAATTGTCAAGAAAATTAAATCTTTGAATTTTTTTGATATTCAATTACAACATGGCAGCATCTTTGAGAAAAAGTCATTTCCTGAATTAAAGATTTCATTCTTGAATCATCTGAATCAGATCATTAATAATTTATTATTTAAACTTAAATTACAATAGATATTTATTTATCATTTCTTCTACTACTCCAAACCCTACTTGATACGAGGTACCAACTCCTCTATTATTAAAATATGATGAGAATTCCATACCTCTCACTTGTCTTGCCTTCTCTCTTATTTACTACATATTCTTGCTCTTGGCATTGGCTCTGATCTTCTTGAACATAGGTGCATATTTGAACACATCGGGAATCACAACAAATCTAATCTAACTGCCTCTCAAATAGACTTATTCTAAAGACATTGGTCTTCCATCTCGAGTGACCATCTGCACTTCATCCAATCGGACATTCATTGTATCCTTGCTTTAATATTTGTGGTTACTTCAGCCTCTGCCATGTATCCAGTGAACATCTCGCCTGTTTTGAGTTCGACTGTAACAATGTGATGAGCAGCTTCATGCATGATTTTGAGAGGGACACCCAAAGACATTTAATTATATAATATTTAATATTAGTATAAATTTACTTTTATATATATATAAATAAATAAAAAGATTTAAAGAAATGGACAACAAGAAATCGTTATACGATAGATTTGGAGGTGATCAACAAGTGTCTGAATTGATCGATTAATTCTATTACAAAGTCCTGTTTGATAAGTTGTTAAGAGACAAGTTCTTGAAAGCTGATATGAGTCGTGTTAGATATCAATAGAAGAGATTCTTTTCTCAAATGATGGGCGACAAGAATACTTAATACACTGGCAAGTATATATAATCTAAGAACCCATTAGAGATTTAGTGGAAGTTCATAAAGACTTGAATATTACAAATTAGCAGTTTGATAAATTTAAAGTGCACCTCAAAAACATCGCTCAGGACATGGAAGTAAGTGGAGCTGATTTAGAAGAGTTACTCGATCACGTTGAAAAACACAGAGATCAAATAGTATTTAATAAAGCAGCATGATTGAAACATGACAAGATAAGTATAAATAAGCCAATTCATAATTCTACTTTATTATTATATATATTCATTAATCATAAAAGCATCTAGGCTTTGAGTGATTTGGCCATATTGAAATTGAATCTCCACAATCTCTAAGTTGTCACTTGTGCACACCTATTGTTTATAATCCAATCTCTTATTTATACCCATCTGAATAAACCAATGATATGTCTACATGTTGACAACCTCAGCACTGTGTCAGAGATTCAAGAAATCTCTTTGTAAGTGAATCCCAGAACATGATACCTTCCTACAGAGTTATTTCCTTCCTTAAAAAAAATAAAAATACTAAATTTGTAGTTTTATTACTGCTATATCTATTTGTTTAAAGGGATAAATTTTTGTTTTTAAAATCTCAGCACAATATATTCTGAACTGCAAAACATTAATTTAAGGTCTAAGATATAAGAGTTTCTAGCAGAAATTAGTCAATGAATATAAGGCAATGGCTCTGAATTAGAACACTATTTGGTTTGATATCTCTATATTATACTCTCCTAGAATGTATATGAGATATTGCAGTTAGAAGATTGAAAATACCTTAAGTGATTAAACTCTATTTAAAATTTCCGAAATTCTCATTAATCCAAATCCTGATTATGATTGTAAGATCTCTTTATTCAAACTTTATTTGGCTATGAAAATTTTGAACATAGAAATCCTTCTTATATATTAGATTTAAGCATATCATAAAAGGATAACCTCATAATTTCTATAAAGATTCAACTTGCAAAGATTATATGCCTTTTTTACTTAGAATTAAATTAATAATTTTTATTGTTATCTTGTAATCATTTTAACTAATTCTAATTATATTGGATGCAATTCAAATAAAGTTGATGTTGCTATTGAATTACTGTGGTTTATTTATAAAATTATTGTAATAACCCAAAAATTTTAAGGGATGTAATTTAGCAATATCTATAAAAAATAGATATTTCCTCTTTGATTTAATGAGAACTTTAAAATGTTATTTAAGTTTTTCTAAAATGTATGAACTTTGAAATACAGAAACCCATTCTTAAATTCATCTGCTAAGTATCTTCTATTAATCTTTTTGTCTCTGTTTTATTCCATATTTGCTATTGGTTAATACTTCATGAGATAACTAATTTTATAAACCTATAGTTATCGGAAATGCATTTAGATAAGTTGATTGAATAAAATTCTTTATATTATCTCTCAGGACATATTCCAAATAGACAGGGATAAATTTGTTATATTATTTCATCAATACATCCCATTGATAAAGTACAATTGCATTGTACCTTGTTATTAATAGGGAAGTGGAGGTGGGTGATTATGCAATTTGCATCTGAACTGAGTGTTCATTTGAAACATAAAAATAGTTCTCTTAAATGAAAAGATGTAATTATATAATATTTTTATATTTGAATATTGATGATTAACGTCAACCCTTCTTGTTTTCCAAATTCTCGAATTTTACCCATGAAGATCCAGATTCAATACTTTCTAACTAAAATGCAGATATTCACACACAGTTTACTTCATCAGCTATTTCTTCTTCTGTATGCCCACTACGTAAAACTGATGTCCAAAAGTTTAGCCACTCCTCTTCTGATATCGTACCACTATTGTCAGTGTCTACTGACTTAAATAATTCCTCTGTATTCAATTTTGCAAAATTACTCTTCCTTCATTACCATTGACATTTATATAAATACCAATATTTTATTGTTTCCGACTTCTCAATGGACTTTGATCCATCCACATCGAATCTTGCGAATAACTTTAACACTCGTTCTCTCATTTATGGAGATAACTGTATTATTTACAATTCTATACCTCTTTCCCTTAAGTTGGACCCATTCCTTATATTTTTTATAAATTTATTAATGAATGACTAGGATTCTGGTTAGCACTTTCCATAGTCTCATCAGGCTCAAAATCAAATAGAAATCGCCAATAGAACATATAGCGAAATCCGTATGGAGCAGATTGTTGACGATTCTGACTACTTGTATCAATCCATGATCGATGATGACCAATACTCTAGGGTCAAGGTCATTCCTACTATAGCTAATGAAACCATCATCTACCGAAATACTATTGATATGAAGAGATAACAACCTAACATATTTTAAAGATGCTTTGGAGGAAAGAGATCTTCGAATAAAGTTACTATGGCCTAGATCATTGATCTTCGATAAAAGGAGTTATTTAATGATTATGTATACGAGACTCAAAAGGATGGGTTCCTTAAGCATGTCTAAAAGTACATTCATAAAATCAAAGTTCTTGAACCAGACTCATAATTTTACATCTTTTGGTAGGTCCTAAATAGTGCTATGGTTATGATATTTTTCTTTTAAATACCTTTTGTTTTTGCGTATTAACCTCTTATAAAAGAGAAACAATCAGAGGACTATTTGAATTTCGAAATGTATGTATTAAATTTAGCAATTGCAATATTTATAGTTGACATTGCTCTCTCTTTCAATATTGCCTTTTACAAATAAGGATATTTGGTGAGTGGGAGGAAACAAATAGCTTTAAACTATTTAAAAACTTATCTCTTCTTAGATCTGATCCCTTTATTTTGTCTAATTGAATATCGGATATTTCTTCTTTCTGACACACAATTCGGGATCGAGATATTCTGCTTTCTTTTTAAAATTTACGAAGTCTTCAAAACTAGCAATATGATAGAAGAATACTTGCAATTAGAACCTTCAAGATTGTCAAAGTATAGATTTCTAATGGTTATGCTTACTATCATTTGGCTATGTCATTTATTTGCATGTGTATTCTTTTTTATTGGAAGAAGGGAACTTAGTAAAGAAGACGATAGTGTTTCTTGGTTAAGTGAAAGTGATTTGATAAAAATGCATGGTGGATATACTAATTTAAAAAAACATATCTTTGAATTGCATTTATACTCCTTTTATTGGGCTGTCACTACTATGATTTCAGTTGGGTATGGAGATGTGACTCCTAAAAATGCGTGGGAAGTTGTTGTTACTGTAGTGACATAATTTATATCTTGTATTGTGTTTGCATATTCTGTTAATGCAATTTGGGAGATGATTAATTTATAGAATGAAAATAAACAGAAATTTCAGTATTTCTTAAAACATTATTTATTCTAGAAAGTATGTTAATGCAATTGAAAGATTTATGCGAGAACATAATGTGGACAGGCAATTAAAAGCCAGAATAGCAGCCTACTTATACCATCTTTGGGAATCTGAAAAAGCAAGGGATCACGAACTAGAATAGGCCATGATCCTAAAACTAGCTCCTGCTCTTAGAGAAGAATTAATTTATTAAACCCTAGGCAAGATGCTCAATCACAATAAATTCTTCAGTTCCTTCCAATAAGATCTCTTAATAGAGATGGCATAAGATATTTAATAGTAATACTATTCTTAAGAAGAAGTGATATTCTAAGAAAGGGAAGAAATAGATGACTTTCCAGTCTTCTTCTTAACTAAGGGCTCTGTAGAAATATACTTGGATAGTGAGAAACGAATCAAATTGCACATTATGAAATCAGGCATCTTTGGAATTGTTGCTTTTATCACTGGCCATAAGAGAACAGCTTCAGCCCGTTGCTTAACTTACTCAGTTATATACAAACTCTCTAGAACTTAATTTTTAAATAGACTAGAGAAATATTCTAAGGAGAAATAAAAATTCTTTGAGATCAGACATTAAGTTCTCTTCAATAAGAACTAAGTAGATTTAAAGTGTTACATTTGTGAAAGCAAAAAGCATTTAATTACCAATTGCAGAAAGACTCTCTACATACCTGAGAAAGTGTCTATTATATTTGAAACATACAATATTAAGAATCCCAGAAACCCAGCCTATTAAAGAAGAGTAGTCAAACAATAGTTTAAAGCTCTGTCTCACATAAGGGAAGTGTAAGTTAATGCAGTTGCCATGAAGAAGTACTTCCAAAATATCACATTCACCCAAAATTCAAGTGATGAAGATATAGAGTATAGTTCAGATGTGGATGATTATGAAGAGGAGATGGAGGACATTAAGAAGATAGTTGAGTAGGAGAAGGTAAATGCATAATTAAGAAGGAGAGGACAATGGATAGTTGATGACGATTATGAGATGAAGATTGATGAAGGTTAGGATAATCAGAGTTTAGAGTAGTTATCAGATGGATTCAGAAAGTCTTAGCATTTAATTAAGCATTCTGATGAGGAAATCAAAAAGTAATCTAATAATAATAAAAAACAGAAATTCCAAAATCTAGTAAGATTATAAAAACTTAGGAATGTTAGAACTTATTCCATGTCCAGTTTGTCTCCAATTTAAGAATAAGTGAAGAAGCCCTCTCTCGTTAAAAAAGAGAAGACTCCATTAATGGCAAATAATGTTGTAGCGTAAAGGAAGAAGAGTAAATTAATATTGTAAAATGAAATCCAAGTATGCGATAAGTCTTAATAACTTCAATAATCCAATGAGAAGTTGGATAAAGTATAATCACCTGATAGACATGTGTATAATGAATCTAAAAAGAGTGAACTCATAAGAAAGATGAAATTTCTTTCTATTGCTTAGCCTAAGAATAAAGAAATTTAATCGATTTTAGATGAACTTAAGTAATTACTTCTATTATTATGATAGAACTTATATATAAAATAGTTAGAATTTATAAGGTAGTGTTGCAAAAGAGACTGGATCTTCTTTGAGGACTGAGAAGGTTGATAATAATATTTAATAAGTTGAAACTCATTCTGATGTTGATAGTCAATTTAGCATAGATCAAATGGCTAATTTTGATGCTTTTTTTGAAGAGGAGAATCCTGAAAAAGTAATAAAGAAGTTCAAAAAGCAAGCAAAAGAAAAACAGAAATAAAGAAGAACTACCATGATGAGACAATTTGTTTGAGAATCAAGATACATATTTATTTTTTATATCTTACAATCATCTTTCAATTATATTAATCATTCGAATTCAGAGCAATTGATTAATTGCTATTGTTTATTATACAATGTATTCAATATTTTATTATTAATTTATAAATAAAATTTAACGTATATATGAGTTAATTAGAACCATTTGAGCATCATTATAGTATTTAATACTTGGAAGTATTTGGATGTTGTCACACGAATCGACATATCTACTCAGAGAAAATGATTTGCAAAGATTGTGGCATCTTCTTAAATAATGTAAAATTCATCATTAACTCTTAGCCCAACACCAAAGTCTACAAAACACTCAAAATGAAATACAATGCATTTTTCAATCCAATTAAAGTGTTGCAAAAGATGATGGTAGAAGGTTAGCCAGCTGGACCTATCAAATAAAGATAATAATTCATAGAATTCATTTTGCAAGTGTCAGAAAGACTTAATCTCTCAATCAATACTTGTTTCCTAGCCATTGATTACATTGATGAATATTTCAATAAGGCTACAGTCGATGAAAATCAAACATATCTATTTGTTTCGACAGCCCTTATGTTAGCGGCTAAGGCATAAGAACTTGATGAAAGAGTTCCTTTTATCAGCAAACTTAAGAGATATGCCTCTATGACTAATCATCCTGAAATCAGTCAATTTAGCACACAAGATTTTAAATCTGCAGAAAAATAATTAATATAATCATTGGAATGGAAACTACAAAGGAATACCCTATTAGATAGAATAGAAACTCTATTATCTTTTGGTGTAATTGACGATGATGATAGTTTAGGGCAACAATAGTAAAAAGAAAATAAGGATTCAACTCATCAACAACATATCAAACTGAGGGACTTATAAGAAAATCAGATCTTATATTATGTTAAAGAAGTAGAGAGTAAATATGTTGAAATAGCTTTGTAAATTATTAAAGGTATTATTTCATTATATTAATAATTATTTTAGATGATTAACTATATTTCCAAACTGATTAGACTATCCTGGCTTTATCATGTGTTGCTTATCTAAGAAAAAAGGCTGGTCTTTTAAATATTTGGTCCCAGCAATTGTAAAGTCTGACTGGCTTTGGTGCTTAGAAAATATCATCTTCTGTTTCTTAAATAATGACTCTTATTGCCAAAAGTAAGAGTTTCAAAACAATCTCAAAATTGTAGGTTAACCCTTCAGATTTATATTATGAATAAGTCAACACTCCTATCAACACTCTCACAACAGTCAATTCAAATCACCTTCTGAATAGATAATTTTAGTTTGAATAAAAAAGGCAATCGTTTGGTGATGCTATGAATCAAAAAGTCAAAGTTCATCTGTTTTAATCTTAATCAACTGCTCACTTTGGTGATCTTAGCAAGTAGCAACTATACTATAATAACATGAATTACACTACAAATACCAATTACTCATTTTTGAATGACAACTCTATAGGTCCTAGTAATTACATTAATTGTCATAAGATTCATCATAATGGGGAACTTGATAAAAAGTACGAATAAGCGCATAAAGTTGGGGTCAGTATGTTTAGATAAATGCAGTGACTATCTTATATTTTACTAATAAGGATAAAAATCATATATTTTTAAGTTGGTTTTCTCGAAAAGTAATCATATCAATAATTATTGAAAGAATTTAGATATTCTTAAATATTTAATTATAAATATAATCGTTTTTAGAAAGACTAAATATTTTTAATTTAAATTATATTTGTAATAATACTTCTAGATCAAAATTATGTAAAAATTTATATATTCTCATCTCTAAATTCTTTGGAATTGCATCTAATTGATTAGCTTATTATTTAATTAGCATATCAGAATTTGTTGCTCGTGTTATTATTTTTTATACGTAATTATTTATAAGGATAATATTTGCTTTCTAAAATTTTCTATTTTCTTAATTATTTTTATTTGTGATGTTGCGATTAAGTTTAAGCTTAATGCGAAGAAATGTTTTTAGATATTCTATGCCATTAATGGCTTTTTCATCAGATAAAGAACCTCCTAAAGGTATTTTTGGTTGAGAAAGCTTATAGGGTTTTAAAAATTTTAGAGGAAATCGAAAATTCAACAGGAACCAAAAAAGGAGGAAAAGCAAGAGCAAAAAGTCGAATAAGAAGAGAGAAGAGAGCAAAATGAACAGGTGATAAAGGAGGAAGAGGAGATCGAAGAATAGCAATAAAAAGGTAGAGATTGAAGTATATTAAAATTAGTCGAAAAGCCTTAGAAAAAGAAGTACCAATTCACCTATGATCCAAAATCATTTAATTTGTAAGATGAGAATAAGAAGGAAGAGAAATAGGAAAAATAGGAAAAATAGGAGCAATAGCAAGAGAAATAAGAAGTAAAGGAGGAAGAATAAAAAGAAGAGTAGCAATAACAAAAGCAATCTTAAAAGAAATCTCCATTATCTGATATAAATTTCGAGAAGGTGTTTGAGTACTTCAACAATCCTAAAAATCGAAATTATATTTACATGTTCTTGGGGGTTAGTGGTTTAGCTGCATTCTATTAAATTTCCAACTTGGAAGAGGAAATCACTTATACAGATTTTCTGAAAAACTATCTAGAAGCCAGTCAAGTGAACTCGATTATCATATATAAGAATGAAACTAGTAAAGTGAATTAGGCGTCGATCATCACATAAAGAGGACAATCAAAGAGATTGATGATTATGAATGTGGATAACTTTTTAGAAAATCTAGAAAGATTTTAGGCCGAAAAAGGTTTGAGTCCTGAATAATTCATACCTGTGACTTTTGAGGCTTAATTAGATAAAGATAAAATAATTGACAGAGTATTGAATGTCTTGTATTTTGGTGTCTCAGTCGCAATAATATTGTTTTTTTTTTAATAATTTAAAGGCAGTATGGGAAGTATCAATAAGGGAAGTGGTTAAGGAGGAAATGATGTATTTGGATTTGGTAAATCTAATGTAAAGTAATTTGGATTTGAACAGAATGTGAAAGTAAAGTTTAAGGATGTTGCTGGATTGGATGAAGCCAAATTGGAAATCAAGGAATTTGTTGATTTCTTAAAGAAACCCCGTAAATATAAGGAAATGGGAGCGAAATTACCAAGAGGAGCATTGTTGGCAGGACCTCCAGGAACTGGTAAGACAATGGTGGCAAAGGCATGTGCTGGAGAAGCAGGTGTTCCATTTTTTTTTGTAAGTGGTTCAGATTTTGTTGAAATGTTTGTGGGAGTGGGAGCAAGTAGAGTTAGAGACTTATTTAAATAAGCAAAAGCTAAATCTCCTAGTATTATATTTATTGATGAAATTGATGCTGTTGGTAGAAAAAGAGATGCAAAAATAGGAGGTAATGATGAAAGAGATAATACATTGAATTAATTATTAGTAGAAATGGATGGATTTGGAACTGATACAAATGTAATAGTGTTGGCAGCTACAAACAGAAAGGAATTACTAGATCCAGCACTCACAAGACCTGGTAGATTTGATAGATCAGTTGATATCACATTACCAGACATTGAAGGTAGAAAATAGATATTTATGGTTCATTTGACACCTTTAAAATTGGATCCATCTAAAACTATGGATGAATATGCAAAAAGACTAGCTACTTTGACTCCAGGGTTTAGTGGAGCTGAAATTGCTAATCTTTGTAATGAAGCTGCTATCATGGCAGCAAGAGCTAATAAAATTTATGTTGATTCCAATGACTTTGAAATGGCTTCAGAAAGAGTTATGGCTGGTTTGGAAAAAAAGAGAATAATAAGTGAAGAAGAAAGAAAAACTGTTGCATATCATGAATCTGGACATGCAGTTGTCAGTTGGTTTTTATAAGGAGGACATCCTTTACTTAAACTAACAATCATACCCAGAAGTAAAGGCTCTTTGGGATATGCATAATATTTGCCAAATGAATCCAGTTTGGAATCCAAATAAGAATTGCTAGATAGAATTTGTTGTATTTTGGGAGGTAGAATATCGGAGGAGATATTTTTTGGTTAAATCACCACTGGAGCCTATGATGATTTGAAGAAGGCTTATGAGGTTGCTCATAGTATTGTGACCAAGTTTGGTATGAGTGAGAGTATTGGTTATATTGGATTCTAGGAGGGCGAGTTCTAGAAGCCTTATAGTGATAATACCAATAAGCATATTGATGATGAAATAAAGAAGATTATTGACGATTCAACTTTGAGAACTCGATAGTTGTTGAGAGAGAAGAAAGACTTTGTTGATAAGTAATTTTAATGAAGTAATCTTAGATTGGCGACGAGCTTATTGGATAAGGAAACTCTGGACTTACAGAAAATAATAGAGGTTTTAGGTGAAAGACCATTTCCCCCTCGATCTAACTACAAGGCGTATCTGGAAATCAAAAAGGAAGACTCAAAAAAAGCTTCTGAATGAATTATATATTTTATGTATATTTCTTAATAGTATTCATCAGATTTTGAATGAGTCACGGGTATGTTCTAATTATAATTATATAATTTTTGGGGATTTAAAACAGAAGTATCTTTTAAATAAATCATCATTAAAGCAGAAGATGTCAATGGTTAGATAAATTTATTATATAAAATAACCTTAAATCTATATGAAGCGATCATTGAAACAGAAAAAACAATCTAAAAGCTCTAAGAATTCTGATGATATTACTGAGCCTCATGCAAAACTCTTACTGGAACGTTTCCCATATTCTATTAAAGACCTTCAATTTAGAGAAGTTCCGACTATGCAAGTGAACTAAGACTTTTTTTTGGATCCCTTTAAGACAATAGAACATCTTTATGCCAAAGGCTATGAGAAATTTGGCATAGTGAAATTGCTTTTGCCTCCTGAGTTAATAGTTCCGGAGAAAAAGTTCTTTAGTGATTTGGAGTTGAAGTTGAAGGGAAAGAGAGTGGAGACAAGAGTTTAGACTTTGAATTCGCTATAAGCAGGAGAAGTAAGTGCGTTTATTTAGATTAGATATTTGGTTCGAATACTGTTGGATTCACATTACAAGAGTATATGAGCTACGCTAACAAATTCGAATGTAGTCACAAGTTATAGGGAGTAAGGGAAGTTTCGAATCAAATCAGGTAGAATGAGATAGAATTCTGGTCGATAGTGGACTTCCCAGAGAGGTACGATGAAGTTGAGGTGGAGTATGCAGCTGATTTGTTGGCAACCAAGTATGCCACCGGTTTCTAAGATGGACAGTTGGGAAATTTGAGTAGCATAAACAAGAATAGCAATTCTATCTTCTAAGTTCTCCAAGAGAAGAGTGAGATGAGTGGAATTTCAGTGCCTTGGCTGTACTTGGGAATGAAGTATGCTAACTTCTGTTGGCATAAGGAAGACTTGAATTTAAATTCCTTAAACTACATGCATGCTGGAGCTCCAAAAACATGGTATGAATGTCCTATCTAACATAAGGTATGCGATCCCTCCATCTCATAGTGAAAAGTTTTTACAATATTTCAATAAGAAGTATGAGAAAGAAAGAATACATAACCCTCGTCTCTTGTATGACATAGTATGTCAGATTTCGCCTATCGAATTGGCTGAGCAATAAATTACAGTTATCAGGACAGAACAGCACCCTGGTGAACTTATTATCACTTTAGGTGCTACCTATCATGCAGGATTCTCACATGGTATTTTATTAAATATAAATTATAGGATTCAATTGCAGCGAGGCAGTCAACATTGCTCCTTCACAATGGCTTGATGAATATGATCGTGCTTCAGCTGAGTATCGTATGGATGGCAACTTAAAAAAAGTAATCTTTGATTTAAATTGTCTCAGATTAGTTTTCCCTTGGAATGGCTACTAACCAAGGTTGCCCTTATGGCAGATCAAGTCAAGTTTACTAAATAATCATGGATCAAGGTATGTTTATTTGTGCTTACTTTTTCAGTTATATGACAAATTTAAAATGATGATCCGGACTGAAATTGATAGTCGAAACAGCATCCTAGCTCTCTACGAATAGGTTAAGACTGTAGAATTTGCAAATAAATTAGAGAAGTATGATCGGAATGTCTGCAAAATCTGTTCAAATTATATGTTCTCTAGTTATATTTTCTGTGGAAAGTAAATCTTGTGTTGATCATTATAGGTGTTTAAAAAAGGGATGCATTGCTCATCAAAGTGTTTGTGCGTGTTCGAATCCCAAGATTTCCCTCTATATTCGATACAATAGTGAGGAATTATAAACAATGCTTACAACCTTAGAATCAAAGGCCAATTCCAAAACGGGGTTGTGATTACATTAAATACTAATCAATTTAAAAGAAATTCATTTATATTATACTAAAAACTAGTTGAAATTTAATTCATCACCCTAAAAACAAAAAAACAAAAATATCTAACCTAACTTCACTTTACATAAAACTTATCAAGAATTTACAACTTTTACTTTACCTAACATAATTATGTTTCTATTTATAAATTTTTATTAAAAATGGGATTATATTGGAAACGTTCAAAAAAATCAATTACTTTTTATGATTTAAGATATATACTAACAATTTCTCATTTAATCATTATTCATCATCAGATTTCTTACAAAATGTTGATTAATACAATAATTATATATAATTTTGATAATTTTTAATTGTTTTGATGGATGCTTTTCTAGCACATAATCACGTAATCATACTTACTGTTGCTGCTGTGAATGTTCTTTTATGTCTCATGCCTCCTTATAATCAAACTATTGCAAAATAATCACATTTTATCGATGATAATGATGATAGCATTTAAGAAAGCACTACTAAAGTTTAAAGATAAAATCATAAATTCTAAACAGAAGAGGAAGAAGAGGAAGAAAACGTTGGTTGTCGTAAAAGTAACCAAGTCTAAGAATCTGACGAGTAAGATGAAGTCTTTTTTAGAATTTATGATGGTCTTAAAAAGTGATTTAATACTCATTTCATAACCGATTATATTTTAATTTCTATTAAACAAAGTATTCATTAGAAGAGGTTTAAATTCTAAAATAATTGCTTAAATCATTAATCATAATTTTATTCTCTTCCTTTATGAAATCTGAATTAAACAAATCAAATAAACATGAATAATAAACCAAAATTATATAAGAAACTATAGTAAATCACACTAAGTAATAATGAAATGAATAGTTATTCTCAACAACATAAATCTTCCTGCTTCTTTTTTTCTTATTATTATTGCTATTATCTAGTTTACAATCTCATATTTGAAGTTTTTCTTACTACAGCCTTGGAGTTATGAATTTCTCGGTTTAAAATATTTTTTGTAATGTGAGTAAAAGCTGCTTCAATATTGATTGATGATTTGGCACTAGTTTCATAGAAAGGAAATTAATATTATCTGGCTAAAATAGGAATATAAAATAGAATTACATAATTCTAATCCTTCCTCATATGAAACTTCTCTTCTCTCTGTAATATCTGCTTTATTTCCAACTAACATTCTGTTCACTGATTCTGATGCATACCTCATATTAATGATAAAGAGTACTTATCAATTTCAGCTATCCAAGTTTTCACATTTTCAAAGGACTCTCTGTCAGTAATATCATAAACGATAATAATACCTTGGGCACCTCTGTAATAGCTGCAAGTTATTGTTCTGAATCTGTCTTAGCCTGCAGTGTCCCACTATGTTTATAAATATTTATAATTAACAATCTGCAATTTAACATTGTTTTCACCGATGGCAACAGTTTTAGTTTTAAAATCCACTCCAATGGTGTTGTAGAAATTGTTGGTGAATTGATTTTCCTTAAACATTAATGAGGGTATATTACAGAATATCTCATAAGCATACACGACTTGCCCACACCAGAATTTCCAATTAATAATACTTTGAAAAGGAATTGACTAAGGAATTAGAAAACATGATTACTAATCAGAGTTTGAGCTCATTTTTATTTCAAAATTATTACTGTTAATAATTAAATAAATTAGAATTATAAAATATCCTAAGAGAATAATATAAATAACCCTCCAGATTATAAATGAATTGAAAATAAATAAGATAAAAAATTTACAATACAAACGTATAAATGAATCATAAATCATCTCTTTTATCATCACTTACAGTTTCCCATTTTGCGTCATCTGTATTTACTTTTTCCCATTTAGTTCCATCTTAATCGATGTGTGGTTCAGATGATGCCTCAGGTTCCTCTTCGATTTCAACTTCGAATTCCTTAATTGGTGCATCTCTGTCAATACCCAAGGCTGAATTGAATAATTTATAGAATCTACTAGCAAACTTTTCTGGACTTGGGATTGAATAGCCTAGATTACAATCAATGAAATAAATTACCTGAATTGACCAAAGCAGCCTCATAGAGAACTTTAGCCATTTCTTCAGTTTCCTAATCAGGATCATCTTTAACTCTCTGTAACAATTCTTATATGGCTTAATGATTTGGATTGATTTCAACAATCTTCTTACCAAATTGCTAAGAATTGCTTCCCTTGCTTGAATAAGCCTAAGCCTTTGATATTCTTTCCATATTAGCTGAATATCCTGATTCTGAGGAAACAACAATGATGGGATCCTCAATCAATCTTTATGAAATGACGACTGAATCAACGTTTTCTGATAATAACTTTCTCCACCAGTCAGTCAAGGGTTAGAACACTTTCTTCAAAGCCTTTTATTTCTTTCTTTGTTCATCATTATCTTCTGGTTATTTGAAGTCACCTTTGCCAACATTAGTGAGTTTCTTTTGTTTATATTCATTCAAGTGTTAGAATGTGAATTCATCAACTGGATCTTCTAACAATAAGACTTCATATCCTTTCTTGATTAAGCCTTGAATGATTGGAGATGACAACAATTATTCCTTATTTTCACCTGCCAAATAATAGATAGAGTCTTATCCTGGTTTTGATCTTTCAATATAGTCATCAAATGAAGTTAATTCAGTTGCATTCTTGCTTGAATACCACCTAAAATAAAATATTAGGTATAATATTTAATATATGGATAATGTTGGATTAGAAATATGTTATGTTAGATCAGACGACTGTTTATATGATCACTTAATAAATAGAAATAATTCCATTTATTATCCATATTAATTTGTCATCATTGCATAACATACTTCATATAATAGTAATAATAATAATGATACCTTGTTAATTCAGCCAATTTCTATCTGTTTGATGAATCTTCAATGACACCCAATTTGATATTTTTTCCATACTCTTTCCAGAATTCATTGTATTCATCGATCTTCTTCTTTCTCTTCTCATCCTTCAATCTTTATTATTCTTCTGGAGTAGTTTCAGCCATGTTATCATCCTCTTCACCTTCTTCAGTATCTTCCTCATCTTCATCATCATATGAGGCAGCATCTTAGAATAATTCCAAGATCTTCTTAACAATCTTTCTACTGATGACCTTCAACATCTTAAGTTATTGAAGTGTTTCTCTATTGACATTTAAGGGTAATTCATCAGAATCAATAACACCTTTAACAAAACTTAAATATCTTGGAAGAATATCTTCGAATTCTTCACTGATCAAAACTCTTCTGACATACAATTTCAAGTTTGTAGTTTATTTTCCATAATAATTATCGAACATATCACTGGGTGCTCTCTTTGGAACATAAATAAGAGATGTGAATTCAACTTCACCTTCAGCTTTGAAATGAACCCAGTTGAATGGATCTTCACCTGAATTTTTAGACAAGACTTTATAGAATTTCTTATAATCATCATCTGATATCTCTTCCTTTGGTCTCAACCAAATAGCTTTGTTTTCATTTACTTACACCCACTCAGACACCTTCTCTTTAATTGTTTTAGTTGCCTTTTTCTTTGTATCTGCATCATCATCATCATCATCTTTAACTTTGACTTCATCATCATCAGTTTAATCCTATTGATCTTATTGATCTTATTATTATTCTGATTCCTCCTCTACTTACTTTGAAACTTCTCTTGTCACCTTCAAGTAAATTGGGAAATTGATAAATTCAGAGTACTTTTTGATCAACTCTCTAATTGTAGATTCTTCAGCAAATTCTACTGCATCTTATTTCAAATGAATAGTGACTTAAGTACCACGACCCAAAAGTGTTTCCTCTTGGATCTTTAGATACAGCAAATGAATGAGCTGCTTGAGATTCCCAAATGTATTAATCATCATCTGAGTTCTTTGATGCAACAGTAACCTTCTGTCCTGCCAAGAAGCATGAATAGAAACCAACACCAAATTGACCAATCAAATTTACATTTCCACCTTTGATTGCCTCGATGAATTGAGTTGTTCCTGATTTTGCTATTGTACCCAAATTGGAAATTAGGTCATTCTTAGTCATACCAATACCACTGTCTGTTACTGAAACTGACTTCTCTTCTGTATTTATTTCAATTCTTATTGCTAATTCTGTCTTGTCTCCCAAAATCTCTGGATTTCTAACACTTAAGAAACGAAGTTTATCAAGGGCATCGGCAGCATTTGAGATTAATTCTCTAAGAAAGATTTCCTTTTGAGTATAGAGAGAATTGATAAGAATGTCCATCAATCTACCTGTTTCAGCTTAGAATTCATGGGTTTCTTAGGATTGTTCTAATAACTTTTTTTATTCATCAGTCAAATCCTATGTCATCACTTATACTCCTGAGAGCATAAAGAGCAACAGCAAGGCAAAGGCCTTCTATTTACTATTCATTAAAAATATTTATTGATTTGCATTCACCATACCTTAAATAATATATATCCAAAAACACGTGTGTTATCACACTTTCTAGAAATTAATTAAAAAAAACTCCTTTTTATATACATTTTCAAATCCATACAAATATTCCTGGTCATTCCCTTTGAATTGAACCAAAATTATTCAATCTTTTATCAAATGTAAGCATTTCTTCACTTTAATTGTCTTAATTAAAAGGAATTTCTTAAATAAAATTAATTAATTCTCATAATATGTAATTTGGAAAAAAAAAAATGTGCTCATAAATTACTAAATACAATTAAGTGTGATATCCCAATCAATTTTAAAGATTGGAATTGTAACAAATAGTTGTCATATAATTACATAGAATATTCATTATATATATATAATAACTATATCAAAATCTTGTTAATTTACGTATCATTTCTGTTTGCCCTATATTCTTATTTGTCTAATTAACTATTAAGTTATTTTATGTTTTTCATAAAATTAATTGTTTAATTTAGAAATTAATTTACTACAAAATTCTATTATTTCTATAATATATCTAAATATATATATACTTTAGCATAATAGAATTCAAAAAAATTGTGAATAAATCATAAAAAAGAAAGAAAATGTTTTAATAATAAAATAGATGTATCCATTTAGAGCAACCAAATCAAATTCTTAAGAGTCATTTTTTGTTTTGCTGGTAGATGGAACAACCTCTATGAATGCACATTATCCCATATTTTTGAAATGCTATCATAATGTATGCAGTAGTATCAAACATAAATTGGCCTTTCAATTTGGAAACCAAAAAGAAGGATCCGATGTTGTTCTTTATGATATCAATAAATTCTAAGATCATCATTAGAGCAATTTCAATAAAGTTTTTAAACAATTATTTGACATTCTACTTACTTAACACAAGGATAAAAAATATCTGACCATCTGTTTCATCTCAGATGGAGTTGAACACTTTGTTTATGAAGAGTTTCTTCCATTGGTTGACCAAATAACTTCAACTTTCAAAATCTAATTTGCTAGCATTGCAGTCGGAAAAAATTTCCCGACGTCGATAAGCAATAAGTTTAGAGAAAGATTGCACAACAACGGAAATTTAGATTTTCCATCTATCTACGAAGTTATGGATCAGAGTGATTTAACTATATATTTAGATGATAATGACAATATAGCAATATAACCAGAGCAATAATAAAAATTGACTCAATAGTTTACAGATGCATTAGAGGGTCTCAAAAGATAATTGATTGTATTTACTGAATAAATTGAATTGAATGAAATAGTATATACTTCATTCTTAGATATTCAAGATCAAAAAACTAAAATTGTTCGATGCAATTAACTATTTCTATCTCCTAATCCCAATGTTTAAACAACAAAAAATGAAATAATCTAATCCTCTTCAAACGTTGAAGATTTAATTTAAATTTAGTAAGGAAGTGTTTAATAACTATTGATACATTTGTAAGCTAATGATAAAATTCAGGAAGGCAAAGCAGAATTTTAGAAGCTGCTTGATATATCAAAATAAAGTCAAAAACTATTTATTAAGACAAATTAATAAATGAATCCTTAAGCAGATTTATAAGAAATTGCTGATAATCCAAAACTTGATTTAATTAATAAGATTATAGATTAGTGTGCATACACTGATTATTTAGCTTCTATAAAAGATAATGAAAATAGATATGCACAATTATAAGCAAATCTCGAAAAAAATCCACAGCTATGCATTGATAAAAATTTTCAAACTCAATATAGAGAGATAAAAATTGAATAAATACTGAATAGCGTGTAACCTATGTAACAAGTTGAAATAGAGTAGGAAGTATAAATTAAATAGTAAAATAAAATAAATACCTATGAAATTAACTTTAATTCTAAATTGATCATATTGGTTGATTCTTTTACACTATAAAAATCGTTACAAGAGGAAATATTGAAAGCCAAATAAACTGTTTATAATCAATAAGTGTAAGACAATACATAAACTTTTTGGTGGGCAGATACTATTTAAGAGAACCCAGAGTTGAGTGTTAGAAGTTAGCAACTACCATTAAATTAAGCTATTTTATAGATTCTTAGAATTATAGAGGAAGATTAATCAGGTGTCAAAAATTTCACTATTTGTTTGATTATTTCTGGAGAACATTAAATAGACTTTAAATTTTTAAGCCAAAAATAACAATAAATATAGTAATAAAATAAATTGAT